AGTATATAATATACTTAAAAAAATATATAATAATATAAGCGATTCCTTAAAACCTATATATAATAAATATAAATATTATATATTATTTCTTAATAAAAGAATTTAATATTTAAAAGTTTCTTTACTTAAAAATAAAAATAATGCATTAAAAGCTTTTAATAATTATAAAAATAAGGCAAAAAATAAATATAATAAAAGAATAAAAGAATTCTTTATTAATAATAAAGGTAAATATATAAATAAAAGATTTAAAATCTTATTAAATAAATACTTTATAAATCATTATATAATGCCCTTATATATAAAAAAACTAAATAGCTTAATAAAAAGATTAAATTTAATTATAATAAATAAAGTAAAAAGCTTTTTATATATAGTAAATTTACTTATATATTTATAAGGAAAAGCAATAAAATATGCTGTATATTTATATAATATTATATCTTATAAAAACCTAGGGTATAAGTATCCTTATAAGGTAATAAATAAAAAGAAGCCCTATATAAATAACTTAAAAATATAGGGATTTATTATATATTTTTAAAATAATAATTATAAAACTAAATTAAAACTTAAAAGTAAAAAGAGCATATTATTAAATATAGTTTTAAAATTAAATATATATTAAGTATGGGATATAAATAATAAAAAGCCTATATTAATTTAAAATGTCCAAATATTAAAAGGGTAATATATAAATAATAATAATATTAATATTAATAATAATAATAATAATAATAATAATAATAATAATAATAATAATAATAATAATAATAATAATAATAATAATAATAATAATAATAATAATAATAATAATAATAATAATAATAATAATAATAATAATAATAATAATAATAATAATAATATATATTCCTAAAATTATAAGAATAAAGGGAAGAAAATAAGGAAGTAAATTCTCCTTTTATTTTAAATAAAATAATAGTTTAAGGGAATTTAAAAGACTATATATATATTATATAAGACATATTATTAAATAACCAAATATTTATATTAAATTCCTAAGAAAATATATTAAAATATTGCTTAATTACAGCTAATATTAATAAACCTTCTTTTTTAAAAAAGATATTAAATAACTTAAAAAAACCCCTATAGGTTAAATTTATGCTAAATGAAATATATAGTTTATAAGAATAAAATACTTATATAATAATAAATTTACCACCTAGCCGTATAGCTTTAAAGGAAAAATGAGTATATAAAAAGAAATTTATAAATAACCTAGCTATTATAAAGCTTAATTAAGTAGTAAATAATGAGAATAATATTAAATTTAAATTTAAATGGGTTATTTAGGGATATAACTAAAAATTAAGCATAAATTATTTAAAGACTTTTTTTATAATTTGCTACCTTAAAACCTATATTATGCTATTAATAATAACTATAAATAAAGAATATTTTATATTTAATTACAACGTTAAAAACGCGTTTCTATACTTTAATATTGATTTTAAAATATATATAAAATTACTTATATATATATATAATAAACTAAAATATAAAAATAAAGTTGCAAAACTAAATAAAGCTTTATATGGGTTAAAATAATTACCTATGCTTTAATATAAATACTTAAAAAATATATTAACTAAGCTAAAATTTATTATTTGCCCATATAACGAAGGGGTATTTATATACCTTAATAAACAAATTATATCTATATATTATATGGATAATATTATTATTATAAGACCTAATAATAATAATATAAATTTAATAATTAATAAACTATATAAGAATATAAAACTAGATTTTTAAGGAAATTTAATAGATTTCCTTAAAAGCGATATATATATAAACAGAAAAGATAAATAAATAACTATAAACCAAAATAAATATATGGATAAAATATTAAATAAATTTAATATAAAAGAAAAGGTTAAGAAAAAGGAAATAATCCCTTAACTTATACCATATACCCTTAATAAAAAATTAGAAAAATATATTAACCAAGCTAATAAAAATACTATAAAATTATATTAGCAATAAATAAGGTTTATATTATATGCTAGCTTAAAAACAAGGCTAAATTTAACTTATTCTATAAATAAGTTAGCTAAATATATAGCAAACCCAAAACCAAAGTATATAAAAGAATTAAATAAAATATAGGGATATATATATAAATTCCCACATATATCTAAAGTATATAATTACTCTGGAAATAATTTATAATTAATAGGCTATATAAATTTAAATTAAGGTAATAATATATCCACTAAAAAAAGTACCTTTAGTTATATATTTAGCTTATATAATATTAATAATAATAATAATAATAATAAAATAAATCCCATAAGCTGGAATTCTTAACTATAAAAAATATTAGCACTTTCCTTTATAAAAGCAAAATATATAGCTTTAAAAAAAGCCATAAAAAAAGCTAAATATTTATATAATTTACTTAAATATTTTAATAATAATTTAAATATTAACTTTAATTTCAAGCCCCCTACCATATATATAAATAATAACGGAGCTAAGAGATTAACTAAAAATACCTTATTTTATAAAAGAACTAAATATATAAATATTATATATTATTATATAAAAAAAGCAATAAAAAATAATAAAGTAATATTAAAATATATAGATTTTAAGCAAAATTTAGCAAATTAGCTTATAAAATTAATAAATACATTATATTATAAGAAGTCTAAAGAAAAGTATAGTTTAATAAAAAAATAATATAAAAATATTAAGCCAAAAAATAAAGAGATTTTCTACTTATATTATAATATACGCAAAATAAATTAAGGTATTTATTCTTTAATAACTAGGGTTAAGATTTTTTTTCCTTTACTTATAAAATATATAAATAAATAAAGCGGATTTAATTATATATATATATAATATTACCCTAAATATTAAAGGTTTTCCCCTAAAAGAAATAATTAAAATAATAAAGGTTTTTCCTGAAAAATAAGCATTACTTACACAGCCTATATATACCATATATATACACAGTCACAATATACCTATACTGCGTTTATATACGTTTAATTTTACATAAAAAACATATTTCCATAATATATATAATATAAATAAAATAATGTATAACTTTAATATATAAAAATACTGTAATATACCATAGTTATTATAAAATAATTAATAAATCCCATATAAAATTATAATTTAATATATAATACCTTACTAGCTATAAGTTTAAGTTTAAATAATAGCAAATTTTTGGGTTTTTTGCCTAAATATATAAATACTTAATAAGTAAGTTTTTCCCTTTTTATAAGGTTTTCTTATTATATAACTAAATATTCCTTTTTTATAAATTAAATCCCTTATATATAAAATAAAATAAATAAAAAGGAATTAGTTTAAGGGGGGCTGTTGGAATATTCTAGATATTTAGGCTATTATTAATACGGGATATCCTTTTCCCTATACGTTTGCTACTGTATGGAGGATAATAACTATAAATAGGGGCCTTCCCTCCCATAAAATAGACATTAGCTAGCCTAATAGACTAAGCATCCAACGCTATTATTTCAGAGCCCATCCCGGCTGAAGTTGTCCCTTCTAATACGATAACTACCTAGAATGGTGATACATGCCAATTGAGAGCTTGAACTGTTTCAGAACCGTATATACCTAGTCATCATCCAAGGGTTCGCAACCGCAACTCGATACTTCATCTCAGACTCAACAACAGCGACTTGTTGATTTCCATGCGGTACCGTATTGCTTTTCAGCTTTAAAAGGAGATTGCAGGCTAAATTATGCTTTTCTGGAACAGTCTTAACAAGCTGTCGTTGCAGACAACAAAACGCACTGCCGTTACACACAAGCTCTTGCTTGCATTTTCTACAACTGTAGTTGGCCAATGTATTATTAATTGACCGAGAATTAAAGAGCTGTCTTGATATCTCTACCATCGTACGCTTACTTCTTGCGTGAATACCGTCTACGGACTTAGACATCCTTTTGATCCTAGCTCATGTATCACATATCCTAGCTCCGTGGTGACCATACAGCCTGTACTAGAAACTGGAAGATTCCTTACACAACGTAGTAGGGTGACTGACCGCAAATCACAGACGGCTTCCATCCCACGCTCAGACGCTCTCGCAGAGACAGGATGTGGAAGCCGTAGTGGCAGGATGGTGATGGAAGGATGCTCTGTCATTGCATTGCTAGCTTGCTGTCAACTTGCCCTTTGATCCCATGCGCATCGTAGTCGACTGTCTCAGGCAGGCTAGATCGCTTCTGTCAACTGCATCGGTACTCCCGCCGCAGTCCATCCCGTCTACTGAATCCGCCAATTTAGTTTACTGGCTTGCCGGCAATCGCCCAGGGTCTACCCCGTATCCCACCTAGTGTCTACTTCCGGTATCGCCCCGGAAAGCACAGCATTCGCATCTCATCAACCTCGAATAGGCAGGTCCTCAAGGCAATATCTCCTCTTTCGGCCGGTCATGGATCAACATACAGAGAGATCCAGTTCACGCAGGCAGATTGGCCAGAACACAAGAGTTCCCCGCACTGAATGCACAAGCTATCTAGCATATCATCGGAGTATGGTGTAAGTGCGCTGTGCCCGTGAGAACCCATGGTATCAAGACAACTCATGCTATCACGGCAACTCTTGGTATCACGAGAATTCACAGTATCACTAGGACGGAACACAAGCTGCTTTCTACTCCTCCACTCATTTCCTGAACGGCAGAATGAAGGCATTTTCCACAGTCGTCATATCTCCAGCGGGAAGAGGACTACTCTTGCGTCCCTGCTTGTTGACCAACAATCCGGGGTACCCTCTCTCTGCTCGCTTGAACTCAAGCCGGTCAACAGCCGTTCGACAAGTAGCGATAAGCCATCAACTGGATAATTCCACAGCCAGTCAGGCGCATGCGTTCAGGCAGAGATACCCTCTATCAATTCTGTCAACTCGAGACCTTCTCCGGTCATTGTTGATTTCCACAATCTCTTCCAATTCATTCCTCCTGACACCAGCGCTCCACATGCTCTCTTTTCTGTGCAAGCCGCTCGGAGGTCGATGGTTAGATGTCGACAGAAACCCTGTGCTGCGCAAAATTCTCAAGACAACGTTTTACGATCAATTCTGTGCTGGCGAGAATCCCACCGAGACCAAGCTGTGCGCACAAAGGCTGAAGGATCTTGGGTTTGAAGGCATCATCCTCACATATGGCAAAGAATCTCTCCATGAGGATGACGCAAAGACAGCTGCTGCAAAGCAGGAAGTTGGATTGGATCCTGAGATTGGTAATTGGAAAGTGGGCATCATGGAAACAATCGATTCCGTAGGCTCAGGGGACTATATTGCGTTCAAGTGAGTGTGGACTCTCTTGTGCTGTCTGGGGTGTATTCTGACATGACAATACTTAGACTTACCGGCGCAGGGCGAGCAGTCACTGCGGCTCTAGCGGCACACAAGACTCTCCCCTCTCAGATGCTTGAAATTCTGGATGCACTGTGTATTGAGTGCAAGAACCGCAACATCAGCATGATTGTCGACGCTGAATCGCAGGATTACCAGGTTTCTATCGATAAAGTCACGCTCGAACTCATGCGCAAGTTCAACAAGGATGGGACTGCTGTTGTCTATAATACTTACCAAGCGTACCTGAAGAAGACCCCCAGGAACGTTATGGACCATTTGGTTGAGGCCAGTAAAGGAGGCTTCACATTAGGTCTGAAGGTTGTGAGAGGGGCTTATATCCTCTCAGAAAAGAGGTCCATGATCCACGATACCAAGGAGGATACGGATCATTCATACAACAGCATCGCCCAAGGCGCTCTCAAGCGTCAACTCGGAGACGTCGGAAGCCCCGGGCCAGGGTCGGTAACGTTCCCATCAGTTAAGCTCCTTTTGTGCAGCCACAACAAGGAGAGCTTAACCGACGCACTCAGCCTCCATCAGCACCGTGTCAAGAACGACCTCCCAACTACCCCCGTCGCTTTTGCACAGTTGCACGGCATGTCTGATGCTGTCAGTTTCTCGTTGCTCCAGCACGAGACCAAAGGACTGCCTCGGCCAACAGTGATCAAGTGTTCTACATGGGGCACACTTGGGGAATGTTTAGCCTACTTGCTTCGCAGAGCGGTTGAGAATAAGAGTGCGGTCCTGAGAACAACGGATGAGCACCGTGCGTTGAAAAGGGAGTGCTGGAGACGCCTTCAGACAGCAATAACAGGATAGTGATTATTCGGTCGTACATTGGGATTCAAAATGAATCGTTTACTGTTAATTAGTCCCGAAGTGGACTTACTTTTCCTACTTTATAGCTATGAAGCTCCCTCAGAAAGACAAATCCAATATGCAGTTTTGAAGCTAGGATATGCATGTATGCAAAACGTCCCAGATAGCTAGGACCAGTCGATCATCCACCCTGCCCCCTCTGAAGGAGAAAGATAAGAACGCCCACTTTCACATCAGAATCCATCAAAGTGGATTAGATTGCCACTTAGAAAGATCATCGCGAGCACGCTAAATGTTACGGTGCAGCATTGGAGTCGTGGTAATAACTTGTTGTTGCGCGAAGAAAGGAAAACTAGAAGTCTACAAGCCGCAGGCGAAGCTGCGGTGTTTATAAGGCGGGCCACTGTGGGTGGGTACCGTGACACTAAAAGCCTAGTCTGTCCTCTGAGGAGATCATTCTTGTGCGACATGATTGCGTGCATTAGAAGGGACAGTCAAACCTAGGCAAGTATCACCGTTTGCTAACACCTCTTGCCTCCATGTCTGTTGGTCCAGCCGGGCGTATTTCTTCCCTGATCCTGAAGCGTTCCAGAGTAGTAGGCATGTTCACACCATCCCCATCAGCCGCAGCAGCCGGGCCCAGGCCAATAGACGCATATTCTCATTAAGGTCTGTTTCCAAAGACATGACTGTTGTCTTTGCTTCCTGGGTGCCTCGGAGATACACGACACAGAATCCCCCACGGGTTTACGGTCCGGCGCGATACCGTTGCCGGGCGTACTGAGCATTCGCGATAATTTACAGAAGCAGTTTATTTCCGGCCGGGTGTCTATGAAAGTCCCCGAAGGGACTGTTACTTCTGAGACTCTGCTCAGAGTTCAACCAACCTTGTTCAAAATTTTGACCTCGAGACTTGTTTTCATTGAAATCGAATAGCCTCTTTTCTCATTCATATGTCCTCGAGTTCTGTCTCTCACTCCGTGGTGCTCCTAATCTCTGGAGGCTCGGCAGAACGCGGTATCTTTCTATGGGGTGCCTGTTTCAACACGAAGCGTCATTGGATCGCTGTCTCCTCCGGTGCGGGCCAGATATGACAGGTCACAATGAGGGAACGGGACATCCCGCCGTCTGCCGTATATGTTCCAGATCAGCGGTCGAAATTTTGCATCTCTGACTGTCCCATCGGTCAGGGTCCTTACCAACAGGGCGGTAGCCGCGCTTCAAACTCTTTAGTCAGGATGTCAGCTCCTTCGGCTCCATCTGAGACAGGCTTTTCACAGATAACAAAATCCCATAGCGGGCTAGCCGAGGACTGAATGTGGGCCAATCTCAGCTGCATCTCGACACGGACTGATGCGATGCATGTGAATGCACGATGGACCAAGAGAATGGCGAGTTCGCCTAAGCTCTGATCTCCATGGCCCACACCTTTCTGCATATCAAGCCATGTAAGAAGGCCAAGAAGAGTTACGCCATGCGGGTAGTTGCACGATCAAAATGAGTGTTTGGATTGGTGAGCCCGCTGCACTGGGAAGCCATGTGGTCTGAGTTATTGAAGCGCTGCAGAATTCGTGTAGAATGGGTCCCGGTCCTTGGCACTGTGAAGCATCCTGCAAGTGATTTCGACAGTGAGATTTTTGTCCGGTGAGAGGATTCGCAACAGTGTATTCGATGCCGACAGTGGAGTTCGATAGCATGTGATCAAAATTCTCGGCACCAATTTGAGGGGCAGTTCGAATTTATTGCTTGGGAACAAGGAATGGCGTCTTCCGATGATCCACTCGATGGGCTGTCCAAGATTATTCATCACGCGTGCCACGTTTGCTTACTCTGCACGTCAGATTTTAGGTCCCTTTCACTTTGCTTGGCAAGTTGATAGAGTGAGATTGCACTTCCCAGGGTCCTTTTCAGTAAATACTAAGCCGTATTTCTCCTTATGATTATGTCGAAGAGCACTGCATGCCACCATCGTGTCTAGACACTAGCAGTACCGCCAGACAGGATTGTCCTTCAACAGCTCTTCCACGATATTGACAACAAGATGGCGACTGTCACAGAAACTACCACAACAATAAGCAAGGAGCAGCTTCCGGCGCTCCCGTCAGAAATCACAGCTGAATGGCTAGGATCCAAGTTGGGCCACAAAGTCAAGGCCGTGACCATGACACGCACCATCTTCGGCACGGCCAGCAAGCTGTTTTTCTCGATCGAGTATGCGCACGAGGTGGCTGACGCAGGCTCACGGCCGGCGCACGTCTGTGTCAAGGGCGTGTTTAACCCGGCAATAGTAGCTGCGCAACCGTGGACGGTGAGCCTGGCGCAACGCGAGGCGGATTTTTTCGCCAAGATCGCACCCACCATCAAGCACATGGGTTATCCAAAGGGCTGGTGGGGTGGGACGAGTGACAGCCAGGGAATCGCAATCATGTCTGACTTGGTGTACGAAGGTTGTACATTCCCGCCCGAGGTGGCCTCCTACCCACTGGAGGCGGTGCTGGACGGGGCTGCGCAGGTGGCCGGTCTCCACGCTCAGTTCTGGGGAAAGAGCCAGGAGGACTACCCTTGTGAGTTGTGTCATCAATAAGGCCATGCGCAGAAATAAGGAAATCGACAGTGCTGATTTGATGACCTGACAAGGGATCTGGAATAATTACGACCCGGCGATGACATTCATGGTCCGACAGTGGGATACAGTCGTTAGAGAGCCGTGGCGACTCAAGCTGCCAGACTTCCTAATGGACGGCACGAGAGTAAACAAAGTCTTGGACCGATACTATGCGGAGCGCAACCCACGATTCCGCACCTTGTTGCACGGCGATACGCATTTTGGCAACGTCTACTTCACGGCCGAGGGCGGCACGCGCTTCCTCGACTGGTCAGCATTCCACTTCGGCTCGTGCTTTCACGACCTTGTCTACTTCATGACTTCCATGCTCACTATCGAGGACCGCCGCCGCCACGAAATGGACATCCTGGATCACTATCTTGATACCCTGCATCGTCTCGGCGGGCCCCGTTTCGACCGGCACTCTGACGAGGAGCTGATGGTAGAGTACAAGCGTTCGTTTCTGACGAACGTCATCTGGACTATCTGTCCTCGCGAGATCCAGTCAGAGGAGAGGATTGCGGCCCTGTGCGAGCGCACTGTTTCTACCTGGGTTGATCACAAGGTGCTCGAGGTCATCGAAGGGCAGCCAATTCCGACGCAGGACCAAGCATAGAATCCATGTCTTTCAAAACTACATTTCTTCAATTATTTCTCAATAATTCCTGGTGTCTCGAATCCAAAGAAAGATTTTGATATCTACTACCCTTGGGTACCGTTGTACCTTTTGTTCATAAGACAAATTCTTGAGCCATATAGCATCTCAAAACTTCTGTATGCACACCAGCCCTACCCACATGTGTATCTACTTACTGGTTTCTTGTAAACTCAACCGTTATTTCGAAACATTGACGGATGTAAGCCACTGTGATTTGAAGATCAAGTATCTTAACTTTGTGTTCGAGGCGTTATTTGTTGGCGAAAATCTTCATTTGATACACGTGTACAGGCATGTGGCCGATTAAAGATTGCCGGGTCTACCTACACGGTGTCGAAGATGAATTTGAAGATGCCGATGAAGTGCTCGCACCTACTAGTACGTGAGCTAATTGAAAATATTGATTTTATTTGTTAATTTCATGAATATCTAGCCTGCCTGATTAATTAGAGCTCACTGTACGAGTGCAGATGCAATTCTTCTTTAGCAATGGAAACCATGTCGCTGAGGTATACCAGCTGCGTGATATTTTAGCAGCTTGATATCCCAATACGTGGGTCATGGCTCTTGATCAGGATGTGCACGCACTGGCATATATAGTACAGTAGTATTCAAATCCCTATTTAATGCACAAATTGAGTGTTTTTCAGTTCGAATGGTACATATAGTCTATTCACGGCAGCCTCAGTCGCTGCCTCACAGGTGGTAGGCCAAATCGTTCCGGGGCAAACCAAGATGAGCACTAACCTTTCCGGGCCGGGGGCAAGAAACCATGACTGGCTGCTTTGCAGGCGGTCATGGTCACGAAAACGCCACGTGATCGGGGACTACTGCCTACATGCCCTGCTAAAGAAAACACTGGTAGTGGCATTGGAGACCTCGTCGAGGCCGCCCGTGTCGGGAGTATATTTTGGTTTAGCGTTCTCTTTCAAGCGACTTGTCTTCAATCCACCCAATTCAAGAGTTAATTACACAGCCGAATGCTCGTATCTCTAACGTCGCTTCCTTCCTACGTAGTGTATGTGAATAAGTGTTGCGGGGCAGTCTGGGAAACGTTGCATGTCTGCCGATTGGCGCTGACTGGCCTAATCACAACCAATGCCAAAGGGAAAATAGAAAGAGTCACATCAACGACAAAAATTCCAACATTAGCTCCAAATCATCAGGATACGGGTGGCAGCAACTTTAGCAGTGCGTAAACAGCCTGGATGCAACCCCGGGAAGATCCTTGGCGCATCCTTCGTTCAGCACAATCATTGTGATTGGGCCAGATGTGTGGCCAGGTCAATCTTCTGGCGGCTGTGTACAGTGTGCTGGTCTGCCTGGCCAAAGAGAGGGCTTTCTTCCGTGACTCAGCCTTCGCAACCTATTTTCTGACCTTTTCAGCTTCTTTTTCCGTGCACCAGCACGGCCATGCCGTGTTGCTGTCAGCCCATTTTGCTCCAGGCTGCGTAGTGTCATCAGGCGGGAATATAGGTTTGGCTTCATCCCTTCCTCCCATATCTTGGGTGCAATCATATTCTTAATAAGACGAAAGGGGCTCCAGACTTGAACTCAAAACTCAATTCCACTTCCACGCCGCTTTTGTGATCACTAGATCGATTTATTTTACTCTGCATTATCTCACTTTTATTTACCTAATAATCTCACATAGATTATTTCCTGACAATATCAGCCTAGCGAGAATCTGCTCACCTGACACCCGGCTCCGTACCCACACTATCCACTATCGGAAATATCAGTCGAGTCCAAAAATGGCGGCGTACATCGACTACAATGTCATAATCGGCGTTAATCTCGGGCTCATGGCTATCATGCTATTGCCTATCTCTGCGATGTTGTGCGCCAGCTTCTTGCTAGTACGCCGCAGCAAGGACCCGGCACGGGTAGCGTTTACATACCTGAAGGTCATGTTACCGTTGGCATTCCTGTATGTATAATTCCTGGCCCTCTCTCTAGACCACCTGGCTGCAGTGTCAGGTGGTCTCGCAGCCGTCCTCATTTCTGACTTTGGATTCAAATAGGTGGTTCGCCATGTATACGATAGAAGGCGCTTTAGAGCTGGTGTATCAGAACAGCACGGTGTATTGGTGGACCAACGATTCCATCTATAAGGCCTCCCTACGGACGTCTCTGCTGGGCTCCCTCTTCTACCGCTTGGCAGGCCTGCTATCCGTCATGACTCTTGTGGAGCTGGGCAATGGTTTCCTCTTCTGCCTCACCGAGACGAGGACGGCACTGCAGAAGGCTATGCGGAACGCGGGTATTGCCTCTTGCATCGTGCTCTTCATTATCGCCTTTGCCTCTTTTGGTATCCAAAATGAGGCATACTCGCAGTATCTCGCCACTCCCTGGGCATACGAAGACGTCGGCGAGTCTCTATTCTCTGCTGGGGGGAAGCTGAGTGCTGCTTTTGACATCATTTTGTTTGCTTGGGCCGTTGTTCTGGTGGTCTTTGCGGTGCTTGTCTTCAAGGAGATTAAGCACAACAACGCATTGAAAAATGTAAGTTGCTCCCCATACCTACTTCAACAGTGCCAGCACCATGAAACAACTTTGAACTTTCTTTTGCTGACACTCGGCCATCCTTCCAGTCCGCTGTTCTCTTCCTCGCCGCCATCGTCCTCAACCTGATCGCCCGTCTCTACGGCATCATTTACGCCTCAATCTTCAACCTCGCTGGGCTTGACTGGGGCCACGAGAGCTATACGGTCGTCATGTTCCTTGATCCGTTCATGAGCGAGTGGATATTCACAGTGATCGTGGCCCTTGTCTTTTCAATCGCTATACGCAAGCGCAACGGCCTGTGGACCACCATGCAGCCGTGGATGGACGCCCAGGGCCCACCCGCGCTTGCAACCTCAGGCGCCAAGGGCATGGGTCAAAGGAATGCTGCCCACGTTGGACGTGATGAAGAGGCTGGTCGTGGCTGGTAATCCTATGGAGAGTCCTCAACAAAAATCGATGATATACCTTTGGCGTTTAGTTCGGGTTTGGGGGAGTACACCACATGGTCCGCATTGCTACAACATAGGGAGCTTTTTGCTTATTGCAACACTACATTTGACACCACATACACATTTATGCTATAGTATCGTACCGATTATTCCGGCGCAGACCCGTTGACCTTGAACCTGGAGTGTAGCTTTCGAATCTTTGACCAGAACGAGCGTGGGCGTTTCGTTTGCCTCATACTTGCCGACGGTGAGTTACACGGTGAAGGGGTGGGACTCGAGGGAGCTGGTCGAGACGGTGGAGAAGGAGACGAAACTTGGCGGTGGCAAATTCTTGGTCCGATAAACTACAGAGTGCGTGTCCAGTCAATTGCCGAGGACAAGCTATAAAGCTTGATGTACAAAGTCCATTCAGAGCTTTGACTATAGACATGACGAGTGGTGGCTATAAACATGAGTAGGGGTTACAGCGCCGAGATGTCCCCCATCAAATCTCTTCTACAACTATCTTTTGAGAAGGAACGTGTAGTATATTTACTGTAAGAAAAGAATCGGTAAATGCCATCGCAGCACACGAGGCTGTGTCCCCGTTAAGTGCAACAAAACTTCCTGTGCTTATGCGAAGGAAGGCTTCGCATTGTTCAACAGCATCTCAAAGTATGCCTGGTTCCAGGTTCCAGCCTCTGGACTCGGCTTGTAGGCGTCGGGCATTCCACAGAACGAATCATATCGGACGGCTGAGGAGTCGCTGGTTCCGTCACTCTCGCCACCGGGCTTGACCCACACGAAAGCATCGGCCAGCTCCGAGCCAGTGTCGGCGGTAGGACGGAGACCGAACCCGGCGCCGTCGACATTGCACCAGTGGCCCCACTCCTCACGGAGACCTTGGACGCCGTTCCGTCCTGGGAAGGGGTTTAGTGACTGAGCAGAGATTTGGCTGATAGGGTACCAAGCGAAACAGAACCAGAACTTACCGGTGTCAACGATAGCATGGTTAGGCATGCCAGCAGTAGCGAGAGCTGCGCCAAACAGCTCCACGTACTTCTTCTCGTTCTGGGCGGCGTTGTACTGCCCGTCGGGGTCACTCGCGAACTCACCGGGCTCGGCGTCCCTGGTCAATGTCAGGATTCCTGTTCTCCACTCGAGGCCTCAAGAAGCTTTCGACTCACCAAGAGTTCCATCCCGCGACGTTTGTGGCAATTCCTCGGAACTGCGACGGCGAACCAGCAGCCTTGTATGCGCTGGCCAACTCCTCGGCGCCAGGCTTAAGGTTGTCGTTCCAGCCCAGCCAGCCACCGTGCCCGGCGTCCAGGTACTGGACAACGTTGGGCAGGTTGAGCGTCTTCAACGCATAAGCAACGCCGTCGCGGTACCCAGCGGCACTTTCCTGGCAGGTGGTGAGGTCGATGTTCGTGACCAGGTTGGGGAGCGAGTCGGGCTCGATGAGAAGGGCGAAGGCCGTGTTAGGGTTCGCCTTGAGGATCGCCGCGATTGCTTGAGACCATGTCAGAGGAGCCCAGGTCTCATGTATACAGGGCTGGGAGAGATTCACGCACGGTCAATGTACTCGGTCTTGTACCGGTCAAGTTCGCCCACTGCCAGCTCTCCATTCGAGGCCTTAGCGGCACAGTCTCGGCCTGGGAGATCGTAGACCACGACGCCCAGGATGTTGTCGCAGGGCACATCGGCAATGGCTGGCTCAAGGCGCTCGATGTTGGCGATTGTGTCGCTATAATGTAACGCATTAGTATGCCGCTCGGGGATCCTGTGTTCGTAGTAGACTTGAACTCACAGCCAAACGAACGACCCGACATCGGCAACCTTCAGGGCTTGTTCCTTCAAGGGGCTGGTCATGTTGGCAGCCGCCGCCTCGAGCTCGGCACGGTAGAAGTTGTTGGCGTGCAGGGTGTGGGTTGAAAACACATTGGTGCTGGCGTCCAGAGTCACAGCTGAGGCGCATGCGTCGGCGGCTTGCCTGGGCGCAGCCTTCAAAGTCCGAGACGGGGCTGCATTGACAGTGAGCGCCAGGCCCAAGGCCGAGGAAATCGCGTACTTCATTGTTGATGTTGGTCGTCTGATTCAGCGGGAGACTGCGGCGATGAAAGACTTGCTGGCCTGGGTCAAAACATGAGAAGGGTGATAGGGAGGCAGGATCGAGCCTTTTATCACGAAGAGACAATTCGATCGCCAAGCCTGCATACTGATGACGCGCGGGCTACATACACCTTCAGCATCATCTGTGGAAGTGCCAACATCGTAAGATTGGAGCCGGTCCCTTGAGCCGCCTGGGCATTCATTCTACCGTACCCTTTTTTTGCGGCGTCTTGCAGTCAACGTCGAGTCGAATCAGTCAAACAAGGGTATAACAAGGTTTTCGGAAGCATCGCTCCGACGTTGACCTTCCAGGCTGCGCCTCTCCACAAAATCGTGGGCCCCTGAGCAGGCGTGAGGTTGTTCGGCCTGCGGCCCGGCCAAACGCCTCGTTTGCGGGACGTCGGTCACGCGGGAGTCGCGGTGAGTCGCGGAGAAACAACACCGATTCCCCAACCCGGAGCTTGGGGATATTTCAGGGGCCGCGTAATGTCGAGATGCAAGGGTTGGCCGGGCTGCCCAAGGCTTGTCCGCATAGATCTGCGGAGCTTGTCCGGCACACAAGCCTTGGCACGCATCAGAATAGGTGATGGAGATGATCCATTTCCTATTCGATAACCACGCAGCCTCCGAGATTCCAAACGGCAAGCCGCTGCGTTTCGCCTAGACGCTCGAGTATTCTAGGGTGGCGTGGTCAGAGGCCAACTTAGAGGAGCGCGCTGCAAATGAAGTATTCAGGCATGCGTTGAGGTATAGAAGGCTGGGCAGCTGAAGATATTGAGTTACGTACAAAGGGAACGAAACTCTAATAAGTAAGCGAGCGCGCAGGCGGGCAGGCAGGCCCGGCCAAACTATGGATACTTACCCATCGCGACAACTAGGCGAGAGATGATGCGTCACAAATACCCTACACGGGTCCCGATTTTCTGCCAACACAGCCTGATGACAGCTGACAAGTGGATATGTTCTAGTCCTCGAACGATAATCTTGCCGTGGGGAAGCTGTCCTTTGAGAGGGAAGGCAACTTCAAGGGTGACTGGTCAACCAGAGAGCATGAGCATACTTGTGCGATGTTATGACCTCACCCATGTTCTTCAACAGGGAAGGCTGAGGCTATTTCCATAACTCCACCACGGTTCTCCTTTTTGTCACCCCTTAATAGCCGTCCTTCCTTAAGAGATCACTGAGGAAGTTCCCCGTTCATCTATTGCGAGGCTCTTCATGGCCCGGCCCGATTGCCACTCAGCCTGTCATTCGGAATCCCACGCGCAGATCAAATAGATTACGGACTGTAATCACGAGTAACACTCAGCGACAGGGTTGTTCTTTTCAGACAAGAGAGAAACCAGTCATCATGATGGCCCAACAGTACCGGAGTGGATGCACGACCCGGTGCTGTCTGCCGAGCCCGCCGAGCAATTTCTCATTCTCTCTCGTCCAAGCAAGCACATGTTCCTGCAGTCGTAACGAAGTTAAATTCCGGCGCAATGGTAATGAAGTACCGGCATACTTACTCAGTATGAGATATCCCAAGAAAGATCGAATGGTACCCGGGCGCTGTTGAAAGCGTCCTGTTTGCTTATTTCCACAGAGCTGACGATCATTAGAGAAATTGCGCACAATTCTAGTGACTGGCCAGCCTAGCCTACATAAGTTGGAACACTTCTTCCTGCCACCTTTACTTGACTATATGTAAGAAAGGTGTACAACCCAGCCATATCTTAAGCACTTCCCGGGACACCAGTACTCAGACTGGTACGCGATGGACGTGAATGGCTTGGGATGTTGAAGCGCTTCCGAGGTACCTTTTGAAATCAACCGTCTCCATAAGCTGAGGTCCTCTCAAATTCAAGCTGCTGTGCTATCAAAAGCTCGCGGAATGACGGCATTGGAGCTAATCCCATTCCAACTACACTCAACTAGCTGCTCTTTCATTCGAGGTGCCCCCCACCCCATAACACAAGCTCACATTATCTAGGCGACACGTGGAAAAGGATACAACGCTTCACTCTGAGTTGGGAGCCGACTTTATAGCATACTTACAGCCTGTCTCTAACTGTGAAACGTACTTGAGTAATTTACTATATAGGAAGGGCTGATGTAACCATATGTCAGTAAGGCTTTGATCAAATCAGATACCAGCTATATTTCTGAGGGTGTTTTCAATTCGGTCTCAATTCTACAGTGTGTGTCTTGTATCCCTAATGATCTGAGAGACGCCACTAACACTGTCAATAGGTGTAATTCTGAAGTCCTAACTAACTCAACGTCTCTCTCTCTATGACTAAGGCACCCTTACAAAGCTTTTCATGTTCACTTCTTCCTGCGCCTTTCCCTGACCCGGCAGTCAATCTGCATGGACCTCAACGATTTTACTCGAGGAATACACTATTTGTGACCGATTCATTAAGCCTCTTATCAACCAAGGAATGATCTCAGAGGGTAGCTCACCTGTCTGTGCAGAGATACAAATTTGTAGGGACTCCACCAGCATTTGTTAAGCAGATACCACAGCTTTCTCACGTCGAATCCTCCTGGAAGGTTGCTTTAAATGATCTCGCTTCCGTGTAAATTTGTAGCAAAATGCAAACAGTTTGAACAGTACGCACCTGTTACCTGTCGTATGTGTTGGGATAAGATACAGGGTTCACCAATATCAGCGAAGCAAAAGGCACCCCTCGCAGGGCTCTAACAAGTCTTCGCTACGCTTTACCAAAATGTTTGCCGGCAGAGATTTATTCATCAATACGCTGAGATAGGTAAGTGTTGGTCTCCGACTTAAGCTCCGCTATCACAACTCAGCAATAACCATTCGCAGGGATTTTGCATAAGACGTGGTCGGATCAATATGAGGGGGCTGAAGAGGATCGACAGCAGTAAGTGTACAGATGTAGTGACACTGCTTGAGTGACGTACACTCACTTGAGTACAAGGATTACACTCTTTTATATAGATTTTCTTTCATGTTGATCGATTGGATCTGCTTATTTGCGAGCGCTTCATGTTGAACAAGCATCAAACCACCAGCGTCTTTACGACTGACAGGAAAATTGCAGCTTGCAGTCAGACTTTGAGATCCCAAATATGGCAGTTCATGGCCTTCAAAGTGATACGGAAGCATGGATGTTAGAGGAGAAAGGCTCACATAGAATCCATCTTAGTTTTGGTAAGAGCGTTGTTGAGGGGGCTTCTTCTGTGATATGCTGGATGGCATACATGTGCTCTTGGCAATGTCGTTCGTGGTTGGCATGGACAACAATGAGATGTCACGTACAAAAATGGAAGGCGGGAATATTACGCAGGCCAGCGGCTATATCTTATACGAGGTGATCTGTTATGCGCGACAGCGGGAGCGTTTCTCAATTTGGCAGCTCAATGAGTAACCCTTTCCCCAAGACCTCAACGTCGCCATCGCGGTGGAGATTGGCGACCCCAGTTTGGTTCGCCAAGCACCTAGGGCCTCGTGTTCACGACGAACACCACATGATATCGCTCCTGGCACTGCATGCTCCCTTCAGTCCCGGCGCTAGACTTGATGAAATTCCATATATAAACATGGAGCGTACATGTATTTGAGACCTACCAGTGGTTCCCGATGGCTGTCTCACCTCTACTTGACCAGGTCACCTAGGCGCGCGTACGATCGTTTGTTTCAACTCGGCGAGACAGGCCAATCAAGACACAATGTTCAAGCGTGCTGCTGCTGCTTCGGTAGCGTTGCTCTCTCTGGTAACACCACCTGCGCTCGCTCTGAATTGTCTCAACGATGATCTTGCTGTGGTGGAACCGTTGAGCACTGCACTCCCAGTGTACACGAAGCGACAGGAGGCGGCCACCGCGGTCGACGTATACTTCCATGTCACCAGCACAGAAGCAAACAAGGACAGGATCACGGACGATATTGTGGATGCCCAGGTGAGAGGGCCCACTGAGGAGTGGTTCAGCAGCTAACAAGGAGGCCAGTTCGGTGTCCTGCGTTCCACATTCCTCGAGTACGGCTTCAATCTGACACTTGTCAACGTTTCGCGCATCGTCGATGAGGTGGCTGGTAAGGGCTTCTACGCAGACGACGGTATCGAGATCGTCGACTTCGACGCGTACCTGGCTTTCCGGACTGAGACGAGACGAGGGGGCTACGACGCTCTCAACGTCTACTTCTTCTCGGACCTCAATGATGGCATTGGTGGATACTGCAGTACGCCTACCGTCGTTGAGGAAGGCACCCAATTCTTCTACCAGGACGGGTGCTGGGTGAACGGGGACTCGATGCCCGGGCTGAGCCGCAATGAGACGACACCTCCCAATAAAGGACATGCTGCCATCCACGAGGTCGGACACTGGTTTGGCCTGCTGCATACCTTCCACGGAAGGCTCTGTGAGACCATCAACGATCAAGTTGCCGACACGCCCGCACAGTCAGGCGGAAGTTCTGGATGTCCCGTTGGCAGAGACTCTTGCCCGGATTTGCCAGGCCTGGACCCAATCCACAATTTTATGGACTACTCAGATGATACTTGGTGAGTTCCTTAAACCCAAACTTTGACACATGTGAGAATTCGCGTGGTTCGGTGGCTAACAGTGTCCTTGCTATAGCACTACGGAGTTCACACCAGGGCAAATGGAGAGGATGCATCAGCAATTCGATGTCTTTAGAAGGTGGGAAGGCTAGAAACTGGCAACTCAGAGAAGAATTCAGACTCCGATCTGCGTCCTGTTCATGTCTCGTTCAACTTGTTAAGTCCTTTATTTGGGTTTGAGCGAAACCGTTTTGTTGATCCCAATCAACTGATCAGGTACGCTCCTGTGAAAGATGTCGAGTGAGTTGACAGATCCAGTGTGAGTCCGGTGTGGTGATGTCTCGCCAATTTTGGAAACATTCCACAGTGAGGAGGCTGGAATAAATGGCAATCTGAAGTTACGGCAGGCAGGTTGTCTGGTAGGCAGAGGAAGATAGCAACAAATAATCTCTGGCTGGATGAGGACAGCATGCGCCTGCCACTAAGGAGCTCTAAATTCGTAAAATATGGCTGTTCAAGCCCCCCTTTGCCATCTGAATCACAATAGCCACGTTCTCAATTTGTTGCAACCGCATAGTGGCAGTACTCTCACAGCTGTCCTTGAAACAGCCATCCGAGTTCGTAGCGAGTTTCCTCGACGCCAGGGTAGAAACCCTTCTCATGCCTAGGACAAGAATTGGAAAAGAGAGTTGTATCAGCTTATTAAGTTGTTGATCCTTTTGAGTCCCCCCCCCCCCCCAAAAAAAAAAAAAAACTTTTGACACATGTTGCGCACCACGTATCCTACTAAGCTACAGGACCCTGTGACCCGTCCTCAGAACCTTCAGGTTCATAGCCTTCAAAATAGGGATACTTCGTGTCCCGCGTTATGATCAGGATCAAAGCCATCATGACTCTGTCCATAAATGGCGACCTTTCGTCCGCCAGGAACTGGCGGATGGTGAGGTCGCGAGGGTTCTGGATAACCGGCCAGTGCCTTGGTTCAACATTCAACGGCGTCAACATGGGCCCCTCCATGATCTGGTTAAAGCGGTCCTGAGCAGTCGCCGCGACACCTGTAGTGGAAAATCCAGCAGTGGCAGGCTCCGGCTCGGGATAGTCCTCCCGGGTCGACGTGTTGTCAGCGCCAGCTGCGAGCAGGGCGAAGACGATGTGCAGGCTGTTCATGTGGAGCAGCGAGGGCTTGATCAGGACCGTCGCCTCCTCCAGGGGTGAAACATCGTCCGTCCTTTCGTTGACGTCCTCGCCTAGGACTATCAGAAGCTGCACTATGTCCGCCTTGCCCTCCATGACGGCGGCCCCTAGCACAGGACCCACGCCGACCCCGCGCAGCCAGTACATGATCTGCTCCACGCCATGCTCTTCCGAGCGATGCTGGGCCGCGTAGCTGGGATAAGTCGCCAGGTAGGCGTCGACCACGTGCCGGACGAGGCCCCGGTGGTTTGTCCGGAAGTCGACCTCGTTCCCCACTCGCACCACGACCCATTCCAGCAGGGACAGCCCGTTCCTGCCGGAGGCGCTCCTCCGGCCTATGGCCTCGAGCATGAACGCGTTGACGTTCCCCAGGAGAAACTGCTGCGGCGAAGCCGCGACCAGGTTGAACACCCCTCCGGCGTCGAGGTTCCTGACTATGTCTATGGCCAACTCGGCGGGCATGTCGGCCAATGACACGGGCTTCGGTGCCTCCGGGTCTTCTAGGTCCTCCTCTGCGTCCGCTCCATCATCTACCCTCTTGCGCTTTCTGCCCTTTCGAACACCGGAGGGAGGCTCGTTGGGATCATCGTCGCTCGAGGAGTCGCTAGAGGAGTCGTCTTCTTCGGGCCAACCGTCTTCAGGCTCACCACTCTCAGACTCATCATCGTCGGGCCCCTCCTCGTCCTCGTCGGAGTCCTCTTCGGAGTCCCAGTCGGAGCTGTCGGAATTTTCTGGGTCATGAGGGCCTCTGATATCATTGTATATCCTGAGTCCATTGGCACGAAGCCGAAGGTAGAGCTCATACTTGAGGCCGCCTGCGGGAATCTCTGCCTCCCGGAGCTGTTGTCGTATGCCGGCTGTGGTGGCGGCAATGAAAAAAGGGAGGTCCTCAGGGGGAACATTATTTTGGTTTCTCGCTTGTGAAGGCATGATTATCCGAGGTTTGTATTGTTAATACGGGTGGTTATCTTCGGATTCTCGGAAAATGATTCAAATCAGGGGATATCCTCATGATTGGGCATGGTGGTTGAAATTATTGGTTGGTGAGTTGGTCTCGTCAAGAACGCGAAAATTTCCTAGACTGCTGCTATTCGCATCACAAAGCTTTGTTTTGCAATGCTCGCTGTTAAATGAGCCGCGAGTGCCCATGTGCGAGGGCTGACCCGTTTTATTGTCTTCGATCAGTCGGCATCTTTGTTTGAGCCAATTCGGAAATACCAACGCTTCTTTGTCTACGAGCCAACTTCGTGTGAGACAGCTCACAAGATCGAAATTGTCCGCATTCGGCGCCGTGTTAAAATTGTTTTGCGTTCTATCAAATATCGCCCCTCAATTCTTAACCATTCTACCTACCTCTCTGCCTCGTTCCTCCCATAAGTTCCAGTACAGTATGTTATGCGTATATTCATTGCTATCTATCTAGGTACTCTGCCCTGTCTGTGCACATCTTCCGTTCCTGGCAGCCCTGAAGCCGCATTTCCCTCGGCCAAGTGCCAGACCAGGAGTATTTAAGAAATAGATACGTATTGCACCAAGTCTGCTCTCGATGCCGGAGCCCGGTGACCCTTTGAAGAGCACACACAATATGACACAACGCCAGCTACTCCCCAGACTACTGATTCGTCGAGAGACCAATGCAAGGCTTGAAAACCTAGTCATCTACAGACCAATGCCAATTCCAGTATCCTGTGATGGTAACGCCAGTGTATATCCCCCTTTCCGTCATCAACGCCGTTGAAATAAATTTGATGTGCGGGTGTTTCCCCAGGCCTCTACGCAGCACACAGGCTAAAAGTTTAGAAATGATGCGCACCATTCACGCCGTTCGTGAGCTTGGCGGACCGCCCTAGTCCCTCCTTCAGGACCTTTTCGAGGAGTCCAGCACTGGCGGCAATGAAGCCAAGGTAAGGCTTCTGTATAATCCAGTCAGAAATGTCTCATAACTGTTGGGAATGAAGCTGATGTTTGAACTTACGCTTGGGTTGAGCACCTTAGACTGGTACTCGGCATGGAATTGTGTGCCTTCCAAGGGCGTTAGCGATTGCTGCAAAGTGAAGGAACCATGAGGACCGCTGCTCACCAACGAAGTAGGGGTGATCCTTGAGTTCGAAGATCTCCATGCGCTGGCCTGTCTCGTCCTTTCCGACGAAATGCAGACCAGCCGTCTCCAGGCGATGGATGTACGCGGGATTGACTTCGTACCGGTGACGGTGTCTCTCCTCAATTTCAAGGCCGCCACCATAGAGTGTACGAATCTTTGCCCAATCACTTCCATCCTGGAAGATCGTCTTCCTCGACCCAAGACGCATGGTGCCTCCCATGTTTTGCTTGTCGAGCTCGGGCATCGAAATGACGACACAGTCCTTCGCCATGGAGTGGAACTCTTCCGAGTTGGCCTCTGACATACCACAAATGTCGCGTGCGTACTGGATGGCAGCAGTTTGGAAGCCCAGACAAACCTATGTAACAGATCAGTCATACGTACACTAGGGGGGTGGTCTTCTGGGAACGTACTCCCAGGAACGGCGTGCCATTCTCCCTGGCAAATTTGGAGGCTAGCATCATGCCCTCTGTGCCACGGGTTCCGAAACCTCCTGGAACAATGATACCCGAGGCGGTGCGCACTGCGTGCCATGCTTCATTGCACTTCTCCTCGTCGGTTGACTTCGCCTTGGGCTCGAGGTGCTCAGCGTCGACCCAGATCAGGTTGAGCTTCCGTCGCAAGTGCATCGAAGAGTGCTCCAGGGACTTGACAACGGACAGGTAGGCGTCATGTGTCTCCACATACTTGCCTACCAGTGCGATATCGATAGTGGCTTCGTGATCTTGAGTGACCACAAACTTCCACGTGTCCCAAAGTTCGGAGCCGGTGGAAACGCTTGCGGGCGCAATGGTCAGAGCGTCCAGGTTGAGCCGGGTCCGGAGAAGGGGAATAATCTTCTGTTCCTCCAAGAGCAAAGGGACTTGGTAGACGGTGGGCATGTCCCGGACAACGAGAATCTGATCGAGCTCGACTTGGCAGTGCAGCGCCAGCTTTGCAACGGTGCTCTCTGCGAGGGGCTGTTCACACCGGCATGCGACCTTGATCTCTGTCAGCGACGGTGGGCCAACAGGAGCGATTGTTACATACAAGGTCAGGGATTAGGCCGTAGCTGCGAACAGACTTGACCGCGTGTTGAGTGGGCTTCGTCTTCTGCTCTCCGTGAATGGTGGGAACGTAGGAGACGTGGATATTCATGAAGTTCTTCGGTCCGGCTTCGTGGCGCAGCTGAGTCAGTGCCTCGACAAAAGGCATGCTCTCGATATCGCCGACTGTGCCTCCGAGCTCAATGATACACACGTCCGGATCCTCGCTCGATCCATCCACCGGGACCTTGGCGACGCGCTTGATCCAGTCCTTGATGGCATTTGTGACGTGGGGAACGCTACGAAGGTCAGCGAGACTGCGATGAGTGATGATGCGAAAGCAAGATGGGAAGCAGTTTGAGACCATCCACCCTGCAAGCGAATGTGAAGGTAGGTGATGCCGAGCACGTACATCTGAACAGTCTTTCCAAGGTAGTCGCCTCGGCGCTCCTTCTGGATAACCTAGATGAAGACCGTCAGATGACTGAGGAGCAGAGGTGCAGCTGAAGGTACGTACATGTTGGTAGATCTTTCCGGTGGTGATGTTGTTATCGCCGGCCAGGGTCAAGGCCAGGTATCTTTCGTAGTTCCCGAGATCCAAGTCGACTTCGGAACCTGCACAAGGACTCAATACGCAGCCAAGCAGGCGAGGGCGTTCTGGCACGGACCGGACTGCAGAACAAAGCATTCACCGTGCTCTGCGGGGGCCATTAGGCCCGCATCGACCGACACATAAGGGTCGATCTTGACGCAACTGACCCTCAACCCGAGTGTCTTGAGAAGCTGTTGAAGGTCCTATCAGAATCTCCTATGCTGGGATAGTTGAGCTCATAGCAAACGAACCAGACCGGTGGATGAGGCGATGATGCCCTTCCCCACGCCTGATGTCCCGGGTTAGCGATGCGCGGCCTCGGAAAGGGGGAACCCGCGCTGGCAAGGTGGGAGGGGTCGGACAGTACCAGAGATGACTCCGCCGGAAACGAGGACGTAACGCATCTTGAACGCCGCGATGCTGTGATGATAAGACCGACAGTATAAGTAGATGACAATTCGAGGTGTGGGAGAATGAACAATTCCTTTATGGTCGTCAAAAGGGCGATTGAAGATGATGGGCTGCGCAAAGATTTTTCCAAACGCGGTCGCGTCCCTCCAAAAAAATATCCCAGGAGAGGTCGCGGGGTCCTTTTTAGGTCTCTTATCGATAAGAATGACTCGGAGGAACAAAGACAGTGTACCTTCCCTGCCGCTGCGAATCACAAACACGGTCCCGAAGAAGCTAGCATGTGCCACCCAGCACCGCGGTCGTTCTAGGCACCGCAGGTATATCTGGATGGCAATATTGAACGCCAGCTGATCGGCAATCTCATTTCACTAAACTGGTTGAATAACAAAACACCAAATCGTTCCTGCCGTCTGTTCCAACCCCTGTGCGATGAGCCGGGCTCTTTGTAGGCTAGCTAACCTACCCGGAATGACGCACAGTGAGATAACCTGCCATAGATAACCTGAACGGATAATCTGCAACGGGACCTTTTCCAGTAGGATAATCTCACATGGAATATCAAATTGTGGGATAGCCCTATATGATAACCTTCTGCAGGGTAATTTCTAGTGGGACAATTTGCTTTAGGAGAAACACTGATAGGATAACTTTTGAACTTACCTAATGAGACCTGTTTATCATGGGGTTGACGTTATTGCCTAACAGTCCCTATTTAACGAATGGTACACTACCACAGAGAGGTAGAAGATTAGTAAATAGGAGGTAGGAGGTTTGAGGAAAGAGGAGGTATCCCAGACGAGGTACCCTAGAGATACTGCCTGGAGACCATTTGCTGGGTCTGGAAATCCCACCCAACATATTCCACCCTTAATTTGCCAGCCTTGGGCGGGCTGCTCGCAATGACCATTTCGCTACCTGAGAAGTGAATCTGATAAATACGAAGATAGACCTAGGTGAAATCCTGAAGTCTACGTGATAACTACTTATGAAACATATACAAATGAACATTCACTTCTATTTCCGCCTCGGTAGGTACTCGGCAAGGAGAATGGCTAGCCCTAGAACGGTTTTGATTCTTGTTTCCCCTGACCATATCTTATTTCAATTTTCTTACATAGAATATTTGTGATCGTCTTCGACATAAAGCTCAGGTGGAAAATATGCCCCACCCTACTCTTGAACGACGCATTCCGATGTACCTTTACGAGCGAATGGTCTTCTCCGGAAAGATAAAAAGCCAAATGCATTGCTTGAACGTTCAAATATCGTTCTTTCCCATCGTTCAGTGTTTACGGAGAAAGGAAGACCTGCTGTCGTCTGGTCCTTCCATTTGTAGCAATGCCGTCGCTCACCTGAACCCCTACCACAAACACCAACCACATCACGATCAAGAAGTCCAATACCTGCTGGGAGATGCTTGGCGATGGACATTGTGCACGTGCAAACAACGAGCTTGGACCAGTTCAGAGACGTTAAAATTCATTACCCAAGCCTGAAACCCTCCAAGTACTAGCTATGTGTATATCCGCGGCAACAAGCTTTTAACCGAATCAAGTTTTGGTTCTATGAAGCGAGATGTGTGAACGTCGCGTTTTCGTCATCGCTTACTGCAGGCTCTCAATCACGATGGCGGAAGCACCGCCGCCGCCGTTGCAGATACCGGCGCAGCCGATCTTGGCCTTCTTCTCCTTGAGAACCGTCGTCAAGGTCGTGACGATACGGGCGCCGGAGCAGCCAAGTGGGTGGCCAATGGCGACGGAGCCGCCGAAAACGTTGACCGTCTCGGGGTCGAGGTTCAGCAGCTTGATGTTGGCCAGGGCAACAACGGAGAAGGCCTCGTTGATCTCGTAGAAGTCGATCTTGTCGGCGGTCAGGCCGGCGTGCTTGATGGCCTTGGGGATGGCCAGCGAAGGGGCGGTGGTGAACTTCTCGGGCGCGTTGGCGGCATCTCCCCAGCCGAGGATCTTGGCGATGGGCTTGATGCCCAGCTCCTTCAACTTGGCCTCGGAGACGAGGACCACGGCAGAGGCACCGTCGTTGATGGGGGAGGCATTAGCAGCGGTGACAGTGCCGGTGCCGGGGATGAAGACGGGCCTGGCGCTCTTGAGCCTGTCGATGTTCAGGTTCTTGACCTCGTCGTCACGGTCAACCTTGACGGCGGGCTTGCCGCGACCGCCGCTGACCTCAACGGGGGCGATCTCAGACTTGAAGACACCGGCCTCGGTGGCGGCCTGGGCCTTCTGGTAGGTCTTGATGGCGTACTCGTCCTGCTGCTCACGGGTGATGTCGTGGGTGGTGGCGCACAGCTCGCCCTGCATGCCCATGAGCTCCTGCTTGCCGTAGGCGTCCCTCAGACCGTCCTTCTGCACGCCGTCGATCAGGGTGCCGTCACCATACTTGACGCCCGTGCGCAGGTTGGGGAGGTAGTGAGGCGTGTTGGACATCGACTCAGTGCCTCCAGCCACGACAATGGACGCGTTGCCGGTCATGATGGTCTGGGCGCCCAGAATGATGGCCTTGAGCCCCGAGGCGCAGACCTTGTTCACCGTTGTGGCCACCACGGCGTCGCTGAGACCAGCGTTGATGGCACATTGACGGGCAGGAGCCTGGCCCAGGCTGAGGGCGTGTCAGTAAATCGAGCAGACCATAATAGAAGTGAGAGCTGCCTACCCAGCCGAGAGCACATTGCCAAAGAAGACTTCCTCAACGTCCTCGGGCTTGATCTCAGGAACTCGCTCAACAGCAGCTGTGCAACTTAGTCAGCAAGTCCCAGCCGCTGGAGGGGAGAAAGATTGAAGCAGATTTAGGCCACGTACCCTTAATAGCGTGAGAGCCGAGCTGAGTAGCCGTGAGGCTGGAGAGAGACCTATGGGCACACGCAGGCTCATGTCAGTTGAGGGCATCTCGGGGTATAGTTGCCGCTGTCCGGGGTTCAAGGACGGGTCGAGTTCAAGCTTACCCGAGGAAAGATCCCACCGGGGTTCGTGCCACGGAGGCAATGTAGACAGGAGGGAGGCTGGACATGATGAAGGACGTCTGAATGTGATGTGGATTCTAGAACAAGCAAACAAGGACAAACAGCAATGCTTCTCGGCGGTAAACTGGAAATCTGGCGGAGCAAGTGAGGACGGACGGGGCTGGACAGAGGACAGGACAGAAAAGTCGGGAACAAGGTCGCCGTCAGCGCCTAGAGGTGTCTTTTTGTAGACGATTGGGGCTGATCGGACGTGGTTGAATGCCGTTCGATGTGGATTGCTGAGTGGGACCCAACAGAGTGCAGAACCATGCGAAGACTAATCGAATATCCCCACCCACTGCCGAGTTCGGGAACGTGCTTCAGGCTGCGGTTGAGTCGGTTGAGTCGTTTGTTGCTGCTGGCTGCTCGGAGTTACTCGCTCGGGTCTCAAGCTCCCAAGACCCAGCACCCAAACTTTTGGCCTGCCCAGGCCTGCCAGGCCGTCCCGCCAGGGGTCCAGTGCCTTGCATGTGCCGCCCGGCCACTCAGAGCAGGCCCTCAAATTTCAAGTGGGGCACCACCTTTGCCTTGGACGTCAGCCTCGCCGAAATTTGAGATGGGAGCTGCAGTCCAGCAGTAGGGTAGCTCTCCCTCCCAGCGCGCGACCAACTGAGAGCCCATCTTCCATCCCCCCGCCTCCTACTTTCCCACTACACAGACCGCAGCCGCCATGGATGACCTCTACGATGAGTATGTTAATGCCCGCGTCTTCACGCGACACTCGGTTCGTAACTGACAATTGATTTCTCTCCAGATTCGGCAACTTTATTGGCGAGGAGGCCGACGCATCAGAGGACGAGTCCCAGCATGGCGTCGACGCGGGCAACTACGTCTACGACGACGAGTATGCCGAGGAAGACCAAGCGGCAGCCGGCCAGGAGCTGATGGAGGTAGATGGTACGTTGGCCCCCGGAGGCGTGATGCGAGCTCCAGCGCCGTGCTGACTTTCACTGTCGCAGATGGCCCATCGAACGCCGTTGTACTCCACGAAGATAAGCAATACTACCCGACGGCAGCGCAGGTATATGGAGAAGGCGTTGAGACGCTCGTGCAAGAGGAGGATGCGCAGCCCCTGATCGAGCCGATCATTGCGCCCGTGGAGCAGAAGAAGTTCACCGTGGAGGAAGCCGACCTGCCGCCTGTGTTCTTCGACAGGAGCTTCATGACAGACCTGATGAACTTCCCCGAGCAGACGCGGAACGTGGCCCTCGCAGGGCACCTTCACCACGGCAAGACCGCGTTCATGGACATGCTAGTGCTCGAAACACACGACATCAACGACCGGTTGGAGAAGCGCACGGGCAAGAACCGCGACGAGCAGATGAGATACACCGACGTGCATGTTACCGAGAGGGACCGGGCCTTTCCGTGAAAGCGTCGCCTATGAGTCTTGTGCTGCAGAGCACTAAGGGCAAATCACACCTCGTCAACGTCATCGATACCCCCGGTCATGTCAACTTTGTGGACGAGGTTGCGGCATCATTACGACTGGTGGACGGTGTCTGTCTCGTGGTCGATATTGTGGAAGGAGTTCAGGTCAACACGGAGCAGATAATCAGGTATGCAGTCCTGGAAGATATACCCTTGACGCTCATCATCAACAAGATGGACCGGCTCATCCTAGAGCTCAAATTGCCGCCGAACGACGCATACTTCAAGCTAAGGCATGTTGTGGAGGAAGTCAACACCGTCATAGAGAACACAATACCCGGAAGGGGAGAAGAAAGGCGGCTAAGCCCTGAGAAGGGCAACGTCCTGTTCGCTTGTGCCGACATGGGTTGGTGCTTCACCCTACAGTCGTTCTCGAAGATGTATTCGGACAGTTTTGGTGGTGTCAACACGGAGGAATTTTCCCGGCGCCTGTGGGGTGACGTCTACTTCAACCCAAGGAAGCGGTCTTTCACCAGGAAAGCGGTTGAGGAGGGGGCAAAGAGGTCCTTCCTCACCTTCATCCTGGAGCCGATCTACAAGCTATATTCTCACACGATCAGCAAGAACCCAGAGGAGCTGAAAGCTACTCTGAGCCCACTCGGTATAGCGCTCAAGCCGTCACAGTACAAGACAGATGCCAAAGTCCTCCTCAAACTGGTATGCGAGCAGTTCTTTGGTCCATCTACAGCGTTCGTCGACATGATCGTGCAGCACATCCCCTCCCCGGCTGAGGCAGCTGAGAGGCATCTCGAACGGTACTACACTGGCCCACTGGACACGAAGATTGCGGAGTATATGAAAGTCTGTGACCAAAACGGCCCACTGGTTGTGTATGTGACGAAGCTGTTCAACTCGTCCGATGCCAAGAGCTTCTACTCGCTGGGACGTGTCATGAGTGGCATTGCTCGCCCAGGCGCGGAGGTTCGCGTTCTGGGAGAGGGTTATTCGCTAGATGACGAGGAAGATATGGCCATGGCACGGATTTCAGATGTTTGGATCGCAGAGACGAGATACAACATTCCTGTGGATGGCGTACCAGCAGGCAACTGGGTACTCCTCGGTGGGGTTGACAACTCCATTGTCAAATCTGCCACCATCGTCGACAAGCACTTCGAGGATGACGAAGATGCGTACATCTTCAAACCCGTCACTCATTTTACGGAGTCAGTTCTCAAGGTCGCAGTCGAGCCGATAAATCCTTCAGAGCTTCCTAAGATGCTTGACGGCATACGGAAAATCAACAAGAGCTATCCATTGATCAACACCAAAGTGGAGGAGTCTGGCGAGCATATCATTCTGGGCACAGGCGAGCTCTACATGGATTGCGTGCTACACGACTTGCGGCGCTTGTACGCGGATATGGAGATCAAGGTCTCTGATCCTGTCACTCGATTCTGCGAGACGGTCGTCGAACAATCACGGACGAAATGCTACGCCATTACACCAAACAAGAAGAACAAGATCACGATGGTGGCTGAGCCGTTGGAGGACGGCATCGCAAGGGACATCGAGCTGGGTGCCGTAAGCATCAAGGAGCCAATCCGCAAAATCGCCAAGTACTTCGAGGACAAGTACGAGTGGGACAGGTTGGCAGCCCGAAGCATCTGGGCCTTTGGGCCAGACGAACTGGGGCCCAACATCTTGCAAGATGATACTCTCCCTGGCGAGGTAAGTGCAATTGCCAAGTCCCCCTGTCCTGTGATGAGGGGTGAGCTGGGATGTCAGAGAGTCTGCACGTTGCCAGCCATCGCTTTGGCTTGACGAATCGCTAACTTAGATCTGCAACAGGTGGACAAGCGACTCCTGAACACGGTGAAAGAGCCAATCCGCCAGGGGTTCAGCTGGGCCACTCGAGAAGGTCCGCTCTGTGAAGAACGTGAGTGCATAAGTATTCCATTTTGACTCCTATCTATCTCTATTCCTGCTATCGCCTGCGTGGGTGGCATTGACACCTGCCGTCCTCACCCACTACCGTTATCACTGCCGGTCAAAAGCCGATCTGGGGTCCAGGCCGCCTTCCCAAATCAGTAATGGCTTTGAGAAGAGGTGCGGTGAGGTCTCATGCTGTCAGCGGTGGCCCGTCAGCTCACTCTCCCCATCCAGTTTGGGGGGGGGGGGGACACGGTACCCGCGGACCCATGTGAATGCAGCCACGACATTAAATCCCTTGCCAAGCCCATCGCGTCAGCTCTTTTACCCATCTTTTGTCGTGGCTGTCACATTCTTGCGCATTCTTGTGTAGCTAGCAGCACACATAGCTGCATGTATGATCTCTCACTAACACTACCTGCAGCCATCCGCAACACAAAATTCAAGATTACAGACATTTCACTGGCTGACGAGGCGATCTTCCGGGGAGGGGGGCAGGTGATCCCCACTTCCCGAAGAGCTTGCTACTCGTCGTTTCTCATGGCGTCCCCCCGCCTGATGGAGCCCATGTACTCGGTGTCGATGACAGGAAGCCAGGACGCGGTGTCGTCCCTGTACACGGTCCTGGCGAGGCGGCGGGGACACGTGCTCCAAGACGGGCCGATCGTGGGCACCCCGTTGTATCGTGTGAGCGGGCTGATACCCGTGATCGACTCGTTCGGCTTCGAGACCGATCTGCGAATCAACACCGAGGGCGCCATGCTGTCTTTGGTATTCGACAGATGGAGCATCGTGCCGGGCGACCCGCTCGACAGGGACATTGTCATCAGGCCCTTGCAGCCCGCCAGCGCGCAGGCGACGGCCCGCGATTTCGTACTCAAGACGCGCAGGAGGAAGGGCCTTAGTGAGGACGTTTCCGTTGCCAAATTCTTAGAGCCTGAGTTCTACCAAGATCTGGTCGACGGCGGTACCTTGGGGGATATCTAATGGAAAAGAACAGCCGGGGTGTTCCTGTTTGCGAACATTACTTCAAACAATCATTCGGCCCAGCCGCTGGGGGATTTTAAGATTCTCGGTTTCGTGTCACAAAATCAAGCCTGGAGTCGCATGGCAGTGGAGTTTCGGGTGAATGAATTCAGCAGGGTTTGGCCAACGCTCAAGATGATTTCTGGCCTGAGGGATGTGGCCTGTCACTAAAGACACTCACATTTGCACCCAAGCCCGCGCCTGACATATTGTGCGTGCAGTAGATACGGGCCAGCCGCTGGTGAAGGCAGAGAGGGGGGCCCCCTCCAAATGCTACCTACCTTTTGGCATCGACTGGACATGCGGCTCCAGTCACAGATGAATGTGACCCTGCGAATGCCCGCCAGCGGTTGCCACCGCGATTCAGATGAGACGGCGACACTATTTATGGTCGCCGGGCGCAGAAACAGTCGGTCCGTCTGCTGCCAAGTAGTCAGTCTATACAAGATGCAACGACAGTAGCAAGGTACACGTGCATACAGGCATATATACCTGCATACATATGTGTACGTACGCACACACAACCTACAAATATATACAACCAACATACAGATACACCGATCGGGGTTCAAGGTGGGAAAATCTCAGGGCCTTTTGTATACTAACCCAGGTACAAAGACGATCAGCAACGCCTCTTACCCCAACCAGGGACTGACGCACAGTAGGGCCGAGAGACTGGTGCACGAAGATCCAAGTCGCGGAAGCGCACCACTGGAAGCGCTCAGTCGAGGGATCAAGAGCTGGCCCGCTGCTATGGCGCCAGCGCCTAGCCGTTGATTGCTGCGGCGGCTTGCGCCCAGGGCTGCTTGGACAGGCAAGCATTCCCCTGGAGTCGGACATTTGAGAGGGTGCGGTGCGGTGGTAGCGCGCCCTAGGTACAGTACCTGGCTGGCTGGCTGGGTACGTACGTGCTGTAATCCGAGGAGGAGAGGAGAGAAAGTAGGGGGCAAGCCACACACGCCCCCCGTCCCCCCTTCTTCCCAACCACCCCGGTCCTCCTCCAAACCTCTCCACAACTCAGTCTCCCCCGCCTGCAATTTACACTGCCGAGTAAGCTGGACTGGCCCGGCCTTTCCATGATTTTATCGTTTTGGGATTCCTGCTCAAGAACTGCCACTCTGCTATTATCGAACCCTGAATAAACTAGCAGGCGTCGGAGTTCGTCTCACATCCGCGCTACCTAGGTACGTTGGGTTTACCTACCCACGACCCTACGCGCAGGGCTATTTGGGATTTACCTACCTGGCGAAAAATGCATGCAGGGCATTTGCCCAACGTAACCATCTGGATACACACGCACGACACGCTACCCACACACCACACGGCAGGTTACAAGGTTCTGGCCCAGGGTTCTGGCCCAGAGAAGCTTCTCTTAGTGTCGAGAAACCAGACCATCTTGAGGAAAGCTCGCGCTGGTGTCCCTGGTGGCTGGAATTCCTTCTGGAAAAACGTATTCGGAAAAGGCCGCGGCTTCTGGTTTGACCCTCTACGTACTCTTTTCTCCTTTGCGGGGAAAATAACAATCCCTCCAGCCGCCTCCACGGTGAAGCACCCCCCGCCCTGCTCCCCCCCCTTCCCCCAACAGCCTCCCCCAAGCCCGAATGGATTCGGTGAGAGAAAGAGAGAGAGGAGGACAGGAGTACGTAGCTACATACAATACCCCCGACGTGACATGCTTCCTGCCGAGGTAGAACCTTATTCTGGCGTGCGTGCAGAAAACCCGGGGCTGGCCTGCCTGACGGGGGCCCCGGGCAGGCCAACTAACTGCCAGGGCCCTTTGCCAGCTCTTGCCAGCTCTTGCCAGCCCCCCGGTTCTCCCCAGGCAGCCCGGGCTGAGGCAAATCTGCCAGCTTGTGTTATACCTGGGGACGTGTGTAACAAGGTAGTCCATGCAGTAATAAATCCACACACACACACACCGTCACACACCGTGAGATCCCGCATTGGGCCGCCCCCCGGAGCGGACGAGCAGGCGGGCGCTGGCCGCGGCCCTCGGGAAATATTCCTGCATTTGCGCGAACAGAGTATGTATCTATGTTTGTGTTTTGTTCCCACCTCGACCCCCCAGCCCAGTTAGGCCCCAGGGAACCAAAGCAATGCAATGCGGTGTGTGCATGTGTGTGCCGTCCATTGCTGCAACAGGGCGGCAGTTGCGATGCCCCCCCCCGCGCCGACCAGACCGAGAAAGGTATCCAGCTGTACGTTGCCCGTTTCAACAGGATATACCTCACACATAAAATCCTTGGGGTAGGGGGGCGGGTGACGGAATTTTGGGCGGGGGTGGGAAGGGGGTGTATTAGAAGGAGGAGGAAACTCTGGACGAAAGGAAGTATTTAGCTACATTGTCTACATACATGCTACCACAAGGTCCCTACCTACACGTCCCGCCAAGCAAAACCTTATCGAGCGTTCGCCGGGGTGGCTAAATTTTGTCCAGCAAAGACGAGAAGAAGATGGATGGATGTGCAGGAAAAGGAAGGCTGCTGGAAGGACCTGAGACACGCGAATCTTGGGGCCGATCCGCGGTAAGACTGTGGCCGAGAGAAGATCAGACCCTCGTCCCTTTTTTTGGTCGTGCGTTGTCGTCGGTAGGGCCGACGACGCACAGCAGGAAACAAGGTTGCCGGTTCCCTTTTGTGTTGATGCTGTGCTAGTATCGTCGCAGCATGGGATTGCGAGGGAAGGTGGGGCAGGGCAGGCACCCACATCAGACGAGGAAAGCATATCGAGCCCTTTGTTTTTTGTGTTTGAATTCTATGCTATTATTCTACTCTGTGGCCGCTATAAGGCTGGGACGGTTGACGGGCGTGCATGCGTGCATGCTGTCGTCGCATTTCTCTTCACTTACCATGTTTCCGTGCACACATATACGTAGCATTAGGTAGGAAAGGTGGGTTGGGTTGGGTGAAAAAAACAATCCCATCGGCTTTTGAGGCTCCCCAAGGGCGGGGCCCAGGTCAAGCAAGGTGAGCGAAGCGTGGGGAAAAAAGGGCGAAGGGGGCTCGGTACTTGACGGGGCTGGCAACACCAAGGCGTGTTAAAAGTCCACACACCGGACAGCGGATCGGGAAGGGGGGAGGGGGGCATGGGGACGTCGGTTGTTCGGGGGCCCTGGTGGCCCTGACCAGAAACCTGGAACAGCCCGCATGGCGCCGCGTTAGATCCAAGCACGTTAAAACGTATCCATCCACACACGCCTGCCCTTTGTTATTAACATAGACCAACCCACTACGAGGTGCGTTATACAGTTAGACCGCGGGACATGCCACGAGGGGTGCGTCCAGCCCAATACCCTAGCGTACCATACTACCGTGATGTTTGGTACGACGGGTGCGGTCTAAAGTACAACGGTGGCAGAGGCGGCCAGAGAGCTCTCTCCCCGTTGGCCCGCCCGCCTCGGCCGCTGAACTACCTTGGGTACCCAGCTGAACAATGAGTACATTGTGGACCAAAGCTAAGGGACCTCATAGACTTGTTGAGCACACCACCCTTAGAAAGCAGTTTAGCCTCTGGGCACGCTGGTAGCCGGTTTCTAGAAAACCGCTCAAAGTTCTCGAACATAGTACGGATGTAAAGTACATCAGATTTCCAGGGGGTTGGAAGGAGAGGTCGGCGGTGTGTGTGTGTGTGCGTGCCCCATGGGATGATACACCATGGCGCAGACCCCAACCCAGGTTTCGAAAGCTCCCACTCCTCGAAGCATTCCCATTCGGCAATCTGGGCAAGCTGGTGCTCAATGTGCATCACCCAAGCCCCGGTCCGACGCTGCAGACACGTCCAGCAGCCCCAAGCCGCCCAGACAGCGGATGCCTTCCATGGTCAAAAGCTTAAACTTGGCGGGTGATTCAAAATCCCGCCATCCGCGCCGGGGGATGCCCAGGACGCTGATCCTCGCAGCGCGTGGCAGGACACGTTCGAGGTCTCGCCGTAGCATTGATGCTCTGCTATTTCGTGGTGGTATAGTTTACGGTAGGGCACGCTCGCATTCCTTGGTTGCAGTCCCCTATTTCTTTGACGTGGCATCCTAAGCATCTGCAACGCTGCGCTGGGGGCATGGCTGTGCCTAGGGCCCGTCTATTGTGCTGCAGTGTAGAGACGTCGTCTCGCACGAATCGACGGGGAGAGTCGATGTTACTCAATCCGAGTCAATATCTTTGGCATAACCGCTCACGCACGTCTCCATCATGGTGTCGAGGGTTCGCTTGAGTGTGTCGTTCTCCAGGGCTGCAGCGACGCGCTCCTTGTCGGCGAGCTGCTTGTTCACCTGGTCGTCCTGCGCGTGGGAGCCGTCCTTCATACAGACGTCGACCCTGTAGTTTGGCGGCAGGCAGGCCTCGAGGCGAACACGCACGGCAAGACCAATGATGGTGGCCAGGCTGCAGTGGTTGACAGTGGGAGTCAGCTCGACCGTGACCGTGGTCACGGTGTCCAGGCTGGGCCCCACCCCCGGAGCGGGCAGCGGATCAAGGCGGATATCCGGAAGATTGACAACGGCGAGCTGCCCAAGAGTGAGGGGATGCTCCGGATCGGAAATCGTGGAAATCAGATCTGTGAGACGTCAGCTGTTCCACGTTCTGGAAGGCAGCTGTGAAACAAATGATTGCCCAATGCTCGCCGGCTTCACGTTCTAGAACGCGACCTCGACCCTGCCCGGCTCAGGGAGAAATGAAACCGAACTTTAACAGACGGCCAACGGCCCATGAAACCAGATGCTGGGCTGGCCGGGGATGGCAGCATCGGGCCCGGAACTGCAAGTGTGCAGCAACCGGAAAAGCCATGAAACGAAATCGGCAAGACTTGTTGGGCACACACAGCATGGCGTGGCGCACTGCAGCAGGGCACAGGGGTACATGGCGGGTATCTCGTTGAAAGAAAAGCGAGAGAGAGAGCTATGCGAACAGACACGTACCAAAGATCTCCTGCTCGTCGATGGGGTCCTCGGCGTCGGAGCTGTCCGACACGGACTTGCTCTCGAAGCCTTCAAAGGTCTCATGGAGGACCTTCTCCCAGTGGGGCGGCCTCGGCGAAAAGGTGGTGAGGTCGTCATCGGGCCGCCGATGGCTCTGCTTTTGCCTCCTCCGGGTGGGAAGCTCGGACAGGTTGAGGATGGTAGGGTTGGCGTTCTGGAGCTCTGCCATGGTGGTCGACGTTGAAACGTAGAGCTGTCAAAAAAGTGTAATTGTTTGTGTCTGTCTCTGTCTATGTCTCTGTGGGAGTGGAGCCGGGTTGGCGCCGCGGATGAGGCAGTCGTCGCAGGTTAAGTGAAGAAGGGACTGGCGAGTCCGAAAGCCCTGTCCTGAGCGGAAGTGCCGGACGCGCGATCACACGATGCCCAATGGTGATCCTTTTTTTGGATGCTGGTCAGGTCAAACAAGGGTTCGCCTTTAGGATTCAACGTGTGGCTGACGTCCAAAGGGGTTTGTAGAGTTTGTTGGTGAGGCAGAGCTTGATGTCGGTGGATTTTTCTGGATTGCCTCATGGGACTGGATGACTGACGGGGCTGATTTGATATGCTGGGCTGGGCTGGAGCTAGAAGAGGCGAGCGAGCGAGTGGGTGGCGCCCGGCGATCGGCTGTCCAGAATGTCGGAGCCCAGTTTAACAGAGCGACCGCAGACGAGACACCTGGATCTGCTAGTGTCCAGTGCCTTACATAATACACCCCGCATTGCATTATCATCATCACTATCGTTATCACTGTCACTGTCACCATCGATTCGGGCCTTCAAGACACACAACACACGCAACGCAGCAACCGGCACGCAGATCTACCTTTTTCACAAAAGCCTCGGCCATCCCCGCCTTTGTTACAGGCGCTGGACTCTTGACTCGTGCACGCTGAACTCTCAACTCAACGGGCCAGCGGGCACCAGGTCGAGGGCTCTCTTGCCTGACGTCGGAGCTTACCGAGCCGCCGAGCCTTCAGGGGCCGCGCCTTGCCCAGTTCAGCATGCGGCTATCGTCTTGAGACAGCGGCAGCAGCCCTTCACTTCTTCAGATTTCGCCGTTGTTCCTCGCCGCCCCCACACAACGCTCCTGCTGCGCCTTGTGGCCAGGGCACGCACCATCTCCTCGGTGAGAATTATCGGCATCATCGTCATCATCATCGACCTACCCTAAAACATTTCTCAATACTTGCACCCCGGCAAAATTGAGATGCCCCGTCGGCAGATGCTCGGCCCTCGTGAGTGAACTATTTCAGGAGCCTGAACCTGGGCTGGTGGCCATGGGCCCTGGAGCTCACGCCCCCCCCCCCCACTTGTACCCTCTCCCCCGAACCGAGTGAACATTGAAAAAGTACCGGTACAAAGATGGGTCCCCGCTGAAAAGCACGCACCAACGCACTCCTGTCCTGACGATCCGATTAAAGTTGATCACCCATGTAACGTTTTTGGAAAATGGGTCATGGCATCACACTGTCTGTCTGTGTACCTGCACGGCCCTGCTCGGCTCTGCTCTGCTCTGCTCTGTGCTGCAGTACACTGCATTGCACTTTCTGCACACGTGCCACGCCCTATCTGGCTACCACATCACCAGCAATGGCTCAGAACACTCTCTCAGCCACCAATTGAAGAATCGACACAACTAGAGAAGACCAGACGATGCGAGACGACCGTTGCTTGAACAGAGTTGTACTCGTGTGGTCAATATCAGACTTGATATTCGCAACGGGGGACCAATTCAGGATCCAGTCTCAATGCTGGCGAAGATGTTCACTGCGCAGTGCACTTACCAGTGTCACCAGCCAACCAACCCCCCCCCCCCTTTCCAAAAAATAAAAATAAAATAAATAAAAAAAAATTAAAGAGACAAAATAATCTCGCGTGAACAAGGCTGAACACCAACGTCACCCAAACGCCACCGGCGATACTGGGACGTGCTCCTTTCCGCAGCAATAGGTGTTGGTAGGGGGTGGGGATGGTGGGCTTCCTTCACCACCGGAGGCCTGGTTCGTTAATCATATCGCCGCCTCATCGCCCTCCAAAATATTGCGGGGGGCCCACAGTCTATACTATTGGCAATATTTCATTCCAGTCTGCATGGAAATATCAGCATTCCCATGGTTTAGGGCGTTCGTAAAGGCATGTCGCCCTGCCACGATCGTAGTCATGCTCATCTGGCCCGGTGGGCTGCAGATTCATGCGACCCCCGGTCGTCCCATGTCCGCCCTCGCCCTTGCGGCCCCGGGGCTGCCCTGTGGCTCAGGCGTCGTCACTTACTTGGGGACGAGGGAGGGTTCTTTTCGGTGGCTTAGTCCCTGCGCGGGTCAACCAGGGTGATTTTCGGAGGAATCCAGGACCCAGGAGATCACTATTGATGGGGTCGACGGAGAAGAGGCATGCAGGCATTCTCGATGAGTGGTAGACCCTGGAAGGATGTAATTGCAGAGGATTAGGCGAGCGACCCTTGGATGCCGCGGCAAGGGGACACGCAGGTTGCTGGAACTCACGTGCCCTGATTCGTAGGGTCACCGCCTCATTGGAAATCAAATTTGACGCCTCCAATTCGGCATGTTGATCATGCAGAGTATAATCGAACGTGCACCCGTCCAGGTGGTGACCTGCATGATGTCAGAAAGCCAGACCGGCGCATGATACCGTCTGTAAAACATCCTACTCGGCCCTACCGTCGACGTCCGTGCTCGCGTGTGTCGAACCTCAAACCGCATGGAAAGCTTCCACGATCCCTGCGTTGAACGAGGATGGAAGCATCGAGGTGCAGAGTGCACAGAAGGGGTTCGACTCCGGACCACCGTGTCAAACAAGCGGCCTCGAGCCTGTCCGATGTTTACCAAAGTTTCCTCACATTTTTAGGGTTCCTAGCCTCGGGAGCTCCCTCCACGCATCTCAGGGCACGGGGCGCGGATCTCGGACGAAACTCCTGAAAGAGGTGGAGGGAGGCCCCAACAATAGAATTTGGCATCGCACTGCCCCTCGGCGAATATCTGATAGCAACGGGGCCACGATGATCAACTGTTGTATGATCAGATCCGCGCCCCGGTGGGTTCCCCTACGTTGGCAGCCCGGCCTCGCTTCCGCGGTTCAGGGTCGGCATGTGGATAATTCTGAACAACCGCGCCTCGTCAGCCGAGGTGCAAACAGTTCTGGCGGGTGACTTTGCCATCCTCGACATGCAGGGCAGGCGGCAGGCGCTCGCCGTTCTAGTCGCCGAAATAACGCCCCAGACTTATTGGTAGTGATTCGCCCGGTGGCCTCGATGTTGACGAAGTGTCCAGCAAGGGTGCGCCGAAAGTGGGTGGCACCTTGGATCGCGGGCAACTTTCGAGTGCGGAGAGAGGCGACCCGATGCTGTGGCATCGGTAGCGTTGACAGCCCTTGTCGGTGCCCAGATGCCGCGATTGGCGCCGAGAAGACATTGCGGGATCCCTCGCCGTCAGGGGTGGATGGCACAGGGGCACGAGTGCCCTGTTCTGCCTCTTTGTGGACTTCAACTTTGAATTTGACTTGCACGGCAACAATCCAGCGACATGCAGCTGCTTTTGTGTCACCTGAAACGCATGCTGAAGACTCAGCTCTGAGGGTCAATTTCGTGTCATGCTCTGACGAGCTCGAGCCTGTCATTTTTGTTGCCCTGCTTGCCCTGGGTGGTCAACTGATATCTTGAAACGTGGGGACTCGCTTATTTGCAGCCACCAACTTGAGTTTTGGGAAGGTGGTTCGTGCCTACGACATACGCCACATGCAACAGGGACTTGGCTGGGCACTGGGCCCTCGGTAAAGGATTGTCGTCCCCTTGATTACAGAACTCTGGTGTGTCTCTGCATCTGAGTGCCACACCTGCGGGACATACCCACGTTTCCCGGAATCTCGATGCCACGACGGCAATTGAGCATGTGAAACGACTTGACGAATAAAATTCGGGGGCGCAAGTTTGCTGCATCATGATATGGTTGCGCCAGGACCTGTCGAGGTGGTAGCGGTGGGCTGTTGAGCCATATCAGCTTTTGGGTATGGGCGTACGCAGTGCTGCGATGGATCCCAATTCGTCGTTCGGTCAGCGATATGTGGGAGTTGGTTGTGCGACGGCATGTGGGGAACACGCCATTCAGCCCGGACAAAAAAGAAAAGTGCCGAGGTGGAACTGGAAGGCATTCATGAAAGATTCCTGGCCTGGATTTGACCTGGCAGCCTGGGTGAGCCGGGCATGCTATCGGGCTGTGTGAGGTTGTGAGAGATCGACATGTACTCCATCCTACTCGGTCCGCAAGCATCCGGGCATCATGTTGCTGTACATAGTACGCGAACAGCACCTTGCGGGTATCTGTATGCACTGCAACTCTCCGCCCTGGAAGGTTTGTTCGACCAACCGTACCTGCCGCTCGCAGAGGACCCTGGAAAGCTCTTGCGAGCGGTCTGACCCTGAGCTCGACTGGGGAGCTGGGCTGCCGGGTTGCTTGTCGAGGGGTCATCTCGGCTAGCACTGCTCGGGGCAGATCCCCCAGAGAAAATCCACCAGTGTGGGTGGGTAACATATACGCTGCGTACATAATAGTGTAAAGTACACCGCGTAATGATTGTTGGTATACTGCACTGTACCGGGGGGCACAGACAGAAGCGCCGCGAGTGCCCACACTCGGTCACCGCTCTGTGACTGATCAAGCAGAGGCGCAATGGATTTGAGCTTGACGCCCGCTGACCCTGTCCAGCGGCATTTGCTAGCTGCCGCAGCCCCGGGGACCCGACGTCCGGGATTGCGCTACTGCCAGCACGGAGTCAGCCATAGAGCGAGCTTCCCCATAGTAAATCTGGATTCGGACCCTGGCGAACGACGTCTATGGACTACCGTGCCTTTAGTGAGTGGTCTACTAAGTCCCACTGTTGACGTGACCAACGCCTTGAACGACGTCTATAGTCGCCAATGTTATAGTCCAATGGTCGTATTCGATGCCTCCTTTTGGGTTCGTGAGCGCGAAAAAGCTTGATCAAAAGATGAGCGTATATCTTGGCGGGTGGGCATCGAAATGACAAAGCTTACTGCTGAACGGGCCTGGGGCCAATGCCAGAGTGCTTGTTCCTTGGGGGCCGAGGGGACGACGGGAGATGATGACGATGATTGGGGGCTCTAGCAGCAATAGTTCTAGTGAGAACGCGCCGGAAGCAAGACCGAGTCAGCATCGGCCGAGAATCCACGATCTGCCTCTATATCGGATGGATCCACGGAGATCCGCCAGACAGGTACCAGGCCGGTTGTGATCCGAAAACGAGGATTCATACCGGCTGTCGCTGACAGCCGCGCGCTGAGTCGGCGATCATTAGCTACGCGGCCGGATCAAGGATACCAAGCCTGGAATAAACAGGTGGGGAACAGCGTTCTCATTGATTAGTCTACCTTGTCGTATCCGGCCTTGGGGGAGGCGAAGAGAAGGTATGGTTGCGAGCGATGAGATAGGCATGATTCGTCAGCGGCGTGGGCTTGGGGAAATGTATACCCGTTGTGCACACACCCAAGAGATGACACCCCTCTGGCAGATAGAGTGCTCGCTAAGGTCCAGTCGGTACCTACTAGCTACTGTGCAGTAATACGCAGTCGTAAGGGTACTGACCGCGACGAACTGCAGGTACGGTGCCATCTGTGTAGGCGGTGGATCTCTGTTGGGTTTAGTTGCCTGGACCAGGCCCTAGCAGGTCAAACGCAGTTGACGCAATCAGGCGAAATAGTTCGTGCCGTCAACGGCTGCTAGTTTTGCTCTAGTGCCGTCTCCGTTGTTTCTCAAGCCCGCCGCACACCCCCGCCAGGCCCCCTCCCCCAAATTCGAGTCGTGGCCCAGCTGGCAGGTTGTCTCTCGGCCCGTCCAGAGTACATGGAAACCGATCGTGTGACGAGGGCGTCAACCTTCTTTTTGAGCATGCCGGTACCTTACAGGAAACATGAGACGAAATCGGTCGTGCCGTGCCAAGACAGGTCAGAACACCGGCCGCACGCCGTGAATGGTACGTACCGACAACGAGACGTCATATTGAACATAGCATTCACACTGCTTCTGGGAGGCAATTATGTCCACAACACAGGCCAACACCAAAGTCAGGAAGAGCCGAGGGGAGACTGCTATCCCGTTGTCCAGCAAAAGCGCCGTACTGTGGTGGTCAACGCGCCGATAGACCACCATGGCAATGTAGCACTGCGTTCTTTTGAGTACCGAGTCCTGACCCACCACGGCTTCCACATGGCAGAAGATCGAAAGAAAACAGCGAGCCCGGCGGGCGCTGCTTGGGTATCCCCACAAAGACTGCCGGTGGGACGGTGGGCCGCATGGGTCTGATGTTTGCGCGCGTCTACAGACCAAGCCTTTCTCATGATTGCTGGTACTGGTGCAGATGTAGGTGCAGGTGCAGGTGCAGGTGCAAGCGATGGTGCAGGCCATACCGTAGTCTGGTACAGAATACGGCAGACCTGCCACAGTACCGTCAGCAGATATGCCTCCAGCACGGCACTGTCCCGCCCCTTGTCTGATGAGACCTCGGGTTGAACACAAACCAGATTTGCCCTCGAGTCGAATCGTACGAGTGTTGCGAATCTGTTCGTGCCCATGGGTCATTTACTGTGCTAGTCGTATTCACGTACGTGGGGCGTTGGGTCTTTCTGCCAGCCCAAATAGCCCGAGTCCTTGTCGTGGCAGCCGTCAAGCCTGGGATATCCCTCTGTTTCTAGCCCTCTGCACTGACAACGCGGGCGTCTCATCCAGTCCACCCCAACCTGGCTTTCTTGGCGATGGGGGGTGTCTGCGGCGTGCAGGAACTAAAAAAGTCCATAATCTAGTGGGCGTTGAAAACCCAACGGCCGCGACTGACACTGACAGATGACCCGACCCGCGGACCGGCGTGGAGACGTGCTGGGCCATGGGAAACGAGAATGAAAGGTTAGCAAAATTGACACGAGAGCTTGTCGACTGTGGCCCCTATATGTGATCTGATATCGGCTGCTTACGATACCGTTGGTAAGTCGGGTAGAGGTGCAGACGTGCATGTACTGTACGTCCGTACTGCACGCAGCACGAGTCTGTTGTGCCACCGTACGTGCAGATAGAGTTTGTCTGGTTCCAGGGCTGGCTTTTTTGGCTGGGTCCGACAACGGGTGCCGACCTGTATTGCGACCGTAGTTGCTTTCTCTGGTGCTGGACTGGAGAAGATCCCCCCACCGACCAGCCAGCTGCCACAGTGAATGTGTACAGTACAGAACGGTACAGTGCTGATGGCTTTGCTTTTTTTGACATGCAATGGCAGAGCGGGTCGGAGCTGCATGGCTGCAGGCACTCGAGTCCCAGTCCCAGTTGCATTGTCCGTACTCGGCTCCTCAGGGATGGCGTGAATAGGAGGCAGTGAGGGCGCAGGCGAGTCGTCAGCATAGGATGGATGCTGTCCTGACTGACTGACTGACTGACTGACTGACTAGAGCATGGCAACCCACCCCCAGAGGCAAGGACAGGCGCGGAGGCGAGGGTGAGGGCGATGGCGTCGGCGCAGGCGCGTGGCCATGTTCCCCAGTCGCACCCATCAAGGGTTCGATTCTGGTGCTGGCGGCATGGACGTACGCACTGAGTACCCAGGCATTCCTAGCACACACCCAGAAGTCAGGCCTGGGCAGGCCGGGCAGCACCGATAGCAGCAGCAGCAGTCAGCACTTGCCTAGATGATGCACTCCTGTCACAAGCAAGAAGAGCACATGGGCCCAACGGGCGGCAGGCGCAGGCCAGCCAGCAGCCTATTCGGGTTAGCAGCACAAGCAGCTAGTGTGCCTCTTTTCCTTCTTTCTTCCCCTTGGACGGTCAGTCTGCCCTCTAGCCCTTGGGGCCCTTGGGGCCTGAGCTGTGGCCCTCTGCATCCCCACCTCGCCTGCTCCTCTCTCGCATGTCTGTGTGACAAGGGTCTGCCGATTTGAGGCACTCGCGCCTCCATATTTCAAGTGTTTCTTGTCTTCTCCAAACAGGCCCCTTCATCAACGGGATCGAGGCCCCCATCGCACCTGGCACCTCGCTACACCTCACATAGCAGCACATCACACACGCGCACACAGAGCCACTACCACGCACCCACGCACATACACACCACCTCGTCCAATCCACACACCCTCGGCACCCGCGCAAATCACCAGGGGGGTGTGGGTGCTGGTGCTTTTGCTGCTGGATGGAGCTGCTCGACGCCGTCAGCCACAATATCTGAGCAGAGGCGGAGACCAGGTACACCCATCAATGCGCCCTAATGATGGATCATGCCCTGCCCTACTCATCTTGCCTCGTGGAGCCCTTGCAGGATAGACTGACTGACTGCTTGACTGACAGACAGACAGGCTGCCAGCCAGCCAGCGAGAGACGCACGCACTCACGGCACGCACGTACTGTACTGTACTTTGCTCGCACACACACATCGCCCACTTGCTCGCTCGCCCGCAGCGGGACATCCGGGCGTCCCTCCCATCTTCCAAGCTTGCCTCCACCTGCACATAGACCGCGCTGCACATCATCATACTTGGACCAGGCTGAGCAAGCGAAGTGCTCAGACGTTGTTCTACCGTTAGCACAACCCTTGTTCTGGCCTTCTCTTCCCGCCAGCAGCCGCCAACTTCAACTCCAATACCCAACAGCCACACCCCTCTCACCCCCCTCCCTCCCCCCAACCTTGAGCCCACCTTTTCCTGCTTCCCAGGCCCCAGTTCCATGCCCAGTCCCAGTCCCAGTCCCCAGTCCCCAGTACCTGGTCGTGGTCCCGGCTCCGGCCCCTGGCCCTGGCCCACACCCATACCCATACCCCTGGACTCGCCTCGCCTTCCCCTCCATGTCTCGAGTATTGCAATGCAACCTGTACTCCAGAACAGCGACAGTACTTACATAGCTCTGTGCCGGGACCTTGACCTGCCTGCATGTTCCCTGCCGTCCCAAAGTCCCAAAGAGGTTCACCAGGCCCTTTCTCCCTGCCTGTCCTACGCAGCAATCGCTACTCCATGCGTACATGTCCATGTCCCTCCTGGTCTTCAAACTCCATCGCCCTCACCCGCGTCTTTGGACAAAACGGCCCTCCCGACCACACTCTCGACGTCTTGAAGGGAGCTGAAGGACGCCTCTTTCAATACAGAAACATAACCAGCCCGGACCGACCTTTCTGGATGTGGATTCGAGCTCAAGCTGTGTGCACCTGTCACCTGTCACCTGTCTTGTCTCGTTGAACGTAGCGACCTGCCGCTGTGTGCCGAATCGTTACTACAACACACCGTACCGCACCGCACCGCACCGCACACACCAACCACTGGGACACCGAACGAGAGCCTCCTTCGACACCATCCCGCCTCTTCTGCGCTGACCTGTCATCTCCCGAGAAAATCGAAAAACCACAGCAACGATACCAGCAGCAAGTCCCCAAAACATTGGCCTCGTACTGGTCACGATCGGTTTTCTTTCAGGACCAACCGCGCCCGTTCTATCACCACCATGTCGGGCGATCCATCAGCTCGGCGGCTGCTCCCGCAGAGCTCCCAGATGACCAATTTCAGCTTCGCGCCGCAACCATACCAGCCGAGGGAAACCCAAAAGAGTGCGCTTCTTCTCTCCTCCGACACTCGCGGCCTAGCTTTATGTGCTTCGATCGTTAACGTTGTTTGATTCCAGATTATGTGTTCGTGGATGAGCATAATCGTCACAAACGACTAAAGGGTATGGAAATCCGGCCCCAGAAAGCCCAATTGAATGAACATGCCGCGCCCGTCCCGCACTACGACCGATGCTAACTGCTTGCCCAGTCATGAGAGCATGTGAGGGATGTCGGAGAAGAAAGATCAAGTGCGATGCCGCGACCACCAATACGTGGCCGTGCTCCGCCTGCATTCGTTTGAAGCTTCACTGCGTCAGGCCCAACGGCTACGATGGCGCAGCAGAACCTCAGGTCTTCGAGCCCACTCGCCCCGAGTACGAGACTCTTGGAGTCCAGGATTTTCGACAGCACATGCCAATGCATCCTCCTCACCTCATGCCTGGCGCTGCCAACCCATCACCTATGTCCTCGTCCATGTCCTCGTCCATGTACGCCCCGAACCGAGGAAGCTACTCCGAGCAGTCCGGACTCTACCAGCCGATGCAGTATCAGGACCATTCACCGCAGCACGGCATCCATTACACTACCGTGCCTGCTCCTGTGGGCGTGGTTGACCACTCTTACGCACAGGCGCAGTCACAACAGGCGCCACAGCCCACGATATTCCCCACACCGCCCATGCAACAGGCGACGCGTCCTGAATCCCCTCCGGAGGTCTACAACCAGGATCAGTACGGGCAGCAGGATTTGTCAGAACTTCTCGGCACGCTGAAACTAAATGATGCAGGCACAGGTGAGTTTCGTGATGGCAAGCCCGTTTTCTGACCATTGAATTGTTCCTAATGCCAGCAAAGCGCCGTACTTGAGCCACAGACTCAGGCTGAAGGGATTGGCGGACGAAGAGCCTCTCCTCCCAGAAGACGAGGACTACAAGACATCGCTGCCACCACTTGTCTCGGGACCGGGGCTTAAAGTCAGGATACCGCCAGAGTTGATGCCGGACGAAGAGACTGCTTTGCACTATTTCGACCTGTTCTTCAGCAACATCCACCCCTACGTACCCGTACTCGACAGGTCAGCTTTCTATCGTCAGTGGCAGACAAACAGGGATTCGATCTCTCCGTTAGTTCTGGAGGCCGTCTTTGCTTTGGCTGGAAGAATCGCGGACGAGCCAGGCGAAGGGCAGCAGTGGCTCGCTTTGGCAACAAGTACGTATTGTGCGACATCCGTCGTTCTCGTTGGAGTACTGACACCCACTAGGGCATGCCGATTCCTTCATGGACACGCCTAGATTGAGCACAATCCAGGCGCTGCTGCTAATTCTGAAGGCAAGAGAAGCGGCTCCGAGACGTGGCTATTTCTACCGTTCCTGGATGAGCATCGTCCAATGCGTCCAAATGGGCAAAGAGCTCGGACTCGATGAGCATTTTGAGGATCATAAAGCTGGGCGTTCTTGCGACTCCTCCGCGGCCGATTGTGCCCTGAAGAGCCGAATCTGGCAGACGGTCTTCGTAGGCGAGACCATGATAGGTTCTGCCCAAGGTATGGAGGCCTGGTCCCGAAAGGTTGTTTGCAGCTCCACTAACACCAACAACAGGTCGCACGGATCTCTCGGTCGATCTCGACTCAGTTGACTTCGGACTCCCGCGCCCATTGGCAGGGGGTGACGATCAGGACTACCAGGTCGCCCGAAACTTCGCGTACATGGCTCGTGTTGTTCGCAATATAGCGCGGATGAACAGAGTCTACTCACGCATCCACAAGCACAAGGACTGGGGCTGCGATCCCGAATTCGTTCAGCTCAACCCTAACGCAACCGCCTGGCTGGATGAACTCCCTGCGGATCTATCAGTCAACTACCCGCCTGATGGCTCCGCGCCATGGTTGTCCTCGGCGATCATCGGCAATCTGCACTCCTACTACCACCTCAGCATCATACTGTTGCACCGCCCGCAATTGACGCATCTGGAGCCGACCAGCATGGATGGCCAATGGAAACATCACATGCTGCTCTGCTACAATGCTGCGAAGACAATCTGCAGGCTACAAGAGGCTACCCTGCAATCCTTCGGCCTGCACGGGCTGCAATGCATGCAGAGGGGCATCAATTTCTCGCTCTACTGCATCATGTCATGCATCGTGCTGCATCTTGTAAGTCTTGGGTTCCCATGCTCGACGTCTCTCGTCACCTGACAAGCTCTAGGTTGCCCTCACTTCGCCGGATCCAGACTTGAACTCTGATGCCCGTGAGTACTTCACGAGACACATGAGGGTGCTGGAAAAGGTCATGCACGCGTGGCCAATGCCCGATGTGCAAAAGCAGATAGACTCCATCCGAGAGGCCTTCTCGGCCGACACAAGGAAGCCTTTCGTGTTGAAGCCTAGCTTCCCGTACGGCAGCCCGCACTCGACCACACGTCAAACTCCGCCGCGGCTCAACCCCAATAACTACAGGCCGTCTATCCCCCGCGGATCGATGGACCACCACCAGCAGACAATTGACACACAGGGCGCTGTCCAGCATTCTCAAGTCAGTTACCCCGGGCAGCACCCAATCACGCCTCCAATCTCGGCGGGTCCTATGGACATGAAGAGTGACTCTCCTGCGGGTCTACAGTTGCCCATGATTTCTGGCAGCCAGGCCAGCTCGTCACAAGCACCTCCGATGCAGTCGTCTATGCCAATGACTTCGGACGGGGGATCTGGGTGGAATCCCTCGAGAATATTTGAGTCAGTACAACATCTTGGAGATCTTTTCGATAAGGCGAATACAAAACTGACATTTATTGACTAGTCAATGGAACAACTCATTCGGTACGCCGTCAGCCCAGTCGGCACCAGTAGTGACTGGTGCTCCACCTCCCAATAGCTCTCTAAGTATTCCAAATTCAGGTGCCACGGAAATTCCTTCGATTCAGGATATCCAACACGTGCACGCCACCGTGCCTTCAGTTGCTGCTGCCGCCGCAGCTTCACAGATTTCTCCCCACCAGCAATACTCGTCTGCACCTGTGCAGACATTTGTGACTCCTGCTATGTGGCAGGACTCTGTGGCCAGTGTCTACGAGGGCGGGTTGAAGCGAGGATGGGACTACGATGCCAGTGGGCTGCCCTTGACGAAACGCAGATAGACGACGCTCACACAGCAACACGCACACCGCAGCACTTGGGTTATGTCAATTTCACCAAGCACGCCGTCTTGATCATTCAACGGCATAAAAAAGGCCTCATGGAGTCCTCCATCGCTCACGAGCATTTTCCTCATTTTGGCAAGTCCCTGAATTTCCTGGCGTTTTCTCGGGGGCATTTTAGGCGACCATGGGTGCAACCGGACATGAGAGTGCATTTGGTTCAGTATTTATGATACCACCAACAATTTCCAACATTTATGTATTATATACCTGGGAGGGATGATGGGAGAATGTTTGAGGACGGCAGTCCAAAGGGGACCGCCAAAACTGTACCAACAATCCAACGGCGCCGCAAGCAGTGTGCTTCTGACACTAATTCTTCACGGTTTACTGTTTTCTGCTACTGTGACAGGGCCTGTCCAAGCTACCCTGATACCAGAAACAAACACTTCCCTAGCAGCAGCTGAGGGCCAGTCAAGACGGCGTTGCAGGGCTAAACTTTCCAGCCACCTAGGTACACCGTCTGAGCAATAATCGACGATGGACTTCTCAGACACCAAGTGTCGCTGCTAGGCTCCGCCTCTGCCAAGCTTTCCCCAGCTTCGGCGAAGCTCTCGGCCTGCTTGTTGATCAGATGGCCTCCTCCGCTTGTCACGGGCCACATAGCATCAGCGGTCCCTCGAGTCTACCCACTCCCTGGGCCCCCTTGTGCTCGGAACCGAGTGCATGTACTGCGCAAGCCAAGGACCGTCCCAGGATCACGACGGTCTCGCATGTCCTGACGATTCAGGAGGCTCGCTCTCGTTCGAGCACGTGGGATGCTGTCGTGTGAGAGGAGGCTCTGGGAATCGCGAGCGCTTTTTCTCTTCCTGATCCATGACCCTGGGAAAACCTTGGTATCCATGGCCTGCAGACCCGCTTACATGGTTATTGACAGCAAGCAGGCAAGCAGGCAAGCGAGCAAAAGACCAAAACCCCCGACTTATACCTGCGTCTCTTGGCCACACCCCCTCCCCCCGGCTGCCTTGGCGCTGGATGGGCTGGAATTTTCTCGGAGGAAACCCCAGCGGGTAGCGACCCCCCCTCACCAGCGCTCCCCCGGAAGCTTCGCACCCACCCCCGGACGCACATCTTCTTGTGGGCTGGGTGGATGTGTATACTTAGTAATGTACATGACGTCTTCCAGGACCCTGCCATCACCCTTCGGCTTGATCGTCTCCTTCGCGGCGGCCAGACACGCTCGTCCGCCGCCGCGGGCACTGAACATGAAGATGAAAAGACGGGAGGAAGTCAATTCGAATGACACGTGCAGGAATTGACGACAAGCGCGCGCGCACGACATCACGGGTACGGGACGGATACCCCCCCAGAGCAAGCAGGTCCTGGTCACGCGTTGTCCAGGTGCGAGTCATTACCCAGTGTCGATATTTGTGTGCTGTATATCCCCTTTTCGTCTGCCATTTGTTCACAATGCCTCCCCCTTTTTCTTTTTACCGCGGCCACGTAAACGCGCACGCAACGTCGTGGGCGTGCATAGCTCGTCCCTGTTTTCTTGCCTTCGGCCGCCAGACAAGTCTGTGGATGTGTTGTCTGGTGGCGTCTTCTTTGGGGACTCGTCAGCTGTGAAGGAGTGGAAGGGTTTCGAGGTTCGCGGCGGCTAGTCAGGATCGACGGGGGATCCTCATGGTCGCGGCGGGTAGATGGGGAGGAACCGGGGTACTTGTGTGGCCTGTGCTTCCTTCTTCCCTCTACTGCATGAATATGTTGCGGCGGCAAGGTCGGCCCCGTTCTAGATACAGTGTGCATCACGGTGAGATCTTGCTAGGAGATGGGCGCCGTCGGCCGGAGGCGGCATCATCAGGGAGCAGGCAGTTATATACTCAGGTCACAAGGCAGAATCTCACACGAATGCCTGAGAATAGGCGTAGGTTTGTGTGTCGAGGGCCATGTGGGCTTCGTATGAACTATTTATCTACAACCTGCAGTGATGACCCAGATTGCCTGGTAATAGCCAGTGTCATATAGACTGTTGGAACGCGTTTCAAACAATTGCGTGTAAATATACCAGTATACTCTTTCAGATTGACCTCCAGTACTCCAACCAGGACAACTTTCCGAATAGCGATGTCTCACGTTAAAATGCTTGGGCCTGTGTCAAGTCGAGTGTTTCCTTCAGAATGCAGAACCTGCAAAGCATTTGAACATCATTTACATGCTCTACATATCTCAGGACCACGAATGTTTTACCACCTATGGAAGCCTCACCGCTGGATTCATTCGCCTTCGCTGTTACGGCAGCTAGACCTAGTGAGTAATGATCAATGAAAACAAAGAGACTACAGCAACGCCACATTGTACTCGCACGGTCGGCAACCACGAGGTCAATGGCAGACAAAGAGCAATAAGGACGAGGGAGTTATCTTAAATGTTTAGATGCTCATTCTTATATGTTTAAATTAATCAGCTAGTTTTTAAGGTCTAAGCTTTCTTAGTAATTTAAGTGGTTATGCTAAAAGTATAAAATAAGTAGGTTTTAAATATATAAGAAAAATATTTAAAATTAAAATATAAAAAAGTTTAATTTAAGTATTACTTTATATAAAAGCAAAGAAAATACTTTATAAATACTTTTTAATTTTATAACTTTTTTATATAATAATTTTAATATAAATAATATATTAAATAAAAAAAATAATTATACTTACTTTTTATATTTTTTTTATCTTAATATACCTTTATTTTATAAAATATAACATACTTAATTAAAGAAAAAAATTAAAAAGCGCTTTCTTTATTTTTAATTACTTATATTTAACTTTTAAATTAAAGGAATTAATTATTTTAAAATTTAATAAAATAATTTATAATAATTTTAAAAACTTAAGCCTTTTTTAAATTATTTTTTAAAATATTTTTAAGGTTTAATTTTTTAATTTTTATATAAGAAAGGTATAACTTAAGAAAAATAAATTAATAAAAGCTTTTAAATTTAAAAGAGATATTTATATAAATAAAAAAAATTTTATAAGAAAAAATTAAAGTTTAAATTTAAAAGAGTAATTAAGTATGCTAAGGCATAATTAAATCCTTATAAGCGTTATAAATTAATTATAAACCTTCTTAGCCGCGAAGCTGCCCCGTTTTCCTTCGCCATACCTTACGTAAGTGCAGCCCCTAAGCCACACTTAGCTTCGCCACTAGGGAGGTCTGTGAGTCAGAGATAACGAGGGAGCACTTATCCGTTGCACCGACTGTGTTGGTGTCGGAGCGGCGTGGGTGATTATGTAAGAGCCGTCGGCTGGGCCCGCGCCAACGCACAGGCCCTCTGTCTCGGCAACTCCGTGCTAGTCCGGCCCCGGTCGGGTCTCCATATCTCGCTCGATCCCCGGCCCACCCGTGAGAAATTTGCATTGCCACAACGTCCTTGGATTCTATTTCGTGTTGCATTTCAACAAGAAGCGGTCCCGTAGCTCAGCTGGTTAGAGCGTGGTACTAATAATTCCTTGACAAGGAATCATCAGTGATGCCAAGGTCGCGAGTTCGATCCTCTCCGGGACCAGCCATTATCTTTTGCCTGATCTGCAGGCAATTGTTTTTGTCCTTGTTGAACCCGTACCGAATGAGGCCCCTCTGGGTGTCTAGGAGGCTTCAGGATGACTAAATCTTTTGGAATGTTGGTGTTCGGTGCGTGGGCGAGTCCCGGGGTAGCCTCCCGGTGTGCTGCATCTCGTATCCGTGATCCCGGCAATTGGAACTTTTCCGCCTACAGCTGCAACAGTGACGACGGCGTATGTTGACTGTGAACTTTGATTCAGAAGAAAAGTAGACAGATTGTGTATTATCTCCCATCTCATGTGGGACCTCGTGCCCTCTTGGTTCCGGGTTGAATGCGTGGGCAGCATTGCACATCGCCATGCTCCGGCTCTCACCTTTGACTTGAGCGGCAGGGCACGAGCTTCACGGTTATTGAGTAGCATCTTGTGGGATAAATTTGCGTGCACATTGGGACAGTCGTCAAGTTCCCGAGGCACTTGTGAGACTGAAGCCACCGAAATACCGGCCGGGACGTACTTCAAGCGAGATTTCCGCCGCATGAAGATTACGCCCTCCTGGTCTTCTTCCCCTCCCCTGCCCTCTGCCGGATCTGCTTCGCCACAGCCTCCCACGCCCACTTCGTCTTGGACCCCGTGGTGGTCTCATCCTCGATCCTGAAGCCGCCCATCGCCCTGAACATCCACCACTTGCGCTGAGAATTCTCCTTGGCGGTGTCGCGCGTGTAGTTGATCAGCCCGAACCGCTTCTTCTCAGGCTTTAGGTCGGAGATCCTGACGTTGCTGATGCGCGGCTTGAACACGGCTCCCATGTTGGTGATGGTGACCTCGGCGTCGGCGGGCGGGGCGTCGAGGAACAGGTCCACCACGTGCTTGGACCGGCGGTACTTGTCGGGCACGCGCATGTGGATCCAGACCACCATGGGCGAGGTGAGGTACCAGACCCCCAGGAAGGGGATCACGCTGGCGACGGCCACTGCGCGGGCAGGTGAGTGAGATGAGCATGGGAAGTTGGGTGATGATGCTCTTGGGCAGGGGACTCACATCCGGTGGTCTGCCAGAGCGGCATGTCCGCGGACACACATCCTGGTATCACGACGAGGGCGAAGAAGCCGAAGACAAAGATTGTCGTCAGCTTCAGGGCACCCAGGAACATGATCCTAGGCGTTCCGATGTGGTAGATGATCATCCTCTGGGGGATTGCTGCATGCTTGTGGTGAGCTTTGGTGATCCGAGGACGTGAGGTTGCTGGTGGACGTACCGAACTTGGGCCCCTTCGGTTTTGGCGCGGGTGGCGATGATGAGGCTCTCCTGATGAACTGCTCACGGCTCACCAAAGGGACAACGACGCGAGACTGGGCGCGACATGGTGGCGCCGAAAAGCCTCGAAGGGCAAGCCTGATCACTAGAGGGCTCAATTGGGTCCGTTGGTGTGATATCGACCGTATCATGTTGAGAGTGAAGTTGTTGTGCAAGGGATGAAATGAGTTGTGAGGTGTGGTGGAAAAGTTGTGGTGGCCCAAGCTCCTAACTGTAAACAGCCGCAGTTGGACGCTGGCTACCAAGGAGGATCTCAAAGCACTTCATTGATTTCTGTGGATGTTCCAAATCCAGAACACAATTTGAATTTGTTCTACTTGAGATAGAGAATCAATATAAGCCCCTCAGATATAACACTTGAGACGTATATAACAATTATGCTACCAAGATCAAGGCCGTTGGTACAATGCACGGCCGGGTTTGAGAGATACACGGAGAAGGCTGAGAAATCATTGCAACGTCTATTCATGTATCAATCATCACAGAATCAACCATCCATGTGAAAGTCCTAATCTGCTACCCCAGGCGTCCATCTAATCGATGACCTTGCCCAGATACTCGAGCCACTGATCAGCACTCCAGCCGGAGCTGATATCGTTGTTGACCACACCGTTGAAGATAACAGTGGGGCTAACGTGGACTCCGACCAGACGGGCAATCCTGATAGTGAGCTTGAGGTCATTCGTCACCCCGTTCCCAATGTTCAAGCTGCCATCGTCGGCCGGCTTTTCGGGGATAGCCAGCAGCTTGTACACCTCGCCCTCGCTCACACCAGTGCTGTCCGCCGCTAGCTTAGCCAAGCGCTTGTACGTGGCATTCCGAGGCTCGTTCACAATGTTGACGTCAAAGTACGACTTTTGGTCGTTGAATAGGGCCTCGCTGAAGGTCCAAAACTTGGACGGGGCAAGCTGGTTCACAGCGAGGGCAGCCTCGTGAACGAGCGTTGACGACGGGTGCCAGGGCTGGACCTGCTGGCGGAAAATGACCTGCAGCTTGCTTGCCAACTTGGGGTCCGCCCGGATCTTGGGAGCAACGGACGTGATAAAGGTCTTGAAGAGCTCTGTGCGGCGTTATGCTGTCAGACAGGCATCGCTACCCGGAGAGGCAATGGTTGGTATTGCACGGTCAGTCACATACTTGCTGAGAAGGGACACACGAAATCCAGATAGAGTTCTATCGTGTGCAGGGGATCAGCTGCCGATGCCTCCGTGGGTGCCGGAGCAGCCGGGTCGTCGCTGAAGAAGAGCAGACGGTGGCCCTTGAGCTTGGGAGGGAGCGCCATAGCTGTCGTAAGTGTTAGCCGAGCTCACAAGCTGGTGGTTTCCAGGGCGAGGGCGGACTGGAATTGGATCTTTTCCTGGGTATGGAGCACGGTATGGAGTGAAGAACTGAGAAGCAGGTCAATTGGGGCTTGATGAGTCTTCTGTGTAGGATGCAAGTTGCAGAAGTTATGCAGCGTCCGGAAAGGAGCATGACTTAATGGTGATGGATGGCGTAATAGGAGCGATGGTGAGCGAGCTCATGGTGGGGCTGGGGGTGAGGGAGGAGCTGGCAGCTCTCAAGGGTATAACCCTCTCTCTCGACCCCACCCCGTCTCCTTCCTCTTCACATGGCAGCTCCTGGCCTCAGAGCAAAGAAAGCACCCTCGCGACTGTGACGCGACATCCCTGCCCGCAGAACAGCAAGGGTCTGCACCACCCCGCGATTCGATAGCCGATTCAAAGTCCTTATCAGCCCTGCGGTGACGGAGCCCCGCGAAGAATTTATTCTTGATCTCCCCTTCGGCGACAGCCCTCCCACCATTGGACTTTGGACTCTGGACTCTGGCCATTGTCCCAACTCTCGCCATGCCTTACCAAATTCTTACTGGGAGCTCGTGCTACACGAGTTCCGAAGCCCAGAAGCTCCTGGGCCGGATCAACAAGCAGACCGACGCCAAGCTGCAGTCCATCCAGGGCAACTGGCTGTACTATGTCGACCTGAAGAAGGGCCAGACCGGCCTCGACAAGGTCCAGCAGTTGCTCCAGGTCAACAACGCCTCGGCGCCCGCCCCTGCATCGCAATCCGAGAACACCGTCACGCTCTACATCACTCCTCGCAACATCTCGCCATGGAGTTCCAAGGCCACCAGCATCGCCCACGTCTGTGGCCTCAAGGACCAGGTTCACCGGGTCGAAAGGGGTCGAGTGGTCACCATCCAGTACGAGAACGCGAGCAACGCAGGAGATGACCTGCCCTTCCGCGATGTCATCCACGACCGAATGACCGAGACGCTCGGCATCGAGCAGCCCTCCATGGACGCCATGTTTGCTGAACGTGACCGCTCTCCTCTTGTCGTCGTCGACATCTTTGCGGACGATAGCCGTGGACCCCTGGCGGTGCTCGACGATTACAACAAGAAAATGGGGCTGGCATTGAGTGCCGAGGAGATGCAATACCTGGTGGATTCATATACTCGGCTGGGAAGGCCACCACACGACGTCGAACTGTTCATGTTTGCTCAGGTCAACTCCGAGTATGTCTTCCGAGGCAGCCGTGTTTTTGTTCCTTGTCGTTGCGGATGACAAGTGTCACAACTCTCGCCCGAACAATCCCATCTCTTCTCTTTTTCAGTGCTGTTTCTGACTGTCGGTCCCACACAGACATTGTCGCCACAAGGTCTTCAATGCAGCCTGGACAATCGACGGCAAGCCCATGGGCAAGAGCCTGTTCGAGATGATCAAGAACACCCACAAGAAGACACCTGACTATACCGTCTCTGCATACAGCGACAATGCCGCCGTTCTTGAGGGAGGACTCTCCAACTTCTGGGCACCAGACTATTCCACAGGCACATGGAAGCTCTCCAACGAAGTGATCCATCCGCTGATTAAGGTGGAGACGCACAACCATCCCACAGCCATCTCACCGTTCCCTGGCGCTGCTACGGGTTCAGGAGGCGAGATCAGGGTATGAGGACTCTATTTTCACCAGCCTACCTTCTATCTTCTGATCACAGACAACATACATGCGATGGAAACAAGTGTTTCCGCTTCTTTGTCTTGCGGATTAGTAGTCCGTTAGTTGCGTCCGTATACTGACCTGGTCATTGTAGGACGAAGGTGCTGTCGGTAGAGGCTCAACACCCAAGGCCGGTTTGTGTGGCTTCTGGGTGTCGGATCTGCTCATCCCCGGCAGAAAAGAGCCGTGGGAGGTCGACATTGGCCGACCTGGTCATTATGCCAGCAGTCTCGACATTATGCTGGAAGCGCCAATCGGCTCTGCACGATTCAACAACGAGTTTGGTCGGCCATGCCTGACCGGCACCTTCAGAACTCTGCTCACAAACACCGAGGGCGAACATTCTAACGCCAACACCGAATGGAGAGGATACCACAAGCCAATCATGATTGCTGGCGGCATTGGCTCTGTCAGGCCACAGCATGCCCTGAAGAACGAGGCAGATGTGCTCGACGGCGCCCACGTCATCGTTCTCGGAGGGCCCGCGATGTTGATTGGACTCGGAGGAGGAGCTGCCTCGAGCGCCGTTGGTGGCGGCAACGCGGATCTCGACTTTGACTCTGTGCAGCGAGGCAACCCAGAGATGGAGCGCCGGGCGCAGATGGTCATCAACACTTGTGTTGCCCTCGGTGCCAACAACCCCATTGCCATGATCCACGACGTGGGTGCCGGTGGCCTCTCAAACGCCCTTCCCGAGCTGGTCAAAGATGCTGGATTCGGCGGCAAGTTCGAACTGCGACAGGTTGAGAGCGCCGACAACAGCATGAGCCCATTGCAGATCTGGTGTAATGAGGCACAGGAGCGATACGTGCTGCTCGTCAACAGGGACAACATGAACCGCTTCCAGGTCATCTGCGGTAAGTTCATGTGATGATGGATTCCGCCGCCGCAGACTTTATGACTAACTTACAAACAGAGCGCGAGCGTTGCGGTTACTCGAATGTCGGAAACGTGGTTGCCAAGGACGACAATGGTGCTTCCCGACTGGTTCTGCAAGATCGAGAATCCAGGGAGTACCCCGTTCCAATTGATCTGCCTATGGACGCTTTGTTCCCACCGGGCCGCCGTCAGGAGCGAGTGGTCGAGAGTATCAAGGCGCCTCTGGTTCCCTTCGATGCAGCCACTAGCATATCGGAGAAGTATGGCCTCTCGGACAAGACGGAAGTCATTTCCAAGGCCATTGAGCTTGTCTTCTCCCTCCCATCGGTCGGATCGAAGATGTTCTTGATCACCATCTCAGACCGGGTAAGAGCTCTGTACCATTTCTTGAACGATGATCATGTCGATGCTGACTCGTGCCGCAGACTGTCGGTGGACTTACGGTGCAAGATCAACTCGTTGGACCATGGCAGACGCCTGTGGCAGACGTCGCCGTGACACTCGGCTCCTTTGGATTCGAGGATAAGACCCGCCATGGCGAGGCAATGGCAATGGGAGAGAAGCCGACGCTTGCCCTCATCTCTGCAGCAGCTTCCGCGCGGATGGCCGTCGTTGAGAGTCTAATGAACCTCGGCGCTGCTCACATCAAGGGCGCCGCAGACATGCGCGGGGATCTGCGGCGTGTCAAGTTGTCTGCCAACTGGATGGCCGCTGTAAACCACCCTGGCGAAGGCGCTGCGCTGTTCGAAGCTGTCAAGGCCATCGGCATGGAGCTGTGCCCAGAACTCAATGTCTCCATTCCGGTCGGCAAGGACTCGACCTCGATGAAGGCGTCTTGGAAGGATGAAAGTGGAGAGTCCAAGAGTGTGACGGCTCCTGTCTCAGTTGTCATCTCTGCTTTCACACCTGTCGAAGACGTTCGCAGCACCTGGACGCCACAACTCCGACGTGTTGAGGAGGTTGGCGATTCTGTACTCATGTTTGTCGACCTCGCCGGAGGTCGCAAGGCCATGGGAGGTTCAGCTCTGGCACAGACACTGGGACAACTTGGTAACGAGGCGCCCGATGTCCACGACTCTAGGCTGATCGTGGACTACTTCGATGCCCTGTCGCAACTGCACGAAGAGGACATTGTGCTAGCGTACCATGACCGCTCTGATGGTGGCCTGCTTACCACCATCGCTGAGATGATGTTCGCCGGTCGCTGTGCAGCTGACATCTCGGTTGATGAAATTGCCAAGTCTGCGTCAACCTCAGATGTCCTTGAGGCTCTCTTCAATGAGGAGCTCGGTGCCGTGTTCCAGGTCCGCAAGTCAGACGAGAAGAGATTCCTGCGTTGCTTCGCAACTTGCGGGCCGCCGCCAGGCCTGATCAAGAAGATTGGCTACGTCCGGCCGACTTCCAAGCAGTCCCTGTCAGTAAAGTATGGTATGACACCGGTGGTCGACCTGGATAGGGCTCAGATGCAGCAGTGGTGGTCAACAACTTCGTACGAGATGCAAAAGCTTCGGGACAACCCGGCTTGTGCCGAGTCAGAGTTTGCCTCTCTCACCGATGCCAAGGATCCAGGTCTCTCATACAGGCTGAAGTACGACCCCGCCGACGCCAGCCTCCCGGCGCTCACAAATTTGAAGTCCCTGGTCACGCAACGGCCCCGCGTCGCCATCCTGCGCGAGCAGGGTGTCAACGGCCATGCCGAGATGGCGTTCGCCTTCCGCGCCGCGGGCTTCGACGCCGTGGACATCCACATGACGGACATCCTGTCGGGCTTCTCCCTCGATGGCTTCCGCGGGCTGGCGGCGTGCGGCGGCTTCTCGTACGGAGACGTGTTGGGCGCTGGCCAGGGATGGGCCAAGTCGATCCTGATGCACGACAACGCGCGCAAGACGTTCGAGGCCTTCTTCCGGCGGCCCGACACGTTCAGCCTGGGCGTGTGCAACGGGTGCCAGATGCTGTCGCGGCTCAAGGAGCTCATCCCCGGCGCGGAGCACTGGCCCGCCTTCGTGGAGAACACGAGCCAGCAGTTCGAGGCGCGGTACAGCATGGTGCAGGTCAAGTACGACGACAGCAGCGTCTTCCTCTCCGGCATGGGTGGCTCGCTGCTGCCCATCGTCGTCTCCCACGGCGAGGGCAGGGCCGAGTTCGCGGCGCCCGCCGCCGCTGGGCTGCAGGCCTGCAACGACGGCGGGCTCGCCCCGCTGCGCTACACGGACAACTACGGAAAGGTGACGGAGAAGTACCCCTTCAACCCCAACGGCAGCCCGCAGGGTATCGCCGGCGTCCGGAGCAGGGACGGCAGGGTGCTGGCCATGATGCCGCATCCGGAGAGGACGATCATGGCGGACGTGGCGAGCTGGGCGCCGAGGGAGGAGGTCGACCGGTGGGGCCAGTTCGGGCCGTGGCTGAGGATGTTCCGGAATGCTAGAAAGTGGGTTGGTTGATTGCTATGTTGTTCTATGAGACTATGAAAAGGAAGAAAAGAAAAGAAAAGAAAATGGGACCGCATGGTTTTGTAGATGGATTGGGGGATAGGCCGGTTCAGCTCAATACATGCCTTACAGGTGTGAACTCACAATACGTAGAAATGTTAGCCTCGTGTTTCTGTGTATATGTATGTGTTCGTGGTCTCATTTATTCATGCCTTATTCACGCTCGCTGAGGTATCTTTCGCTTCCCTTTCTAGCACAACCCCTCAAGCTCTATATTGAACACATAGCCTCGAGCATGCAGTCTTCCTCACTTCCTGTCCGGTCTCTCTACTGGGCGCTGGCCCCGCCAGCCAGCCTCTCAAACTTGTCCAGCACGTCCTTGTCCACATTAACCACCCAGTTCTCCCTGAAAGCCGCCTCTCCGCCGGCCCTCTGCACCAGGCCCTGCAGCCTCTCCGTGACAAATCCGTACGCCCGCAGCGTGTGCACCGGGTCCCTCGCCACGAGGGCGGCCTCGGCGTTCTCGAGCGGGGTGCCCTCCTCCGTCTGGGGCGCGGCGTCCCAGACCAGGCCGTCCTCGCCGAGGGCGTTGCCGTCGTGGCACTCGAGGACGACCGACGGCCACATGGTGAAGTAGTCCTGGAGGCTGGAGCAGGCGAGGTCCTGCACGGGCTGGGGCAGCTCGCACAGGCGAGTGAGCGCCAGGCACGAGAGCTTCTGCCGCTCGATGTCGGCCATGCTGTCGAGCGAGCCGAACCACTGGGTCGACAGCCACGGCCACACCTGCGTGATGTCGCCGCCGACGGTGGAGATGACGTTGACCAGCAGGGTCGGGTCCGCGAGTGCGATGCGGGCGAGGGTGCTGAAGTAGGCGAGCTTATGTGACCACTCCAGTGCTTCCTTGTTCGCCGCGTTGGGGCCGGTCAGCTGCGAGTGCTCCCAGTCGCTGTGGATGCGCTGGAGCATGAGCGGGATGACTCCCAGCTCGATGAGGTCCTGCACGATGACAGACGCGCCGTTCGAACCACCGAGCTCGGAAGCCGCGATGAACATGAGCTCGATCTTCCTGTAGCTGGTCAAGACGTCGGCGCCGCGGCTTCGACCAGATGATTGCAGAGGAGCTGACAGTGCCTCCAACGTGCTTCTTCGCAAGTTGTCTGACAAGACAGCTTCAGGGGCCAGAATGATATATGCATTCAGTATATCGTACGCCGACTCGGCCAATTGAGGCTCGTTATCCAGGAGTGGGAGTATCATGGGTTGAAGGCTGATAATGTTCGCAGATAATGGAGAAGAGCTCTGAGTGATGAGGGACCTCCAGAGATCCACGATGTCTTCGAGGAAAGCCTGGCTTGAACTGTCGTGCATACATTGGTCGATGATAGGGAGCATTGCTTGCTGATAGCGTTGCGACTCGGCTCCTATCGAGTTCACCAATGCTGACAGGACCCCAATGATAGCAGCCTTGACCATGTACGCATCGCCGGAAGCTTCCCAGAGAGCTGGAAGCGCCGCCATAATGGGATCTGCAAAGGGAACCACGTGCTCCTCCATCCTCTGAATGCACACACGAAGGGTTTCGAATAGAGCCTGCTTTGTATCCTCCAGGACGGCCTCTTGAAGCAGGTTGATAAGTTGGGGGAGAAAATCGGGTGCGAATTTTGCGAACACATCACCTTGGAATCCGAAGTCATCGGCCACTTCCTTCAGTTGCCTCGCCGCGGTGAGCCGGACAACCTCATCGTTGATCTCATCTTTGTCGTTGAGAAGGTGACGGTAGATCTCAAAGATCAGTGGCCGACTTGCGTCAGCGATCTTGACCGGAACCCAAGTACTGATCAAGATGGCAATCCTGCGTCGCAGGACCTTGGCCAAATGGCCAGTAAACTGTGCATCTTGCACAAGCGTTGTCGCGAGAAGGTTGTCAAAGTCAAAGGCTTCCGAAATATTAGGTGCGGCTGCGCCCATGGCGGTATAGATTGCTTCCTTTGTGATGACGTCTGATTCGGCGCTTGTCGCCTGTTGGAAGTAAGACAATAGTGGAGGTGTCAAGAGGTCTTTGTAGTGCACAAGGAGTTCCAAGAAGACTCGTTCAGCACATGGTCTTACAGCGAACTGCCACCCATCACCTAGATACTGCTCTGTGGACTCGAACTCCTCAGGGTCGGCTTCCCAGGCCTCGAGATCAGCTTGGCGGAAGATCAAAAGCTTCGTGATAATGACGTTGACGATCTGCATAACAAGGTCGTCCTTGAGCAACTCCTCCTTAATAATCTGGACGGCCCTGTCTTTCTGTTCCAGAAACTCCTTGCTCAGGTATCTGAAGGTCTGCACAGGTCTCCAGACAATAGCCACGCAGCTCTTGACCAGCAACAACCCTTTGAGAGCTAGCTTCTCGAGCAAGGGGCCCTCAACCTTGGATTTGGCACCTGGTCCGTCCGCAGTCGCTGTCTGTCTCAGACCGCCAGACTTGTCGAAGACCTCAGCGAACTTGGCCACGAGATCCCAATACGCAAGCACAAGAGGGATGGAGTTTGTCAGGAGGGGGAAGCTGGCAGGATGTGTTTCTGACATCTCGACATGCAGCTTCGTGAACTGGAGGAGATGCTTCCCCACCACGTCTTGGTAGGGAGCAGGGACGGGGGAGTCGTGGCTCACGTAGCCCAGGAATTGGCCAAAGTGGTTTTGCGTGACAGACCAGTACTCGACGACGACCTTGTCTTTAACAGGGTTCTCATACCCGAGGATCAGCAACCGCCGCAGGATCTTTGCTGCCAACAGGCTGTTCTGCATGGCCAAGTCTGCGTCATCCTCGTCGCCACGGCCATTCACCAACCACTCGGTCCATAGGGAGGTTCTTTCTGTATATATCTCGCCGAGAAGGTAGACCAGCTCGGGTGTGACGGACTGTAGGGCGGTCTGGGATTTTCGCATCCGAGCGGTGCCGAGCTCCTTGACAACCCGGAGGAGGATGACCAGAGCACCGCCCAAGAGTACCTGGTCGCCATTTTTGTACGTCCTCAGCAGGTCTATTATGCTTGGGAGTGCCTCTGGCCACGAGTCGGGGTAGTCGATGCGAAGGACCTTTGCTGTGGCAAGGGCGTTGTGCAACGCGAACGCCCTGTCGTCCTCGCCCAAGGTGCCTTGGAACAGTCTTGATCTTATAAGGGCCTTGTCATTGGGACTCATGGCGTTCTTGGCAATGTGGCGCCAGTATTTGTCTATTCCGTTCTTGAGTTGGATTATGGCCAGGAAACGAATCTCTCGCGGGATCGACTTGTCGAGGAAGATGCTCTGTGCGGTGAAGCTTGGTCAGCCATGTTGAAATTAGAAGTAGAAGGACTGCTCGGGCCATAAAGAGACGTCATCGTGTTGCATACCTGCAATGAGGGAAAGTAGCCGTGCTGTGTCTCCCAGGTGCTGAGCTGCTTTCCGGCGGCCTGCCTCTGGCTGTTGTCCATGGAGGTGGCAGCCTCGAGTGCCTTGCACAGCTCCTGCATGGTGAGAGGGCTGGCCTCCCCGGGCACCTCGATAGCGAAGCTCATCTTGCCGGCGCTTGGACTGGCTTTCAAGGGTGAAAGTGTCACGGTTGCAACAAGGGGGCGAGCGACGGTGGCACAAGCACAGATTATGTCAAGGTGAAGACGCGGCGAGAACAAACGCTACGCGACACGGCAAAAAGATGGAGGGGTCGGAGGGACACCTTGGTAGGTACCTCCACCCCTGTTCCTGAGCGCAAACGGTCACGCACGGCGGCGGGTCAGCCCCCAGGGGTCTGATAAGTACCTCAGTACCTACCCTGATACCCTGGTGTCTTAGACACAGGTAGCTCTTTCCAAACAGGCAAAAGGTCTTTTTCATCATCTACAAGTATTCTAGATATTCAGATCCACGACGCCCTGCTACTTGTACAGCATGTCCTCATCCTTACAGCTTCGCCTGGCCGTCCTGGGGCACCTTGACCACGACCTTGCCCCAGGTCTCTCTGCTTCCTAGAGCCTTGAGGGCCTCGGGTATGCTCTCGAGGCCCACAAACTCCTTGTCCGTGAACTCGGTGCCCCTGAACTTGCCGTCCTCGATCAGCTGCAGGATCTCCTTCCACACCCTCACCTCCGTCTCCGTCTCCATCTTCGCATACATGCCCCAGTGGATCCCCACGATCGAGATGTTCTTGAGCAGCACCTTGTTCATGGCCACCTTCTCGATCGCCCCTGCCGCGAACCCAATCACCAGAATCCGCCCGTTCCAAGCGATGCACTTGGTGCTCTTGTCCACCATGCCCACCGGGTCGTAGACAATATCCACCCCGCGGCCCCTGGGCGTGAGCTTCTTCACGGCCTCAGGCCACTTCTCATCCCTGTAGTCGACAACGTGGTCGGCGCCGAACTGCCTCGCGACCTCGAGCTTGCGCTTCGTGCCCGCAGTCGCGATCACCGTCGCCCCAAATGCCTTGGCGACCTGCACCGCCGCGAGCCCAACCCCGCCCGCCGCCGCGTGCACAAGCACCCAGTCGCCCTTCTTGACGCCCGCCCGCACCACCAGCGCCCCGTAGCTCGTCGGCGCCGTCACGAACAGCCCCGCAGCCTCGGTCGACGTCCACCCCTTGGGCTGCGGTTGCAGCGCCGCCTCGCCCGCCGTCGCCCGCGTGGCGTAGGCGCCCTGCGCCGCGCCGAACACGCGCGCGCCCACCGGGTACTTGGGGTTGGAGCTGGCGGACGGCGTGGAGAGGACCGTGCCGGCGAATTCCATTCCGGCAGTCCAGGGAAAGGGCGGCTGGTGCTGGTATTTGCCCTGGACCTGCAGGATGTCGAAGAAGTTGGTGGCGGCCGCCTCGACCTTGATCAGGTACTCATTGGGGCCCGGCACGGGGTCTGGAAGTGTGGTGACTTTCAGATCGTCAAGTTTCTAGGATTCAAGTCAGCAGGCTTGTTCTCAAGGCGGTTGCTCCGTGTGAAGACGGCTGGTTGGGGGCGCGTACCTTGACATATTGTGACACTTGTATTCCCTTCATCTTGGCGTTCGGTGGACAGTAGATGCTTATTTCCCGGGAGAAGAAATAACCGTGTCCAACACTCTGAAGGAGACTATGCTATAGGATGGAGAAGTAGTGAAGATACCGTAAGAGGCGGGACTGAGAGGAACAAGATTGACGAGGTAACCAGTGCCAGATGGGAGATCTGGGGCATTCCGGGGTAAGGAGGTGTGGAGAGCCGAGGCTCTTTTGACGATTAGCAGGGATCACGCAGATCAGTTCTTGGTGCCGTGCTCTTCGCGCTGCCGACGTGCACTAAACGGTCAAGTGCGGCAGCGAAGGTGTTTATCGATGGGAGCTTCTCTACGAGGCCTGCGAATGATGATATGTTGTGTAACTGGCTTCTGAATACTCGATGAGGCTGATTGGAGCACACCATCTGGATTGCGGTGAGCATCGAACCGTCCTGGTGACTCCGCCATGACGACTATCCGGGAAGGGGAGCATGAAATCCAAATTCCGAAGAGGACCCGGGGTATCCCGTAGACCTTTGGCGTGGCCAGGCGATATCTTGCAGTTGAATCTTTTGCTGCCAGTCTATGTTCATACACCTCACAGATTTGGCTAGAATTTCTCTGGAGTGAACAGATGTTGTGGCAGGTTTGTGTTTAGCGGTTCGTTTGCGCCGAGACCGAGGCCAGGCAAGTCATTATTATGGTATCCTGAGTCTATATGAGTAGATGAACAGTTGTGATATTTGCGCAGCCTCCGTTATGCTGCGAATTCCATCTTGCAATGACACGGCTTGCGCCTCACGCTTTGCGGCAACGGTCGGGGGGGGGGGGGGGGGGAGGGAGGGGGGGATGGGTCGCTGCGATGTCCACTCGTGCCCACAGAGCCTGCCAGGCTTCCAATACAATCCTCGAAGTAGCCTCAGTCGTTTGGGGAATAGCTGATCTCGCCTTTGTGAACAAGGAGGTTGCTGGTTTGCTTCAATCCTTCCGCAAGCTGACCGGGACGGGATATTTGGTTTCCTCGAAGAGGCCCTCGCCCGATCTTGCCGATGTTCTTCGTTCTCATGATTGTTAGCGTAGGAATTAATTCTCCCGCTCATATAGAATCATCCTTAAGCTTCGTCATGCTGAATTCTGGCAACCTCATGGTGGGGTACAGGAGCCCACCGGGGCTCTGCCTCGCGCGCCTCGCCTTCTCAATCGCCTTCTCCTCCGCAACAGACTCCCTCTCGGCCTCGTCGTCAAGCATCGTGCCCTGCAGACTCAAGTACGTGTAGTCGCCCGTGGACCCGCTCGAGAAGTTCTTGATGCGGAAGTAGATCTTCCCTGTCACCCTGTCGCCGTTCTGGTCCAGCCAGTGCCCGGAGCTTTTCAGCTGGGGCACCTCCTCGGCCTTTTTGCCCTCCTCGCCCTCGCCGCTATCCTGCCCCTCGACGAAGGGGTCCTCCTCGGCGGCCGGCTCGGGCTGCTCCTCCACCAGCTCCTCATCCTCCGGCTGGTCCACCCACGTCCACCCCCTCGGCAGGCTGCGCCGCGATATGCTCGCGTTGAACTTGTCGAAGCACACGACGCCGATGTGGCCCTCGCTCTGCAGGTTGATGACGCCCTCCATCCAGGCGCCCCGCGACGGCACGAACAGGTGCAGGTCGGCGGTGAGCCACGCGAACGGCGGCGCGTAGCACTCGACCGACTCAAGCACCACGGGCGTGTCGTCCGTCGGCGGGTCCTCCGGGTCCGCGCGCCGGGGCCCTTCCGACAGGTTCACGTTCTTGTACGCCAGCAGCACCCCCCTGAACTTGGGCGAGTACCGGTTCAGCATCGGGTCGAGGTACTCGCGCGCCGTCTTGGTGATGGGCTCGTCGAAGGCGGCCGGCCACACGGGGATGCGCTGCGAGAAGGTCTGCGAGAAGAAGGGGTACTCCTTTGGGTCCGGGACGACGGCCTCGTGTGCCTGTTCTTTTCGCCCTGCCGGTTTCTCGGGCGTGGCTGCGGATTTGTGGTGTTTGCTCTTCTTTTCCTTCTTGTCTGTGCTCTTGTGCTTTTTGTGCTTCTTTTCGGGCGAGGCGGTTGGCTCAGCTTCGACATCTTCGGCCTTTACGTCTTCTGTCCTCTCCTTCCTCTTCTTTTCCTTGTGCTTCTTTTTCTCTTTCTTTGGTGTCTCGGTCGCTTTTGGCTCCTCGTCGACGTCCATCTTGTCGCCCTCTTCCTCGTGCCGATGCTTGCGCTTCGACTTCTTATGGCGCTTTTCTTCGTGATCTGAACCCATATCGGCAGACATCGTGTTGGAACCTGGCTGTAATTGGTGTCGCTGCAATTAGAAACGGGGCCCAAGTCCTGGCAAGCGGAAAAGAAGGTTCATGTAAAATGCGTCTCCAAACTTTTTCTTTCTGCCGGGCGATTGAGCTCTCGGGACCCCAATTTAGCCCCACAACTTACCACACCGCCCAGCTGTAAATGGCCTACCTACAGGGGTTGGCGTTCGCCTAGGAACACTTGCACATGCATTAGTAGCTCTAGCCCAGGCCGTCTCGGTATGGGACACTTGAGAATTATGGGATAACAGAAGCGCGGCATAAAAGCGACTCGACTTTTTCAATGACAACTTCAACCAGTCCCCGTGATTGATTGAAATGGTGTAAGCGCTGTCTAGAATAAACAGCCGAAGCTCGCCGCAATGTGCCAGAGGCATTACTCAAATTTCATTAAACGACGCCTTCTGAACAATTATACCCGAGACGTACGACAAGAAAACGGCTCTAATGTTTTGTCTGTCCTCTTGGTACATATTGTGCCGTGCCGTTGGTGAGTCTGCAGTGAACATCATGGCTCGTGCAGCTTGACAGCCTCTTGTAACACCCGTTTTTGAGGCCTGGCACGCCACGCCATGAGGGGCTTCTCATCCATTTCTTAACCTGGGCGAATTGCCGTCAGTCGCCAAAATCGGGACGGATATGCGGCCGCATCACCCAGCAAGACGCATTGCCAACCGATTGGTCGTAGGGAAAGATTTGTCCAACATTCGTCGATGTTGTTTTCAACCGTCCTCGGATTTCGTGCGCTTCTCTTCGTCCTGCCTTCGTTTTCGCTTCGCCTCTTTCCTAGCCCGACGTTCCTCGTTCGTTTCTGGTGTTGCGCCCTTTTTTGAGCTCTTCTTCGAGTCCTTTTTGGACTTGTCCTTTCTCTCAACAGGTTTGGCAGCCGCCGCCGATTTCTTGGCCAGTTTCCTGGCCGACTTCTCAGCCTTCCTCCTCTTCTTTTCCGCCCTCCTGGCCCTGCGCTCCTCCTTGGTCTCCGTTCTTACTGGAGCGGCTTCGGCCTCGGGTGTCGCGTCCGTCGATTCGCCCTCTGGATCCCATTTCAGCGAGCCTTCAAGCATCCCACCGCTGACGAAACATGCGTACAGGGCATTCGCGCCCTTGTACTTCCCCGCGCCGGCCGTCAGAAGGCCGTCCAACTTGGTGTTTTTCTTGGTCTGCACGATGCTGGTCTTGTTGGAAGTGTCGAGACTCTTCAGCTGTTCGTCGAACGCATTCAGCCACCACTGATCGCTTGTGACATGGCTCTTTCGGCCGATTCCGCGTGTGTTGTCTTTTCGCGACGCAAGGATGGGCCTGGCCAGGCCGATCGAGTCGTCGGACTTGTGCAGTGAATGGCCAGTGCCCCGCCACCCTTGGGACGTGAGGAGGGCACGGGCGTCCATTTTGTCGGGTCTGAGGATGTCTGCAGTACAGAGGATTGCACTGGATTTGAATTATCGTGTTGGACCTGTTGATATTATCATGTCGACGGCTGGTGGTGTGGCTGTGTGCTGAGTGCTGCTTGCGAAGAATTTCAGAGCCGCTTCAAGGGACCCAGCGAGTTGGAGAAAGATTAAGTGGGGCTTCGGCACCGGCCACGGCATTACGTAAGCTTCGCAGACTGATCCAGTATTGGATCTGGTCAATTTAGATCTTTTGACTTCAAACCACCTCCCGCCTATCAGTTCATGCATTCACCCTCAGTGGGATAGACACTTTTCAGTGAAATGGCTTATGTTGTCTATTTCTTGAAGGCGCCCCGGGACTTGGGGTTGAGAGATCACACTCCAGATGACCAGCATGAAGAGCTGAAAGTCGGAATCCCCTCGACCAGGGCGACCCGATTCAGTCGACCTGCAGGTTGGTTGACCTGTCTTGTTTCTGCAAGCCTGCTCGCAGCCGAGATAGCAGGACAAACTGGGGCATGATACACTGGCTTGCAGACCAGCGTGGAGATGGGATATCCGAGTGGATATAATGGTGGCATGTCCACTGTCACATCATGAAACCCTCTCTACTTCTTTCCCCCCCCCCATCCGTGGTCAAAGAGATTCACCCGTGACATTCCAATCAAGCAAGTCAATCTCTTTCTTCAGTGATGGTCACCCGTCCATTTGAGGCTGCATCTGTCCAAGCCGATGCCCGCCCAGCAGGCTCACTCCCTGGGAGGAACAGTCAACAGGGGACCTGGTACAGCCCAATTGTCCTAGATGATGATTACCATCACGCTGTTTTGAAACCTCAAAACCATGGCCGGGACGGCGATACAAAATCGAAGCCGACTTGTATCCAAGAGGATGATAGAGATGAGGTCCACCAAGGATGGTCTTGAGACGGAGCCAAGTCTGCCATCGCCAGTGGGAGTGCCGACATTATCGACCCGACCAAAGCAGGCATCTATGGCGAAAACCAGTATGTACCGAGGAGAGTGCCCTCATCGCTTGAGGGCACAAGGAGCGAACAGCACGGTCCGGATGCAGCTCCGCGTGCTCACTCGTCAGTGCATGGGTTGTTGAGGACAGCTCATCAGCAGCACCATCATCACAGCGCGGATCGCTATTCTCGCCATTTTCACCATCCTCAAACGGGCGGCGACCACTCTTGCGATGATTGCATGACGGGCACTGAGTTTCACGGGTAGGGTGAGCTTAAGCCAGAACAGAATCGTTGGGATTTCAATGTTTGGGGCCTGTCCTTTTCCTCCTACTTTTTTTATGGTGGCACGAGACAACGCCTCCTCCCTACTACCGCAATTGAGATTCCAGTACGCCTGGCATGATGCAAACCAACGGCTCGGTACTGGACGTGTTTGATGGGCCCATCCATATGGCTGTGGGTCCAGTTCAGCAGTGATAGCAAGGCCCACGATGCTCAATGTTGGAGACTACTCGACAGGAAGCCGAATCTTCTGGTCTCACAATCTTGCATAGCGTTGTTGCTAGACTACCATATGTTGATCTTTTACCATCTGGCCTGGTCCCTTTGATCTGTAAGGTATGAGTGTGTACTTGATCCATCTCGCGCTACTAGTCTCTGAGCTGCAACTGACCTTGTTGAGCAATCTAGCCTAAGGGTTTTGAATTTGATATTTCCCATTGGCATCCGAAAGTCAATGTGCACACACAACATTGCAATTCCGAGGGCCATAGCTGCATCAATCATGTAATTGAGCTCCGAGAGGTAGCTTCATTGCCGGCCTAGACGAGGACGCCACTGATGATCGCCTCAATCCTGCTGCCTGCTTGCCTGAAGAATGACGAACTGCAGGATTGAACCCCTGGGCACATTCTCAGGTCGCCGGAAGTTGACAGGCTAGACAGGTTGATTAAGCACAGTTCTGGTGACTGCTGGAGCCGGAGGGCAGGCAAGACTCCGGCGATCGCTCATCCTGGTCGTGCCTCCCGGCCCTGTACTTGGGCGGACCGGGAGCGGATCTGGGCGGGCTGTACCGGGGTGCGATTCCTTCAGCTGGCGGGTGCCACCACAAACAGCGCCAAACCCCCTAATTCATGATCCTTCTCACTCAAAACTAGGTTTTGCTCCGCCCTGAGAGCTGAGCGATGATACATGGCCATGCTGCTGGGTGGTTCAGCTGCCGGGCCCACGATGCAGCTAGGCGTGGGAACCTCATCTGCCGCCGCCAATGCTCCCCGGTCGGTCCGGGTGCAGGATGACGATCATCTTTTTTTTTTTTTTTTTTTGCCCAGCATAGCTCACCCTTTAAGAGCAGACGTCGCTCCTGTGCTCAGTCGATGTCTCCGACACTGAGCGGCCGAGGGTGTTCGTGCTACTGCTGATGATGTCCACCCCGGACAGTATCCCCAGAGACAGCCATGGATCGAGACGACCAAATCGCGGCAAGTCCGGAGGCTTCGCTTGTAGCGATAGCCCGCAATAAACACGCCGGGCATCAAGAACAGCAGTACTCGGCCTTGCAGACTGATGACGCTAGGGACGAGCTTGCCGACAATGCTGGGCATTTAGAGGGTGACGACAGCCCGGCGTCGCCTCCCTCTTATCACTTATTAGACCCAGGCCATGACACCACCAAGAAAGGCACCGGCGAGTCCAAGGTCGAGAGCGTGACGGGAGACGACACGAGCAGCTACGAACAGCACCACGGGGCCGATGGCGGAACGCACCTGCCACCCAGGACGCTCACGCCCCTGACGAACGGCCAGATCTCCCTCCTCGTCCTCGAGCTGCTCGCCGTCGTGGCGCTGACCATCTCCGGCATCAAGGGGCTGTTTATGCTCCCGGACCTGAACCTCTTCTCCGTGCCGCCCATGACCCAGGACTGCGGGGGGTACAGCGTGCCGGCGGTGGAGCGGAGCTTCTACATCAACCTGCAGATCGCGAGGGACCTCTCCTTCACGCGGGCCAAGCTGCTGGACCTGGCGTGGGACACGATCGTCGGGCAGGGCGGGCGGTTCCTGCACGGGTGGCTGCTGTACCAGGTCGCGGCATCGCAGCTGGCGTGGATGATGGAGTATTCGTCGGTGCCGTACTACTTCCAGCTCGACAGTAAGTAGCTTCTGAATACGGTTTGGAGCCCCCCAACAAGAATTGTCTGCAACTGGCCGCCTATATCGCAGAGGCTTTGTTCAGACTATAGAATTTGAACAGCTATAGCTATACTTTGGTTTATCTGCCCTCTGTTTTTGTTCTTTTTCTCTTCTCCCAGTCTCTCTTCTTCCTTTCCTCTGTCCTGAATTTCCTCACTGTTTTCATAGCTAACTCTGTACTGTAGTCCTATTTTCGACGGCGTCCCTCCCAGCACTGTGGTCCACGCTGCGGTTCCTGGGCACGAGGCGGCCCGCACGCGCCGTCTTCTCGGCGGTGTGGTTCCTCCTCGCCATCCTGTACGTGCTCGCCTTCTCGTCCGTATGGGGCGCCGCGACGGGGTACCTGAACCCGAGCAAGCCTGCGTACCAGATGGACGACCACTCGTACGTGACGGTCGACTCGGATAGTCTCAAGCTGTGCATGTCGGTGGACACGGAGAGGCTCAACGGGACCGTGCCGGCCATCGTGCAAGGGCCGAAGCTGGGCGACTGTTTCGTCATTTGATTATATAAGTGACTGGGGCACCTGTGACACCACGGAGGGCCCGGACGATTGGAGGAACATCGTCGCTTGTAAGAGCCTTCTCCCGGTGTTCCGTGGCCCGGTCGTGAACTGACTGCTTTTTGTAAAATAGACTCCCAGACCAAAGGGACCATCCAAAACTTCTATTCCAGCGCGAACTCCACAGCGGTTGTGAACGAGACGACAGATCTCAACCTCTGGGGGTATCACTACGCGAAGTCTGATCTTGGCGGCGCTTCGATCTCTACCGGACGCTATCATGGGCAGTACGGCTATACGGGCAGCTCGATATCGGGCGGCTCAAGATCAGCAGTCCCGGGATTATACCGACAGTTCACGGGATTCCAATTCGCCGGCGCGGGCCAGAAGGTCACCAATGAAGACGAGCCCTGGTTCAACACCACCTTCCAGCTGGACACGTCGGTCAACATGAGCAGCTGGACCCAGCCGTACCGGCCACTCGACCCGGTGCCCTACAACTCCACGCTGTGGTGGAACGGCTCGGCGATCCCTCTCGAGGCGCCGTTCATGAACCTGCCCGCGCGCGAGGACGACTGCAACTGGTTCGGGGTCACCGGGATGTGCCTCTGCTACCGGGACGCCCTGCTCACGTCCGACTTCCGCGGGGACGACAACCTGATCTGCATCAGCGAGGAGGGTTACGTGTGGGGGTTCTCGAGCGTGATCACGCTCATCGGCGTCATCCTCGAGGTGTGCTGGATCGTTGGGTGCTTCGGGATGTGGCTGGACGTCCACATCAACAGCAGCCTGTTCCGGATGAACCGACGGGGCTCCGGGGTGGTGAGGAACATCCTCGACCTCGGGGGCGCGATCCGGAACGACCTTGGCCGCGACACGGGAGCCTATAGGAATGGGGCCCTGCTGAAAGAGCTGGAAAAGCTCCCACCGGTTGGGTATGAGGTTGTCGACGATGGCCGGCAAGGCCGGATTTCCACAGTTTCAATGCCGGGGGGCAAGGAGACGAGGGGGCGGTCCCAAAGCTGGCAAGCTGTATGCGTGATATAGGGCGATGTAGAGCTCGGGCAGGTTAGACCCCGCCAGCCCGACCAACAAGTATAAGTAATTAATAGAAAGCAAGCGAGCATCGCGCACGCGCATTGCACCCCTGGTCTTGCCCTGCAACGCGTAAATTGTGTTTGTCTGCAAGCTGAGGAGAGAAAGGTCATTGATGAGTCCCGAGGACGCATGAGGTTTGTTTGATAGCGGCAATTGCACAGCATGTATGGGCCCTTGGGGGCGGGCAGCAGAGTAGCCTCGGCCTCCAGCCAGCCAGCCAGCCAGCCAGCCAGCCAGCCAGCCAACGGGTCGTGTGAGAGCCCGAAGGCAAGACGCACCGCAGACTGCGGTCTCGGCCGGCCGGGTTTTGGGCTGAGGCCGGCCGGGGCGATGAAAACCATCGGTCTCAAACAGACAAGGGGGCTGAAGTCAGACATTGTTAACCGAGCCACGCTCCCGAGGCTTGCTTGCCTGCCTTTGTGTCTTTCCCGAGAGAGACGCACTGCCACATGTGATGAGTGGTGACTGACCGACTGCTTGGTTGCTTGTTGACGTGTAGAAAGCAAGTGCCGGTGGAGGGGTCGTCATGTCTTGTGATGGCTTGCGTGTCTTCAAAGTATTCCGCCCCAACAGCAACAGCAAAAAGCATGCTTGCCTTGTCACCCATCACGACCTGGTGGCTAGGGCTCGGGGTATCCCACATCCCTAGTGGCAGCTCTGGGAGGCGGGAGACGGGGGAGGCGCTGGGCTGCATCGAGTGTCAGCCTGGGTCACATTTAGGCCGCCGCCCGGATGGATGGGATTGGGCCTGACATGGCGGCTTGCAACCTCGGGAGGGCGGCTGAGTGGGCGGCGGGCTGCTAGACAGTCTGGGAAAGAAAGGGTGGTGCACACAGGATAGATGGGCAGGCGCGGTGCAGTGCAGTGCAGTGCGGTAATGCAGGGGAGGTAGGAGCCAACGTGCCAAACCCGCGGCCAGGACCAGGGGATCAGGGACAGTCGGGCATGACACCCTTCCCGTTGCGGCCGATCAGGGCGATCTGCGTGGCCCGAATCCGGCTAGTCCCTGCTGCACACCAGAGTTTCTGAAACTGCCGAGAAGGTTTCTCGTTCTTGAGAGGCTAGGGAAGGTGTGATCTCATCGCGCTGCACAACGCATGATGTTCTTCGTCAACTCTGTTCGAATTGGCAAATGTGCATTGGGCAATGTGCAGTCAGTCGTGAGCCACACTTGTTCCAGACGACCTCGATGCTGTGATACATGTCCAGCACCCTTGTAACTGCCGCCATACTTCATAAAACCTCACGCCGAGGTAGCACGAGGTCACAGTCGAGCCACTCCACGTCTTCTTGTCCGTCCCAAGAAATTGCTGTATTCGGGAACGAGCCTTGTCAAGAACGTGAGGAGGCTGGGCCGCAACGCCGAGCCTTCTGCGCTCATCTCGTCTGATGTTTTGGAATCCTATCCGCCGTGCCACCAACTGCTCGCTCGGGGCTGTCTAGGACCACATTGCGTCACGCAACAGCCTTCTCTCTCTCTCTCTCTCTCTCTCTCTCTCTCTCTCTCTCTCTCTCTTTCTCTCTCTTCAGCTGTCAGGTCCTCTCCTCTTGTTTTTCGTACACCTCGTACAATCTCACACACACTATACGCTAGACCACGACGCACTAAGAGAGGGGCAAGTTTGCTTGCCTGCAGTATCTGATCCGAGGCACCCGCGCCGGGCCACAGCAGCACCAACCAGCCCGACAGCCAGCCCAGACTACGCCTCCTTACTCTTACTCTCATTACATGCAGGTCAGACATCTGACACCTGCATCCTGGCCCAGCCTGTCGCATCTCATCTCGACCGTTTTCTTTCTTCTTTTTAAACTTTGTAACTTTCAATTTGGTATCATAAGTATGCTGCCATAGGCCCCTCGGCCCTCTAGTCTCTTCCCAGGCTCCTTCTATTCATCCCAGTTTCAAACTTGATATCTCATTGTCCCCACTCATCTTACATCATGGCACCGACCACGATGCAACTGGTCGCGTGCCTCCTCTCCGCCACCTCCATCTCCTTGACGGCCGCCAACTCCATCCCATTACGGGAGCGCGCTCTTCTCGAGGCCGCAAGGGCTCTTCCCAACGCTGTCAGTGGCGGATACGCCCCGGCAGTCGTCCCCTGTCCCTCATCGCGTCCAACAATCCGCAGTGCTGCCACTCTCAGCCAGGATGAGACCGACTGGCTCACCAAGAGGCGCGCAGCCACTGTCCAGCCCATGGCTGACTTCATCGACCGAGCAAAAATCTCGGGTTTTAATGGCGCGGATTACATCAACAACCTCAGCAACAACATCTCGGCCCTGCCCAACATCGGCATCGCCATGAGCGGAGGAGGCTACCGGGCTTTGATGAACGGAGCAGGTTTCATTGCCGCTGCAGACGACAGGACGCCAGGTTCCACGGATGCAGGCGGTATTGGCGGTCTGTTGCAGGCGACGACCTATGTGGCGGGGCTTTCTGGCGCCGGGTGGTTGGTCGGTTCCCTCTACAGCAACAATTTCACAACCGTGGTCGACCTGATGGACGGCAGCTCCGGGTCTGCCGTCTGGGACTTCGAGAACAGCATCTTTGAGGGCCCGAAGGAGGGCATCGCTGTCATAAGCACCGTCAGCTACTGGAGCGATGTCCGCGACGCCGTCACCAGCAAGGCCGACGCCGGCTTCCAGACCTCGGTCACAGATTACTGGGGCAGGGCTCTGTCCTACCAGCTTATCAACGACACAGACGGTGGCCCTGCGTACACCTGGAGCTCGTTCGCCCAGGATCAGCAACTTATCAGCGGCTCCATCCCACTGCCCATGATAGTCGCCGACGGGAGAGACCCTGGGGTTGCCATTGTCAGCTTGAACGCGACCAATTATGAGATCAACCCCTGGGAGATGGGCTCCTTTGATCCCACAGTCTATGGGTTCGCACCCACGCAGTATCTGGCATCTAACTTCTCAGCTGGAGAGATCCCAAGCGGCGGCAGTTGTGTGCAGGGTTTCGACAATGCCGGGTACATGATGGGCACCAGCTCTTCTCTGTTCAACACCTTCTTGACCACCAACATTTCTCAGTACGCCGATGTACCTTCGTTCGTAGGAGACGCCCTCACGTCTATTCTGTCGCCACTTGGGTAAGCAGGACCCAACACCGACTCTCGTGATCACTCAACTCAACTTGCTAACCACACCTACAGCGAGGACAACAATGACATTGCGCAATGGGTCCCCAACCCTTTCCTGGGCTGGAACAACGCAACAAACCCCAACGCCGACCAGACTGAGCTCGGCCTCGTCGACGGTGGTGAGGATCTCCAGAACATCCCAATAAGCCCTCTCCTGCAGCCCGTCCGAGCCGTCGACGTCATCTTCGCAATAGACAGCAGCGCAGACACCCCGTTCAACTGGCCGAACGCGACCGCCCTGCGCGCGACATACGAGCGCAGCCTGAGCCCCATCGCCAACGGGACCCTGTTCCCGCCGGTACCCGACGCCAACACCTTCATCAACCTGGGCCTGAACAACCGCCCGACCTTCTTCGGCTGCGACGCCTCCAACTTCACCCTGTCCGCGGGCCAGTCCGTGCCGCCCCTGGTCGTCTACGTCCCCAATGCGCCCTACACGGCCAACTCCAATGTCTCGACCTTCACGCCCAGCTACACGCGCGAGGAGAAGATGGGCATCATCACCAACGGGCTCAACGCGGCCACCCAGTCCAACAGCACCATCGACGGCGAGTGGTCCGCATGCGTCGCCTGCGCCGTGCTCAAGCGCAGCCTCGACCGCACGGGCACCGCCGTCCCGTCCACCTGCGACAACTGCTTCGGCCGCTACTGCTGGAACGGCACCCTCGCCACCGGCGAGCCCGCGCCCTACGAGCCGGGCTTCGCGACCGGCAACGCCACCGCCGGGTCCGAGAACGCCGGCCCCCGGGCTGGGCCTGCTACCTCGTGGGCCCTGGCGGCCGGCCTCGTCGCTGCTGCCTGGCTGCTGGTGTAAAGCTTTCGTCGTCTCCAATATCGAAATGGAAATGAAATAATGACCGCCTCTACTGAGGCGCAACAGGCAAAACAGGCCCTGATGATGATGATGGTTGGCATAACACGCCAGGCTGGCAATGATCTAGTGGCGTTACTGGAACATGATCGTGGGAAATGGTCTTCACGGGTTCCTACAGATAAACGCCATGTTTTCTGTCTTTGGAAGATTGGTTCACGTCTTTCTGGATACTTGCAAGGCGTTAGGGGCCAGGTCTTCGAATATGATGGGGGGTTAATTTATCAACGACATATATGAAAGGTGTTGGAAAAGGTGTATTAGTTATGTTTATGCATTTACACGATAATTTCCAAGTGCCCTATGTGTACGTGAAGCTAAGGGGGAGAGTGGTACATGCCCGCCGTTGTAAGCGCGCACGCTCCAGCACACCGACGGGGTTCGTCCACAAAAGGCAACAGGGCCGAATAATACGACTACCCTGCTTAGTTGGACCCCTACTATTCTCTCTATACTTCCAGGTTCTCCTCTTTTCACCGAGTAATGGACGTGTCTTGACAAGCCGCACTATTGGATCACCAACCAGGCAAACATATCAAGGCAGGAATCCCTACGCAAGGCCACAGTGGGAAGTTGAACACGAGTGAAAATAACATGCCATTCCTCAAGCTCTCATCATCGACCTCTCAAGTGTCTCCGGCCGAGCGAGCGAGCCAAAACATCTCCGAACCGATAGCCTCCCCACCAAAGTAATTCTCATACTCCAAGGATATTTCCCATCCCCCCAAGCCTAATTCCCCAATGACAGTTGGTATACAATCGAGGTACCATACTCCGCGCGACCCTAAGTCTTGTTGGGCAATCCTGATACTCCTTGCTCCCATGCTTGCCTTTGGTGCTTTCCATCCCTGGTGGCTAGGCCCTCCCCCGTGTTTCTCAGACCCAAAGACCAGGAGCATCCATCAAAAAAGAAAAAGGAAAAAAAAAAGCCAGACCATGTATAAGTATACCCGAGAAAAACAATCACAGACTAACCGAACCGAATGTAAGAAGACTGTAAACAAACCCGGCAATGCCTTTATCCCTGCCCACTTCATCCCAGAGGGAGCCCTCTCAATGGCTTACCTTGTTAGCACAAAGAGAGAAGCTGTAGACAGGGCCAGCATTGCCCGGCGAAATGATGGTAAAAGCCGTAACACTCCCTCCCACGAAGACTTCCCCACGGCCGTCTATCTCAACGCCGACCGGAAGGCGCCCTCGATCTTAACCTCTCTGACGCCGTCGGGCATAAGGCGCAACCAGTCAGCCCAGCGGTCGGCGTCGGGCTCCCTGTCGAGGCGTACCGTCATGCTGACCTCCGCGCCGGGCGACGGCGAGACGCTCTCGGTGCTATTGAGCCTGCTGCCCCGCAGGGGCGCGAGTAGCACAGACGGCACCATTTGGCTGTCGGCGAGCTGTAGGTGCAGCGGTGCGGGGAAGGTGCTGAGGAACTCACGGTCCGGGTTCAAATCCTGCACGATCCGGGGGTACTCGGCGAGGAGGTGCGCGTGGAGCTGGGCGGCCGAGAAGGGCCGCATGCGAGCGGCCTGGGTCCGCAGCTTCTCGCTCAGCGCCTGCGTGAAGGCGCAGCGGGCGAGCGGGCTGGCGTACTCCTCGAATGAACCTGCCGCGAGTACTTCCAGCGTGCCCCGGCGCCGTGCCGCTCCCAGTATGCCGAAGTACCGACAGTCCATGATGACGAGTGTGTCCGCGATCGCCTGCTCAAACGAGGGTTGTACGGCGTTCCATTGAATGGTGCGTGGCTGCCCGGTTTGCGTGGAGCTGGAGACATATTTGTTAGCTTTGTACAAGAAATACTCGAGTATCAATGAGACAGCTTCGAAATAGTGTTCGAAGGGAGAGATCGCCTGTAATTCAGACGAAGCACAACCAAGCAGTATTGTGTCAAGAGCTTTCGTATTGGTGTCAATGTCCATGGACGCATTCAATCCGTCAGTGCTGGCCAGGTTCGCTTAGATCCAACAGCTCCTCTCGGCCGGGCACGAGGTTTCTCCAATCAAAGCTCGTTCTTCGACACAGTAAGGAATGCTCACGGAGAGTGTGGATACCGAAAGGGCAGTGGAAGTGCACGCGCAAAGATTGGAAGACAGCGGGCAGGGAAGCTTGGGATCATGGAGCAGGTGGCGCACTACGAAATGCCCCAAAGACTTTGGACGTACCTGGCGAGAACCATTGCCCGATTTCCGTCCAGCTGTGTGCGGCCGTTGTAGTAGAAGATCTTCAAGACGTCTCGTTGGTCGTTCTGCTCCATGAATTGGTTGATCCTCCGTGACAACCACCTCCATGAGCGCTCGGGCTCGTCAGAAGGTATCACGTCCATCTCAAACGTATAATGGTAGTGCCTGTCGAACACTGATCGCAGTTCTTCCACCGACTGTCTCACAACCTCGTCCTGTTCGTCTCCCCATACGAGGAGGAGCACGTATACGGCGCTGTATCGTCTGCGGCTCGGATTGGCTATGATGGTCGACGCTTGGCTCTGCATGCTCGAGCTGCCAGGTAAGGACATTGCGGCCTGGGCAGTCCGTTCCAGACGAGGGCCCGATGGTAAAGGAGTTCTTACGGTCCTCGTTTGAGCGTCGGTGGAAGATGACTGGACCGTTTGTTGGCTCGTGGGTGACTGATCGATATCCATGCCTTGTGGCTCGTAGGTGTAGTTGTCGTTATTGCCGTTGACTGGATGGAACCCGCGATCAGAGCTTATTGCAATGGGTTCCTGGAGATCCTGGCTCTGTGATCGGTATCTCCTTTTAGCCTCGTCCCATGACATGTTATGGTGGCTCGGGTTGCACTAGAAAACACTTGAATCAGCATTCAAACTCTGCAAGAACGTTGCTTCAGTAAGGCAGGCACGATCATCAACCAAAGGGTTCCGGTATAGAATTCAAGAAGCTACCCTGTCAGCGCCTACTCCCCAAAACAGAGTTGGACGCCACATTAGCCATGACAGCAGGAGCCAATGGGCCTGGGCAGAATAAGGCTTGCTCCAGGACGCAGGCCGGGTCAAGGCAGGGCAGTCTGCACCAGCGAGACAATCCGTGCTCGAGACGTGGTCCACGTTCTCAGAGACTTGGTGTAGCGCAGAACATCTGGTTCCCAACAACACTGGAGGGGCCACCATGAATCCATTCCACCCAGTGATAGCTGCTCGTACAACGAAATCATACTCACAGCGACTCGTCTCCGACGACAGTCCGGACAAGCGCCCAGCTTCCGTATGATCGCGGCCTTCTCCCGTTGTTCGGCAGACAAGGGCCCAGTGCGCCTCCTATTGGCTCGTCTATTCTGGGAGTTATCGGAACCGTTAAGGGGAAAGACACCTTGCGAGGCATGGTTGGTTGGTGAAAATCCCGAAAGGCTGTAGCCGTTACTTGTCGTCTCAACAGAAGGAGCCCTCGATTGCCTCATGTTCTCGCCGGCTGCCGAAGCGGATGAGTACGTCTCTATTCGGCGTGGCGGGGACACCGATTGGGTCCGCCGAATTGACAGAGGTTCTCGTGATCTGTCGGGACCAAGCTCGCCGCCGTCGTCGTCGCCGACAGGGCCGGGGCTCGGGCTCCGGACACCTGTGTTTGCTCCGTGCATGCTGTATTGGCTTGAGCGAGGCTCGTCTGGTCGAGGACCGCTTCCCGGAGGGGCTTCGGCCAAACTGGGAGCTTGATGCATGCTTCGTCCACTTCCTCCCCCACTGCCGCCGCCGTCGCTGCTGATGACACTGCCAATGTCCATGTTGCTCACCATTGCACTTCGGTTGTCACGGGAGCCAAGTCCATGGCTTGAGGTTGACGCCGATGCCATTCGATGTTTCCCCTGGGCTTTGAGTTCACAGCATCATATAGAAGCGACCAGAAAGCGCAAGAATTGGAGATACTCTCTCCGGGCAGCCGAGCTACTCAGTCGTCAGGTGACGAGTCCACGTTGACTGGACTCGGGAGGCTGAGCATCAAGTACCTCCTAGCCGAGCTATAATCAAGCTTCGATACCTAGACAGCGACCGACCTAGGTAGTTCAGGAGCACGGACAGCTACGCTTGACCTAGGTGTGGAAACGAAACAAGGGTGCCAGACCAAGGGAACTTGATTAATAGGACGGGATCCGGCTGTAACTTGTGGCCTCGGAGCTGTGGTATGGGCGCGGTCCTCCTGGGCTAGACTGGCGTTCAAGGCAGCACGGCTCAACCTGACTGCGAGGAGCTGGGCTGCGAGGACAATATGTCGTCGACGCTGCCTACTCCTATAGACGAGTTGAATATCGACCTGATGTGGGGCTCGGCGAGTCTGCTCGGTGGGGTGACCTCTTGGTGTGCTGATCAGTGATGTCTACTCCGGTTTAAGGTTGCTGGATTAAGTTCAGAAGAATGAGACGAGATGATCTTCGAAGATCAGAACAAGGGCAGGGTCTGGAAGGCATGCGACAGGGCGCCCTGTGGTATTTACAAAGTGTGAAGACGAGGGCAGAATAGGCAGGGGCTAGAGCTGTGCTGAGCTGTGTGGTATGGTGCGGCATGGGGTGTGGTGTACAGTGAACGTATGTACAGTACAATATCAACAAGCAGAAGGGATGGAAAGAGCAAGCGTCGAAACGGTAGCAAAAGAAGGAGCGACGTCAAGACTGGCCGGGGATAAAAGAGGGTACATTGCGACCGGAAAGGTTAGAGCGCGTCCGTGTGAGGAGAGGAGAGGAGAGGGAGAAAGAAAATTCGGACATAGACAGATTCAGTCTGTCGATGGCCCAGCGGAGACCCGACAAGCCGAGGACGGAGAGGGGCTCTAGGATCTGAGGGGCTCGCAACGGAAGACGGGTCCGGGGGAAGCTGGGATGGTGGAGGCCAGGCATTGCATTGAGGCCCAGACAGACGGTCACAGTGGACGGCGATGGCGACGGACGGTCAGGGCAGGGCAGGCCCAGGCTAGGCAAGGCAAGGAAAGGCATTCTAGGTCAGGCAAGGCAAGCCAAGGTATCTACTGTGCTGCATGGTGGTCGGTAAATCAAGTCAAGACAAGTCAAGTCAGGCCCGGTCAGGTCAGGTCGGGTGGGTGGGGCGCGCCTGCCCTGCCACTCCGTCTGTGAAGCCGGGACAGGATAGCTCGAGCACACAGAGGTGGCATCCATCGTTGCTGGTCAAAATCTGTGTCACAATATCCTAAGAGGAGTTCAGGGGTAAGCCGAGTTCGAACGGAGAAAGAACCGTGTGCCGGCCACGGAGGAATCCTGCCCAGTGCTGCCCGGGTGCGGTCCAATGCAGCATAGTCTGGGTAGTGTGCAGGACAGTACGGTGCGGTGGTTGAGGAGGGTCTGGACAAGTCCACCCATGTCGCTGCAGTGCCCAGGCAGTCCGGTCTCTACATAGGTACCTGCAGTGCTGGCCCTCCGCCCAAGGCCACAGCTCATGCACGTCCGTACCCATAATGACGCTCGAGATGGAGAGCATGTTGGCAGGTGGTGGGGCTGCTGTGTGTGAGAGAGACAGAGAGAAACTCGCTGCCGGGTCGTGCAGGCACCGGTTCTGGCCCGCGGCGCCAGCAGCAGCAGTAGCAACAGCAGCAACAGCAGCAGCAAGCAAGATCAAGCATGCGCACAAGCCAAATAGCGTCGCGACGGCCGAAGTGTAGACGGCCTGCCCTCCAAGGATCAGCGCCGTCAGGGACTGACGGCAGCGCGGCAGTGGGTGGTGAGGTGAAGGATGTTGTACATGCATAGTACCTAGGTAGACTGGCACTATGGCCGATCGGTCGAACCCCTGGCCCGCAGAGGTGAGGTCTGGTAAGGTCTGGTGAGGTCTAGGTCTGCGCCGCTGGCCCGCCGCAGGAGGCCCAAGCTTCAGATCTATAGCCCGGGGCCTATGTGTTATAGCTGAGGATGCCGTGTCGATCGCTCTCGGGGGATCTCGCACGGCCTTGGTCTGTCGCCCGGTCTGTGCTCGCACAAGCTCCAGTGATGGTCGTGGGCCGTGGGGGGGGGGGGCAGCTCGGTAGGGTTGAGGGGTGAGCAGCGCCCAGGGTGGAGGCCGAAGTGGTGGTGGCAGTGGTAGAGTAGCAGTAGTGGTGTGTGCGTGCGGTGGTGGCCGTGCTGTCGTGGTAGTCGTGGTGGTACCATATTTAGTGGACTAGAGATGTGTCAAAGCATGATGGCATGGCATGGGCACGGCGTGACATGCAGCGGGTGCCCGATGGCAGGACAGGTCGGGACAGGGCGGGATCTGGCATACTGTGGTTACTCTGTCAGTTTCTGGCCAGTCTAACAGTAACAAAAAAGGCCCAGGGGGCAAAAGGCAGACAGAAAGAGAGAGAGCGAGGTGAAGGCATGGGCATGAATGAAGCATTAACCTGTCGCATAGCGCGATAGACACGGAGCAACGCAACTGGCCCAAAAGGGCGAGGAGCGGGACTCTCTGACTGGGGCGCGCGACGGAAGGCGCCCAAGGGTACTCGGTACTTGACAAGACGTAGCCCACAAGTCAATCCACGCATCGTCGTCTCGTCGTCTCATCGTACCGTCGCATTGTCGTCCGGGTGCAAGTTGGGGTCGTCGGCGTCGGCATCTCTGGTCTGCAGCATGTCCGGCTGGAGACCCTGAGATCTGTCGACAGCCAAACCTTTTTCCCTGGTGTCAACAGGGTTGCTTCTTGTTTAGACACGTCAAGCCAGGGTACCCCCGATCCCCCGTTCTTGACTGCCGTCTGCTATGTGCTGTCAGCTTTCAGTGGCAAGGAAAGGGGGGCATTGACCCCTTCCCTATTACCTATAATGACGGCAAGATAAAACCCAATGTAATTACATGCCTACCACCTACCTACCTACCCATCTACCTGGGCAGCAGTAGGTAGGCACGATTTCTTGGTCATTCCCCAGTCCCCCCCAGGTCTGCACCTGTGGACGGAGCATACGCAAGGTAAAACCCATGGTGAGAACATCGTAGGTACCTCGGGACGAGACCTTGAGACCTCGAGGCCTCGGGATATACAGCACGAGGACATCAGACTGGCATAGGTCGGTGCTTCCGCACCGGTACAGCCGTACTGCACAGTACTGCAACTGCGCGGACATGCCTAGTAGCTGCCTGGCAGTAATCAGATGGGCTAGGGAGGTATTTGCAGGACGCCAGGCGGGGGAAACCAGCCGGTCCAATACCAGTGCCCAACACCTTCCGTGGGCATGTTGCGAAGGTACCGAGGTACCATACCTCCTGCACCATGACCCTGCGTGCCTGCCTCGCCCACCTGCTCGCCCAGGCCTATCCCTGGTCTCTCCCTGCCTGCCCGCCTGCCTGCACGCAACGAACTATTTTCTGCACCCACTCGCGACTGACTGGTGCACACCCGGCATGGACATCTTCTGACTTCACCTTCAGTCACTGCGCTACCCCAAGAGACAGACAAGACACAGGGGACACGAGAAGACACAGGACGATGCGAAGCCAGCACGATGCAACCTGATTAAGACAGGCAGGGAAACAAGGCGACTGGGTGAGAGCGAGAACCCAATCGGCTCCGTGCGCGTGAGGAAAGCATGAATGAACTTGTCAATCGTTCCCTCCCAAAATCTCAACCTTCCAACACGAATGTGCAGCCAGTCAGCTCACCAGGAACGAAGACTGTTGACGACACCTCCCTCGCCCGCCCGTCACCCGCCTCAGGCTTCAATCTCGGACTTTGACTTGTTGTTAACTTCTCCATTGTGAGCCCGAGTCCTCATTTGGGCTCGGACATCTAGCCTACAGTAAGGAGTCAAGTCAGTCCTTGAGTCGAGCTGGATCCTCCGGTAGCCAGCCCTCCATCTCCCTCCCTCTATCTCTCTGCCTTGCCTTGTGTCACCTTGGCAATCGATGTGGCATGTCGACACCTATCCGCACCTTGACGAGGGCCATCGAATGCAATGGCCCTTCCCAACCACCTCTGTCCAACCAGCAGGACGGTGAACGGCACGGTCAGAAGGCTCATCCCAAAGGGTCCGCAAGTGGTCTGTCTCACATTCTTTCACGCTTAGGCAGACTTTCCGGCCCTCCAGAATCAGAGACACCGGCCCGCCCTTGACTCGAGACATCTCCACAGCCCATAGCCCACAGCCCACCGTCCACATGCACGTCGACTAGGGCGGGGAGGCTCGGTCTGCCTCAATGGGCAAGTGTCGTGCCGGTTTCCTGCTAACCCGAACCGTAAATTATCGACGCCCTCAGTAATAACCCCCCGTACTTACGCGTATACTGTCCCGACCCGACGTGCAATTGAAGCCCAAACTGCTGCTGTCAACTCGTCCGGGGCCAGACTTATATGTTCGGAGCCGCTGGGGTGTGGTCAGCACACTCGCTGCCTCGCCGCCACATAAGTTCAGCTTCCGGCCCAACCTGGGCAGGCCTGGGCACGCATACAGTCCTCTTCCCAATCCAGCTCGTTCCCATTCGCCCGTCCATCAGGCCAGGCCTCTCCTGCGGCCCGCGCTGTCCTCGGGACTTCCCCTCCCCTTTCCAGCTGTTGCCCACTGCACGTCAGCAAGCAAGCAGCATATCCTGTCTGCATTGGGACGCTCTCATTCGTCCCTACGCGTGTAGAGGCTGCGTCAACTACCCACACGCGGCTGGTCATGACGGCTGCCTGCCTGGGCTTCGAGGGCCAAGCGAACCCTCTGAGGCGCCGCTCGTCCTATGGATGGCTTATTATGGCCCTGCCTACCTGTTCCACATGGCAGGGTGAGTATGACGAGTAATCCAGACCAGCGGCTGTGGCCGTTCCAGACTCGACAGGTGCATGCAGTCGAGATGCAGCCTGGCCGACACAAGCAGGTCTCGTGCGGTTCTCCCGTGTTTTCTCCGTCCTATCAAGGTTTCCACATGCGCCTTGTGTTGCATCGTCCAGAGGCGTTTGTCTCATCCTGCCGGACCAGCCTCTCTTCACGAGTCACCTGCGTGGCCTATCGAACCCATCTCAACGTCCCAGACCGGGGAATTTACGGCTATGCGGCCGGCCTTTCGCATGCAGCCAGCCACAAGGCAACTTGTCCCAGATGGCCAGATTTGCAATATGGACAGGACGCACTCGAGTCCAGTCGTGGGAAAGCATGTCCCGCCTCTTGGGTCTTTCCGAGAGCAGTAAGATACTGTTTCAACCTGATCATACAACGCTTCACACAGGATTGGTCCCAGTAGAGGCGTTCTCCGCTCCGCTACTGCAGCCACGGAAGACCGTCCACTTACTTCACGTTTCGGGAGACTTATCGACCATTGTGTGCTTCAAGCCTCTCCAGCTTGGGGATCCCAACTCTGACTTGCGGATCACCGTGGCCTCCAATCGAAATCAGCGTCTGTCGGTCTCTTTCCTCCTCGTCACCAGTGCTCGGCCTTCCTTGATGCCCATGTGTTGATAAAATTGGGTGGCAGGGGGCCTGCTTGGGCACATGTCAGCGTTTCCCCAGTCTGGACCTTTCTGCTTCACCACTCAGTACTGGCGCCGGCGGCACACGGAGAGTCAGGCTTTCGACTGTCCATGACTCTATCAATGCCCCTCACCCTGGAGATCACGATCTAGCCTCCGACTGCCTGGGTACGAGCGCGACCCGGGCTAGAAGCACTTGTCCTTATCCGAGCGTCCTTGCCTCCCCGTGTGTAGTCGCGATGCCCACCGTTGTGACCACTTCTTGACATCTCATGTATGGGAAAATCATCGAGAGTTCCACAAACCACAAGTTGTAGCCTTTATCCGCATGATGCTTTGATATTCTTTGTCATCGATCCAGTCCGCATGTCAGTTTGTATATCAGCCTCAACGGGGACATGTCATGCTCAATACTATTCATGAAGATGATACTGCTATAAAGAAACGGGCGTTTCCAATATGCCAAGAGGTATACACGAGAGCCTTTCGGAACTCACCACGGAAACGTCGATGTTTTGGCCGTTGCGCTTGAGAGTTAAACAGCTTCCTTGGCTGCCAATAGGCGCCTGCAATCCCCCTCCCCCCAATCCTCGAGCTTGATGCACGTTCTGCTGCATATGCTAAGCGTCAGTCATGCCCAATCTGGTTTTTGAGTTCAACACCAATACTATCATTCCTGGGGGCCCGTGCGATTTGGGGGAAGGGGGCCTGCCAATTTCCTCGAGTTTCTTCTAGAAGAGCTCATGTATTTGGCTGGCTGGCTGGCCACTAAACATTTTTCGACGTAGATCAGCTTTTCGATAGGATGGGCTGTTTATCTCTAACTGTTGTTTATTTGTTGGCGGGTGAGGGGAGACTTTGGTTCATTGAACCATCGCCCCTGAAATCCGGACTTTTGCCCCAGTACCTTTTTTCTGCCCGGCGTATTTCTCACGCCGAACGTTGGGCATCTACGGTACACGCCAGCTGGCAAAGAAAAAGACAACAGCACGCGGCGTGTCCTTACATCATGCTCGTCGGTTCTGTTTGGTACCCATGATTCTTGGTCAAGCGCGGCATATTCGTGTAACGTGCCATACGTTTCGACGGACGGTATTATGTGGTGAAACTTTGGTACGGACAATGTATTTGGGGATATTGCCCTGCTATAACAGCGCAAGGAGTTTCAAGATATAGCCGCATGCGTGGTCTTTCTGCGGTATTGGCGCGTGAACACTGGCTCAATGCTTGGTCGGATGTATATATGTGCGAACCGCTCGCGGGCCAGCCATTGTTGATCAAACGGGTTTGTTGGCTATCGTGTCACGCTGGCATTATGTTGCGGACCTTTGCACTTGGCGAACTGGTTCTGGTAAACTCGCTGTCACTCGCGCAAAGTGGTTGGCTTTATCGGCGGTTAAAGTAATTCCATGCAACATGTGGTTGATTCAACCGTTCCAAGTTCGCGAGCCGGGGGCGAGATTGCGAAGCTATCACCATCAATCATGGCAGCAGCGCGCCTGAGACGAAATAGCGTGTTATTCGAAGTCCAACGCTCGTTCTGTACGGATGACACAGCATCAAGTCAAATGCCGATGGAGATGCCCTGAGGTTACATTCGCGTGCCAGCAAGTGCGAGGGACAGCGGAGATCACTGGAATCCTTCGGGGAGGCTTGTCGTCAGTCTCATGCCACAGGGCCAATATCGAGATGGAGAACGTGGTATTCTCGCTGCGTGTCCGTCAGCAGAGCCCACTCTTGTCTCCTGGACGCATGCAGACTAGCAGGTCGCGTCACACAAGATGGGTAAGCAGCCAAGCAGATCGTCTCTGGTTCGACCCACCGCTCTGGTTCTCACCTCACCGAGGCGTAAGGTGACGGAGATGATGACCGTTCGCACATTGTGGGCGTGGTTCGATCCATTAAATATTGAGACCCGTAGTCTTCTATTCGCGTCCTAGAGATAGTGAATTGTCTCTACGTTCCATCCAACGGCCATGCTGACAGGGAAGCGTGTTGCAATTATCGGCCTCTGCCTTCTATGGCAGAGTGCCTCTGCACAGGATTCTTACGACTTTATGTAGGTCTGACCAGATGCGATATCCCGTTTGATACATGTAATTGAACTGATGACATACCAGAGTCGTCGGCGGTGGTGCATCCGGCTTGACGCTCGCGACGCGCCTCTCTGAGGAGCCCGACTTCTCGGTGCTCGTCCTCGAGGCCGGGAACGACCACATCAATGACACCAAGGCGCAGTGTCCTGGCATATTCGCGTCCATGTACGGAGATCACGAGTACGACTGGGATTACCGAAATGTGCCGCAGGTAAGTTTTCTCCTATGTACCTTTGCCGTCTCCTTGCAGTCGTCGAAGTTGACGTCCTTCCCCTTCAGCCATACATGAACGACCGGGTCCATGCAAACATTGCCGGTAAAGGCCTCGGCGGCGGCAGTGCTGTCAACTTCATGTGGTGGACTCACCCCTCGCGTGAGGACATCGACAACTGGGGCGCCTTGGGCAACGCGAACTGGAGCTGGGACGAGGTGCAGCCGTACCTCAAGAAGTCTGAGGCGTACGTGCCTCCCGCTTCGGCGGAGGCCATTGAGGAAATGCAGACGCAGTATGTGGACCCAGATGTGCATGGCACGGATGGGCCCATAGTCAACTCATTTCCCACGGCTTATGGTCCATTCACGGAAGCTTGGGCCCAGACGATAGAGCAGTTGGGGCTGTATCCTCCTGGGGATCCGAGGGGAGGTGAGGCTCTGGGTGGGTATACGAACCTCTTCAACATCAACCCAGAGACGAAAGAGAGGAGCTACCCGACGACAGAGTACCACCTCCGTGCTGGCGAGAGACCTAACCTTAAAGTCGTTACTGGGGCTTTTGTCACAAAGATTCTGTTCGACGAAGGCGAGGCAGACGGAACGACGAACAGCCCTAGAGCCGTGGGAGTAGCGTATGTCAAGGACAACTCGACTCACACGGCGCAGGCGAGCGCAGAGGTGATACTCTCGGCAGGGTCGATGCAGTCATCCAAGCTGCTGGAACTCTCAGGGGTCGGCGATTGCGATTTTCTGAGCACTTTCGGGATCGAGTGTCTAGTCAACAACACGAACGTGGGCGAGAACTTCCAAAACCACCTCATGCTTCCCCTCGGGTGGGCCGTGATCCCCGGAGTCACGACGACGGATGATTTCTCATCCACAGATTCATTCAATGCGGCCCTGGCGGAATACACCTCGTCCCGGAGCGGGCCATTCTCCACCGTGAACGGCAGCTCGGCCCTCCTCTCCCTCGAGCAGGTCGGCGGATCATACGACGATATAAACCCGTCCCCGGCGGACCCCCAATACGAGGCGCAGCACCAGCTCCTCCTGCACGGCCTCAACTCCTCGCAGAACTCTGCGTTTCAGGAGATCTGGATATCCGGAGGAATCTCGCCCTGGTACTACAACGACAGCTCCAAGGTCTTCGCCGGCCCCGGCGACGGCGGGAACTACTTCAGCCTCTTGGGTCTTGTGTCGCACCCCTTCTCCCGGGGTTCGGTCCATATCCAGTCCGCTGACCCGGCCGAGCAGGCCCGCCTGGACCCTCGGTACCTCTCGCACCCAGTGGACAGGCAGCTGGAGCGCCAGCTGGCATTCCACCTCCGGGACGTGGTGCAGAACCCGCCGCTCAGCGGGCTGCTGGAGGGGAACGGGACGGTGTTCCAGTCCGGGTACCTGGATGGGGGCGTGCTGGGTGAGGACAACGTGGATAATTTCGTGGCTGACAAGATACTGGTTGCCTACCACCACTCTGGGAACAATGCCATGCTGCCAAGGGATGCCGGTGGTGTGGTTGACCATAGGCTGAAAGTGTATGGGGTTGATGGCTTGAGGGTGGTCGACGCGAGCGTGTTCCCGATGATACCACAGGGGACGATCACGAGTATCGTGCTTGCTGTGGCGGAGAGGGCGGCTGACTTTGTGAAGGAGGAGCACTCTCGTGGATGATTACTGCCCATCGAGCTGGGACAAGGTAATTGTCGAATCTCGGGACCACCAAGACGGCCCACATGCAGAGCACATAAACCCATATTCCATCTCCGTATTTGCCGTATTGCTTCCTTCTTATCTTGTTTTGCATGGGCGAGGGAGTCCATGTGTCCTGTATGGAAACTTCAAATAGGTATTCTGCAAAATGGCGATCTGCGGAATAGGCCCTGCGGATCATTTTCTCTGTGACAACCTTCAACCTTCATTCCCTGTCATTGATCAGAAGTGTACCATCGAGCCAGTCTGGTTCTCTATTTCATTCTCAACATTCGAGCGTAGGAGACGTTCGTCGCTGCACAACACACGATTAAGAAGAATAATACCAGAACCTGTGGAGGCCAAGTAGTGCCTTGCAAGACCTAGTTAGGCAATGTACCCAGTTCCGCTTGAACCGAAGTCGGGCTCCGCCACACTTGTTTTGTCCAGGCAGAAGCTGAATGATCAGGTATTCACAAACCCTCAGAATCAACCCAACGTCGTCTTATTGATGGTCTGTGCTCAATTTCAGTCATTCATATGTCGAAGGTTTAACGAAAGTACGGTACATGGAAACTCGCCCGTCCAGGATTAGCACATCACCGTGAATACATCCACGTGTTTCCGGTATGCTTATGAGCGAATTAAGTGTCTGCCAGAGATTAATCTAGTCACTGACTGGGAAGCCGTGGCTTTTTTTGCATTGTTATGTTGGGTCTCAGTCGAAACTTTCACCGGGGGTCCGTACCTATACCTCCCAGCAGATCGTTTTCCAAGAACATCAACCCAGGCTCATTCATTCAATTTTGATGCATTCGGACGCCCTGTGAAGTTGAATTCAGTGCCCCGCAAGAGATTCTAGCGCTGTATATCTTTCAGTGAGGTCCGGCGGTCTCCGGACCCGACTCAAGCCGAGTGGGTCCCGGAACCCCGGAACCCCGGCCGCGTCGCCTCCGGTCCACCACGATCCCACACAAACCTTCACAAACCCTCTGAAACTCGCAAATTCATCAAAAACGGGTGAGATGGCCGAGTCGGTAAGCAACACCACTGCGATTCGTGATTATTAATTAAACGCTAATTCCCATGAAGGTTATGGCGCCAGGTTAAGGTCAACTTAACACATCTAATCCTGGTGGAGCAATCCTCCTGGGTTCAAGTCCCAGTCTCATCATTCCTTTTTGCATTTTATTGTCATAGACCTGCAGGATCGTCCCTAAAAGAGATGTGTTACTGGAATTTTTGGGTGTTTGAGAATGCTTGGTTCCTAAATGGACTGAGGGCAGGTGGTTAGAAGTAACCTAGTCTTGAAACTTGATCTATTAAAACTGCCATTGAGAGTGAAAGGGACATGTCTTATGGATTGATGTTTCCTCTCTGCTCCGGTCGGAAGACTCAGTACGAGTTGCAGCCAGCGGTGTGAGATCGTCTTTGGGAACTTGGCTGCGATCGTCCGTTCCGACTCACTGTTTGATTGGCAGTCACGATCCCACCTGGGCCTGTCCGTCTCTGTCTCCGAATAATCTTTAGCGGCGCCCCTCCCCCCATGTCTCGTGTAGCGTGGACTTCGTTCTATCTAGTTGTCGATGGGTTGGCCCTGGTCGATGTTGACACCTTTGCTGGCGCACACATGCTCTGCAACCGGCTTGACATTTGTTAGATGGCATTGCAAGTCAAACATCATTGAGGACAGAACCATCTGGTGATTGACGTAGCAATCAGACATTTCATTGGCATGAGCAGTCTGAAAGCTGGCGTCCACTGTCCTGGTATGCCCAAAGGTGGGCGCGCAATCCTCAGCTGTGTATCTGTTCTAGTTGATGTTACTCGAATTTCCCATGATGTGCAACGGAGAGTAGCGGCTGAAGATGGAGGCCCGGGACTCATACTGTCTGCCCAAATTTCCTTCTCAAATCCTTTCACAGTCTCGGACAGGCACTTCCAAAAGAAACCGTGATCGGTGACTTAACGAATCGAACCTAATGGACGACACGAAGAGCACGGCCAGTACGCTTGACATCTCTTACTGAGCCCTGAGTTGCCGTGTAGCACTGTGGGTTCAGGCAAAATAGACAACTAATACCAAACTTCTTGCGAGACTGCGGGAAGTAATCTGCAGCCTGTCCTGCCCTGAGTTATCCAGTGTGTTGTCAGTGAAGACAGTTTGGGGAGACTCGGTCGAGATAGATGTCAGGAACGGGTCGATCAGGGTTGATTACCAACCAAGGTTATGTCGGTATTAATAGCAGAACACATATGTATGCCATTACTACCTAGGTATATGAGCTCACGTCTTACCCGGGCAGGATTCCCCTGTCCTTGACAAACAGGTGGCTTACACCTCTTGAACTTACCCCGGTACTCTTTGCTTAACGTGAGGCCGACTGAATGTCCACAATGTAGTAGTGGTCATAACCAGGCTGGGGGATTTTATGACCAATCTGTATTGGAAATGGCTGTGTCTAATTTGGCTGGCTAGCTAGCTACTGAGTGAGCAGGCGGATCGCCTTTGACTCCCGTCCGGTTCAGAGAGTAGAACACAAGCCTTTCTGAAACGCCAAACACCGAATTAGCCCGCCGTGATCAACTACCGTGACCAGCGACCATGATGTTTGCATGACCAGGTCCTAAAGCCCCAACAAAACCTGAGGAGGAACCTCGAAGGCCAGAACCTAGCGTTTGAGCCTTTCGCTTCTCCTTCTCGGCATTGTTGTGGTCTTGGTTCGCTTGCTCCTATCCTCGCCGGGGTCTGCTTCTTCGTTTTGGCGCTTGGAGGGGCGCCGGTCGGAATCATTGTCGTGGAGCACGTCCGCTTCCTTGGTGGCTTCATCATCGCCGCCGTCATCACTGTCTACGCTGCTGGCTTCCTTATCAAATCTGCTTTTCATCACCTCGCCTTTCACCAAAGGATAGCCAAGTAGGTCTCTCCGCTTGAAGAACTCCCAAGCCAGCTCGTACGCCTGGGACTTGTCTCCGTTCGCCGGGCCCTTCTTCTTCAGGAACGCAGTCAGGGTTTGGCGCGTGATCCCCAGTGCCGTCTGGAAGTCGTCAAGCTCAAACTCGCCATCTCCATTGTAGTAGAGGAGGGGCAGGGCCTGCTCCCAGAGGCAGAAGCGCCGGATCATCAAACGAATTTGATCGCAGTCCCAATCTATCTGCACAGGTGGGGGCAACTCGGCCTCGGCCCGAAGGCGCACTGTCGATTTGCCGGGGAAAAGTACAGAACGCCTGAGGGGTGGGAACTTCTCGTAGTTGCGGATAGCACCAGGTCGCACACGGGGCGCCAGGTCGATGGTAGTATCGACAGTTGTCACGGCCTCGTGCAGTTTCAGGACTGCCTCAGCCTGCCTCTCGTGCTCGAATCCGTAGCTCAGCATGATTCGCTTGAGATTGCATTTGTGGATCTGTTCTGGCGTGGCGTCATCTTCAGGTATGCCCTTCTTGGCTCTGTAGGCGCGTAGGTCGTCCTCTCTCTTCTTGGCAAGTGCCTTGCTGTACTCGCTCACCTGGTCGGCGGTCAGGTCTGGGAACAAGGCCCTCCGGGCAGGTTGTCTCTGGTCTTCGTTGAGTGCGGCGACTTCGTTCTCTTCGTCCTCTTCGTCGTCGATCTGCTCCAGCAGCCAATCCCGGATGAAATGGTTAGGCACATCAGATAGGGTATGATTACGTCCTAGGCGGCCGCTGCCAACGTAGTCATTCTTGGGGGACCAGATGCCGCTAGTCCCGTCTTCATCCACGGAGTCGCAGAAACAAATGTATCCAATCAAGGATTTCTTCCGGTCTGGTGTCAGGCTGACCTGCTCTGCGAAGATGTCGATGAGCTGTGCGTTGGTGAGGGCAGACCCAGGAGGCTACTACGCGTCAGTTGTGCTCGTGGGAAAATCAGGAAAGGCGGATCATGGACATACGGCCCTAGATTTCGAGAACGGAGTGGCAGGCTCCTCATGCTGACCGCGACGAGAGTGCGACAGCGGTGGTAAAGGCAGAGGCGACTGCGAGGGTGATGGCGATGGCGATGGCGATGGTGGCAGCGTTGGCAACGCTCTTCGCTGGCGTGGCTGTCGGCATGTTAATTCAGAATTTTCCAGGCGGAAGATCCGAGCTGCTTACAGGCATCGTGGCTGTGAAGAACTGTACGGGTAGGAAGAGCTCAGTTCTCCGCCCACGAAGCTGGGTCAGAGGAACTCAGACAAATGACATCAGAAAATGGTTTGAACGCGGTCGCGTGTCTGCAGGGGGGGAGGGGTAGGGAGCCGGGCTTGCCAGGCGTGCCAGGGTGACAGGGATCCAGCCAGTAATCGGTATAGGCTGTGGGTCTGGCAAGGAAAGAAGATGAAACCTTGTCACCAAGAGGACTACAAGGAAGGAAAAGAAAAAGAATACACTCTCTATTTAGTAGGGAACGAATATTCGCACAGAAAGAAACGGATGGCCACAGATACACTATACGCCTGATGCACTCACACCCAACACACCCACACCCAACGCACGTACACCCAACACACACACCCGCGCCCAATTCACATAGCCAAGCCTAATTAACATACTAAATTGATAAAAATATTTTGTGGGCTTCCCTGATCCTGAATCCTCGCTCCGTGGCGCATGAGAACAACACCAAATTTACGATGCCCACCGTACCGCAGCTTCCAACCGTCAACCACTACGTGTTTCAGTATTACTGGTGCATGCCGTCGTGGAACACAACCACAGCCTCGGAATAGTCGCTGGCATGCTCATGGACTTCTTCCACTAAGAAGACATAGCGCTCGCGGGCATCACGATCTGCGTGGAAGACAGCCCCAGACATAGCTGATCTTTCCAACTTCAGCACGGTCGTTGAGAACTTAGCCAGCATGACATCGCCTCTGGGTGGACCGAGTGTCCAATCCTGGACGCATATCTTGCCACGTACACCGACCGCCATTACAGAATCCACGGCGCGGCCCTTTAGATATGTTGACACGACTTGGGGGTGAGAAGAAGGCACAGGCTATTCAGCGAACTTTCGAGAAACCGCACTAGGAATTATTTTTGGTTGATAACATATGCAGTCCCTATTCATCATTGTTGCTAATTGAAGCGATGCTTTTCAATCGCTCTTATGATTCGCATGGGTATGGTGGCACAATTTACTAGATGACAACATCTTCTGAGACAGTTTTTATTTATTAGCTGCGCCAAGTTTAAATCCAGAACTCCAGAGAACCCAATCCAAATCCTGTTACTTTTTTTATGCGGGTTTTGTATTTTTTAATTCGAGGCTCTCTCTTTTTCGGTCACTCACCTGCACTGCCTCCCTAGCAGTCCCATATAGATGAGCCAGTTACTCCGAGTCCGAGTCCGAGTCCGAGTCCGAGTCCCAGTCTCCAGTGGAGTCCAAGCCAGGTCCCTTGCAGACACAGGGGCTAGAGCACTGTGCTGCAAGACCTACACCCTCGTTAGCCCCAGAGAAAACAAAGATGGCCTCGATCGAGTCTTTGCCCAGCTCAGAGATTGGGAAAAAGATGTTCGCTCGGCCGATGGTCTTCTCCCAAAGCCATTTGGGCTCACCCACAAAGCCGCGGAGGGGCTTGACCTCGGGTGTCAAGGCGTTTATGCCCAAGATTTTCCAGAGAGTGCTTCTTCAGAATGCCGACGAGCTTCTCAGCGAAGGCCTCGCTCTCAGGGTCGTTCGGGTTCGCAAGGGGCTCCTCGCCGTCGAGAACGTAGCGGAACTCGTAGGGTCGGAACTTGGGACCGTCAGAGTCAGCACTGAGTCGGAAGCTCCGGGGAAACACTCGGCCCTGCATCACAGAGGCGTTGTCCCCGAGGTTTTTGACGTGCCAAGGGGTAGAGGTGCGCTCAACCTAGACAAGTATCTCGCTGCTGGTCATTGAGAAGTGCCGATGGAGAAGCTGCAGTCCAAACTTCTGGCGAGCGTCGGGATACTGCTCAAACAGGTCCAGAATCTCACCGTCAAGGACCTCCCGGGCAGACTGATCAGTGAAAGTCTTGTGGGCGGCCTTTAGGGTAGGCAGAGTGTTGTACGACACCGGCGTGTAGGAACGTATGGCAGCCATTTTTGGGATGTGCTGATGTTTTTAAGAAGAGTTTGTTGTGATGGTTGGGATTTTGTGCTGTAGTTGTGATTTGTAGTTAACGTTTGTTGCTTTTTGTTGCAGGCAATGCAGATTGGTTCAGCGATCTAAAGCTGAGAAATTTACACCCGTTTTATATTCGAATGGCCCCCTCTCTGAGGCGATTGCAATGCCTCACTTTGAAAGATTTAAAACAAAAAAGGGCGCCCTCACTTCTAAGTCCTGTGGAAAGCTCTAATGTTTCTATACAATACATTTCAAAGGATAGACGCTTTGAGGTAGCCGATTGGATTTGATGATACAAGGATGCCTCCACGCAGTTCAAGTTATGATTCTGCCTTATAAGCAGCTTTTACAAAGACTCTATGTCCAGCCAAGCAACAACAATAGGAATATGTTATGCAGCTTGTGACATTGTAGTTGTCTAGGTTTGCTAGTTCTCAGTAACTTCATCTTGGTTACCTGCAGTTGTTATGAGCTGCACAGGGCCTTTGTTCACTAGCAGTCGCCGTTAGCTGTACAAAGTCTTTGTTAACTAGTTAGTGCTTTTTTGACTTGCATCTCTTCTCAGAAGCTGACTAACCTTGCGGAATTCGAACAAAGAGCACAAAGCGCTGTCTCTGCTCAGACTTCCCGTTGCCATAACCGAGTCTCTGAGAAGGAAAACACTTCTTCAACCTTGCAGGACCTGCGATATCTGGGGTGACTTGGCCGGGAGGCGAAAGTGCTCTTGGATGGAAGAGACTTGGAATATTGTTTTGGGCGGACTGAGACATGGCTGTGTCGAAGGGCTGAAATATCTTATGTGGTCTTTGGTGTAGAACAGAACCGGGTACCTCCGCGTGCTTTATAGTCGTGAGCTCAATCAATCAGTATCTGGGTGCATGACCACGTAAGAATAGGACGATGGAACCAGACGGGGTGGCAAGTTGAAGATACAGCATCGCAACTGTGTCTGACACACGAGACAAATAAATCTTTCGTTGTCTGATCATGCAGATAACACTTCGTTGTAGGATCCCTGAATTTGTTGCGAAGGAGTTGGTGTAGACCAAATTATCACTGCGCTGCTTATTCTAGGCAGTTCTGCCGGACTCACCATTGGAATGTATAGAGCGTGTATACAGGAGCTTGATAAATCAGGCAGGCATTCTGTTTGCTATCAACCAAGGAGCCGGGTGGCTATGGCAATGAGCCACCCAATAGTTCCAGCAAGCAGCAGTCCCATAATCCGCATGTCCCACTCAGCATAAGCCGTCAAGTTTTTCTTCAAATTAAAAGAAGAAACAGCCATTGAGGCAGATTCAAGACGAGAGTCGCCGTCCTCATGAAGTGCTGTCTCAGCCTCAGCCTTGTGTGAGGTGGGTAACAACCTTCTTTGCGGGAACTCAGGCACCATTCCGTTTGGTATTGCTCGACCATCGTCGGCCGGCTTCTTTAGCCAGTCCGCGGGCGTCAATATCCTCTTTGGATCCATGCTATGCAGAGCGACTAGTGCCTTTTCGAAATCCTCCCGAGGCCAAGGGTGATTTCCCAGGGCCCCGAGCCCCGGATCGGGTCTCTGTGAATCCCTGAAAAAGTCCCTAACCTGCTTTCGCCGGATAAACTCAGGCGATTCTGCTATCCTCGCCTCGAACACCCCCTCGCTGACCATGTCCGCAGCATCCCACCGGCCGACCAAGCCGTCGATGGCGTCCTGCCGCGCCTGCCGGAGCAGCTCCTCCGCCAGCTGCAGCGCGGTCATCCCGGACGCGGGGTCGCGGTGGTCCGCGTCGACCCCCGCCGCGATGAGGCGCCCGGCCGCCCGGACGTCGCCGCACGCCACGGCCGCGTGGAGCAGCGTGGGGCGGATCTCGTGGGCGGCGCCGGGGAGCGCCGCGCCCTTGCTGATGAGGTGGACGCACATCTCGTCGCGGAAGTAGCTCTGCGCCAGCTGCAGGGCCGTCTGGCCCCAGCTGTCCGTTGCGTCCAGGTCGATCCCGGCGTCTGTGAGGAGTCGGAGGGCTTCTTGTGAGTTTTTGAGGACGGCGAGGTGCGCGCAGGTGCGTCCCAGGTTGCACTTTGCGGACAGGAAGTGTCCGCTTCTCGGGAGTAGTAGCGCCAGAAAGCTCGTGTCTTGGGGTTTCTGGAGCTCGATTGCCCGATAGAGGAGGGTGTATCCTGTGTAACGGTCTGTTTCGGGATGAAGAGGGCCAGACGTGCCGCTCAGGACGGTTTCAACCACGCTGAGGTCCCCCGTCTGGAGAGTTGACAGGAGCGTTGGCCGTGAAGTATCGAGTGTTGCCTGGGTTGTGACTCTCCTTGCTGCGAATACAGGTCTGACATGCGTGGTCCAGAGCCCTGGGGACGCGGACCTCGCCATCGCCACTGCGTTGAGACCATCGTCATCCTCTAGGTCGAAGTCGGCACCAGAGTCAAGAAGGAACACAACTGCTTCCACGTGGGCCTCTGTGGAGAGGTATTGACAAGCTAGATGAAGAGCCGATGCCTTGTAGTTGTCAAGGGAGTCAATATCAAAGGATTGAGAACGGGCAAGGTGTTGGAATATAAGCTGTACGACTAGGTAATTACCCGTCGCAGCAGCCAAGTGGAGAAAGGTACGACCATGTTGGTCCTTGTACGAGCAATCTAGACTGTCAGCCTTTGCGAAAGTCTCCAGCAAACTCGTCCTCCCTAGACGGACAGCAAGGGCGACGGCTTCGTTCGAGGGCTTCAGCCCTCGCCGATCAGCCAACAACTCACTAGCCACCTCATCTATGTCCTCGTCGGTGAATAGTGAGCTGACACTCTCTTCCGCGGTCCAGTCCAGAGCTGATCGACCTCCCAGTAGATCTGTCACAGTAAGGTCGGTCGCGTCACAGCGGAGCAGCAGGCGCACGCAACCCATCTCGACGCTCTCCACTGCTCTTGATATTGCAGTGCAGCCCCAGCCATCTGGCTTGTTGACATCAAGATCGGCGCGGGCCAGCAGCTTTTCTACTGCGGAATCGTGGCCCAGCTCTGCAGCTCTGACCAGGGCGGTTGTGCCCCCCCGGCCAGGAGCTCTGGCGTTGACATCTATGTCCGCCCGGCTCAGCATGAGATCTAGCATGTCGATATCGAAGCTCTCGATAGCCTCTATCAGAGGCGATTTTCCCTTCTTACTGAGATGGTTAGGGCCTGCACCAGCATCCAGAAGCAAGCGTGCGGTCCCAATGTGTCCGTTGCGGCAGGCATATGTCAGAGGCGTCTGGTTGTATAAATTGTCACCGGTGGATACGCTGGCAGGGTCGAAGGTGAGAATTGCCTGGCACTGGGTCTCCAAGCCGTAGAAGGCGCAAAAGTGAAGCCCAGTAATGCCCCCAGCCACATCCCAGGACGCGTATTCGAAGGGCCGGGTCCTCGATGCAATCTGCATCGCACAGGCGAGACGATTCTGGTCACTCAAAAACTTCAACACGCGAAGACTGTTCTGCACTGTCGACTGTGCGCTTTCGGCGTGGAAGCCCAAATAACATGCAGCGTAGGAGGCGAATGGGTGCTTCTCTAGGGTCTTCTCCAGCTCGTCACGGGATTGGAAAGGGCGCGAGAAAATATCGAGGCTTAGGTACGACAGGCATGAATCGAGCATCATTTGTGTCGCTTCAGGCAACCATTTGGACTGGTGCTCTTCCATGTAGGTCGTAAGTGATCGGTGAAAGAAGCCAACAGGGAACGAGTCTGCAGCCCCGACGGCCTTGATAGTAAGAAGACCGTGCGTGTCACGTCGAACAATTTCCTTGCTGCAGAGGCGTCCAATGAAGTCATCCAATGCTTTGTCTTCGGGGCTGATGGCCGTTGCGTGGGACAGCTGCTCAAAGGTGAGCACCTCGTGCGCAGTTGCCACGATGGCAAGGTGCTCCCTGACCACCTGCGCACCATATTTATCGTTTTTCTCCAAGCACAATCTGATCATGTCGTCGTATTGCCCTTCGAGGTCATCCATTTCCCCGGAGGAAAGCTGCTGTGTGAGGGAGACGGCGCCGTCGAGGTTCCTCTGCAGTCTCAGTCGCTCAAGAAACAGTCGGGCATACAGAAAGTTCCCGCCAGCTGCCTCGCTGACCTTTTCTGGCAATGAGTCCCAGAATTCGGGCCCCAGTCTCTGTCTCAGGGCTGCCAACAATGGGACGTTGCCGGAAAACATGTCGTCATCATCCCCAATGTCACCGCCACTGAAGTTGTCGTTGAGGAATTTGGTGACGTGGAGTGCGATGTCTTCCCGGGATGCTTGGATCTCCACGTTGACTCTCATCGGTGGCATCATTACGTGGCTCGGATCAAAACAACGAATCCCTTTGACATTGTGGCACTCCCCACAGAGCCATATCTTCTCGCCAAAGTGGCCGACACACTTCCTGCATAGCCATGCTAGGTCCAGAGGCCCGGTTCCACACTCTTGACAATATGCGGCATCATAACTAACACGAGGTTCCCAGCGGTTGGTACTCAGGATACAAACACCCTGGTGCCGGAGCTGTTTGATTTCATAGTCGATGCTGTCTATGCAGCCTTCCGCTTCGTCAATGGCATCTATGATGAGGAACTTGGTTGGGAACATGGCCAGCTGATCTCGGAGTATTTCTTTAGCCTGATCTTCCGACAGACCCCGCCTGCCGGTGGATCTGGACTCGGTCCACAGGCTGGTAATTTCGTGTGGGATTTCGATAATGCCGTTGGAGCGTTTTTTGTTGAGGATCTGTCTCAACAGGCTACAAAACACGTTGTTCAGTGTCTGACGGGCTCCTTGCTTGGAATGGAAAAATATGGAGAGGACGGGCGTCCCAAGTGGGTCATTGACTTGTCGCAGCTTCGCGGCGACGGCCTCGGCCAGAACACTCTGTAAATACAACAGTAAGCATACAATTCCAACATAAGTGGGGAGTTCTCAAGTGTCTTGCCTTCCCGCACCCGGGGGTGCCGTACCAGTTCAACTGCCAGGAAGCGTCCTGTGCCCACTGCTTGTATATGTCGTTGTGTTCGACGTATCGGTTTGAGCCGGGACTCGTCGCCCCCGCTGGCGCCGGATTTGGGGGGTCTCGTAGGCTTAAGCCAGGTGGACAGATCCAATCAAGAATCTCGAAGGTACGGTCGACATGTTTCTCCTGTGACAAATATCGAACTTGGAAATGTGTGTCATAGTTCACCTGAGAATCGCCGTCCGAGACCAGTTGTCTCATGGAATTGACCAGCTGGATAATTTCTTCCTGCTCCTTTGCTAGCTTCTTCTTCTTCAATGTCCACTTCAGGCGGCGGTTTAGTATCTCATATTTGGATTGGGCCAAGCGTTCCAACCCAAATTTGATATGCTCCAATTTCTTCTTTAACTTTTCGTAATCACCACCAGGCTCGCGAATGGCCTGTGATATGGCAAGTAGTCGTTCACCGCCGCTAATTCCCATCCCTGGGAACGTGCTTTCCTTCGACCTGGAAGCGGTGCCAGGGTCAAACTGGGTCTCGATGTATTCAAGTCTCTTGGAAAGGCCCTCCAGGTTGGCTATAATGCGCCTGAACTTCTCACAGAACTCGCCTCGCTCCTCATGTTCGTGGCGCACGTCATGGATGTAAGAGTTCATGGCAACTGCGGCGCTGAACGCTCCTTGGGCAAGCGAGATCAGGCCGGCAATTGATGCCGCCATACTCAGAGGGTCCGCCATCTCGCCTCGTGCTTGGAATTATCGCTGAGACCTTCTAGCCGGGCAAAGTATCTGCAGAAAAGAAAACTTGTTTACCTTCAAGCTGGACGCGACTGCCTGGAGAAAGCGGATGGCCAGGAAGGGGATATAAAATTAGGCCTTAATGATCCCATGAGAAGCAAGGCGTGAGATTGGGGGCTGTGATCAGCACTAGCAGTTTTGTGCTACGCACCAGGACTGGTATGCCTGGTCAGATTCCAGCTCGGGTAAGCTTTGCTTGGAGGTGAAGTGCCGCTAAGTGAGATTGCAACCACGGAGGATGCAACCCAAACAAGCTGATTTCCCCAGTCGCACGGAGCGACCTACCATGTGCTCTCTCCGGAGTATCCAACCAGTGGTTGAAGGATGCCTCGGGAGGAAGCTTCTAATGCCAAGGGCGCCCTTGCATCTGATTCCTGCCCACCCCAGCTGCATGCTCAGCCTCTTCGAGCTGAACAAAATGCAGTTTTTGTGATGAGGCTCTGGTGTTGGCCGCTTCCAGAAGAAAACATTAGTCAGTCATTCGCTGCCACTACGAGTGCCTGTGTATAATATAGAGGACGGAGCTTCTGGGGAATCATGTTCTGCGGACCTCCCACCTGGGCAGGTTTTCTTTCCTTTGAATAATTGCTACACGTTCATTCTGCCTGCAATCATCATGGGCCTCCTCGGGCTCTCTTTTGGAGCAAACCTCCTCACTGTCGTTTCCGGTCTCGTCGCGTCTCAAGATCTTCCCGGGCCAGTAGCTGGTCGATCTGATACAGAGCCCTCCCATGCATGCGGTGACCTTATCCGCAATGCTCATGCCTGTGAGAACCCCCCCTGGTATTCATAAGAGAGTTTTTGTAATTGTTGTGGCCCGCAGACTGACAATCACAAGACGGAGTTGTGCCAGCCGTAGATGTTTACAATTGCTGGACTACCGTCCCGTTACACACGGCCGTTGCCACCCAGCTCATTCAATATTGGAACAACACGCTCCAGTTCCAAAGCACTCTCGACTATCTCAAGAAGCCCCCTTCAGGCTACCAACAGCCTGCTGTGGACCTAATTGCCGCACTGGGTGAGGTACAAGCTGCCGTTGACAGCAATGGATTTGCCAACGAGTACCAATTTGAGGCTGCTCTCCAGAATGTTCTCCTGTCGGGTAACGATCCACACCTTGGGTTCTTCGGTGGTTTGCTGTCTTCGTTCGGCTTTGGAAGCCAACATGGACTCACTTCACTCTCGCTCGACGGCACACAGCTGCCGAAGGTGTATTTTACCGGTACGCATACTCATGTCCCCCACGAGCCCATTCAGGACTCACGTATCTAATGAAGGTCGGAGACAGATGACTTGATCCTCAACCAGACGAGCCCAGACCCATCATGGCAGCCGTCTGCTGTCCACCAGATCAACGGAACTGATGTCATCGACTATCTCACCCGTTTTGCGGCGCTTAACTCGTATGGAACATCAGAGGCTCACGCAGACTGGAACCTGCTGGTCGAGAATCCCGTCATGGACGTACTCAACGACATCGACTATCCCCTCTGGAACGGCGGCGCAACTTTCTATCCAGGCGACAGGTTTACATATGCGTTTGAGAATGGATCAACACTCGAGGATCAGTGGCTTGCGGTATACTACGACCCGGGAGACACTGGCCCCCTGGAGACGGGCGGTGACTTTTACAACTTCTTCGTCCTGGGCTTCTATCCGGCCTCATATAATGACAGTGCAGTGGACTCCGTTGATAGCAACACCGCTGACAGCGCACAGTCGTTTCCGACGTCACTGTCCGGTGTTAGTAGTGCGTTCCCGCGGGCGGATGTCTGGCAAGAAAACCTGACGGACACCGGCTACCTCACCGGATATTTCCTGCACGACGAGTCTCTGGCCGTGCTAAGCATTCCGACCTTCTGGGCCGACGAGGACGCCATCAGGGCATTCGCCGACACTGTACAGAGCTTCCTCAGCCAGGCCAAGGCAGCTGGGATGAGCAGGGTCCTGGTCGACCTGCAGCGGAATGCAGGCGGGGACGTTGTACTCGCCTACAGCACGTTCAAGCAGTTCTTCCCAGCCATCGAGCCTTTCGCTGGCAGCGTAATGCGCGCAAACCCCCTTGCGGATGCTCTAGGCTCCAGCATCACCGAGTACTGGGACGGGACCCTGAATTACACGGATTGGCAATACCAAGCCGCGTCCGCGAATGAATGGATCGCCACTACGAAGCTGAATGCCGCCACGGGACAAAACTTTACTTCTTGGGAAGAGCTCTACGGTCCCCAGTCTGATTCGGTTGCCAGTTTCACGCTGACGGAACGGTTCAACGTCTCGAACTATCTTCTTGCTTATTCCATGCTGGGCCAAGAGGAACCCCCGGCAGTGTTGCAGACACCCTATGCCGGGAATGCACCTTACGCTGCTGAAGACATCATCATGGTAAGTTCTGTCTAGGCTTTCGTATCTCTTATTACCTCTTCCCCCACTTTGGGGCTCCCGTTCCTCTTTGACGCGTGTGGCTTTCAGTGCTGATGCTTTCGTGTGCCCATCTAGCTGTCCGACAGTTTCTGCTCATCCGCTTGCTCGCTGTTCATGGAGATGATGCGCCATGATGCAGGTGTCAGGAGCGTCGTCGTCGGCGGGCGTCCAAGCTACGGCCCTATGCAGACACCCAGCGGAAGTCGCGGCGCACGTCACTACGACCTCGACTCGCTCAACGTCGACGTCCTGAACGCATTCGGGGTAGCTGATGCTGTCGACCAAGATGTTAACATTCTCGGGTCCCTGAATTACTCGGGTGTTTTTTACTAGCGGTGGCGTCAGCCTCCGCGCGCAGGTCCGCGAGGGCGAGACGGTGCCCCTCGCAATGCAATTCGAGGCAGCTGACTGCCGCATCTTCTGGACGCCCGAGACGTTCAACAACTTCACAAACCTCTGGAGGTATGCGGACTCGGCAGCGACGACTTCGCCCTCCCTCTGCGTGCAAGGGTCGACAGGCTACGCCAGTGGACAGTCGCCACCGGACCCCCCACGCCTCGCGCCCGTCGTTAACTACACGAGCACAGGCACCCCGTCGATAGACCTCTCAGACGCCGGAGTGCCCTTGCTCGTGATCGACGGGCCGATGCCTGATTTTCCTGGACACCTTGCGCCCAGCACCCCTGCCCGCCAGCCGCTCGCCCCCCAATACTACAAGCCCAAGCCGCAGGGGCTCACGCCCGCTGCAAGGGAGGCGCAGGCAAAGAAATTAGAAAGACTACAGAAACAACAAGGTCTGAGGAAGACTTCTCTCTGTGGGTTTGCGGGCCCGCGGTGTTCACAGCGGCTCAGGAGGAGGGGACCCGTGGGAACGACCAGAGCCTGATACCTACCAAGTGACGCAAGAGAGTTATTAAAACCATTCCCTAGATTGTCTCCAAGGAACTGGATATCGAGTGGCGTTGACGGAGCAGTTCTTTTCCTTGGCGGTTTCGGCCCGAGCACCGTGGTCTTCCCGGTGTATATCTTCTTTGATATATTGATTTATACTATAATAAGGATAGACTGTCACATGCATGACATACATTTGTTTAACTCTTGCTAGTGGGAGAGCAAGCTAAGAGCCAAGTATGGCATTGAGCTTTAGGACCTGCCGCCAAGATGAGGGAACTCATGAATGGTATTGTACACCTCCCAGGTGCTAGGTGATGCGTGCTTGCCTGTATGTATATTGTCTTACTGATTATTGTTGATCAATTAATTGGTAGGATTTCCTCATGGTTACAGGTTCGCCGATCGGCGTCGTAAACTATGCGCAGTCGCAGACGAGAGTACGCTACTGTATAGGAGACTCGAGACGACTGTTCATTCCCTTTGTAGGACGAAGCGATGCCGATGTGCCCTTGCTAGGAAAAAGGTTAGTGTCGCATGCATCGTCAGCTGGTGGCAGAAATGGCTTCGTACTTGGCGTCGCGTAAGACTGTGATAGGCGGATAATACAGCCGTAAGCTGCATAACATGCAAGAGGAATGGTAAAGCTAACAAGATTCCATGCACTAAACATGGGCCCAAACAGTATGCATTGGTCTATTGAGTCCGCATTCCGAAAAGTGTATCCGTTTTTGCTGATCGCACATTCCTTCCTGGACATAGAGACTAGACTATCCCCTCGATATCAGGTCCTTCATGGTTTCTGCTTATTACTTCAGCCGTCCTCCAGCTGTCAGCTCTTAGTTTCCTAGATATTTAGCCCTACTTCTTTATCTAGCCCGCAGATATCGCTCGACTTAAGCAACGCAAGATTTTCTCGGTATGGCTATAATCTTGAGTAGCCTGACGGCAATTCCAAGCCAGGCCAACAATCTGCTGGCCGCGATAGCGACTGTCCTGGTCTTGATGGCTGCAAGACCACTTCTTTACCGCATAAACCCGCCCAGTGATGCGCCAGAATTTGCCAAAGGATACTTGAGCTGGAAAGCACCAAAGTTCTGGAGATCTAGAGCGGAATACCTTCAGCTCGGAAGAGATAAGAGCCCAAATCGACAGTTCAGCTTCTGGTATGGATCAAATCACGTAATCGCAATTTCTGGCGAGGTAGCACGGACTACCTATCTCACTTCCAGGGGACTTGATTCTCTTGCCGGGTAAGCTAAGTTCTTTTGTTTGAGGTTGCAAGCACTCGGGTAGGTGCTAAGCCAGTCAAAGATTTCTCGTCTTGTTCGGAAGTTTTCTGAACGTAGATGGACTAACGAGTAGCGTTGCTCGTACTGCTATGCTTGTCTACAAGAAGTGCACACATGATGACCAAATGACACTCAATCTACATCATCTTGTCAACGATAGTGACGAGTGTGTTCAAGACATAGGCTCTGAGAGCATCATTGACCCAGTTGACACAATGGGTATTCTTATCTATCGACTTACACATCGTATGACAGGAACGCATGACATTGCTAACAGCTTGGACCTGGTTGTCAAGACGAGAGAGGTGTACAAACCACTCGAAGAGAGCTCTCTATTTGATATCTGGTTTCCATTACTACCCACACCATCCAAACTCAGGCGCCTTTGGGGATACTCCAGATTACACTGGTTGATTCAAGGTTTTGTCTCTGAGAGACGTAAAAGTGGCAGAGTGGAGCAGGATGCAATGCAGCTGATGATGGAACAAAAGATCAGCGACCCCATAATTACCCTGGTACGTCTTGATCCTTCTTACGCTACACAAATGGTAATATCTGACATCCTGTGATGTATAGTCTATTATCGGCGGAATTCTCGCCGGTGTCTTTAACACGAGCATCAACGCTGCGTGGAACTTATGCTACCTGACTCAGAGCCCAATCTGGATGGAGAAGCTGAGGGCGGAAGTCGATGCAGCTATTGAGAATCATAGGCTGCAGTCAGATGAGAGCGTTGTTGATATCCTGCACCAATTCACGCTTGAAGACTGGGAAAAAGAGTTTCCGCTCCTTGAACTGGCTATGAAGGAAACTATGCGGTTTACCATGTCCGGAACAATCGTGAGAAAGAATGTCGGTGGAAAGAAGGTTCCAGTCGGGGATACTGGATCATTCATCCCTCCGGATGGCCTCGCAGTACGTGATGGATGTGAGACGCTAAGTCTCAGCTTGAGTATTTGCTAATGTTAGTCTGACTCTAGGTCTACGCTGCTCAGGATGTCCATATGGATCCGAATATTTACAAAGACCCTCATGAATGGGACCCAAGCAGACACGACAAGGCCAGGGCTGAAGGTTTGGCAACGCCTCATGCTTTTCTTGGGTGGGGTTCAGGGAATCATCCATGCCGTAAGTGCCCTGAATATATGTTACTAAGGTCTCCAAACCGTACTAACCTGTTTCACTCTTCCAGCGGCTGAGAGAGTATGAATGATCCTTTGAGACCATACTAGGATTATAAGCTAATGAATTGTAGTTTGCGAGACTGAACATTGTGGTGCCAACCGTCCTATTCTTAGCTATCTACGACATTTCCCTATGCGATGCTCAGGGGAGGACGACGGACAATCGACTCCCACCTCTTACCTTTGATCGTGTGGGAGCAGGTCGCCCTTCAGGAAACGTGTACATGAAATGCGTTTCCAGGGCGCAAAGATAACACCTAAGTTCGAAGCTTTTGGCAGGGCGTTGATTACAGCCGGGGATAGATTAAGGAACGGTGGATTGGGAGGCGAGCATGTTGAATGGATCACGAACCCAATGGTCAGACGCATCATAACAAGAGGCGTAATCTCATGCCGAGATCGGAGGTGCTCTCGAAGGTGACAACACCACCAGGAAAGCTGCTCATGGAAAAGAACATCTATGTGAAAGACCAGACGTGCCTCTGAGCCTGTCAATAAAGCAACAGCCATAAACTCGATCTTGACTCAGATCAATCCTCCCCACTCTACTTGTATACCTGTTCTTGCGTTCAGGCCACGTTGAAATGGATTGGATAGAGAGAGATGGACTGCCTACTGAGCAGACCAGAAACCCCGACAGACAACGGAAAAGCCATATTTATCAAGGAGTATTGTCCAAGACTGCACACCCTCAGCTAGGTATAAGCAAGGCAGAGGTAATTTTCAATTTCGAAAAGAATGGCAAGCACATGCGTGATTGCATTGACTTTTACCACTCCCGAGACTATCCTCTACAGCCTCTCCTGGACGGAAGTGCCCTGTAAGCAAAGCCCCGAGGGTGTCACTGAAGGGGGTCATATGTTAGCGCAAGAACTCGAGGAGCCCTTTTCGTCCTGTTCGTACAGCTCTCGTAACGGGCTTCTCATACGCCAATATGTCTCTAGTTGAACTGATTGAAGCTAATGCTCTCTAACGATTTGCTTCTGACATGGATGTTCTGTATCTCATGTCGTCGCCTGCGATCTTTTACAACCTGGCTTTCGCTTCCTCCTCTCGGCCTTGAAGATTGGGGTGAGGAGTTTTGACAGGTCGAGTGACAGCATAGAAGGCAAAACCATTGGACTTGGTCGAGAACTATAAAGTATTCGTTAGTGAAGACAGCCAGAAAGTACTTGGATGTAACTGCTTCTATGATGAAAACATGCGTGCCCGGCTGCCGGACTGACAGTGGACAGCCACGGTACTCCGCGGTACAAGATGAGATGGATGATCCAGTATTTCGATCATGACAGACGATGCAGGCGTGACGTACCTTCACCTTTGATCCGACATGGAAGAAAGCAAAGTCTCCGGGCACGAGATGGTGAGTAATGCCAGTAGCTTCATCCTACGAAACGGTACGGAGTCAGATAATGCGATTATCATCGAAGGACAGATGGGTACATACCAAGATATCGATCTGACCACTTAAAACATACTTGGTCTCCTCAAAAGTATAATAAGCGGGTCGAGCAGGCCCGGCGGTGATCTTATAGAACCCGGAGGTGAAGTAACTCGGAGAGTCGGTGGTCTTTGTTCGGATTCTGCAGAAGTTTAGATGATGACACACTGGTCCAGTCAAGAATTTCAACATACGAGTGAAAATCGGCAACAGTCGCGTTCTCCCCCTGGGGAAGGGGGATGAACTCGTGGCCAGCGCCCTTGACAACGGTGAGAGGGACAAGGTTAGACACTGTAGGGACGAGGATCAGCAATCATATCGCGTGACCGAAATGCTCAATTGACGGGAACTAGGTCAAGGCGTAACTCACTGATTGTTACTGATTGTGTTTAAAGATAAAATTAGTGGATATGGTAAAAATGCGTGACGTTTGTGACGCCTTTTATAAGGACTCGTGGCACACTTCGGCTGCGCTGCCGATGATATACGTCGGGGTTTTCTCGGATCGGGAGTCGACCCGACTTCGCTGGTCCGCTTCAGGTGCAGTTGCCCGCCCGCGCAACGCGGGGTCATGTGAATTCTACACTGCACAGTAAGTTTCGATATTTCTTTTGTCAAAGCATCCTCGTTGACAGAGCTATGTGTCTGCCACCAAGAGACAACCTAATCCCCTAGGGATGCCTACTACATGTAGGGAGATTATACTAGATCTCGTGTAGATCTAGATAGACCTCACAGACCCAGAGACTGTGTCTGCACCTACCCCTGTTCCGGCTTTCGGGCTGGACCAGGCGGACGCCAAACTATCTTGTAACCAATGCGCTGGTCCATCTCAATCGAGAAAATCGGTACGGTCTCTCTGAGCAAACGAGGAAGCAATTCAGAGGGCCCATGTGCGTTGCAGAAAAAGGCCCATGTTAGGGCCGTGGGGTTGATCGTGCGCAGTGGCCCTCTGGGCCCGTCTGGTTGGCTTATCTTACCAACCCAACTGGCCTCCAAAACCACTCTGATTTGCCCTTTCGGTAATTCTTCCTTTTCCTTTCTTTTTCTTAGGCAAACCTAGTTGTAAATCAACCATTCTTCACTGTCACATTGCGCCCTTGTTGCCATTTCGACGTGAGGACCGTCTCAGCCCAGAGGTGCCCAGAGGACATATATATGGGCTTAGAATTTCTCGCTTTTTTTACTTTCCCTATTAGCCGTTTTCCATTTCCTTCTGTCTGTTGTTTTTCATATCTCACTCTTTTTAACCTATCTGACGTGCAGGAACCTCGGTTCTACCTCGTTCAACGAAACTTCTTTCTACTAAGGAGGCTACTACCTATTTATACACTAAACCATAGGATAGTAGTAGTTCAGCTGGTCTAATGCTACGATTCTGCCGGCGAGTGCGGAAAACGCAGCAGAGATCTAGGTTCGAGTCCTAGGCTGGACGATTCTCCTGACTTGAAGCCCCAGAGCGTGATTGACGTTTCTATCCACTCCACTTTTTAAAGATTCAAGTCTGACAACTTGACCTCCTTTGGAACGACTGCATCCTTTCGTCTGCGGTCACTGGAGCAGGGCTACATAGAGAGCATGCAAGTGAATTCTCAGGCAGTCAATTACAATACGCTGACACCTATCGCCAACACCAGAAGCTTTCTTTTGGGTCACAGCTGAACGGTTTCAAAAGCCTACTTAATAAACGTTGAGTATTTGGCGGTTTTCAGAGCCTATACTCTGAGAACTGAGACTAGATGTCGAAGGCCTAGAATGTGTCTGCATAGATCAAGGCATCCTTTATCGAGCTTGCCTAATACCGAGTTGCGAGACTTCTTCAGCTGTCCACGGCCCAGTGCATCACTTGATGATGATAACAAGGCGCCCATCCCGGTCCTCAGAGGCGGGCACAATCTTAGCAAGTTCGGTCGCTTTGATTGAAGAATCTTGCCTCAAGACATCATAAAGTCTTGGTACAGACCTGTCTCCCTGGATTCGTCCATTCGGCTGCAGACATGAAAGCTGCCGATCCTCCGTAAGTGTTTGGGACCGCTGGTGTTGCTGGAAGGCTGGAGGAGGAGACCCTGAATTATACGTTTCGATTGAAGTATCTCCCCATCTAGATAAACTTCAATCGACTCCGTATCGCCTTCGATGACCGGCAGGATGTAAAAAGGGCCTTCACTTAGATCTGATACTTCCTCTAGACAGTCGAATGTGACAGGGACGCCTTCTGGTTCAGACCCCCTGTGTTCTGGGCCTTCGTTGTGTACTCCCACATTCTCATCTCTGTTGATTTTAGCACGGATGAGGTGAGCGCAAGACAAAGTGAGCTCTCTGTCGACGACTGCGCCGTAAGGATCTGGCCCGGAGGGTCTTGTCCAGGCATCCACCACTCGGACGTACTCGTTACAATCCTCCGATTCGAAGTGCCCTACATCACCGTCTATCGAAGCCCATGACCAAGTCGGCGCCCGCCATTCAGGCCTACGGCTCTTTTTGTGGAGGGCCTCCCACGAGAGCTGCGTGATGAGTGATTCTTTCCACATGCCTGCCAAATACTGGTCGCCGGCCACTCGCTGCTGACGAGCAGCTATTCCAGACAGCGCTGGAAGCCGATCTGAGCCGTACGTTAATTTGGCCTTGGAGTACTGCTCGACGATTTTCCTCCAGTTCCAAGGTACATCCTCCGCAACGACCGAGTTCTCGCCACTTAAGCCTGGGAACCCGAACCCGTCCGGTAGGAACTCCGAGCTGATGTGAGTGCGACATTCCCAGAACAGGCCAGTCTTGCCAAGGTAGATCGTACGAGGCGACAGGAGCCTTTCTTGGAGAGCCCATGCTCTCGTGGCCAAGTGGGTCTCAGTAATCGATCCGTCATCAGGATCGTAGCTGTGGAAGTTTTGGACTCTGCAGTAGTCGTTTGATGTGACTCGGGCAATAAAGCCCCCGTTGTAGTGTTTTGGCCTCGTGCTGTGCATAAATCTCTCTTGGACGCTGGTTGCAGTAGACGCGGCGAGGTTGACGAACGTGCCGCCGTAAACCGCCGACATGAGGCCTGCTTCATTCTCCCAATCGCTGTTGTTTTCTTCTTTCTGTATGATACATGGAGCGTCGATCCAGACGTAGTCTATTCCAAGTCGGCGTGAAGCGTCGATGGCGTCAAGAAAGGTCCGTGGCAGTTCACCCAGCGGGATGCGATCCAGGAACAGAGCCATGTTGTCTTGGGTCAGCATGGTGAACGGTTCGCTGCCCCAACAGTAACTCAAGGTAGCATACCGAGGAGGCGCGGGTAAGCTAGCCGTGACTACCAGTTTCACGACGCCATGGCCGATGGAGATCAGCCTGGATGGCGGCCGAAGCTGCCTTTTGCTGCGGCAGCATTCATGCGACTCGGAACACCTTGCCAACCACATTCTAGCTATCTCGAAAGGATCGTCGACAGGATGCTCCCACAGCTTAACTACACACAACATCAGCATGCAAGTTGAGGTGTATGGAAGGGATAAGACCATGCCGGCTCACCTGATGGCGGCAAGATACATGAACAGAACATGACATTGGTCGCAGAAGGCTCGCTGATATGGCTTGCGATTTTCCCCGGAAAGTTCAACCAGAGGATCTGCATATTGTATCGTGCAAACTCTTCATGCTCCGATATTGACAATGAAGCAGTCGCACTGTCGCCAACATCGCGAAGTCGAACCTCTATCTTCTGGAACACGTCTAGGAGGTGGTCATGTTCCAGCCTTGACAGGAGCAGCGCGCAGAACCTACACCCCAGGCGCGCGGCTGCCTCGAGTTCATTAATGTGGAAGTATCTGCCAACGGCGTGATCTCTGATATCTGGAAACATCAGCATCGGCCAGTTTTCCAGAAGATGCCGGCATTTTGCGCAAAATCCGCCGGCAACATCTGCTGCTGGGATGAGTTGCTGCACTTCGGCCTCAACCCGCTCGTTGTCGAGCACGTCAGACTTGACAGCTCTGATGATAGTGTGTTCAGACCTGAGGGAGCCGCCGTCTTGCGCGTTGTACTGTTGATGCCAGGATTTCAGAGCGTCCTCGGGTACGCCAGGCGATGTCCTCCCAAGCTCCGCGCTCACACCTGACTGTCGAGCAGAGTCGGGAGGCATTGTGACCAGAAAGGAGGAGGAGTACTGGCCCCTCTCCAATGCCAGCATTCAGTTTCTCTCACAAGAGTCGTACGTGCTCTGCCGGATTGATATACTGCAAGGCTGCCTAGGCTGCCTAGGCTGCACAGGCTGCAGACACAAGGTAGTTGGAAGACGCGCCATGTCATCATTGCATGTGCTGAGACTGGCGTGGACAGCGCTGACCACCTCATAGGTCGCAAGAACGGCCTTCACTCCGGCCGTTTGTGAGGAATTTACTACTCGAAACGGCTACAACCTCTCCTCATCAGTTGACAACAATCTGCGCATCTTGCACGTCCATCCTTGTATTGAACGGCGCCGATGAATATATGCAAGACAGAAGTGTAAAAAGAAAACATGAGGGGCGGGGTGGTTAGCAAGGGTGGGAGACTAGGGGGACGGAGTTCACGTTCTAACAACCGAGAAAAGACTTCACAACATAGAGTCAGAAAGGCCCCCAAATCTCTAAGATATCTATTTAGCCGGTGCTCAAGCTAGGCATACCCTTTCCCGAGGCAACGGCCCCAGGCTAGAGCTCTGCAGGAGCTGAGGGTGCAAAGGGGTGTAAACACATGTACCTTTTGTAAACTTGGACTCGGCCAAGATGAGAGTTGAAACTGTTGATCAAGTCTGCTGCATCCTCATTGCGGTCGGCTTTTGGCCTGCGGCCTACCTCGCCGGGCAAATTTGCCACTGATTAAAGATTATTGCATTTGGACAATAGTCATCAACACTTATTAAGTGCACGCGTGTTTTGTGTTCTGTTTTTCCACTTCCAGCCCAAACCAGCCGGGTTTGCATCTACTGCCTCGCATATAGCACGTCATAATCCTAAGGGCTCCCGTCCTAAGACCTCTCTCGTCGCTGCCTCTCCAACTCTTCCCTGAAGGCATTCCCTCCCTGTGGTGGTGGTGGTTGCGTCACAGGGAAATTCGCACTCGTCGGCGTCCCAGCCAAGCTGCCCAGTGCATCACTGTCTCGCCTGGCGTGGCCGAGGAACTCGTTATTGTTCTCCTGACGGCGATAGACGTGCTGCTGGCCCCAGCCATCGCCGCCGCCGCCCCGGCTGCCGGGCTGGTGTCGCGGCTCGTCGCGGTAGTGCTGGTCTTCGGGGAGATGATGCATCAGGCGGATGTTGTCGCCCTTCCTGTCCCGGCGGCCCAACCTCCTCGCCCGGCCTTGGCGGTGCCGTAGCCGTGCCTGCTCCGCGACATGATGTTTCCGATAGATATCTTGCGCGCCTGCCTGTTCCAGAGGCACACGCCGAAGATCATGATCACGCAGAAGCCCAGGACCGTTGGCAGGCCAATGTAGAGCGCCGCGCCGGTTGGCATCTTGGGCGGCGCCTGGTGGTACGTCGGCGGCTTCGTCACGAGCACCATGGGCCCCGTGTATGACTTCGCGGTCGTGTTCTGGTCGGCGTCGAGCGCATTGAGGAACAGCGTGATGTTGACGGCCCTCTTGCCCTGCAGCAGCTTGCTGTCTACTGCCCAAGCGTAGTATGACCAACCGGCCGTAATTTTGTCCGAGGAGAATGCCTGCGACGCAACTTCGCCGGTCGTAGCATTGTTGTAAGAGCCCTCCAAGATCACGGTGGTGTTGGTGGAGTTGAAGACGGACGTGTCCCAAGTAACTGCAGTAAGGTTGAATTAGATGGCTGCACATGTCATGTGAAGAGAATCTGGAGGTTCGCATACCATAATACGTCGTGCCGGGGTAGAGCGAGCTGTTGTGCGACGGCTGGCAGAACGGGGCATTGATCCCATCGGAATTATTGCACACCAGGAACGAGCCCGTCCCATCTTTGTTCGTGGCCGTGGGCTCAGGAGGCGCGGTGCCAGTGCTGGTGGTGATCTCAGCATGATCCGTCCTCGTCACCACAGTCGCAGTTAGGTCGTTGGGAGCAGCTGATATCGTGGTCGTTGCCCCGTCCACGACGGTGACCACGGGCGTCACCGTCACGGGCACGCCGGACGTGTCGACGCTGACCCATGGGTCTGTAGCTGCTGGAGCTCGGGCGTCCAGGACCGGTGTGACGAGTGGCGGGCGGGCGGACGCGGCTCCGAGGAGCAGTGATGCCGCGGCGAGGAGCTTGGGGCGCGTCAACATCGTGGCGCGGATCCGAAAGTCAATTACACGGGTACGGGAGGTCTTCTTTGCAACCAAAGATCGGACGCAAAGACCAATTGACTCCCCAGAAACGAATGACAGTTCGACAGACCAACAGCAGCCCAAAAGCAGAGCTGTTATGCAGATCCGGACGAGAGAAGGGACGCAATGAGTCGTGAAGCGAAGGGTCGAGAACACTCGCCCATGGGGAAAAAGAATGGCGTGGAGCTCCCTAATCAATCAGTGATCGCCCTCCCTTGCGCTCCCTCGTTCCTTCCTTGCGCGCACTGGCAAAGCTCGTGTTAGTGGCTGCCCGAAGGTCGCGCTATCACCCCGACAAGCCAAGCGATAAAGCTTGGCTAGGCGAAATGAGCTTAGGGGCAGCAGGAAGGAACCAGCTTAATTCCCGAGCCTAGAGCTCCCCCGCCGGTGACAAGGGTAGCCTGCGGGTATTTTCTTCTCAAGAACCACATCACAGGGCTGAGGATCTGCAGATGCGTTCGAGGCGAGGAGGCTCTGCGGTGGATACACAAACATCGTACAAGAAGTAATACTGTGGCTAGTCTTAGCTTCCATGGTCTTATGGTCTTTTCCCTTTCCACAAACGCCGACCCAACCAACCATCAATGCAGACCTCAGAAAGCCCCCAACATTGATCACTGCGGCTCGCACGCCATTATTTCTTGGGTTTCTTGTGCTTCTTGTGCTTCTTTTCACCGAAAGCCTCATTATAGACCTCCTCCGCGGTCTGGCCAGCCTTCCTCTTCTGCTTGCTGCTCTTGACGCTGACCACATTGCTTCCCTTGCCCTTCTTGACCTGCTCCTCGGCGTCTTTCCACACTTCTTCGTTGCCCTCGATTTGGTATCTAGCACGCAATGATTAATAGATGTCCTCTACGACATACTCCGGGGGCTTTTCAGTGCACTTACTGATCAAGAGGCAGAGAGTCAATCAGCTCTCTCTGCTTCCTCCTGACCTCCTTCAGGGCCTCATCTCCCTCCTCGTCAAGCTCCTCCTCCAGAGCCTTCTCCAAAGGTTGGAACTTGCTGTCGACAATCTCGTCGTCATGCACGCCAGTCGCGTTTTCGCGGCTGACGCCAATGTCCGTCCGGGGCATCTCGGCATCGTACGCCCCTGAAACAACGCTGCTGAAATGTGTCGTGATCTTGCGCAGGATCTTGATGAACATGGCGAGCAACTGCGACGATTGGAGGCTTCCGTGTTCTTCCGCAACAGCATCCATATCCTTGCGCTGAAGACCGACCGAGAGGAGGATCGACTGCTGGATACCCGACAATTTGACTGCGTTCTTGATACGTCCCGAGAAGTAGAGTTCTGCTATTCTTGGGATGAGATCGAGGATGACGTGGTAGTCCAACATGTTGTTCGCGTACGACTCCAGACGCTTCAGATCGTGGGGAGTGAAGCGCTCATCGAGCTCTGCCTTGGTTAATGGGCGGGGCTCGACGTCGTCAAGTGCTGCTCCAGCGTTGGCGCTCTCGTCAATGCTCAGAGCCAAGACCGAGGGGAACGTCCTGAATTGGTAGGAGAGCAGCTCCATGAATCGGCGGTGGAAATCACGGGAGAAGGCACCAAGCCAGCTCCTGTCGCCGCTCCTCTCCAGCGGCCTGATCATGACGGTCGTGTGCTCGCCCGTCAACGAGTTGGCCGTTTGTCTCAGATAGACCGGTGCGAACGACGACCGTTTCCAGAACTTGTGCAGGGGCTGCGTCAGTCCGTAACTTACACCGACATAGTCGAGTTCTACCGGCCTGCGTTGAGAGAGAACCGAAAACAGTGGGGGCATTTTGCTCTGGTCCCTGATCTTGATGTTGTCATCCAGCAGGTTCGCATCTGCAAGCTCTGCGTCCGTCACCCTGGTTATCGTCTCCTCAACTGCTACATCCGCATCCTCCGCGAGGTTCGTAAACCTGCCCTCATAGTAGTCGGTCAAAAGTTGCAGCGCTTTTGATCCGTATCCCATTGAGGCGTAATCTGGGTTTGTTGCAATCCGGACAACTCTGGCCCCGGACAAGGAAGCAAACTCGTCATCCTGGTACTGCTGGCTGACCAGCCATGGTATCAAGTCACCATCGGGTCTCCGTCCTCTGCTCAGAGAGTTGATCACACTTTGCCGGCTGATCTTGCCCTCAAGAGCCACTTGAATGACACAAAGCGGTTCCGGGAGACGACTCCCTTCTGTTGCCCCAGGCGGCACCAATACGTACAGTTCGTGGGAAGGTGCGTCGCTCATGAGCTGGAGGTCGTCAGGACTGTTCTTGTAATGACTCGAAACGTAAAGTGAGACCATCTGCTGCAGGAACTTCTCCGGCACGGGATGGAAGCTGAAGAGGGTATCGCGATTGACGTGCAACAGCTCACACTGCGCTGGGTCCGGGCAGCCCTGGCTGAGCTTTGCTTTTGGCAGTGTTGCGTCCAGGCAGAGAAGCCTGTTCAGCCACCTTTCCACAGAATCTCCTTGTGCGTAACGGATTGGCTCTGACAAAGTAATCTCTCGCAGTGTCCTGCCACCGAGGTGGGAGGACTCCTGATTCTTGGCGGCCCTGCCCGTTGATCTGTCTGCAACCTCGCCCTCTCCGCTGACGGACGCGCCTGGTCTTGACTGCTCTCTTAGCTGCTTAATCAGCTTCAGCGACAGAGAGCGCCCGGTTCCCTCGTAACCATTGATTGTAGATGCCATAAAGACAAGGTACGGCCCCATCAGCTTCCTCACGAGTGGTAATGGGATGGCAGCAGCTTCGTCTATGACGACCAGTTCAGCCTGTCCAAGCACATGCGCATCCTGTGGTCTTATGTACTGGATCGTTTGTCTGTGGTCCCGGTGAATGTTGACTCTGACGATGGCCTTGTTCAGCTCCGGCGAGGTGGCCTGAATGATAGAGTAATCAAGATGGTCGACGTAACCCAAGGCATCGAATCCTTTGAAGATGAACTCGAAGAACGTCTTCAGGTTTTCAGGAGAAGGCGATGTGACGAAGATATTGCTGTAACCATACGCGACAGCTGATGCGACAGCCACACCCATTGCCGCAGATTTACCTCTTCCTCTCGCAGCGGTCAGGGTGACAGTATTCCTCAAGGTCTTCTCCGAGATGGCGTCGCAGAACGTCAACAGGGCCTTGGCCTGGTCCACCGTCTTCGCAAGCTTCACCAGTGACCCAACGGGTTTGGTGTCCTCCAGGCTCTCCTTGAGATTATCCAGCTCCTCTTGGGTTGCGGTCTTGGGCTGATCCAAGTCTGGGGGCGGAAGCGCCTTGACATCTTTCCCTCCCGATATGGGCAACACGTTGAACTCGTCGTCAATCACCAGGCACGAGTCGCAGCTCCCGAGCGACAATATGAACCGCTCGTTGAATCTGGCGACAACATCGTCGTAGGCTTCGGTTCGGTATCGCGAGTGGACGTCCATAGACAATGTGTAGAGGCTCTTCAGGCTGTTCATTCCCTTGAGTAGCAGCACCACCAGCCCGCCTCCCTCGACCGTCTCGATCGTTCGCGCAAGGATATTTGGCGTCACGGCCTCGAAATCCTGGAGGATACACATGCCGTATGTGTTACCGAGGACCTTCTCTGTCTCCTTGTAGTAGACATATCGGATGTTGTGGAGCGAAACAAAAAGTTCGAAGGGGTCCTCGGAGTTTGCTTCTCGTGTGCCTCGTTTGATTTCCTTCTTGATCTTTGCCTCGCGCTTCTTTCGGTGGCTGGTGAAGTCGAGCAGCTTATTCTTGTAGGCCCATAGCACCGACTTGTTCTGCTTGACGTCGACTTGGGAGAGGATATAGTGCAGGCGGACGATCGTATCTTTGGAATGGTCACCGACAACCACAAAGAAACTCCTCTTCTTTTCCTGGACTCCGTTGCGGATGAGAGCCGGGATTCTCGAGTCTCTGCAGGAAATTTTGGGATCAGTAACAAAAGCATATCTGTTGGACGGACTTAAAACTTACACTTGCTTGCGCGACATCTTGAACGAGGTCGAATGTGCGCCGGAGATCTCGAGTGATCCGAAATGCGACAGGCGAATTCGTACGGGAGCGCGAACATCAGAAGCTACTGAGAGCTTGAACTTTTTTCTGGCAGGCACTCGAAGTTTTTAGTGGGTCACGCCAGGATGTGGGGCCGGCCGGCAGGGTCCTCGGGTCCGGACCGGCCACGATCGGTCGCCGGCGCGGCCGGTCTTTTCAACTTCGACATCAATTCCAAGTTCGGTTGCTCGGCCAACCTATGACCACTGTCCCATAATCTGGAAGCTCCCTTTCTAAATTGAATCGCATTTCTTGTCCTTCAACAAGCCTTATTTGCTAAAAATGTGTCTCATGGTCGGCGACGGAAGATATGAGATCTGTAAATGCTCACTCTCGCCGAGATCCCATTCACCGCATATCTTGGACCAGCTGTGAGCCACTACCCGCATGAAGAATTCGCTGACTGTCATTGAATATCTTCAATTCCACAACTACAACAGCTCTGAAGAACCTCGCGGCTTCATGAAGGGCCGGGAAAACCAGCACAAGTCTATGCCTCAGATGGTAGGATCGCATGGATTGCTCCACGGGATGGGTGATTCATCTATACAAACAGCAGATCATCCCGCCTTTGAAAGATTAGAAATTTAAACACGGTGCCTCGAGCTGTCTCGAACTACCGGTAATCGAAAGTGGGAAATTAAAGAAGTTGCAACAGTGATCTGGCATCCGCGAGCATCTAGCCACAGCTGGATGCCAACTGGTCATAGTTAGAGAAACTATGATGGTGTTGAGACGATGAAACGACGACAAGAACATTTGCTTAGTACGTGCCAACAAGAAACGTCAAAAAACAGGCCTGCGATGAATAGTCTAAGTCACCTGAGCTATGTGACTGACTTATACGCAGGAAGCGAACGAGATATTGTTACCGAGATGCCATGCCATTATCTAAGTTGAGTCCATGCTTGGCAGTTCCGTACAAGATCACCCTGACGTATGCTATCCTACGGCGGAGTGAGTGCTGGATATTTCCTGCCCAAGCGTCTGGAGCCTCTGTGAGCTATAATTGTACAGCCTATCGATACACCGCTCAAGAATGCACAAAAGCGATGCCCTTGGAGCGTCACACAAGCCCGCAGGCAAAGGCACAAGGTCGTGATGGAGTGGTAGTATGAACTCTGTAATCGAAGAGGGAGATGATTATAGAAGCCCTCTCTAAAAGCTGCCGATGACATCGCCGTGAACGGCCTCTAATGCAGCACCCACGGCCTGTACCAAGAAAGAAAGAGCAGCAGACGACGCCGTAACGTGCACACACACACCGAGATCAGATGCCCACCCCAGCTAGCCTGAGAGCTCCCGACCAGCTCACACGTGCTCTCTCTCTGTCTTCCTCTTTCTACCTGTCGTGCTTCCTCTTCTCGTGCCTGAGCCTCTTCTGCAGCTTCTTGTACTTCTTCTTCTTCATCTTGAGCTTCCTCTGCCTCTTGACGCTGATGGCCTCGTAGCGCATCTGCCGCTGCGCCATGCGCTCCAGGAACGTCCGCGGCTCTGGGGCCGCCTTCGAGCCCTGCTGCTGCTGCGGCTCCTCGATGAGCTCCGGGCTGTGCGCCAGGATCTTGACGTCGCCGTGTGCATCCGTCGACTCCTCGATCGTGAAGACGGCCCTGTACACCCGCGTCTGCATCTGCTGGTCCGCGTCCGCCGCGGCGAGGGCAGCGTCCGACCCGGCCTTCCCTGCAGCAGCCTCGGTTGTGCTGGTCGCGGAGTGCGGTTGCGGTAGAGGTGGAGGGCGGAAGGGCAAGAAGTTGCCGGACATCGAGTTTATTTGCACGGAGACGGCTGCCTCGGCGCCCTCTCCTTGCATCATGTCGAGCTTCTGGATTCCGGCCTCAGTCTCGTGGGGGGTGTTGGCGTCGCTCTCGACGGAAAGGCTTGCCATGGGCTGTTCGAGGCCTTGAACGGTGCGCGAGATGGTGGACATGACCTCGGAGGGCTTCGCCGCTCTCGCGCGCTGTGTGAATATCGCTGCGAAGGCATCGTCGGTTACGATTCGGGGTAGGCTGTGTGTCACCGAGATAGGCCTGTGGAGAGAGAAGAACGAGGATAGGGCGAGGGCTGCGTGGCACAGGTTAGCATAGTGCACATGATAGCGATTGCCGGTGATTTAGCTGCGCATACATTCGTTGGGTATACTTTGCGTGCTAGGGACCCTTGGGAGCTGTTGTTCCTCCGAGCTCTCCTTCGCTTTCCGTTTCCTCTTATCACCGGAAGATTTTGCCCCGGCGGTCTTGGATACGGTAGATGGCTGGACGGACTGGTTGACGGGCAAGTCTCCCGAGTCGTTGTCTCGCGATGGTTTCGATGACGAGTAGCGTCTCTGTTGGAGAGGTCTGCATGTCAGGGTGATGTTGGCGACGGTCGCTCGTGGGATAGCTGAGCCGATGGATGACAGAATCGGCGAGTGTGGCGCCGTTGCGGCTACGCGCCGCACCGAGCCAGGCAACATGGCGCCTCTGGAGGATGGGATCGTTTCGAGGTAGGGGAGAGGTTCGCCGAGACCACCAGAGAGGATATGCGAGAGGAGGTGACGGGTCACGATGCGGGCAGAGGAGTGCTAGCCCGCTTGCCCGATGTTTGGTCACAGGTCGAAGTTGGAAGGGGGAGGATCGCCTCATCCGGGCAACCTTGAAAGCCTTGCCCCATTCAAAGGCTTGGCAAGCTGTCTGGTGGCCCGCTTATCGGCGACAGATAAGGGGCGGCCCCAAAAAGAAGGGTTTGAGCGGGCCAGGTGGGGGGGGGGAATCCGAGGGGGGTGGTTCAACGCGATCAACAATGAATATTGTTTCGTGTTCAATGTGTTGGCACCACTGTCTAACATGCTTTATTGGGAACATATGCATTCTCTTTCTCTTGTTAAATATCATTTCAAACAGGAAAGGATGCGTGCGGCGTCTTCTTTCCTCTAAATTTAGACCGGTCTCCTATTTGGGTCCACCGTTTGCTCCCTAGACCGCCCAAACGGCCCATACTATGCCGTGAAGCGGTGCTCAGCTCAACACTCCATGGGCCGGACCCAATGACCTCCGCTTGATCATGATATAGGGGGCAATTACACATGGATTTCGCTCATATGCAATAATAATCACAGCTGGTTTATACACTGAATTGTGAGACGGGTATACATCTCCCAGGCCCATTAATAAGAACAACAACTCCTAATCCCATCATCCCTTATAAGCCAACCACAGCCAGAACCCCCCAACCATCCACAATACTCTCCACGCCGTGGTCCATAATTCCCTCCACGCTATCACCAGCGTGTTCCTGCTACCCCTCCTCCTCGAACTCGTCGCCTTCCAGCGTGACTTGCCCGCGTCGTAGTAGTACTCGTCGTCCTCGCCAATGTCGATCTCTATCTTCGGCCCGTGGCCCCAGCCGCCCCAACGGCCCCCGTTCTTCTCCCTGTTGGAGCTGTGCCTCGCGAGGCCCTTGGCGTTTCCGCCCCCGCCCGGCGTCCGCTTCGGCGATGCGTTGCGGGCCTGCGCCACGAGGCCGTTCGCCCTGACTCCGGGCGTGAAGGACGCGCTCCTATCGCGCGTCGCGGACCGGTGCGGCGCGGCCGAGTTGAACGACGACGCAGAGGACCCATTCCGGTACCCGGAGTACCCGGACTGGGCCTGCTCCGGATCGTGGTCGTCCAGCTTCGCCTTGAACATGGGCAGCGCGGACCGGGACTTGCTTCCTGGCGCGCTCGGGTCGAGCGCAAATGGCTGTAGGTTCAGAATGGGCACGAGAAACGCCCGTATGGTCAGTGCTACGGCGCAGACGAAAGCGAAGCCGCCGTATCGCGCGTAGGTAGACAGCTGGCTGGGCAGCAGGCACAGATGCGTCTGCAGCGTGTGCTCCTGGTCACCTGAGAGTGGCTTCCCTTCCGCATCGATGGGGTTGTACATGCTGACCATGACAAAACCCGGCGTTGGGACGCCCATGGCCATGCTCGTGCTCTTGACTGTGATCTCCTTCACATTCGCCTGATTGTCCGCATGCCTCAACTCGCAGTAGTCGTGGTCATCGCCGGAAAACGCGTGAATAATGTTGCCGATCTTGTTGACCACGTCTATCGAGTCGCCTTCGTTAAGCACATTCTGGTACTGGTAGCCCCTAGAGACTGAAATCGCATTCCTATCGTCTCTGGCCCCTGGGTCCGCTGGGTTCGCTGGCGGCCAGTGTTCTCGCATAGGTCCACACTGCGTCCCTGGCGGCCGGTATAGCGGCACATGCGAAAGCAGTATCGTTGGCAGTTCCGCCTTGCCCTCGCCTGGATTCAGCGTCGGGATGTGGTTGAATTCTGCCGAAAGCGCGTCTTCGATCTTGTGCTCCTGTGGCACTTCCCCAACCTCTCCGCGAAGTCGTCGTAGCTCTCGCTCAACTGCTTTCCGTTTCGATAGTTGCGCCTTGTTCAGGAAATCCTCTGTTGGCTTGTAGATGCTGCTCAGATCGCCTTGGTTCCTGTCGTCCGAGGAGCGGGCGCTCAGGGAAACCGCGTCTATCGACACAAAGGTGTGGTTCGCGATGACGTCCACCCTGTTCACGTCCCCGAAATACGCCTCGAAGCGATTTCTCACAGGGACCTTGACCTCGGAGCCAAACCCGAGATCATGGTTGCCAGGTAGACTGGCAATCAGCCTTCTCCCTCTTTGGCCTCGCCCTGCTTCTTTTCCGCCGAGATCCCAAGGGTTGACGAACAGCCCAATGAACCTCGCATATTCCTTCAACCAGAAGTCTTCTCCGTACTTTTTCTTCCACTTTTTCGCGTAGCCTACTTCCCCCTTGGGTCGGTGGTTCCAGCTTGGGTCTTGGGAATCGCCGTGGAATGTCCGCCACTCTCTGCCTCCGTCGAACAGGTCGCCCAGAAAGAAGACCGTGTCAGGGTGTAGCTGCTCTTGCAGCTGGCGGTACGACCGGCGCATGTAGTTGTCGGTGACGGTGACAGTCAACGAACTGATCGGCCAAGGTCGCCCGGGGTAAGAGTGCGGATCGATCAGTTGGGGGTCGGCGACGAAGATCAGGTGGTGAGGCGTGGCATCTGACGGCTACAGAGACGGTACGTGTTGGTCAGCTTCCGGTGTCTGTGTAATACGGCGCCCCAGAGGAGTAGGGCAGGGACATCATTACCCATTTCTCCCAATTACTCCAGTGACAGCTCTCGACCTTTGTGTGGAATATCCATCGCTCTCCCCAAAGTAATACCACGGCCCATATCATGACCATGAGGTGTGGGAAACTGGAAAGGCGACGGAATGTTAGATTCCTGCGCAGCTGGTGGGCCACGTCGAGCAGGAAGGCCAGCGTCGCCCTCTTCCCCCTCGCATTCCAAAACCGATGCAGCGACTGCGCCTGGCGCCTGAGGAAGCGCATGAAGTCGCCTACGGGGTCCTGGTCGTGGTCCCCGAAGTGAGCATAGTTCTGGCGAAGGTTGGACGGGGCGTGGGGAGCATAGCCGGACGAGGAGGAGGAAGGGCCGCCATTGCCGCTGCCGGTGTAGCTAGCCATGACACGGCTAGCATAGGAGGCAGGGGGAATGTGGCAGGTCAGGTCGATGTTGGGATGGATATCCGGGCGGAGGGTAGTCGGAACACCGGGTGCGTGTGTGCTATGGAGGCGGTGGTGGTGGCCTTTGTCTGACAGCCATGCCTCGAATCCAGCCTGCCCAGGTTTAGGAACGGAACCATGTAAAAGCGACAGACAGTAGGACAAGCCCGATGACGACCCCTGACCCGCAGTTCTGATGAGCTGCGTGGCGGGGGGACCGGGGACTTAAAAGACGAGGACTGCGGTGTCAAGAGAAGGTTTCAGGAACAAGCAGATGGTCGTGTGGTTTGCTAAGGAATGCAGGAGAGCTGCATGCAGACAACTGGCTAAACCATGTCTCATTGACTTTCGGGCGAGCTACAGGGCCACGGACTAGAGACTACCGTAGCGCGGCGGGAGCTTCAGCTTCGCCAAACCATTTTAAGTTAGATGAGCTGATCTCGACTCGGAGCCGAGGCTCCCTCCTCACAGCACTGTACAGTGAGTGTGTGCGTGCTGCACAGCCAGACAGCACAGCAGCCAGGGCACATTTGCAGATCTTGGCAATCAACCGCAGCTCGTTCGGCTCGAAATTGCCCTCTTTCAATTACGCACTACACATTCCTAGTCGATGAAATGGCATAATAAGAAATAATCTCGTTGGCAATACAACACAGGGTACAGCTCGAGAAACCATTGAAGTCAAACGGCAAACCTCCGACGCGTGGCATATGCACCCCAGCTTTGTCTGAGGCATGTCATCCCCGCCCCGAGCAACGGTCCGTTGACAAAGTTCCCCGAAATGAACAACACGGCAACCTTGGCTTTTCTCGCAAGGCAGCCAATATCTGCTACTGAATGGAGGATTTGGACGGTCAGCAGACCAGCAATGGTCACATTGGCATGTTTCTTATACTTCGTCGGCAGCCACGAGCAGGTCACAGCGGACAAGGGACCACCTGCCGGTCCGGGCCAAGCAAAGTGGCACCCTGTCTGGAAAATCACTTTGCCCTTCTTGGACCTGGTCTTCCAACACGATCTGGACCACACGGTACTCGGCACACAGCGGATTGGGCAGACACGAAGCCACAGCCAACCAACGCGCTCATGTTTTATCGCGACAGCTTTGAGTACTGACTTGCTTGCATATTGTCACTCCAACGACACGAGTACTCGATTGTGTTTACCGCTATATCCGGCCTCGAGTAATCCAGTCTCGAGATCTCATCTCACTGAGAACGTCGCTCAGTTGTCCTTTCCAGCACACATTGCCCCTTCCCCCCTCCCCCCAGGACAACAGCATACCTAGGTAAGCAACAGCCAAAGCTCTTTTCCTCCTCAACCTTCGGCCGCCCAGTCCACACAAACAGCCCTGAGATGGGTCCATATATTTACAGTGGGGGAAATAAGATGAAACCAAAAATAAAAAAATAAGACAGCCAAGAGCAAATGGCCCTCAAGTAGAGAGGGGCCAAGATCTCTTGGTCGTAGTATATTTCCCGGGATTCCGAACCCTCCTGCACATGCATCGAAAATGCCATCGTTCCCTTTGTATCGCCATGAACCCGAGGCGTATATCCGTTCCTTAAGAGGTGTGGTAAGGAGTGTATTGAAGAGTATTGCGAGCTAATCATGGCAATTTAGGTAGGTGCCTGGTCCGGGTTTGGATAGAAACCTCCTAAAAGACCCAGGTGAAGGACTCCTTGACTTCGAACGATATTTTCCGTCTGCAGGAGAAACAGTGTCAGCAGATATCTATATCATCGCTAGAGAATAAACACCATGCAACGTCCAAAAGGGAAGAGAAAACCAACCTGATATCAGCCGACGACGCCCCGATGAGGACCTCAAACCTCCCCTCCTCAGCGATCCACGCCCGCAGCGAGGTATCATAGTACCCGACGGCGTACTTGTCGATCCTGATCCGGAGGTGCCTGGTCTGGTCCCTCTCGAGGAAGACCTTCTCGAACGAGACGAGCTCCTTCTCGGGCCGCGGCAGCCTCGACTTCTCGTCGCGCACGTAGACCTGCACCGTCTCGAACCCGTCCGCCTCGCCGATGTTGCTCACCGCCACCAGCAGCTCGAGCGCCGGGCCGTCCTCGGAGAGCACCCTTGCGCTCAGCGAGGGCCGCCCGTACTCGAACGTCGTGTACGAGAGGCCGTGGCCGAAGGGGAACAGCGGCGCGATGTTGGCGCGCTCGTAGTGCCGGTACCCGATGTACAATCCCTCACCGTAGACGACGCCAAGGTTCTCGCCGGGCCAGTTGTGGTACGCTGGTGTGTCTGTGAGTGCCTTGGGGAAGGTGCACTGCGCGAGACGGTCAGTAAAAGCTACTCCCAGACGGCATTCAAAGATGAGCCAGCACTCACCGGGAGCTTCCCACTGGGGTTCTTGAAGCCGAACAGGACGTCGGCCAGCGCATTGCCAGCCTCTTGGCCCTGGTACCACGCCTGGATGATCGCAGGCACCTCATCAACCCACGGCATCGTCACCGGCGACCCGGACTGGTTCACAACAACGGTTTTCGGGTTGGCCTTGACGACAGCCTGCACCAGGCGGTCCTGGCTGCCGTCCGACGGCAGGTCCATCGTCTGCCTGTCGTAGCCCTCGGACTCCCACTCCGCATCAAGACCGACAATCACAACAGCGACGTCGGCCTGTCTCGCCGCCTCGATGGCCTCCTGGAGGTAGTCGACCTTGTCCTCCTGCTTGAAGCCGATGCGGCAGCCCCCGTACTTGTGCGTCATGTTGAACTGCTTCTGCTTCGAGATCGGCCGCAGCTCGTTCGTCATCTCCACCTTGAGCTCCACGGCCTTGCCGGCCTCCATGTCCACCTCTACGAGATAGTCCACCGAGCCGTCGAACATGGCCTCCCCCTCCTCCGTCCAGTCCCAAAGGTCCAGAGCGAGCTTTCCGTCGAGGTACAGCTTTCCCGGCCCGACGCTCATGAAGCTGATGGTGTGCCTCCCTGATATTGTCGGTACCAAGGACGTCCTCGCGATTGCCGACCAGTCCGGGCCGACCTGTGAGAGCGGCGCCGAATCCCATAGGAAGAGATCCGTGTTCGTCCTTCTCTGCTGTACGACTGGTGTCCCCTTGAACTTGTCTCCTGCAAACCAATCAATTGTGACTCCCTGCTTCCCGTCCTGCGTTTTACAATATGGCGATGCGACAGGAAGCCACTTGTTGATGTGGCAGCCCTGGGCATAGATCACCTCCTTCTCTGCGGCGTTCTTGATGCTGTCAAGGGGAAGTGTGTTGTAGTAAGGGTTCAGACTGGCACTCCCCCCACCCCCAGCGATTGCGCGGTTGGCATTGGGGCCGATCACAGCCAGCTTCGCAGTTTTCGGGTTGATGGGGAGGATGCCGCCCTCGTTCTTGAGCAGCGTCAGACCTTGGGTTCCGGCCTCCCTGATCAGCGCCCGCGTCTCCGGCCGGTTGTCTTGCCTCTCCGGCTCCTCGGTATATGCTTCACCACCCGTGACTCGGTGGACCAGGGTCAGCGCGTTCTCAGCCGCTTGGTCGATGTCCGCCTGTGAGATTTTACCCTTTTTGAGCGCGTCTAGGACTTTTTCAAATCTCCATTTTGTGGAAAAGGGGAATTCAATGTCACATCCTGCCACGATTGACTCCTCAGTTGAGTTTATGCCGCCCCAGTCTGAAATCACTGTGCTGTGGGCGAGGTTAGGTCTGATCCTGCTCCGATGATGCTAAAAAAGAAGAAAACTTACCCATCGTATCCCCACTCGCCGCGTAAGATGTCTTTCAGAGTGAGCGTATTCATGTCCGCGTGAACACCATTTACGAGGTTGTAGGAGGACATGATAGCCCACGGGTTTGCCTCCCGCACGGCAATTTCGAATGGCTTGAGATATAGCTCTCGTAACGGCCGCTCCTGAACAATAGAGTTTATGGTCAATCGGTGAGTCTCCTGTTCATTTCCGACAAAGTCTGCTCCACGCGTCAGCAGTATTCCACATGAAATCCGATGTCCGGCGCTACGAACGCTTGATAGTGGCAGCAACGCCTTTCTGTTGCAAGCCCTGGATGTACTGCGCCGCGAGCTTCCCCGTGAGAAGCGGATCTTCCGAAAAGGACTCGAAATTCCTGCCTCCCAGAGGATGGCGGTGCATGCAAACAGTGGGCGCGAGCAGGATATGGGCGGACCTCGCCTTGACCTCGTCCGCGAGGTGCTGGCCGACCTCGTAAAGCAAGTCCTGGTTCCATGTTGCGGCTAGTGACACGCCACATGGAAATAGAGCCGCCTGAACATCACTCAGCATGTTTCCATCGATCTCCTGAGACTTTCAGGGGTGGAGCTCACCTTTGTGCCGCCGACGAAGATCCCTCCACGGGCACCATTTGGTCCATCACTCGTCTTTGCTGCCGGGATCCCTTTCGAGGTGATGGCTTTCGTCCTCCAGAAGTCCGCAGCGGTGAGGAGTGAGACCTGGCAGACATCAGCGACGCTCGTTGAATAATTCCCTGAGGCAACCATCCTATACTCACCTTCTCTTCTTGAGTGAGCTGAGACAGCTTCTTCTTGGCCCACAGTCTCTCACTCGAGAGATGGCTCCGGTGCTGCTGGACAGGGCTCTCTGGTGGCGTGACCTCCGTATCGGGAGTGGAGACTGTTCCGGCGCTTCCCATGCCCAAGTGGGAAGTGTCAGCGTCCACGTCGCTGTCTAGGGCCATCTCCCTCGCAACTTCTGCTATGATGGCCATCTTGGCTGGCACCTTTCTGGATCACTGTAATGGCGAGATGCCTTGACTGAAGTGTGAATATTTGAAGTCAGACCGAGGATCCAAACACATGCTCAAAGGTATGGCTTCCAGGTCGAAAACAGGGAACGAGCGTGGGTGTCTTCTCAACAGCAACCAAGAGATAAGGAGGATCAAAGACCAATGACCAATGCTTTATCACTCGGACGAGGCTGGTGACGTTCTGTTGGCTGCGATTGGCACCAACACACCCACCCGGGGGCAAGTCACGGGGATGGCTTGATATCTATATAAGCCGTACGCGATGGATCAGCAGGACCGGAGCATAGCTGCTCCACCCCTGCCGAGATTTAGCCGCCCCAAATGAATTATTCGGAAAAACCATCGAGTGAGAGTTCAAGTGCCATAAAGATCCGTCCTTGGCACTGAAGCCCGTTTCATACCCTGGATGGGTCGTATCTGGGGGCTCATAAGCCTGGGGTTCATCAACATGAAATATGATGGATAATAATGAGGAGAAGCATGTTCGTGATGTGGTTGTTTGTCCGCAGGACACGTCCGCCCGATGCTCATGTGGATCGACACCATTGATTGAGCCAAGAGAGCTAGGAGGAGGGATACTGGAGGACGGTGGGCGTTGGGAGTAGGGATGGACCCTGTGGGCGCTGTTGGAGTGCATTTGATTCCGTCACTTGACTGCTGGTGCTTTAGAGATCCAATCTATTGCGGCTCGCAATGGGGCATAGTCAGATCGGTAGGGACGGACCGTGTGAGCGGTGGTATTGTACGGGGTCATAGTACGGATGATGGGACCCTTGCCCGGGTCCCATATCCAAGAACTGGCCGTTCTCGCCTGCACACAGGGCCGGCAGGATGCTGACATTGAATCCACGGCAGAGGCATGAGCGACCTAACTCAACAATGCCTGCTCAAGCTGCGAGAAGTCCTCTTGGAAGCTGCGTTGGTTGTTGAATAGCTCGGTCTCAAGCTGCCGAGGCTGACGCTCAAAGAGGCCATGTCGCGTGTCGGGAGCGGAACTCGAGAGCTCGGAAGGGAACTCTTCTCGAAGCTTGTGCAGCTCGCGGGGCATGCAAAGGGAACGCCACTCGGGGCATTTCCTGCTTCCTCTCCAATGGATGCAGTGCAGGGGGCAGGGGAAGCAATCCTTGGCCTGCGGTGTGGAGGCAGATGGGAGGTGGGAGGTGGCAAGGTGTGGCAGACCCGACCGACGTTCCTGGATGCAGGCCACGGTCTCTTCGGGATTGACGGACAGAGACAGAGGGCTGGGAATGGGGATCCTTGTCCATGAGCCGGTTTGTAGTCCCGGCGGCTCTCACCTGCCGCCGCCGACGATCCACACAAAGCTGTCCGGTAAGCCATCATAATATCATAGTACCAGAATACCGGAGTACATAAGCAGTGCGACGCCCAGACTTGTTACATACTTGAATGCTGCTTTTCCTGTTGCGACGCTCTCAGCTGTTGCTAGCTTGCTCAGGGCCTCAGGGCCGTCTGCCCTCGTTCCGGCACCGAGTCCGTCTCGAAGCCGGGCAGGTTGCTGCAGCATTTGTCGATGATCTGGAAGATTGTTCTCGCGCTTCTCAACCGAGGCGCATCGAAGTCACAAGCATAGGTCGAAGTTAGCCGGGACTTGCCGTTCGGCCGTCGAGAGATGCATGGTCCATCCCTTCCCATGTCGATGCCGATGAAGTTTAAATGCCGTACTGTGTCTCTTCGTGCAAGACAGAAATGTCCATCAGTGTCTGCGCGAGCCCCCGCCCGCTGGGGTGAGATATCAAGTGGGGGTCTGCCGTGCGGCAATCCGGCCCGAGACTCCTCCCCTCGGGACCCAGTGAGCCTCATTGGATTGGCTCCTCGGAAGCTCGATCACGACAATTCAACGACGTAAGCCCGACCGCCCCGGAGCCGCTGTCAACACCGCACTCCTCGCGATGCAGGTGCGTGAATCATCATGCAGTACAATCCTGTTGTGGTTTGTAATAATCCAGCAGGCGCCGACATACCTGTTGTGCGGAAGGGGGGCACGAGATGCAACCTCGCACGTCTTGTCCCTGCGGGTGCTTCACCAAAGAAGGCATTCAGTGTCACTGGGCGGGTCTTCCATTTCAGGCATGGCCTGGACCTTGGATCAAGCCCCTCTGACATGTGAGTCTGTTCCAACTGGCATACCTGCTGTCAGGTGTTGCTTATCAGTGTCATCCCTCAGAGGCAATCCCTAACAAGGTGGGAAAGCCTGTCCTCAGGCACTGTCTGTGCGAATCCCGAGCAAGCGGTTTCGAGAATTTGGTTCAGTTCACGTTGGACACTTTTGTTTCCATCAATCATGATTTAGCCGTACCACTGTATTTGATCCCATGTGGTCAGTAGGGCTGTTCACGAAACAAGACTAAACGTTGAAAGAGGCTTAAAACGAGCCGCGGCGCCACACGTCAGCGCCTTGTGTTCTAGAACCGGCGCCAGATAGGAGTGTCAGCGTCCGCCCCAAACGAGTCGAACCATGGGTTGCCAATCGTGCTAGACTGGCCAATACTCGCCATCTTAATCCAGCCAGAAGATGGTGAGCTTTCCGTAGCTCTCATGGTGTTGTTTCGCCCATTCGATCTTTGGGGCGAACTCAATCTCCCAGGACAGTGGATATCGTACAAATGCCATGAAGTTTCACAAGCATCGCTTGCGAGCACTGTCAAGCAGCCAGGGGCGTCACGGGAGGACGGCATAAGAGCCGTCGGGTAACTTCCCTGCAGTTCCAAGAAGCCCTCGAAAGATGTTGGCAGGTGTATTTTCTTATGTATCTTTTTTCCCCTCTGCATGGCATCCCGGAGTGTTATGCGGTGAAACGGTGACATTGGCTTTGTCATTGCGTACGCGATTGTGGACAAATCGGAGATATTGTCGGCTGTTGGAACGTTCGCAGCGCATGTCTGACTAGACAGAAGGCAGCAGGCGCCGGTTGTTCCGACCCAGAGACTCTCGTATCCAGGTGGGTGCATGGGGACAGTGCGACCTTCCATAAAGCAAGGAGAACACCAGCCTGGGGACATGAAATCAATGTCGCTGGATCTGGATCTGGATCTGGCGCCTTGCAGCTTGGGTTCCAAGCTCTTGCGTCAGATGCTGCCCCAAGCGCGCTCAACGCCAGCATTCTCTGCCTGCAGTTGGACCGCCAACATGTCACTGGCTTCCGTAATAACTGCGCGGCAGATTTCTCTGCCTCAAATTTTCATGCTTAGCCAAGATATGTCAGAGGCACAGGTTGCGTCGCCAACCGTCGCTTCCGCTGCGGAATCTGATGCATGGGTCCGTCCATCAGCGGCCGCTTCGAGGTTCTGCACTCGGTAGAACGGCCCTTCGGTACATCTGTAAACACAGAATGCACCCACGAATGTTGGCTCCGTCAAGCGCTGTCTCAGTCCCGGCTCGGGAAGCCCGGTGGACGAGACTTCGCGGGCAACATTGTCCTCGAGCGGTCAAGCCCGCCTCCGGTGACATCGGTGCCGTATTTCGGGATGGCCGGTCTCTCCGGTGCTACCGCTTGTAACTCTAAAAGAGAAATAAGCTCTTTTTGACTTGGTAGTATTGTGTGTCCAGGTTAATAATATGTGATCCTTATAAGGAGCTCCTGCACGCAGCCCTGCACGATATCACCCACCGTCGCCTTTTCGAGGCTTTTAGAACCGATCTGAAGGGAACTCGAGGTACGGCAATCAAGATGCTGCCAAGGATTTCCCGGAAGCCTGGTCCGACAAGCAACGTCGCGCTGGCCAAGGGGGCAGGCTTCGCATATGCACGCGGCTCTGCATGTCTGTGTTGGACGAGCCTCACCCAACACCGGCCATACAGCCCCCACTTTGATCCGATCGAACCCGGTAGAAGAGACGCGGGCTGCGCCCTGACTGGCATTGTGTCCGTGCTGTGAGGCTGCCATCGAGAGCTTTAGAGGTTAGGCCCAAGGCCAACACGAAGTCCAAGAGTATTGTCGAGGCGCAAGAGGAACAGGATTGTGTACGTTTTGGCTCGACTACCCGGAAGATCGCGCCGACACTCACTGGCATATCGCTCCTGTCGCCCGTGTCGCTTCTCGTGGAGCCTATCTCAATTGAACATGAGGCCAAGGTCTGTATTTTCTCAAAGGAGGCCATTGTTTGGGCATTTGTCCGATTGGCCACCTGTGTCGCGCATAATCATGTTGCCGTGCCCTCGAGTTATGATATGCATCTGTCAAATACGGCGGATTCTCAACTGAACCTGATGGGAGGGCTCCCCTTCAGCTTTCTCTTTGGCGGAAGAGTGATATTAGTCGAGACAAAAGATTCAGCCAGCATCGGGTGGATGATGTATTCGAGCTGCTCAAATTGAGACACCAACACATGGCCCAGCTGTATCATGTTGTCAACTGGTTGAGGCGTAAATCTGGATCCATGTGCTCTTTCGTAGAGAATGGATATTCGCACCCGTAGAAACGGATAGCGCACGTGGGTCTGCTCGTCTAATTAAGCAGTGAGTCGATGTACCCACTCAAGCACCGTCCCCGGCCGACCGTTCGTTTCCCCGTTGTCCTGGCAATAATGTCTTGGTCCAAGGATTGTTTATAGCTTACACTTAGTAAAAGTTCCTTGACATTACTCCTCCAGCAGAACTATAGACTATAGCAAAAGAAATAGGACCTAAAACGACAAACAATCTGTAAAAATTCACATTGATGGACTTGCGCGTTATTGATTCGTTGTATATATGCGGCATCGATCGCGTGCTAGTTCCTACTTATCGCCACTTTTCTTGACGGGGAAGTCTTTGAATTTGAGCGTCTCCGCAGTACCCATATGGAGGTGATGCGACTAGGACTCAGGGTTCCAGGCAGTCAAGCCACCAGCTGGTTGTGGCGGAGACTTGTGCTTGTGCACGCGGACGTGCATACATGAAACAACACAGAACCTGGAAGGCACTCTATGCATGAGTTGTGAGCGGAGTGACTTTTGCTGATGCAAGAATAGCATAGCGATAGCTTCCGCTGATTTGACATCGCATTCTGCGAATTCGGACTCCCCCATCCTTGAAAGAAAAGCTCGAACGCATGTGAAACCCTTCTAAGAATGTGATGTTCAAGTCTTCTCTCCCTGCTATGCCATGTAATAGGTGCGCCTCACTTCTTCTGGTGGACGAAAAGCAAACCAGACTGCCCAGAAAGATTCGCAACTGAACCCGAGCCAACGAGCTGCCTGCGTGCCATGTCCAACCATGGCACCACGGCAGCTCTTATTTGTTCATGCTCGCCGGAGGGTGTTGAAGTAACGGCCAAGATATGCTCGTACAAGTTGACGGCGACGGAAGCTCGATTGGCACGCAGGTATGCTTCAGCAAGGACCACCTGAGTTGCAAGAAGGTGTCGATCTGACGTGTCAAAGGTCGAGATTTTCACCGTCACGACATCCTCTAGTACTTTAATGGCCTCTGATATCTGGCCATCTGCCAAGTGCGCCCTGCCAAGTTCATGTTGGTATGTAAGGCGGCGAATATCTGACTTTTCAAGGGCGACCAATTCCTCCCCTACCAGATGCTTCAATATCCTGATTGAATCTGTTGTTTGCCCGTTTTGTGTATAAGCAACTGAGAGCTTGTACTTTGAGTGAATGCAGTCCAGATGATTCGGGCCAAGAATGTTTTCACGGGTTTCCACGACACTCTCAAGGATCTTGATCGCTTCTACGATGCGGCCCTGCCCAAGAAAAGCTTCAGCACGCTGCGATTCGAGTTGGCTCTGATCCACTTGCGAAAGAAGCTGCTCTTGTAAGGTGGCGGCCGAAGTAGCGGGGGTTGCTTCTTCAATAGAAACTGTTGAAGAACTGTCCGGTTGGATTATTCGAAGACCTCTGAGAGGCAAGCGTACGGTGTTGTTGTCTGAGAAGATAACGGATCTCTCCGTCTGTCTAACGTGCTCATTGGTCGTTCCAATATGGGCTGGCGGGCGCGGGAATGCTGAGATGGCCAGAGAGACCACATGAGCGCTTAGGGCATTTTGTATTTCCGTGATTGCTGTGTGCATTGGCACCATATATGCGTGGTCATCGCCGTTTATTGCGATTATGTATCCGTATACACACCCATCTCCGAGTACCCAGGCACCAGAGTCGCCTTTCATAAGTACTGCACCTATTTGGAGATCAGTAACTGGCTAACCATATCCTGAGTGATTCACAATGGCCTGGGTAAATTGGAAGTAAATTACCTTTGTCCATGACGATCGTTCTCACTTGAATAAAACCCTGGTCTGCGTTGAGCATTATCCCGCTCGAGGAGGATGACAGAGTGCCAGCCAAATCGCCCCTTAAGGTTCTGATGGCTACCGCAGTGCCCTCTCTAGGAAATTCCGACTCCTTGGCTGTGGTGAAGCTGGTCGTGTCGTGGTCGAAACCTAGCTTAGTTGCATCGAATAGCGCCCAATCGTACAATGGGAGTGCTCCCGGATTCTTTGGATGAACCATGCTTCCGATAATCGGAGAGTTACCAATGATTCTGTTGTGTTGCTCCATGGAATCTTGACCCAGCTGCTCTAGGAGGTGCGCAGCAATGAGGCCGACTTGTCGCGGAGGCTGGTTGGGGGCCTCCATGCGTAGGAGGCCACCACAGGTGCCGCGTACATATTGCGAACCGTCTTTCTTAATGAGACGTATACCCATTCCATGCCTCACCCCTGCAGCGATATTTATCGGGTCGTGTACTACAGACACTGATTGAGGATCAGTTGCGGGTGCTTTCGAGGCATTCAAGGAATGACGTCCTGGGCCACTGTCGCTGTCTTCCGCAGATCTGAGGGAATCGTTGCTATCCGATAGGATATCTGACTCGCTACTGTCCGATTGGGTCTGCGGGCTGTTTCGGACAGTGTCGTTTGGCAAGCCGATCAGTGTTGAAGACCCTTTGCATGCTAGAGCCAACAGCTCAACTGTTGTCCCATCCTCTGGTCTGCACCGGGTTTGCACCGTACCATCCTTGTTAAGGAAATCTTGCATCCTCTTGATGTGTCTAGGAATCACGACCAACACTGCCGGCATTGAACTTGCTCTAGTGACGCCAGCCGACATCAACTCAATGACCGGAAAGGATTGCCGCTTGTTCAACGTCACAGCAAATCGCCCCCGTCGCAGCCTTTTATGCACTCGGTCGAAAATCTCAGGACGTATAACCTGCCAACGGGCTTCGTAAAGCTTTGGAATTATCTTCTGCGTTTGGTCATAAATTTTCATCCCTCCAATGCTGTATTTTGGGGTATCCTCAAGTGGCTGACAGTCAGCGGCCACTGCTGACCCTTCTACAGGCCTAGAAAGTCCCGATGATGCTGCTGTTGTTGAACCAATGATTGAAGAAGAGGCCGTATTCTTTTCATGATTCGGTATGGCTTTCGAGACCTCATCACTTGTGTCTGGCGAGAACGCATTCATATGCGTTGCAGACTTCGTCGGATCAAAGCCATCAGAACCGTAGGTCGCTTCAGAGCGGGGTGAGATGTTCAAACTGGGAGGTGGCGACCCAGTCGAACCGTCGCATCTGCCTTTCCCTTTCGTTGCGTTCTGAGAAGTTTCGAGCTTTTTCAACCCTCCCTCGGTATAGAGAGGGATTGAAACCCGTGCTTCGTGTGATTGATGCGTCTCACTATTTTGCTGCAGCAACTCAGTGATTGAAGCATTCCCGTTGTAACTAGCGTTCGAATCCTTCTTTCTTTCTCCCATGATACCTAGCCCCGCTCTTGCGCCGTAATGTGTAACAAGACAGATCTGCTCAAGATTGGGTCGGCTGTGAAGCCGAGGCAACATAGCATGTGGAATGACATGGAATGGGTGGATGATGTGATGATCAGATGAGAGAACTGCCAGGTTGAAGTGTCAAGAAAATTGGTGATATTTCCGATCACAAAGCGTGGTCTTTCGGTTGCAGACCGTTCACCTGAGATGAAGTCGCAAGCGTAAACTGCCTGACCTCCTTCTGTGTTGGCGCTGCAGAAACGGTAGAGTGGAGCGGCACACCTGCCAGGCGGGGTGATAGGTAGATAATGCTCGGGGCTAGACTCGTCTGCATCTCAACTCGCAGATACGGTGGTTTAATATGCACCTCGTCCTGCAGATGTGGTCGTGCTGACGGAAGCTTTGGGTCTTGTCGCCCCAGCCACACAAGACCCCGGGTTTAAGGAGGCCTCGTTGTGGTTCCACGGGGTTGTGAAATGGGCCTCCCGGTGCGTGGGATGAATTTTTACACTTGAGATCTTCGGTGACACAAAGTGGTCAGCAGCCTCAGTACAGTCAATCGCCGTCCACCTGTACATTCAGAAATTGGTTTCTCCTCCATAGCATCTCGGTCTTGAACACATCATGTAGCAGATGGCCTCGAATACTAAACATGAACATGGCGCCGCTTCGAGAAGAAATCAGCTCTACACCAAACTGTGGGAGCTACACCGATGCGATGGATCTGGCCCAATTTGCCGTTGGAAGCTGGTGGATGAGGGCTTCATGGATGTTTTTCTTGCTCAATTCCAAAAAGCCATAAAAGGCGTTGCAAGCTCAGAAGAAGAAGTACTGGAAGCAGTGGCATGCATCAAAGCAGCCTCTGGAAACGTGAAAAGGGTGTCGCGTACAACCGAGCTCAATCTCCCAAGTCCAGGTATTTCACCTTCCACGCTTCGGCTCACAATACATAGTAAAGGCTGATATTGCAGCTCAAACACTGGTGATTCCAACAGAGAAAGAGCGCTCATTCCAACTTGCGGCCAGTATCGCAACTATGTGTAATTGTATCGGTCAGGACTGGGACGACCTGCATTACGGAGACTCGGCCCTGGGGTCCATGGGACGCTGGCAATGCGATGAGTCTCTTGATGCATTTATCATGGATTCATTTCCAAAAAAGGAGCATGAGGCGCTCCAAATAGGCGGCAGAAAAAGCGAGGCTATTATGCGCAAGCTGACTGCTGTCAACTTGAAGACAATCGGAAATATTGAGATTCAAGGAACGCACGACTTGAGAAACCACCTTCGGCTCAGTGACTGGGAGGGAAAAGTCCGCATCAAAATCTTCCACCATACGAGCTTCCTGAGGCAGCACTTGCTGGCCTCAAAACAGGCGAAGGAACAGAAGTAAGTCCAATCTGAAATTCAATCTACATCAAAGACTGACGACCTTTTGCTGCCACACCAGTGACCCCGACGAGGTCTTTGATGGTTTCATTCTCCCGCGTGAGTTAGCCTTGGAAACGCTCTACACATTGCAGATACTGTTTCCGAACGACAGACAGACGAACAAGCTTATAAAGAAATTGATCTTAACAGAGGGGTTCGATCCAAATGTCGGCAAGCACAACACCAACGGCACAGATGAGAACGGCATAGAGTTAAGAGGTGAGCGAAGAGAAGCGCAGAAGTGGAAATACTGGGGTTCACAGATGCTGGAATTGTACGAAGAGCTCCAGAATGAGAGGCCACACGGGAATTGGGACGTCTGGGTGGAGCGTAACAGCAAGAATAGGCATGTTATGATGGCTACAATCATTGGAGTCTTTATAGCAGTGCTTCTGGGGCTTCTGAGTCTTGGTCTGGCTGGAGTACAGACTTGGATAGCGTACAAAGCTTGGAAGAACCCTGTGGAGAATACAGACAATCCTGTTTCTTAGTCTTCCCATAATTTCCACTCACATAACCCAATCAGAACGAGAGACTCACGTCCATATTCATGGGATGTCCAGTCACCGAGAGCTGCACCATAGTTTGTTGGGCACTTTTCCCTCTACACCAGGGATGGTTCTATCCCGCCTTCACTGGGTTGTGCCAAGGTATCAGAAGAGAATATCATCAATTGTTATGCCCGGCCGTAAGCTGTTTTCCGCATTCAAATCACTTTCATATGTGAGTACATAGTAACTACTTATGAACCTTTTGGTCACCGCTTTAGAGATGTTGAAAGACCTCGAATTTGCTTGATGCACTTGTCTTCTCGCCATGGCTGCTGCTAGGCTTGTACAACGACATTCGAGAACGCTCATACAAACATGAAATATCAATATGGTCAGAAAACAGTCTGCCAAAGGGAACCGAGTCCGTCACGCCCGAGTTCATTCGACACCATGTTTCTCTTTCCTCAGTATTCTCTGTCCAGTGTACTGGAGGCGGCAGTAGCCTTCCTGCACATCTCTCATGCCTATTCTTTAAATCGTACCTTCGAGGAGTCGTGCTCTGCCTTTGCGTCTGAGACGAATATTCCAAATGTGGAAGTCCACTTCAGTCAATGTCTTCCCGTGGGCTACAATCTGTCTATTCCCGACTTCGTAAGTTCACAAGCGACCCATTCTGATTTCGCACACATTACTGACTGAATTTCACAGCCGCAATCATGCATCGAATCCCACGGATCCTCTGCCAACCAAATCATCCGCTCCGAAGTGTGTCGTGTTGCCATGCTAGTTAACACGTCCTCTAGCAGCAGCATGACTCTGGAGGCTTGGCTCCCTTCTAACTGGACCGGCTGCTTCCTAATCGGAGGCAATGGTGGCCTCTCCGGTTGTATTCAATACCCGAACCTGTCATACGGCTCCTCCTCGGGCTTCGCAACCGTCAGCGGAAACAATGGCCACAATGGCTCATCTGCAGCTCCGATATACCAGCAGCCCGATGTGCTGGAAGATTACGTCTACCGTGCGATCTACACCGGAGGAGTTGTTGGGAAGCAGATAGCTGGCGCCTTCTACGGGAACAGTGTTTCCAAGTCTTACTACATGGGCTGCTCCGGCGGAGGCAGACAAGGATTCAAGCTGGCACACTTTTTCCCAGAAATTTTCGGTGGCATTATTGCTGCCGCCCCAGCTATTAACTTCAACAACCTCATCAACTTCGGAGGTTGGCTTAGCACTATAGCCGGCTTCAACACAAGCTCCCCTAATTTCATTAGCGAGCGTCTATGGCAGGTCATTCATGAGGAGGTTATGACCCAGTGCGATGGTTTAGATGGCGCAGTTGACGGGTATGACCCCGGCGATGCCAAAGAACCGGGTACCATTTACTGACCATGGAACAAACAGCATCATCGAGAACACCGATTTCTGTCATCCTCAGTTAGAGCGTTTGATTTGCACAGAACAGTCAGCAAATGCCACCAATTGTCTCAGTGGCGCTCAAGCTGCCAAAGTCCGCGCTCTATACGAGCCTCTTTATGGCAATGACGGCACCCTCCTGTACCCGCGTCTCCAACCTAGTACCGAAACCACAAGCTACAGTACATACTTCTCGGGCGAAATGTCGCTCATCGCCTCAGAATGGTTCAAATACGTCGTCTATAATCCGGATTTCGACCTGGAGACTCTGACTCGCGAGGACTTTGCTGTCGCTGCTTCGCAAGATCCATACAATATCAGCACTTTTGATGCCGACCTGTCAGCCTTCCAGAGCCGCGGTGGGAAGTTCCTGACATTCCATGGGATTGAGGACTACATCATCTCGTCAGAGATCAGCACGCTACTACCGCCGGCTGGCCGAGACCATGTCCATGCCGCCCTCCTCTCTCGACTCCTTCTACCGCTACTTCCGCGTGAGCGGCATGGGCCACTGTTTTCTCGGGAACGGCGCCTATGGCTTGGGAATGTACTCCTTTGGTTCCAACCCAAACGCTTTGGTGCAGGACCCAGACGACAACGTGCTGCCCCGCATTGTGGCATGGGTCGAACGGGGCGAGGCTCCGGAGTACATCCGTGGCACTAGCTTCCAAGGCGGCCTGCCGGGTTCGGAGCCTGGATACAAGCGGAAGCACCGCAAATACCCGAGCAGCAATGTCTATGTTGGCCCAGGCAACTACACTGATGAGGATGCGTGGAGATGCCAGTAGGAAATGGCAATGCTGAGGGGTTTCGGGCACCTGATGGCTACCTTGTTCAACTTCACAAGCGTAGTGGATGCGCCCGGCCAGTCATGAACTAAGCAAGGCTTCTGTTGGTAGGTCTCTCGTACGTATAATAATCATATGGGAAGCAATTATGTATTGGTATTATTTTATCTAAGTTCTAAGAGGCTATATGCCCTAAAGGGGATAATTAAAATAGCCTTTTAAGTAATAAGAGTTATACTTATCAACACTTATAATTTTTCTCTTTTTTTAATAAGTATATATAATCCTTATTATAATTAGCCTTAAAATTATAATTTATTATATATTAAGTATATATAATCTTTATTATAAGAAAGTATTGCTAAAAAGGCTTAAAATTATAATTTATAAGTTTTAAAATAAGTTTTAATAACCCTTATTATTATATTACTCTTTAAACTTATAACCTTTATTATTATATTATTCCTTAAATATTATATTTATTATCCTTAATACTTAGCTTTTAAGATTGCTTTTTTATAAAAATTATTAACTTTTGCATAAAGGCTTTAATTTTAAATTTTTTCTTTATAAGAAAAGTTAATGCTTATAAAGCTAATATTAAATCCTTTAGCTTATATTTATTTTTATTATATACCTTTATAATATAAATATTATTATTTTCATTTTTATTTTTATTATTAAAATATACTTAATATTGCTTTAAATTATTTTTCTTTAACTACTTTTTATCCTCTTAAAATTAAGCATTATAAGTAACTTAATTATTTATTAAATTCTTTTCTTGCTTTTTATTATTCTTTTTAATCTTTTTAATAATTATCTTTTATTTAAATTATTTAAATAATAGTATATATTTCTTAATAAGTTCCTTTATATATAAGCCTTATATATATTTATTAATAATTTAATATAAAAAGTTTTAAAGCTAAGTTAGCATAATAATTTAATTCTTTAATAATTAAATCTTTTTAATTTAATATATATAAAAAATACTTAAGATTAAAATTTTTATTAAGTTATTTATTATAAAAATTATAATAATTTAGTATTTAAGATAATAATTACTTTAATAATTCTTATTATTAAAGATATTATATAATTTTGCATTAAGAATTTTAATGCTCTTAATATAAATATATAGCTTTTTAATTATATTATTAAAAGATATTTACTTATTTTAATATTAAAAGTTATTAATAATTTAAATAATAGCTATTATAATAATATTATTTAAGAAAAGTATTTTAACTTAAGTTATAATTATAACTTTTAACTTATTAATTTTAATAATTCCGCGGAAGTTAATCTTAATAAGCAGCTTACTCTTTTTAATGCTTAGCATAAAAATAAAGTTAAAGGTAATTTTTATAATCTTTATTAAGATTTTATTAACTTAATTTTAATTATTTTTATTATTAGCAATAATTAAATTATTATTAATATTAAGCAAATAAAAGTTATTATCATTAATATCCTTATTAATATTTATTAAATAAGTAAATAAATAAAAGTTATTATTATTAACATCCTTATTAATATTTATTAAATAAGCATTATTAGCAATAACCTTACCATAAGAATTAATAAAACTAATAAGCTTATTTTTATTTTTATTAATTAAGGCAATTTTAACCCTTTTTATAACCTTAATAATAATTTTAATCTTTATCTTATTACTTAATAAAAATATAATTATAATATTTATTTTATTAATTAAGGTTATAGTTATAATATTTATTTTATTAATTAAGGTTATAATTACGATGTTTATAAGGAAATCCTAATTTTAATTAAGGGTTGCAATAAGGCTATCTTTAATGCTAGCTATATTAATAACAGCTATGGCAATAATTATATTAAATATATCCTTAATGCAGAAAGTAAATGCAATGTTTATTAAATAATTTTATTTATTATTATTATCCTTATAAGATATATTAATAAAAATATTAAATAACTCTTATAAGTTATTATTAATATTCTTTATTATAATAAAAAAAAAGATTTTATAAGAATTTAATAATTAAAATAAATATTTATAATGCAAAACTTTATAATTATTATATAATAATTATTAATTTATTCTTTAATTATAAGAAAAGTTAATAAGTTGTAAATAAATTTAATAAAAGTTAATTTTAATATTACTATTAATAAATAGTAATAAAAAGTAATAATAATAATAAGGTTAACTTTAAAATAATAATTATTAATAATATTAATAATTATAAAGTTATCCTTATATATAATAAGGTATTAAAAAGGTTTTAATTAAAGTATAAAAGGTTAAAGTTTATATTAAGGGTTTAAGTTTAAGAAATATAAGGTTTTATAGTTAGCAGTAATAAGGTTAAAAAGAAAAAGTATTAATAATAAGTTACTCTTTCCTTAATAAAAAGAGGCTACTTTAGGTTTTTTAATTAATTTATTTACCTATATGCAAAGCTTATTATTATTAATAAGCTTTTATAATGCAATACTTAAAGTTAATTTTATTATTATATTAATAAGATTATTTTTCCTATTTATTTACCTTATTTTAGCAATTTTTTTTATTTTATATAATTTTTATAATAATATAATATTAATTATAAGGCGTTTTTTCTTTATTATTTCTAGCTTTATAAGGTATTTATATAAGTTATATAAGTTTATATAAATAATTAAAAGTATATTTAGTAATAAAAATCATTTTATAATTATTTTAATTATTATAGCTAAAGAAATTTAATATTTATTTTATTTATTATATTATAAATTTTGCTTATTAGCATGCTTTAAGTAATATATTTATACTTTATTAATAATTAATAAAGAATATTACTTATTATTATAAATTTCTTAATTTCTTTATAAGTTTTATTTATAAAGATAATAATATATTTAAGTTAAAATATTAAGTTTTAATTATTTATAAATAATTTATTTATAAATATAAAAAGTTTTGCTATTTTAAGATTTAAAAGTATATACTTAATTCCTTATATAGCGTTATTTATTTATTATAATAATTATATATTTAGGCTTTTATAATCTCCTGCTTTTAGGTTTTATATTTATATAGTTATTAAAAGATTATATAAAGCTTTTAATTAGCAAATTAAAGCTATATATGCTTTGCAAGCTCTTTATTTAAGGTATTTTTAAAAAGCATTTTTAATTATTATATTAATAAAGGTAAGTTTATTAACTTATCCCTTTTATTAAATAATAATTAAGCTAATAATATTTATAATTATATAAGCCTTATTATAATTTATTAAGTTTTTAAGTATTAGCTTTTATTTTAATTTTCCTTATAGTTTTATAGCTTTTATTTTAATTTCCTTCTTATCCTAAAATTTTAATATAAATAAAATTAATATATTATTTATTTATATACTTATTATTTTAAAGAATTATATAAGCTTTATAATTATTAAGCAAGAATTATATATAAAGTAATTTATTTTAAGCTTTTATTAATAATATTTTTAATATATATTAAATTAATAAATACTAAATTTTATTATATTATATAAAGGTTAAATAATATAAATAATTATGCTTAAAGAGTATTTATTCTTTAATTCCTTTAATAACTTTATAAGAATTATTTTATATAGTTTTAACTTTATTTAAAGGTAGGCTTAAGTAATATTTTTAAGTATAAGAATTATGCCTTTTTTTTAAATTAATAAGAGGGTAAGTATAAGGATTATTTATTAACTTATTCTTTAAATAATTAAGCTTTATATTAAAATTAATCCCTTTTTATTATTATTATAACTTTAAATAATAAATTAAGATTTCTTATAAGGTTTTATAATTTTACCTTTTACTTTTTATATTATATAAAATTTAAAGAAATAATATTTACTATATTACTTTATTAATTATTTCTTAATTTAAAAGATACCTTTAATAATAAAGTTATTAATTTTTATTTTATTAAACTCTTTAAATAATAAGCTTAATATTATAATAATTTTATCTTATTTTAATTTAATTATTAAGTTATAATTTTTATTTTCTTTCTTTAAGATATATAATATAATAATGTAATCTTTTATCTTTAATAATAATAATTATATAATAAATTGTATTTAAGGTTTTATAGCTAAGTTTTTTGCTTATAAGGGTTATATTTCCTTATTATTATTTTAATAATATAGTTAAATAATTATTAACTTAAATATTATAACTTTATTTAATATATTTAAGGTTATATTATAGCTATTTATAGCAATAACTTTATATAAACCCTTTTATCTCTTTCTTTCTCTTTATATGCAAACTTTATATTATAGTAAATATTTTATATTAAAAATAGGTTTAACCTTAGTATTTAATGCATTTTATACTTATTATTTAGCTATAGTTTTTTATAGTATTTTTATAGCCTTTAAAATAGCTTTTATTTATTTTTATATTAATAATAATAATAATAACTTATATAATACTTATAGGTAAGCATTAAAGATTAAGAGTATAGGAATTAATTTATTTAGTTTAATAATATTATTAATAGCTTTTATAATTATTTATAAAATAGCATTATTATTTATATTATTATATAGTTTAATATATAAGATTTTATATACTTATTTAAGGGCTTAATAATATTTCTTAACTTTCTTAATAAACTAATATATCTTTATAAAAACCTATTTACATTTAATTCTTATTATTTATGCCTTTAAATAAAATTCCAAGAATATAAAGTTTATTTTTGCATTATATTTAATAATATTTAATAATCCTTAATATATATTAATTTAAAGCATTTATAATATTTGCTATATAGTTTTTATAAATATAAATTTTAAGAATTTCACTCTTTAAAAAGCAATAACTTAGTTTATAATATAAAGAATTAAATATTTACTTAAATATATTACATTAACTAAGATTTTATAATTAAATTTATAATTATTATATAATGTAAACTTAAAATACTTAAGCATAAATTTATTTATTTAATAATAATAATATATCTTTTTAATTTTTATTATTACTTATTTATTAATATTTAAGTTACCGGCTTTTTTAAGTATTTAGCATAATTAATTTATTAATAAGTATTTAAAGTAATAATAAAGTTTCTTTATTTTTATCTTTAAAAGGAAATATATAATATTAATAGTTTAATTTAAGAAAAACTATAAATAACCTTATTTTTTAAGTATTGGTATAATAATTATATTATTAAAGGAAACTATTTTATTTATAATATTATTATAATATATTTAAAGCCTATTTATATTTATTAAGTAAAGTAAGAATAAGGTTTATATTTAAATAATATAAAAGTTAATATAATTAATTAAGGTGAAAATTTTTATTATGCTAAGCAAATTAATAATTATCTTATTATTAAATTTAACTTTAGCTTTTCCTATAATAATTATATTAATTTAATACTTTAGGTTTTTTTATTATAATGCAAGAAATTGCTTATATTTAGCCATAAATATTAATAATACTTTAATATTTAGCAGGATTCCTTAAAAATAAGTTTAATTATATTTATTTTTTAAAATAAATTAGCTAGCTATAATAATTATCTTTATTTAAAAGATATTATCTTTAGTAATTTAATATATAAATGCTTTATTAGCTAAGAAATTAATATTTATATAATAAACCTTCTTACTAAGTTTTATTTTTATAATATAAGCATTGCTATTATAATTATTATCTTAATCTTATTTATCTTTATATTTATAAAATTTATTTTTATTATTTATTTTATATTCCTTAAACTTACTTAAAAAAGTATTAAAGTTATTATTATAACCTTTATATTTATATTATATTAAATAAGTTTTTCTTATTAAAGATTATTTATTAGCTAAATATTTAATTAATTAACATCTCTTCTTTTTATAAATATAATATTTTTTCTTTTAAGGTTATTCTTCTTTTTCTTTATAAGCATTATTATTTTAAGCTTTATAATTAATATTATAAGATCTTAACTACTTAAAGCTTAAATAGTTTAAATTTAATTAGCTAAATCTTTAATTTTCTTAAAATACTTAAAATTGCAATTATTATCCTTCCTTTAGCTTTTAGCTATTATATTTATAATTAATATAATATTAATTTAAAACTTTATTTATAATGTAAATTATAATTATATAGCTAAGCTATGTTTTTATTATAGATTTTAAATTTAAAAATAACTCTTTATATAATTAAGCTAGCTTAAAAAAAGCCATTTTTAGCTTAGGAACTTCTTTATAAGTTTTAATTATTATTATTCTTAAGTTATTCTCTTTAGCATAATCTTAGCTTAATATTTATTAATAAAGTTATAGCTTATTAAGCATTAAATATAAAACCTTATATAAATCTTTATTTAGGTTTTATACTTTTATCTTTATAAATATTATTATTATTTAATTTATATAATAATGTTAATAATTAAGGTTTATATTAAAATGCATTTTAATTTTAAGATATGCTATTATAAATATATTAATTTAATTTATAAAATAAAAATAATAAGCCTTAGCTTAATCTTTAAGCATTTAAAGAAAAACTATATAAAATTAACTTAGCTAAATTTTAATATAATAATAAATATTAAAAAATATTTTTATTTTATTATTTAATAAGTTATATAAGTCCTTAATATACTTATAAAAGTTATTAAAGATTTTTATAAACTATGCTAACTTTATTAAATTTAAGCATTTATTAAGAATGTATTATAAGGGAAGAGTTTTATATAAGTTATATTTTTTATTTAATAAAAGCATTTTTAAGGCAACCTAAGGTTATATTAAGTATAATATATATCTTTAATATAAGCTTTATCTTTATCTTTTTGCTAATAATAATAAGCCTTGCTAGTTATATTAGTTTTTAATAAATTGCATTATTAAGTTTAAGTTTTATAATAATATGCTTAAAGCTAGCGGCAGCAATAAATATTACCTTAGGAATTATCCTTTTAATAATTATTATTATTTAAAGCCTACTTATAATGCTTATAAGGGCTATGCTTATAATTACTATTTTTAAAGTTATATACAATATTTATTTATATTTAATTCCAAGGTTAATAAGGTATTATAAAGCTTATTATTAATTTATTTTAATCTTTCTTTAATTTAAGCTATAATAACTAATTATAATACTATAAGTTAATTATTACATCCTATATAAATACCTTGCATTTAAAGGAAAACTTTTAAGCATTATTAGTAAGGATTTAGCAATGCTTTAAATATTACCTATATTTATATTGCATAATTTTTATAATAAATAATAAAAAGATTATCATTATAAAGGTTTTATTATATATAACTTGCTAAAGTACTTGCTAAGTAAATAATTAGGTATTTTATTAATGCTTTTTATATAAGAGCCGTAAATTATAATTTTAAATTAATATATTTATAATAAGTTAAGTTAATTAAAGTTTAAGTAAGTATTTTATTAATTATATACCCTTTAATAAGAGTTAATAGCTCCTTAGCATTATTAGCTATGCTTATAAGTTTTTATAATAAATATTATAAAGAGTAAGCTATTAATAAAATAGGTAATATTTAAGAGTAAGTTAATAATAATAGTTTAATAATAAGCAAGTTATAATTATTAAAAGGAAAAAGTTATTAATTCCTTTAAGCTTTAAAAGCTAAGGCTTTTTTTTATTATTAAGTCCTTTTATATTAACTAAAAGTATAATATATAACTTATATTTACTTATAATATAGCGTTATATTAGCTTTAATAATTATAATAATTATAAGCTTTATTTATTTAATAAAATAAAGCTTTATTAAGTTTTATTAAATTTTAAAGAGGATTTAAAAATAAATTTATTTTTAATAAAGTCTTATATATAATAAATGCATATCTCTTAAATAGCAATAAATATATATATAAATATTACAAGGAATGCTACTTAGTTTATTTAATCTTTATAATATTTACTTAAGGAGTTTAATAATATAAAGAAGCTTAAAAAAGTAGTTATTACTATATAGCGCTTATTAATAAGGAGGATATAATTTTTAAGTTAAGGAAATCCTTATAAAGTTGCCTTTTCTACCTTATTAATTTATAATACTTATAACTACTAATTAATATTAATAGGTCTCTCATATATATGATAATTATATAAAAAGCAATTATATATTAGTATTGTTCTGTCTAAGTTCTGAAAGGCTACGTGCCCCGGAGGGGATAACTAAAGTAGCCTTCCAAGTGACGAGGGTCGTACTTGCCAACAGCTTCAGAAAGTCCTAGACCCAGGTAAGAGCTGGTGTTGGGGCTCTTTTTCTTTCTCTTAGGTACTTCCAGATGGACTCTAGCCTTCTGTGGGATACCTTTGTACATATTATTATACCGTTACCAGCAAATTACCTAGGTTCTCTGATGGTGCTACCCTCAGACGAGTTATTGTTCCCAAAAGGCACCGAATATATGTCTTTTCTCAAGTAACGAATTAGATAGTTGCGTTGCACTACGAGCACAGCCTAGCCTTTTACAAGCTTAGCGGTGAGCCACACTTGTAAATTTACAGAAAGTCTGCTGCCATCCCTTTGAGAAGAATTCCAAATTACAATGATGTATAAGACTGTGTTGTGGAATCAAGTATTATACATTTGCTCAAATATGCATTTGCTTGATCTTGAGATTTTTCAGTGGCAAGAACCCAGACGTTCGACGTATTGCTTGTAGCGGGCCCTTTTTTATTGAGAACGGATATTCGCACCGGCAAAAACGGATGGTACACCCGTACATCGAAATATATACTTCCTTTTGATTCAAGTGCCTGGGGTCATGTAAGCCTCAGCACCGCAACAATTCGAAGAAAGCTTCTTTTTTCTCTATGACTCCAGCCTGTCAGTGACCAAGCTCGTGCAGTATTAAACTTATCTCGTGTCAGGGAAAGAAGAGCCATGAACTCCGAGATGATGACAAGGACTCGACCTTTTAAACGTCGTGAGTGCGCCCCTAGAAAGAAAAAGCAAGACCTACTCTAGTATGTGACTGGCGTGGAAGCGAATCACCGGATAATTCTGGCTACTCCTTTCCATTCACAAACCAGTCTTCGCAAGCTTGCTACCAAACGGAATTTTCTGAGAGTGAAGCAGTATCTCAAGTCACCGCTCAGCGTTTATGTGTGCCTTAAGCCATTCACAACAATCATCGAAAGCCATGCTTAGTAACTCATCGGCATACCACTAACTTCAGTCTCATGCTGTGATTAACCAAGGTCACGTCGCAAGTGTATAAAGTTGGTCACTATTCTGTAACCACTCCCAGCGTTTTTTCACTTCGCGATCTGGATCACGGTGTCATTTTTTCCCTGACATCCACTTCCGTGCTACTATAGAATGTCCTATGAGTACTTATCGTAGCCAGTCATTGCTGCCTCCGTGTCATGTTCAGAAGACGACCTGCGAGTATATATAGCTTGGGCTGCTGGTCTTTTACCTTCTCTTCTTTACTTCCTTTCTTCTGCAGCCTGAGACATCACAATTTCGAGTTTCAAAATCAACCGTTACAACATTCCCAATTCCACAGTTTCCACAAGGCGACAACCGCTTTCTCGAATGTGATGTCGTCGTCTTCCAAATCCAAAGGGAAACAGGCTAGGCACCACACCAAGTCCAGGCATGGCGGCCATCACACTTCTTCCATGAGGCCGGAAGAACAGGGCGAGTCATCACGGAGGACACACCGGGAGGACACTGGTGCAGGTCAAGAGTTTGGAGCGAACTGGAGGACCAGATTTGTGCCTGGGAGCGACGAGTCCTCGGTTGACCGAGGCCGAAACCGCCGCTGGCAGGAGGAATACGAGAGCTATTACGTCCCGTCAGACTCACCACCACGAGAACAGCCCAGAGACAGCATGTGGGGTGACGCTGCACGTGCCTCCTTGGAGCTTGTTCAGACACAGGACCGCCAGGCACGAGCGAGGAATAATTGGAGGGGTGAAAGGGAAGCGGCGAGGCATCGGGGTGAGCGGGTAGATGAAGGGGGGCTGTGTTCATGTTGCGTGATTTTGTGAAATTGGCCCCATTAGTCACGAGATCTGGACAAGGGGACAAGCCTGAGGCGCTGAATAAAGATTCCCTATTCATTCATGCTCCGTTCATGCTTGTTGTGATGACTTGGCCTGGCCGATTCGTGCCGCTGGTCGACCGTATTCCTGTGCACCGTCGAAAATGATGATCTTGAAAAATCTGGAATACTTCTTTAACGTCCCCGGCCCCGATCCCAGCCGCCCCCTAATCCCGACCGGCCCATACCCGCGTACATACATAAACGCATTTATACTTACCTTATATTAACTCCTTAATATCTTTATAAGGAATTTTATTTTAATTATTAAACTTTTCTTAAATATTATTTTCTTTATTATAAAGTAATACTTTAAAAATAACTTTATTAATGCCTTTATTATTATAAAAAATAAAATATTAATTTAATAAGCCTTTAAAATATAATATATTCCTTAAGCTATATTATTTAATTATTTTAATAATATTTAAAATTATTATATTATTATTAATTTTTAAAAATCTTTTTTTAATTATTAAAAGACTTTATTAACTTTATTTATAATTAATTAAAATAGCTTAAAATTAATATTAATATAATTTAAAATAAAGGCTTTAAAAGCTTAATTAATCTTTTTAAATAAAAATTACCCTTTCTTTAAAAGAAATTAATTAAGGGCCTTTTTTTTTATTACCTTATTTTTTAAAGTTAAAAAAATTAATATATAAAGATTATTTATCTTTAATTAATAATTAAAAAAAATATTACCTTTTAATTTAACCTTTTTTAATTACTTATTATTAAATTTATTTAATTAGCTTATTAATAAAATATTAATAAAAAAGAGTTAATAAAAAGTTATTTAAAAAATATTCTTACTTTTAATTATTTAAAAAATAATCCTCTTCTTTAAAAAAACTTTAATTCTTAAGCATAAACCTTCTTTATAAAGTATATTAATGCCTTAAATATAATCCTTAAACCTTTTATTATTTTTAAGGAAAGAAATATATAATAATAATAGTTTTTAATTACTCTTAAGGATTACTTTAGCTAGCAATTTATAGCTATTAAAAAGAAATAAATAAAGAAAAGAATAGTTATTAAACAGCTAAAAAAAAATTTTATCCTTAATATTATTCTTAATAATCCTTTTAAATAATATTTACTTATAATAAATAAACATTATATATATATAATTATTAACTTTATATAAAAATGCTATTTAAATTATATATATATAATCTTTTTACTTATATATATTATTAATAAAGGCAGGGAAATATATAAGAAATGGTATTACATTAAATTCCGGCTAGTTATAAAAAGCTAGCTTTTATGCTTATTTTAAATATTCTTAAAAAAATTAACTCTTTTCTTTTCTTATATATTTAATGCTTTAATTAAGCTTTTTTTATTTTTGAGAATTTTTAAAATATTTATTTTTTTTCTTTTTAAACTTCTTTTTATTTTTATTTTCCCTTTTTATTATATTAAAGCTCCTTCTTAAGTTATTCTTAAGAGGATTTAGCAAAACTTATTCCTTATTTATTTAAATAGCTTGTTTTTAATATATTAATCTTTTCCCTTGGTTTTATTTAAGAATAAGTAATAATTATTTATAAAAGCTACTTTAAGCTATAGCTAAATATTAATTATATTTCTTTTTTATTTTTAACTCTTTTTATTTTAATTACTTATATAGTAATTTTTAAAGATAAAAAACTCTTTTTATTATTATATCTTTTCTTTTTATTATTTAATTTTTATTATTTATTTTTTATTTTATTATTTATTTTTTTTTATCTTTTTTTTTATAATTAAATGCTAAAATATTTTTTAATTAAAAAAATAAAGTAAAAAAGTAATTTTAATTACTTTTATATTATAAAGTATTTTAAAACTTTAATACTTTAATTTTAATAATTAAACTTATTATTTTAAAAAAAAATTTTATATTAATAATTATAAAACTTTTTTATTTTAATAACTTTAAAAACTTATTTAATAAAGTATTATAATTTTTAAATATTATAAATATATAAAATTAATAAAACTTTATTTAAAAAGTAAATATTAACTTTTTTAAAGATTTTTTTAAAATAAATATTATTATAAATAAAGTTTACTTAAATAATATTTAATAAACTTAAATTCTTAATTATTTATTATTTTTTAATATAAAATAAATAATATTTAATAATAAGCTTATAAAAATAATATAAAAATATTTTTTAAGTATTAATTTTTATTTTAAATTAAGAAAACTAATTAAATTAATAAATTTAATAAAATAATATTAAGCTTTTTTTATTTTTAATTTCTTTAATATAAAAAAATGCTTTATAAATATAAAGAATGAAAAACTTAATATATTATAATTTTAATAACTTAATAACTTTTTAATTTTTAAAATATTATATTTTTATTTAAAAAACCTTTATATTATAATTATATTTTATTTATAAAATATTAATAATATAAATTATTAAAAAATTATAAATTTATTATTATATTTATTTATATATTTAATTATTAAATAATAATAATTTTTAATAAAATAAAAAATTATTATTTATTATAAAATAATTTTATATTAAAAAATAAAAATAATAAAATAAATAAAAATTCTAAAATACTTATTCTTAAATATTTAATAATTACCTTAAAAAATAAAATATAAGATTTTAATAAAGAGTTTATATTAAAATTAAAATAAATTAATAAAGTATTTTATAAATAAGATATTATTAAATTTATTAAAAATTATTTTAAGAAAAATTAAGAAACAAATAATTAAAAAGTATAAAATTAAGCTAAGGCTACTTTAATTAAAATTATATATTTTAAAATACTTAAAGTTATTATTAATATTATTATTTAAATATTTATTATTTAATTAAAGCTTAATAAAATTAATAAAGTTATTTAAATATTTATATTAATTCTTTTTATTAAAATTAATAATATAAAAATAATTAAAGTAAAAAATAAGTTTTTATTATAAAAGGAAATTATTTAATAATAATTATTTAAATTATAATATATTAAAATTATTATTAATTATAAAAAAGATATAAGAAAAATAATACCTTTAATATAAATTAATTTAATAATTTAATTTTAAATATTTAATATATAATAAAATATAAACTTTTATATAATTTAAAATTAATTAAATAAAACTTTAATTAAATAAGCTTTTAGCTTAAATATTATATTATAAAATATTTTAAAGTTAATAAAGAATATTTATTTTAATATATATAAAGATTTTTTTTATTTATTTTTTTTAATAATAAATATAAATAAAATTTGAAATATATTAATTAATTTTAAGTAATTAAAGTAATAATTAAGTTTATTTAAAGATAATTTAAAAAGTTTATAAATAAGTTAATTAAGTAATTAAATATAAGATACAAAATTTAAAAATAAAAGCTTTATAAAAAATAAAAGTAAAAGTTAATAAAATTAATATATTATATTTAATATAATAATTAAAAAAGAGAATAAATTTACTTTTTATTTTATAAAAATATTTAAATTTTTAATAATTATATTAATATTAATTAATAAATAGATTATTAAGTAAATTTTAAAAATATTTAAAGCTTTTATAAAAAAATAAAAGTTATAATAAAATAAGTAAATAAAGAATTAAAGATAATAATAATAATTAAAATTATAATAAAATAAATTTTAAAATTTAAAGATTTAATTAAAAATAATAAAGCTTTATTTTAATAATTTCTATAATATTTATTATAAAGTATTTAAAAAAAAGTATATTAATAAAAGTAAAACAATATATAAAAAATAATATTATATTAAATTTTAATTAATTATAAAAAGCTAACTCTTATACTTATTTTAAATATTCTTAAAGAAATTAATTTTTTTCTTTTTTTATATATTTAATGCTTTAATTAAGCTTTTTTTATTTTTAAAATTTTTTAAAATACTTACTTTTTCCCTTCTTTAGCTTTCTTTTATTTTTATCTTCCCTTTTTATTATATTAAAGTTTTTTCTTAAGTTGCCCTTAAAAGGGTTTAATAAAACTTATTCCTTATTTATTTAAGTGGCTTATTTTTAATATATTATATATACTTTAGCCTTTTAATATAATAATTTTCTTACTTTTAAAAAACGCCTTTAAAAATATTTTTATTAACTTAAGTAATATAATTTATTAATAATTATAATAAAAAAAAGGTTTCTTTATTATTATTATAAGATATAAAAAAAAGCATTTATAAAATTAAATATTTAATTAAAGTAAAAAGTAATAAGTTTTTAATTAATATTTAAGTATAAAGTATTTAAAAGTTATTATATTTTTAAAAATTATTAAATTTAATATAAATTATTAAAATTTAATAATATAAAAAGCTTTATTAAATAATTCTTTATATTAAAAGTTTTTTTTTAATAATTAAAGCCTATTTTTAAAACTTTTAAATAATTATAAAAAGTATATTAATTAATTATTTATTAATATTATAATAAATATTTAAGCTTTATATTATAAATATTTTTTTAAAAGCTTTTTAAAATATATAATAAAAAAAATTTAATTAATAATAATTTTATAAAAAAATTAATAATTTAAAGTTTAAATTAAAATTAATTAAAAAATTATAAAAAAAAAAGTTTAAATTAATTTAAATATAGCTTTTATTAATATTAAGGCTATTTATAAAGCTTAAATAAAAGTAAAAAAGGTATTAAAAGAAAGCAATGCCTTTAAAAAATTAAAAATATTAATAAAAGAAGGATTATATATTATAATGACAGGTAATTAACGTTAAAGAGAAGGTATATATAGGTGCCGAGGGTGGCCGGGAAGGGGGGGCGGCCAGGATCGGGGCCGGGGACGTTATAATCCAAAAATCTCCGGCGGTCTTCATGAATTTCCTCATGAAAAAAGTACCTACATTAGATTCAGGCACCAGCGCTAACAAGATATCCATTCAACAAGACAGGGACACGTCCTGTAATGTTCTAGGACTCAGAGCTCTAGAAAGCGAGACGAATCTATTAACCGCTGGCATAATAGACCGCTCGGCCAAAAGACCAGTAATTTCCAATCCCTTGGAAATACACCCAGAAGTATATAAGTGCCGTGCCGTCACAGAAAGCTCCCTTGAAGTGATTCCTAGATAAAATCTCCATATCAGAAGAACATAGCACAAGCCACATCCCTCACAGCTACTACATCTAGCATTACGCTGTTGGCCTGAGCTTTAATTCCAGCTATTACATTCCTTCCTAGTAGTCTCCTGTTTGAGTTTCAGCTTAGATTAATACACATATATATATATATATAGTGTGATACTGGCATGCATACGTTGTTGTGGTTTGACTAGCACTCTACTTGATTTGCTGAAAATATGATGCTTAGTAGCTGAGACCATGGTTCCAATCAACTGGAAACACACTGTTGTGCCTTTATCCCTTTCCTTGACCCTCGGAAACTGAGCCTTGATGCGGACGATTACTAGAAGGGTTTTACCTCCCGGCAATACACGGAGAGATGTGCAAATAGATACCTCATTGTCCTACTACCTCTCACTTTGCCCCTTTCCATCTAGAACCCCCCCCCCCCCCCTCTCCCCCACAAAAGAAATCTCAGAACCAATGTGTACATAGTTTTTTACTTGGGTTCAAGTGTCTCAAGCTTGGGCACAAGTCGTCTAGGAAACACCAGCCTAGTTGGTTTCACCCGCATAACGAGAGTCTGAATCGCATTTCGAGTCATCCTATTAGGCAGCTCATCGCTTGACAAGATCGAGCTCCTTGTGGACAGATCCTTGACTAGGAGCAAGGTCCTGCGGCTCCTGGCCTTCAATACACGCCTCGTGTTTCTGGTCCACGGGAAAAGGCCACACCTTCCAGCACAGCCAGTAAGTCGACCCTGAAACAAGGATACTGACCAGCCAGCTCAGGCTGTATAGATATATCGCCCCTTTTGGAATGCCCTTGGCACCGCAGGCCACAGCCAATCCAGGCATGTTCGGCACGATGCCAAAGATGAATGCGACAATGGCGCGGGGATTGATGCCCATCGTGTAATAATGGATCCCTTTTGGATCGTACAGCGAGGAGATGCTAAGGCTCCTGGCCCGACAGATCCAGTAGTCGCAGACAATAACGCCCGCAACGGAGCCTAGGAAGAGCGAATACCCGCCGAGAAATGAAGAGAAAGACGCCGCGCTGTCAGTAACAGTCAGCAACAGGCCTCTCGACTACACAGAATATATGTGACCCAAAGCTTCTTACCTATACTGAATGTACCACGGCACAGCACACACGCCCAGCACCGCACAGACATATGCGCCACGCCGGTTGTTGACGTACCGGGGGAACCAGAAGCTGAGGTCGTTCCCAAAGCTCACCGAGTTGGCGCTGATATTCGTCCCGACCACGGCAAAGGCCCAGCACAGCCCCGCAAAGAACTGCGCGGCGCGGTTGTCCCACAGCCGGGCGACCTCGAGCGGGTTCCAGGTCACGCGGCCGTAGATGACCTCGCACGCCGACGAGACGGTGGCGCCGAGGATGCCGCACAGGGTCACGAGGACGAGGAGGCCTACGGCCTGGGCCCGGACCACATGCCGGCTGGAGGCCGCGTAGCGCGTGAAGTCGGGCATGTTGAGCGCGAGGGTGGCCTTGGGCCCGATGGCGGAGGTGACGCACTGGAAAAAGACGACTATGACCGGGGTGCCGTCTTTGATGTGAGTAGGCTTTGAGAAGGTTGGGCCAAATCCTTCCGCTGTTGTCCGGATGTCAGCTTGGTCTTCCGATTTGCCGCGCATGAAGGTATTGTTACCTGCAACGAGGGCCCATATGAACAGCGCCAGGCCAAACACAGGCATGATAAGCGTCTTTGCCATGAACATGTACCGCAGAGTGCTGACGTGCAGCCACAGCAACGGCAGCTGGATCAGGATGAAGAGGAAGAAGCACAGGAGCTCTGCGCTGGTGACATGGGCGGACGGAGACAAGTGGTTGGGCATGTTGTTGAACTGCGGCCAGATAGCTGAGATCATGACGGCGAGGCACTGGCCGCCCTGAAATGACTGCGTGCCGAACCAGATGGCTGCGACTACGGCACGGAGGAAGACGGCTAGATAGGATCCTCGCATGCCGAACGACGCGCGGGTCAGGACGGGGAAGTTGATGCCCAGCACACAGCCAACATAGCCGTCGAGCATGGCCGGAACGCAGACCAGACAGTGCCCGACGAAGACGGCCAGGATGGCGAGGCCGGGGTTGAGGCCTTTTGAGACAGATGAAGACGACACTTTGCATTTCCGAAAACAGTTGTTAGCGGGTATTGGCCTATGTTCTCGACCAATTCGTCCGTGCATGCCATGACGTGAATGCTTTTCCAGAGCTACTCACCCTGATACATCGAGATGGAGAAGGCCTCTGCGATCCAAAAGCCGAGCAGGCTGGGCCAACCCCATGTCCTCTGTGGCGAGTCCAGCGGCACCGGATCCAGGTCGTTATTTGATGTACGGCTCCCGTCTGTGCCGTACCGGGCGCCCTCGGAGCGGAGCTCTAACCGTCGGCGGAGCTGGAGCCCCATTTTGTGCTGGTTATGTAGGGCTTCCTCGATGGCTAATGGGTTTTCATTAAGGGTTTGCATGGAAATTTAAGTGATAATGGCAGGCAAACAAGCTTGTCTACTGCAGGTCTAAAAAAGTCGTGTATTTCATACTGGATGATTACATGTCAGCGTTACTGCCGTGCTTATCAGTCTCTATCTAGCCTGCTTGCCTATCACCAACGTCGTATGCATGCTACTTTATGCAAGCGCTAGTGGGTCTTCTTCCTTCGCCTGATATGCTCTTCTGAAGCTATTCGACCTTGATCTAGTATAAGGTTGAATATTGTTGTAAAGTTAGGGTGGACGGGATTCGCGAAGTTCGGATTCCTGCTCAAGCGTCGCCTCTTCCTGCCAATCGTCGAAGCTTTAAAAGGCCCTAATTGTACGAAATGTAAAACCTTGCGTGGGAAAGGGTGATAGAATTGGATATACTGTAGAAGAGTTAATGCTAGAGCCGATTATTGATGATGACGACTGAAAAAAGGCATTCTAGGGCAATGACAAAGTCGATGAGTATATGCCGGAGCTTGCCGTCTCGGTTTACCTAGAAGGAACCAGTGATTGTCCAGAAGTGTTCTGTACAATTCTGACATTTTAGTATTTTCCTACTGCCATAGCGTAGCGGCATAGGGTGCCGTCACAGAAGGGATTATAAAGCTCTTGTGAAATGGAACTTAGTAGCCTTGGTGGTGCAGCAAATAGACCACTAAGCCAAAAGACCTAACTATTGTGAGGATACACTGCAGCCCAAGCTATCCACTATAATGGTTACACCCTCTATGTGCTGCTCCACTTAGATAATTCTGATTGCTAACTTTTGGTTTTACTCCCTTGATGTTGACGGAGAGGTCTATAGATGAGTATCTATCATACTAGCGAGCGAGATTCCTGTCTAGCCATTCCCATGGAGAGAGTTGTGAGCAACTGCCTTATGAGTGTGATCATTGTCAGCTGCCCGCGTCATATTTAGAGATTTATGAGCGATTGAAATTTGCGGAGCCGTCCATATCAAAGAGTTCTGAAAATCTCGGCAGTGGCTGGAAATGCTCCATTATCTTCATCTAACACAGAAATCATACAAGCCACCAGCTGGGCACCCTCTCACCTCTAGCATGCTGATTTATCACAATTTCAACCAATAAACAAGCTTGGAGTTACTTCTTGCCCCAAGCCAAGTGAAATGCCGACCACCTACCGATTCCGATATTTCACATTCGCAGATATCATGCCCAACTTTCTATGTATGTTGCGGTTTATTTGTAAGAATACCTGTTGTCTCAAGGCAAGGCTATATTCATACAGTATCTGAATTATGTTATGCGGGGGGTCGACTCAGCGGGGCTCCCGCTCTCACATCTCTCACATCTTGCCAGTACTAGCAGGCCCTTAAGCTGGCTTCCTAGTACTTGAGCAGTTGCGGCATGGCGATGCAGTATAAGCATTTGTCACACCTCATATATCTTTGAGCGGCTGCGCTTAAGTGGCCCCGGGGTTGACAGCAGAATACGAGGTTCAGCCCCTGTTTTCTGCATGGCATGGCAGCATCCTCGCCAGGCGTGATTCCATGTTCCGATGATGGTTCTCTGCGGGATGGCGTGCCGCGCGATTCCCCTTTTGACCTCCTTTCCCAGCTCCGAATTCCCCGCTGCCGTTGCATTACCGGTAATCCTGACCCATCAGAGTCAAATTGATTGACGGGTTCCTGAGAGGCCTATTTGTTTGCATTCCCTGCACCTTTCCAAGCGGCTCCATATGACAAGATACCACCTTCTCAAAGCATGACAGAGCCCGAACTACCATTATTATGGGAGAGGAGAATCCGGGTATTTGACTATCAGCAAAAGATGGAAGCGTGTGTATAAATGATAACTCTCTCTCTCTCTTTTGGAAACATCCCAGACTGGATGTACTCCAATCGACATATTCTTGTCGCCATCTTGCTGGCCGCCATCTGTTTACTACATATCAAGATGCATTCCTCTCCCGCCACTCTACTGGTCGCCCTGCCGAGCCTCTCCAGCGCCCTTGTCCCTCGCTGGCACCAGAGTGGCAGTTTCCAAGTCGACGTGAGCAAGGTGATCTCGACCACCAACATTCCTACCAAGTCAGTATCCAGAGTGCGCGACATATCTTGCATAACTCTACCACGCCGTGTAACATGACGCGTCTTTTTCCAACATCTGTCTCCCGCCAAAGTGAGCTCATCAAATCAGGAGCCAAGCAAATCTACGTCGACGTGACCTCGCCCAACACCATCGACGCAGTGGCTTACGTGAATCCCGACTCCTCGGTGGTCTTCGACGTCACCGGCCACTCTCCCAGCGACGCCGAGGATATCACTATAGCAGTCCAGGGACAACAGCCTCTTTATTATAGTTTTGCCGACTACTACCTCAAGAACAGCAGCGACATCACGCGGTCTGGGAGTGCTCTGATGTACAATGGACTCGTCATTTTCGCTATTGCAAACGAGGGCGAAGCCCTTGTTCACCTTGTGCCGTAGGACTGTGGAGGAAAGTGCTGGCAGTCCAAGTAGGAGAATTCAGCAGTGTCGATACTTAAATTCGAAAAATAAATGTTCAGCCAAACATCATGCATTGAACTCATTTAGCAATGAAGAAATGATGTGGTACTCATTTTAGGTGTGTGATTGTGCGCATCTGCCCATGACATACAACTCCGAAAATATACCACATCGCCTTCAACAGAATTGGGGCCCTTGGAAAGCCTACATGTCTGGGAAAGAGAAGAATGAATGGGGAAGAAGACGTGACAAAAATTTGGGCGTCGAGCGGCTGTCGTTCCCTAAAGTGCGGTCAACCCACCAATGCCAAGCTACCCCAGAACCTCAACGCCGCGGTCAGTTCCGCGGCCCGCCCCGGTGTCACTCCCGGGTACAGGGGATCGAATACAACATTGGACCAGAGGGAGGCCAGGGCCACAGCATGATCCATCGGCCAGGGTCACTATGACAGCAACCCAACGACACTCCCACGCATTTTCCGGGTTATTGTTGCAGTGCGTGGGAATTTGTTTTCTCAAGGAACTAAAGTTTCTCTGAAGCATAAGTACAGTCATGGCATAGTCAGGTAACAATATCAATCTCAAACCTTGTGCTACCAGCCTCCTGACGCAAATTCCCTGCTTTCTCCGTCCCTTTTTCGTGACAAAGATATCCCATTAGGCGACTCGACCTTGACGTGAATCAATTCTGATCATCAAAGTAACCTTGCTCCGTATGAAACCTCCATGATATTAGAAGTCCGTACTACAAGCCACATCCCTCGCAGCTGCCACATCCAGCTTCACGCGTTCGGCCTTGGCTTCAATCCTAGCCACCGCATCCTTTCCCAATGGCAGCCGGAGCACCTCCCCTTTGAGTCTCCCAGCGTCGCCCTCGCCAGTCACGACCTGGAAGATGACCTCGGCGCCCTTATTTGGGTCGCCCGGCTGCTTGCCAGAACTGGTACTCCATCGGTCCATGGACGCGCCGAGCGCGGAACCCTCCCCGACGCCCTTCTCGGCGCTGACGAACGCACTGAGGAAATTCGTGCGGAAGGCCCCCGGCTCTACGATCAGCACCGAGATGCCCGACTCCGCTTCTTCTTTCGCCAGCCCCTCGCTGAGCCCCTCGAGGGCGAACTTGCTGGCCGAGTACAGGCCGCCCGTCGGCGAAACGTCCTGCCCGGCGACGCTGCTGATGTTGACGACCGTGCCGGACCGGCGGGCCCTCATGGATGGGAGGACTGCCTGGATTGCGTAGAAAGGGCCGTAGAAGTTGGTCTGGATCTGGGTCTGGATCTCCTGCTCGCTGGGTATCAGTTAGCAAGGGTATGATAGCACGCGGGGCGTGGAGGCGAGGGAATAGAACCATCCTCACGTGAACTGAGCGATCGGTCCCATCATGGCATAGCCCGCGTTGTTGACTAGGACGTCGATCGGCCCGTGGGTTTCATTGACGTCCTGGATCTTCTTGGCGATGCTATCCTGTGCCTCTGTCATGTCCATCTCGATGACATGACCACCCGCACTCTTGATGGAATTCACGGCATCACTGGCTCGGTTCTTGTTGCGCATCGCTCCAATTACTCTGTGGCCTGCCTTGAGGGCGTGTAGACTCAGGATGAGCCCGAAGCCATTCGAGGCTCCGGTGATAAACCACACAAGGCCTGACATGATGTTGAAGAAGGTCGTTTGCAGTGTAGTGCTCCTCTGGATACTCAGGTATTGTCTTAGTGAATTATGAAGACAGCCACAAGATCTGACGGTCTGTCTGGAGAAATATTGAGGGGTTCTTATATCACACTGGCGGCCTTATAGCCGCCAAGATGTCAGCTTTCGTTGCAGTGTCAATCTCCTATCACCGATGACACATCTTACAGCTCTCCAGACCTGCATCGGTGTTATCTCCAGTGCGCCCGTTGATTGACATGTGCGACGACCTGACTATCAGATGATTTAGCAGCATCACCATGAGGGACCTGTGATTGTTGGTCGGCGATTGTGGAGCGTGCAGAGACTCGGTGTGCACCCCCCCCCCCCTTCCCCCTCTTTCGGTGTTCCCCAGGTGGCGACCGAAATATCGGCTTGGTAAAAAGTATCCCAGAGTTTGTAACTTCACTTCATGGCAATTATGTACCAGAAAAGGCGATAGCGTGTGGATAGAGAACCGTTCTGCTTAGCCTTGGGAGATCGGCTGGTCCAGGGAGGTTAGGCTTGATGGGTTAAGTCATACCAATGACTACTCAGTAGTTATACACCCTATATATGGGGCTTCCATCAGGCTGATGTTAAGTCAGGCTCATGTCAGTCGACATACATGCAGCCGGTCAATCACCAAATAATATGTATAAGCAGTATTCAAGACAACAGAAGGCACCCACGCATAGAAACACACGTGGATACGCGCGCAAGTCACGCGAAGTCTCCAACTCCGAAATCCACGTCATAGCCATTGCAAAAGTCTCGTTTAGTCCAACGTGCCTTTCTGACCTATTTGGCCAGCTCGGGTATTTCCTGATCACCAACCGGCAAATATGTCTCGCGTGTCGTGAGGACCGTGGACATAGCCCACACACTCCCATTAGAGCTGGCCGCTGAGGTAAGCCGAGACAAGAAACCTGGCAAGCGAGAGTAATTATATGTGAAGAAGACCGTGGCTGAGAGACGGGTATTACCAAAGCAGTGGTCAGCACACCAGAACCAGATCTATCCGGGCATCGGCGCCTCTTGGTAGACCCAAGTGCACTGCCACCGGGGCTGATTGCACATTACTGCAAAGCTGTCACACGCAGAGATAATCATAGACTTGCTGCCTGTAGGAAATCCCACAGGCCCGGTGTTAATTGTCGCCGTGACAGGCCGCAGGTTGCCGCTATGTCTTTCTCGTCCTTCGCACGCCTAGCCACGCATAGCTAACTTCGACCTTTTGTAGATCTTCGCCATACACTGCACTTGTAAACCTCGCTCGGCCATGTCTCTACTGGTCTATGCAGACGAAGTCGGCCCAAAACTTGCGGCTTGGCCTCCATATATGCTGTGCTAAGTGCCGCAAGGCGTCGTGGAGGATCTGCCATGTCCGCCCCATCTTGCCGTCCAGCGTGATTTCGTATACCTCCTTGGGCGGCCAGTCTTTCTGGTAGCTGGCTTTGCCCCATGTATATGAACGTGCTACGTAATTTGGAGCGTGATCCAGGCCAGCATTGGTCAATGCGATTTGATTGTCTGTATCATCGAGAAACTCGAGAAGCCAAATGTACCTTGGCTGAAGCTGTTGATAGGTTGCCATGCTGTAAACGCCGGGGACAGGATATTGCCCAGCGATCGACTGCCGTCCCTGTCAGGCTGATTGCGCATGATTTGCGCCGTGGTGTTTATTGTTAGGGAAATCTGCGAATATTTCCTGACACATGTCAAGTGCTCTATTCTCGCAGGCATTTGACGCGATAAGACATCTGGCGTGTCGCTGTTCCGGGCTAGTACGCGTGCTGTCGTATTCCGTTGTTAAGTAGTGGAGCGTATTCAGTCACTGCCGTATTTGACTGGGGGCGTATTTCGTTTCGGATCTTGACCACTAACACCATTACGGCCCGCGTATTGAAATACGTCGTATTTGTCCAATATGCTTGGTCAATACGCTCTGCCCCTGTGGTCTCGGCGTCGTTGGTATTAATTAACAGTCACCTACTTCCCCATCATTCTCCCGTTCTAATAAGCTGTCTTTATATAGTTTCTTCACAATTTTGCTTCTCCACCTGATCAAAGTATCTCATTGCGCTCTCTCTATTTGTTGTGCATTTGCTACCCAGCCTTTCGTCATTTTACCACATCTCGTTCTTGCCAACATATTGCCTACCATCACCAAATTAGAAACTACCAAGGGCGGGTACTACCTCTGGAATTATGTGCCCTCAATCGCTGCCGCTGTCATCTTTCTGCTGCTATTCCTCAGCATGACCGCGTTGATCTCATGGCGCATGTTCAAAACCAAGACATGGTTCTGCCTCCCATTCGCAATCGGTGGCTTTTGTAAGTCGTTCTTCACCCGCGTGTGACATTGTGAGTGTGGCACTGACGTGTCGATGCAGTCGAATCTGCCGGATGTTGCGCTCGAGCCTCAGCACATAACAAAACGGGCCGCATCATGCCCTACGCTGTCCAGAACGTGTTTATCCTGCTCGGCCCCGGCCCTCTTCGCAGCATCCATATACATGTGTCTGGGTCGCATCATCCGCGGCATCCGCGCCGACCATCACTCGCTTATTAAGCCGCGGAACCTGACCAGGACGTTTGTCACCGGGGACGTCCTCTCCTTCGTGGTGCAGGGCGGCGCGGCTGGCTTGATGGTCACGGGCAAGACTCCGGAGCTCGGCAAGGGTATCGTCATCGCCGGCCTGATGATCCAGATTGTCATTTTTGGCTTTTTCGCTGTCACGGCAGTCATCTTCCAGAGACGTATCAAGCGGAACCCGACGAACGAGTCCTATGATTTGTCAATTCCCTGGAAGAAGAGCATGCAGATGCTCTTCATTGTTAGCGCACTCATCATGATCCGATCGTGCTTCCGTGTTGTTGAGTATGCTATGGGCAACGATGGGTATCTTCTTGGGCATGAGTGGACCTTGTATATCTTTGATTCTGTCCTCATGTTTACGGTCATGGTTGTGTACTATCTCTGGTACCCCAACTGGATTACTCCTGAGAAGCTGGAAATAGATGTAATGCTAGCTCACCGCGACAACAGCATGCCATAATGGGATCCATGTAGCATGCGTTTAAATTAGCCACGTCCCCAGCGCCTTACTCAGATATTCAGGATAGCGAACTAAAACACATCATGACAGTGGTGATCGAAATGGTAAATAGAAAGCACTACACATCTGCTATAAAGACCAGCTACTTGAAATACTTTCTAATGTGTTCTAGGGAGGCCGTAAAATGACCGTCTCTCATGGCATAGGCATACTCGTAGATGGTCTCGACATACTCTCTCAAGCCGTCGGGGTACCGAGCTCCAGCCCCCTTGGAAATACTTAGGCTGTATTCCAAAGTCTGAGTGAGTTGGTCTTGCGTCTCCCTGGAGGAAAAGTTCATGTACCCTCCATGTTGCCTCAACAATGAGATGATATTTGAGGTCTTGGCATGACGAGAAGCTAGTTCGGAAACGTCTGGGCAATTCTCTTTCGGTTCTGTGCTGAGATCCATTATGTGCTGCTCGTGCGTTTGGAAAAAGTCCACAATATCGAACCGCTTCATTTTGGCGCTCAAAGAGCCAATGAGCCACTCGCGCAGCTGTGTCCGCCTGAAGTCTTCAAGCCTTGGTTGATGCCTCTTTAGCAGTTCCTCAGCTTGCTCGGGCCTCAATACAATCCTTGCGGCTTGCCTGTTATGGAGTTGCAAAATGTCCTTTGATTTGAGAACGCCATTGACCGAGTCAACAATCGTCAAATCCGAAGGGAAATGGACAATCAGAGATTGTAGCAACTCGAGGACGTCAGGCTCGCCGTCCAGGCCCGTAAGCCAACATATAAGGCGATAAATCTCCCCATAACTAATTTCAACCGCCGTTTGTACTCTCTCATTTACACAATTAAGTTCAAAGATGATGCGTGGTTTCTTGGGCCTCCAGTAACTTTGGGGTGCCAAGATATCATCAAAGTGAAGGGCACTGCAGTGGCCGCCACAGAGCTCAAGAACCAACAGAAAGATCTGCCCTGATGCGTATCTGCAAGCGAACTCCAAGGGCCCATGCCCGGCTGTGTTGCGGGTGTTCTTGACGCCATCTGAGTTATCCTCAAAGAAGCTTCGGATGATATTTGCCTGATCATTGAGTGCTGAGCCAGGATGGTAGATCCTGTTTTGCGTGGCTGTGAAAAGTGGGGGGTCTCCTTTCAAGTCGTATCGTCGGGTGTCTTCTGGTTTTAACTTAGAGAGAAGAAACCTCACAGCCTTGGAAACGGGAAATTCGGGACCATCACCGCATAGACGATGCAAGAGAGAGCATCCGCTGGAGTCCGGGTCGATCAAAACTTTCTCGTAGCAAAACTCCGGGGACTGACCAGATTTTCTATATCTCTCCATCTCGCTTGTTATCACAATCTGGAGTCCTCTTTGAACGTTTCGGTCCTCAATTGGAACGATTCGCACAAATGACAGCGTATCGCGCCCATATTCTCGTCTTTGAGTCTCCATGCTGGCGTACAGTAATATGTCGTCCAGTGTGAGTGGCACCTTCCGACGGCAATTCCAGGCAAGCAAATCCACGAGGAAGTGAGAAATGGGAGATTCGAGGGCATCTAGAAAACAATCTAAGAAAGCCGATCGCGCTGCTATAAATGAAACTTCATACTTTTTGTAAGCAGCATTCGATAAGGCTGAGAACAACTCGTAGTCGCCAAACTTGATCGACACCTGGAAAGCGGTGTTGGCGATTTCAGCTCTTCGACTGAGATCATCATGCCAAGGGTTTATGTATGGGTTGGCACCTAGCTGTGCCAGGTGTACACAAACGGCGATATGCTTGTTTCGTGCTGCTGCATGCAGGGCTCCGTTTAGAGTGACCGGTTTAGTGAGCCTTGGGACGGCCAATGTCCGAACTCGCTCGATATCTCCAAGGCGAGAGGCTTCTATCAATGATCGAGTTGCACTCCGAGAATTCACTGGGAAAAGGTTTTCTTCGGAGTCGATGGCTGGGTGAACCCTCTTCAGGTGTGTTTGCAACAAAGCGCTTGTCGGAAATCCGGTGAGCCATGCATAACACCCCATGTGCGGACATTTGAAGGTCCTCTCATGCCACGAGATATGTAGCGATAACTCAGTCTCGGAATCGAATCCTTTGTCGAAGTGAACACAAGCACGACGTGGACACTTGGGTCGGAATGGACCGTTCAATGAAAGATAGACGGCCTTCTCGCGGTCTGCCAAAGTGCTGAGATCGGTCTGTTGCATGATTTGGCGTAGGGACACGGCCAACCTTTCGAATTCAGTCGATCGCCGTGTTGCACTCCAATCTCTGAGTATCTCTTGGGCGTTGCAGGATTCAGCCGCAGTGCCGACAGTGCCAGGAGGGATAGATTGTTGTACAGAGGTATCCAAAAGCACATCATGTTCGGGCAATGTTTCCGACTGTGGCTCGTGTTCATCACGAAATCTTTTGACAAAATCCATCCAAGCCGTGGAGAGTGGCTTTCCCAACACCTCCTCGGTCAACGGAGTTGTTTGCCTCGAGGAAGCTTGACAGACGTATTGAAGTAGATGGTGGTCCCAGTGAGCAGCCGCGTAGTCGAATAAGCCATAGAATCCTGTCAGAGCAATAGTGCCTCCAGTCTCACTATCTTGGCTCGCCATGTCGAAGGCAGATCTTGTAAGATATTGACTGCAGAATAGACTCATTTGCCTGTGTTGCTCAAGCATATCAAGCCTGCCCGATCGAAAAAGATAACTGTGGCAGAACATATCAGAACAGTCCGGACGTGTTGTCCTAAAGGAAAGTACTAACCTTTTTGCTGTGTTGTGGACCATTGTAAGTTGAGCTTCGAATGGGAAGCCCGAAAATGTTGCGCAGGGCTCGGACTCGACAAATGAGCTACACAAATCCTTAGGTCCACCAACCTTCCGTCTCCGCGGATCGCAGGTGCCAGTTGTCGAATCAATGCAGAAGTAGCATTGTATCTCCCTCCATTTCAAGGGCCGGGCAGCACATGCGATCAAACCCAAGATTTGCAACGCAGCGCGCTTATGGGAATCTGAGGGTTTTTCAAGAACTCGTTCAGCGACCCGGTCGTAAGCCTCGTCCAACCCGTGGGGATAGTCCCTTTCGAGCTCTTGTTCCAACTCATAGATTGACGTCTGGGAGAGCAAGTTTTCAAGAACCACTTTCGCGTACATGAACATTCCTATTGCAGCTTTAGCTGTTTTGTCAGAGCAGTCTGGGACTTTTCTCATTACCTTTTGACGCATCTGCGACACGTGATGGATCCAGCCTTTTGAGTATTTCTTTCTCATATTCTAGGCCCGGGAATCGATCCTTGATTTGGGTAAATACCGATGACGAGAAATTCTCTATATCGCGAAGGTGTGGTGTCTGGCTGTCCAACCTGATGGTGCAGGCACAATTCTCCAACATTGCATCAAGCACGCCGTCTCTTTGGCCGGACACCAAAACCTTTACCACAACATTGGAAGCTTTCGACTTTGAGAGGATACTTTTGAGCCATTGCAGAATGTTCCTTCGCTGGTCCGTTGCGCATTCGTCAACTCCATCGACGACAATGTAGCATCTCTTTTGCGCGAGGATAATCCGCGTCGCTACATCTTCCAGCCATGAAACTCCATTGAGGTCGGAGGGGCGAGCAGTAAGCACAGTGTCATGGAGATCATCCACGACGGCGTCGTCTTGTTGGAGCAGTTGTTCAATGAAGGAGCGCAGCATGTCTATCTTGAGAGTTTTTCCACTCTGGCCATATTCAAAATAGAAATTTAGTAGCGGTTGTTGCTGGAGGGTTGTGTCTTTGGTCAGACTGTCCATGATGCGAGAAATAAGAGTTGTTTTCCCTGCAGTGAGTTCATTCAGTATTAACAAAGATGGCACGGTCTTGTGACTCTAGCTTACCAGCACCGGGCATTCCGTTCAGGTAGACAAGACTATTCGATAAATCGTCAGGATTGAGCCACTGGAGAAACAGGTGCTCCTTCAGAATCCAGTCTCCCGATGTTGGATAACGCTGGTCAGGCAGTCGTCGATGTCCTTTATCGTTGTAAGGCCCTTGGCTCCCCAGTTTATCCAATATTTGTTTCTTTTTCTGCTGTATGACATTGAGAATCTGTTTGAGTTCTTCATTTGATTTCTCAATGGTCTCCTGCAGTGTGCGCCGTGTTGTTTCGACTGCGCCATAGGTTGCGGTCAACTTTACCTGCACCAGTAGTTCTCGATGTCGTCGGAGGCTACCAAGGACTGGCGAAAACTTCGTACGGAAGGTTTTCCAGACAGAGTCGAAAATTCTCCGCCAGTCTACAAAATTGTCAATGATAGGTCATGGTTGAGGCCGTGCATGAGTAGGCACCTACCTCGTATTCCGAACGCACCAGGTCTCCCGAGTACGCCGAAAGCCATATGATAGAACTGAATAATATCACCATAGCAACGCTTCAAGACCTCCAGGACTTCAGGTTGCTCTTTGAAGATAGATGCGTAATCTTGGAAGTCCGGCATTGCCTCGGAGATGTCGGTAAATGTATCCAAGAGACACTCCAGTACTTCCAGCCTTGAAGAAGCAACCTTGGACAATGATGGGAATGTGTCAATTAGCCTACTCAATAGAACTTGGAGGCAGGGAGGAAATGACATCACTTACAACCAGGAAAAACTTGACAGGACCCTTCAAGACAATTGTTAATGACAATCTCCCTTCCGCGCAACTGAACACGCTTGAGAAGTAGCAGCAGCACTCACCCAAACGAAGGCTACGACCTCGCTAACATTCAAGAAGACTGATATGACTTGCTCCAGCTGCTGCATTGCTTCGAGAAACTTAGACATGCGCGACATGCCTCGCAGTTTCTTAGCAGACCCATGTCGAATTTGAATCCTGTTCACCTCGTCTTTGACATCTTGAAGTGTGGTTATGCCGAATTCGCGGCATTGCTGAGCTGTGAGATCTTTCTTGAAATTTTCCAGCGCCTTTTGGAACACAGGATCAGGCTCCATGGCGATGATACCTATCTGTTTTGATGCGCGAGCACGTGCAACGGAAACACCAAGTACACACTTCACCAGCAGAGTACCAAAATGTAAAAGAGTTAAATGAAAGATAACTCCAGGCCATTGAAGAGAATACTGTTTGAGTTGTTGGGCTGAGTGAAAGTCTCCATGAGGATTGACGGGCGGGGCGGCAATGTATAAAATATCAGGTGGGTCGCACCACTCTCTCGTCAGCATGGCACCGTGATCTTGCGTGGTGGCCTGCTGCTAGTGGAACCAAGTGGTGGGGCTGAGTGCATGTCGGTGTTGGCCTATGAGGGTACGTTTACCCTGACCAGAAGTCAGCTCAACAGGGCGTATGAAAAGCCCAACAAAGAGCCTGATGAGAAGACTACTAGTAATAAGAACCCTTTCGAATGGCCACAAATTTGATCTTCGAATGAGATACAGGGAACTTTAAGAAATCGAGCTACGCCGCCCGACTTTTGTATTCAGGCCCCGACAATTCATTTCCACCAGCTGATCTAAGTTCACACCAGGATACCAACACACGACATTCACACCATGGATAAACGCAAGAATGACGATGTGGGCTTCCTGGCTCCCGGCGGAAAGCGCCGCTTGCTTGCAAACAGTTTGCAAGCCACGACTTCATGTGACAGTTCAAGCCCAGAAGATAGGAACGCTGAAATGCTCGACCATAATCCCCATGATTATATGGACGATCGGGGAATGATTTGCTACGGGGCGGTAAGTCTCAACTTCACCCCGAGAAAAGCTTGTGGCGGTATTCCCAACACCGAGAATCTAGTTATCGGAGTCTAAGGCAAAGCTTGGAGGCACCGATATTTCAACAATACAACACACAGCATGGAGCAGATATGTCCAACTATGCTTGGGCGAACGGACACCAGAGGGCTGCTTCCATGTATTATATGAGGATTGCGGGGGTCAAAAGCTGGGTATTGGTATATTGGACCTCGTTACATCAAAAAACATCGGTCTGCTGAGTTCAATACACGGACTGAGCTTCGCCATCATTCTGTCTTCCGACGACTTAAACACTCTCAAGAAAAAGACAAAGAAGACCGATCTCATCTTTGAAGTGTCGGTTAACATCACTGGCCCTGCAAGAGACGCAGACCAAGTGGCAGATACTTTACTGCAGAACAGATGCTTCCTTCAACATCCAGTCTTTCTTAGTCCCGGGACCAAATACCTCAACCCTCAATATTTTTATTCCGAGGGTGCAAGAGACGACTTGAGAGACCTAATAGGTCCAGCCTCAAGGATAGAGGCTGAGGCACTATCCAGGCTACTTCAATACGGCCTCGAAGATGTGCTTGGTTCACTTGCCGGACAGGAACAGAGCATTGACAATGTCCAATTGCCACTAGCCAACGATATTTTACGGACGAAACTCAAACCGTGAGTGGCTCCCATCCATGCTCGTGGATAAGCCCCTCAAAGGACCACTCTCACAATAGAATCCTAGCCACCAACTCGACGCCGTTCGCTTCATCCTGCAGAGTGAAAACCAAGAGGTTCGCCGTGCGACTCTCTACGATCTACGGGTTTTGGTCGGAAGCGGGTAAGGCCCATAGCAGGCGTATCTATAAAGCTGGAAAACCCACTGACTGTGAGAAAGGAATTCGAATGAAGTCGATACCTGTGCATATACCGGGGGAATACTTGCTGACGTAATGGGCCTCGGGAAGACGCTCGCCATGCTGATGGCGATAGCATCATCCAAGAAGGCGGCTGAAAGACACGGCGAGACATATGTGCAGGATCAACGACAATTAGTCCCGACCAAAGGAACTCTGGTCGTGGTTACCTCCAGGCGTAAATTGAGCCGATCTTCGTCTCTATAGTACCGAACACTGACGTAAAGACTTATATTAGAGATTTTGGAAGTGTGGAAGACTGAAGTAGAGAGGTTTGTTTGACTATTACACAATGGGGAAGGCCCTACCACTGACTTCAAGGCCAGCCACTTCCATCCATCCTCTCTGTCGCTGGGGATCTTTCACGATAAATACCGAGCCAGTAACCCTCAGGAGCTCAGAACCTATGACGTGGTGCTCACGACATATGGGACTTTGATGGCTGATTGGAGTTCCAAAGGCCGAAAAGTACTCCAAGGCGTTGCATGGTATCGTGCCATTCTGGATGAAGGTACTGCTACCGTCATGTCCAAGTATGGTCCCGATGTTTACAGATTTATATGCTAACCGCAATTCCAGCTCATTGGATTCGAAATTCAAACACCAAGCAGTTCAAAGCCGCAAGAGACTTGGAAGCAACAAGGCGATGGTGTGTGACTGGAACACCTATACAGAACTCGCTCGACGACCTGCTCTCACTCCTCAAGTTCCTCCACCTCCAGCCCTTCAGCCAGCAGGCGGTGTTCGAGCGAGATATTATTTCCCCGATGCGATCAGGGAACCCTAATTCATTCCGGAACTTGAAGTTACTGCTACGTGCTATCTGCCTACGGCGAAATTCCAAACTGCTGGATCTTGAGCCAGTCAAGTTTGAGACAATTCCCGTCACGCTCAACACCGAAGAGAGAGAATGCTACAAAGCAATCCAAGTTCATTGCCAGCGGGAATTCGAGAAAATCACGAGCCAGCAGTCTCAGCTAAAGAGGTACACGGTACTATTCAGCACCATCCGGCAGCTACAACGACTATGCAGCAATGGCCAGTATCAGGCTCCATCAGCCACTGCAGCACAAGGCAACAAAGGAACGACCAAAGGTAAGAAGGGTTCCAGAATGAGTATTGACATTGAGTGTGACTGCTGTGGCGACGAAGACGCGATAAGCTTGCTTGACGGGCTGAGCGTTTGCCCTGAATGTTCGAGGCCACTGGCGAACGGGATGAAACCTATCGTTGATAATTCTTCCACGCCAACGCGTCTCTCCCCGGGATCTCTTATCACCGCAACTCCTTCGAGATCTCCCTCTCCATTGTCTGGCAATTCCCTTTCGAGCCCTACTTTCCGAGCTACCTCGTCCAAGTTGAACGCGGTAGCGGATAATATTGAACGGCACAAGGACGGGGGCAAGAGGTGAGTCTGACATGATTCAGCAAACACAGGAGAGGTTTTGCATCCATCAGACTAAAAGATTCATGGTAGCCTCGTTTTCACATCATGGTTGAGCACCCTCGACTCATTACAGAGAATCCTGGAGACTAGGGGGATCCTGTGCTTGCAGATAGACGGTCGCGTTGGCACATCCGACCGCGAAGAACGCCTAGAGCGGTTCAAGAAGGACTCTTCTGTTCACGTCCTGCTCATGTCTATCCAGACTGGCTCTGTCGGGTGAGGCCCCCTAGTTGCACGGCACTCGCCAAAGTCGTCCCCAGAACACACGAGAAGGGAGATATATACTAACACCATTGTAGCCTGACGCTGACTGTAGCTAACCGAGTCCACTTTGTCGAGCCTCAGTGGAACCCTGCCGTCGAAGAACAAGCGATTTGCCGGGCACACAGAATGGGACAAACTCGGCAAGTGACAGTGATCAGATATATCGTTGAGAAGAGCGTAGAAGAGGTAGAACCCCAGTGTTCAGGACCATTTGAAAACAGCCAGTGTTACTTACCAGGGCTTAGACCATCGCGGCACTACAGAAGAAGAAGAGCCACCTGGCCAAGGTGTCCTTGGATGCTGCTGAGCATAATGGAGAGACGACAGGGCTCGATGTGAGTGGCCAAATCCAACTTAATCAACATCTATCATCTGGAATCTGGGATTTGCTGATAAAACGTCTAGGACTTGAAATTTGTGCTCGACCACGATCATGTGGAGTAGTTAGGAATGGCGGTGGAGATTGCGGATCATATGGGACACCTTCCATCACTTGTGTATCTGAAGATGGTTGTAGGCCACTTCAACGCGAGCAGAGAGCATGGACCATAAGTTCCTGTGACTAAAGGTCGAAGCGATGTTAGACCGAATGTGCATAGGTGGGACGGAAAATGAATTGAAATGCATGGTAAGTCAGAGTGGGCGCATGTGCTGGTTATTGGTCTATGAGGTTGCGGCGGTTGTCTTCCTGAAAGTAACTAGTCGGAGATGTTGCCAGGAAATTGGAATAGCAATTGGCATGAGTCAGACAGTAGGAATTGCTACTGGAGGACAAGGACATGTAATTGACCATTCAGTCAATGAATTGGCTTTTTAATTCCCACAACATGTCGGTAACTACTCGGCTCAAGACGGCGACGGCGACGGCGACGGCGAGAGTGGCGATGTCGGAGCTGACAAACCACTAGAGGCGCGTCAGAGTTGGAGCTAGACCACAAAGTGCATGGGTCAGGTAGCACCAAGGGCGGAAGGTCTCAGACAGACCACACATGGCGTCCACTATCTAGACTGATGTCACAGGTGTTTGTTTGGACGAAATTCCACAGATGGATGATGTCTGCAGCAGGACTGCAATCCTGCCGCGTGGTCGCTAGTCCTGCACAGTAAGCTCGCCTCTCAATGTCTCGTCAATTTCATCTCCACTACATTTCACTCGGCTCCACTATCCGGTGCCTGCGAAACCGAGAGCACACTGCAGTGTAATCGCAATCTGCAATCTGCAACCTGCGACCTGCAAACCTGTGACTCCACATCAGTCGTCAGTTGCTCGCTCAGACATCCTGCCCGTTGCTTAAAAAGGCGCGGGCGACGCAACATCATAAATCAAAATCCACCCGACGGTGATCCGGGCTTTCCACTCCAGCTTGCTCTTGCCCAACAATACCGCATCCTCTCTGTTTTGTTGTATCGCTCCTTCCTTGGCCTGAGCCAACGGCACTTGTTAGTGCGTACCCCCGTCGGCCAGACGTCGTCACCCCTGCATCTGACCGAACTCTGTTGCCGTTGGCAGCGCGATTAACTTTCCGTACCAGGCTAGGCACTGCAATCCTCTCCCCCGCCGCTTCTGCTTGCCTGGATCGAGGACCCACGGCCAATACGGATCCCAATCCCAATCCCAAACTGCTCAAGGTTCGACCAACAAACCTTGGAAAAACAGAAAACTTAGGCGACAACATTCAGCCGACCACGCTCATTGCCCGTGTATACATACACTGCATCACCCAGCGACAACAAGCCGATCCGCGCATACTTATTCGCGCCCGCTAGTGCCCGTCTGTGTGCGACCGACGACACCACTCCCGTTACACCCTGCGAGTTCGGACCCCAAACCCCCACGATTGACCGCAAACACACCCAGTAGACGTCAAAACACCAACGCCACCTGCCAGCGAGGCCGACAGCAAGAACTCCAGGGCACCGAGGGTCCGTCTCGGTAGCATCGTCGTGAGGGTCGGGAGCCCTCGGGCGACAGGCAGGATGGCGTGGTCCAAATCCACCCGCATCAGCATCATGCTGGGCATCGACATCGTCTTCTTCCTTGTCGAGCTCATCACCGGCTTCGTTGTCTCGTCCCTTGCGCTTACCGCCGATGCCTTCCACATGCTCAACGACATCATATCGCTGCTGGTCGGTTTGTGGGCTGTCAATCTCGCGCGCAAGGCCACTACCGACAAGTACTCCTACGGCTGGCTGCGCGCAGAGATCCTCGGCGCCTTCTTCAACGCCGTCTTCCTGATCGCGCTTTGCGTCTCCATCGTCCTCGAGGCCATCACCCGGTTCTTCGAGCCTCCCGAGATTTCCAACCCGAAGCTCATCCTCATTGTTGGCTGCTTCGGTCTCGCCTCAAACCTCGTCGGCTTCGTAGTGCTCGGCGGCCACGGGCATTCACACGGACACGAGCATGGCGAGCACGGCGAGCACGAACACGACCACGGCCACGAACATGCGCACAGTGGACATGACGAGCTGAGCCAGGCTGAACAGGGCAGGGCCAACCAGGAAGAGGAGGAGACCGGTCCGGTTGTGGAACACCTCCCCGAGGTCGCCGTGTCTAGGTTTCAGCATAAGAGCTCCCCGTCTACGGCATCGAAGCGGATATCGTTCGACGAGACCCAACAAACACCCGAGAGAACAAGCAGCAGGACAGGCCAGGCCGGCAGGTCGCGGAGGCGGACAAACAGTGGCCGTAACCAAGTCACTAACATTGACGACATCAGCATCTACCCGTCCAGCTTCCGGCAGGATATTATCGCCGCGTCTAGACCTCGTCCGCATGATTCAACAGACGAGTCGGAAAGCACCGACGAGGAGAACGCTATCGCGGAGGAGCCGGCTATAGAGACCACGCCGCTGGTTGGAAATAAGGGCAACCTAGGCAACGCTAAGCACGCCGACTACACACCTAAGAGGCACAGAAGGGACTCGAGCTTGCACCACACGCACAATCACAACAAACCCCGCAAGCCAGGTCAGTCGAGCCATGGTCACAATCATGGCGACATGGGCATGAATGCTATGGTGCTTCACGTCCTCGGCGACGCCCTTGGCAACGTCGGCGTCATTGTGACAGCCCTCATCATCTGGCTGACCGACTGGCCCGGCAAGCACTACGCCGATCCAGCCGTATCCTTGTTTATCACCCTCATCATCCTCAAATCTGCGCTTCCTCTTACCTTCGCCACGTCCAAGATCCTGCTGCAAGCCACACCAGAGGGCATCGAGGTCCAGGACGTTCGCGAGGACATTGAAAGCCTCCCCGGGGTGGTGACGTGCCACCACGTCCACATCTGGCAGCTGTCCGACTCCAAGGTCGTGGCCTCGATGCACATCCAGGTCGCCTTCCCCATCTCGGAGGCGGGGGGCAAGGAATACATGACCCTCGCCAAGCGGGTGAGGAAGTGCCTCCACGGCTACGGCATCCACAGCGCCACCATCCAGCCCGAGTTCTGCCTCGATGAGTCGCACGATCACGCCGAGGACGCAGAGCAGCAGCTCCGCCAGCTGGCCGGCTCCGGCGACGGGCCCGCCGAGCTGCGCAGGTGCGCGGGCGGCAACAACAACTGCCTGCTCGAGTGCGTCGACGACTGCGTCGGCCAGGGCTGCTGCTCCGTGTCTGGCGACGACACCGCCGTCGAGAGCGCTAGCACCGGCAGCCACTCGGCCCATAGTCACGGCCATGCTGAAGGGGATGGGCATCAGCATCACTAGTGGAATGATCCCACCTCTTCGATGGCGGGCTTCCGATTTTCTTTGTTTGGGGTTTGACCATATCTCTCTCTTTTGTCTACGGAGCGAAGCCTGTGTGTGTGTGTGTGTGTGTGAAGTGGAGTGTTACGATGAATGGGTATGAGACGCCGGATTTTATCATGAGCATCATATAGGTGCCTGGTCCGGATGCATGCTCAGCATACACACAAGCACACAACAACACACTCACATCCTCCGAAAAGCGCATCACGGTTTGCATGGGGCTGTCTCTGTCATCTTTTTTTTACCCAGCGCATCGCTTTCGGGGCGGTATTCGTCACCGGGCGAGATAAAAGCGGTTCTGGTTGGCGTTTTCCGGGGCAAGGGGGGCAAATGTGTCTTGTCTCTCTGTACTAGAATAATGCTGCGTTGATTAGAATGAGACCGGTACGGGAAATGATATCGTCATTCGTTACGCGTCGCTTATGGACGGCGCAGTGGAAAAGCGTGATCGTGAGAGATGATAGATGTCTCTTAGTTGAATGTTTTGCATTATGCTAAAGTATTACAGACCTAAACCATGTACAACCGCCTTGTCTTGCCATTTTCACAGCACCCTAAGGTAGCTAGGACACTTGGCAACACGGCAGCGTCCAGCATTCACTACGATTCTGCGCTTTACGCTACGCCACACAATCACACTATAGCAAATCCACTCATACTCCAACAAGAACCCCTCCGAAACCGCACCAACGGGTCATGACGACCTCACCCCGCCTACTCCTGCCGGTCGATAAAGTGCTGCCGCAGGCACTCGGTGCACAGCACGCGCCCGCCCCCGAGGCCGACGATGCAGTGCCGGACCCTGGAGCACGCCCGGCACAGCGCGAACCGGCTGAGCAGCAGGGACGGCCGCGACGAGGAGTACTGCTCCGCGTCCCTGGGGTCTGTGGCGCCGTGCAGAGCGGGCGGGACGCTGAGGGGCCGCCTGTTTGCGGGTGGGTGGGCGATGTGGGCGTGGGCAGGGGGCAGGAGGGGGAGTGGTGGTGATGGTTCTGGGAGGGTCCGGGGTGAGAGAAGAGGAGTGGGAGGAGGAGGAGGTGGTGGTGGTGGTGGAGGATGAGGTGGAAGGGGAGCTGGGCGAGGATGTACCAGGGCTATGGGGCCGCCGCCCAGAGGAGGGATCAGAGGTGTGATGATCGGTAGGGGTGATGGTGAGGTGGGAGGGCTTGCCTGTCCTGGGGCAGGGTCGTGTCGGCTCAGACGAAATAGACGTGATAGCCGGCGGACTCGCGTCCACAGTTTGGGTTGAGGCGAAGGAGTCTCCTGAGGAGAAGTCTCCTGAGGGAAGATTTGCTGGGGTGAGGACTGCTGAGAGGACTGCCGAAAGGAGTCATTCTGCGAGGAGTCTCTCTGAGGGGAGGCCGGCTGGCTCAGGAACGGCCTGCTCGACAATGGATAAGCTGGGGCACGTAACGGCCGCGGTGGTCGAGGACCTAGGTCAGTGTACCCTGGCTGGATGAGGCTGGCTGTTGGCTGTATCGGGGTTGACCACCGCTGCTGGGTTCGAGGCTGACGTGTGGGCAGCCTTTCCCACATCGTCAGTCTCCGACGGTCAGGTTGGTTGGACATCATCGTGCTCTTGCTCGAGGGAAACACGGGATGAATGTGCTTGAGAAATTATATGATGCTGTCTTCTGGTGAGAAACGACGCTCAAGTGGGAAGTGGCTTACAGAAAAGTTCGGACACAACTGCGTGGCTTTTATCGAGACCAAAGACTCGCAGCCAGGGACGCAAGGTCGTGTTATGTTGAGTAGTGACTGAAGAATTAAACCATTTCTGAAGGCTGAAGGTGAGAGTCGGAAGTTGGTGAGACTCGCACCGCGCTGGCAGACGGACCAACTCAATCACTGGGCTTGTCCACTCAAGGCCAGATTTCCTGGCACAGTCAAGAAAGTTTATGGGGACGGAAGTGTGACAAGTTGCCGACCCAGGCAAGACAGTGTATTCGTACAGTTACATAAATCGTCAGGGTCTTGTCACCCCACGTCTGCTCTCATATCTTTCCAGCATGATGTCTCCCCGGATGTAAGGGTTCAATGTACAGTTCATCCAAACTACCATGCCAGTCGTTCATTATCCGAATGCAATCTTCCCGTCCCGCTGACGGCGTTGACGGCCCAATCCTTGAACGCCGTACAAAAATAACAAATTGTGATGTGGTTGTAATGTGGCATGCACTTCGCATGGGGTGAGGCTGTCCTACGAGACCCTGATCATGACGTTGAGGAAGCCGATCGTCTGGGTCTAACGGAGTTTATAGAACAGCCTCGCCGCTAGTCAGGCCGGAATGTCGATGTTCTCCTTGCCCAGTCCGCCCTTCTTCGTCTTCTCGGTCTCCTCCGGAGTCTCAAGTCCAATCTCGCCCTGCTTTCTGGGCGACGGGGTTGGGGGTGGGCCCATTGCATTGGCCTTGCTTTCGGCATCGACAATGGCGGCGGCTGCTTCAGCCTCGGCCTCCCAATCCTCATCCACATCGTCCTCGAGGCCTGCGCTCTTGGCAGCCATCCCCGCCGTCGTGGTCGGTGTGTCATGCTTGCCCAAGCTCCAGTCAATTTCTCCGTCTTCTCCATATCTCGTCAACAGCCACTCGTTGGCCTTCTTAAAATGGCCGCAGGTGAAGAAACCCCTCGCTGCACTCAACGGGCTCGGATGCACCGAGTTGAGAACAAGGTGCCGCTTCCTGTCGATCTTTTGCACACGCTTGCCAGCTGGAGTGCCCCAGGCCATGAAGACCACACCGGTCGTCCGCCGTCCCGCGACGAGATCAATCACTTTCTGTGTGAAGCGCTCCCAGCCACGGTTAGCGTGGCTGTTGGCCTCGTGAGCACGCACCGTCAGGCAGGTGTTCAGTAGTAGAACGCCACGGTCGGCCCAGGTGGTAAGGAGACCACCACGGTTTGGGGGTGGCACAAAGGAAGGGTAGTCGTTCTTGAGACAGGTATACATGTTCTTGAGAGAAGGCGGCGCAGGGGTGGGCGCCCTGACGGAGAAGGCCAGGCCATGGGCCTGCCCCACGTTGTGGTAGGGGTCTTGGCCGACGACCACGACCTTAACATTGTTGAAGGGAGTGTGGCGCGACCTTGAGAGGATGTTAGTGATAATGAAAGCAGGGGCAGTGTGAGGATTGAATCGTACCAGGAGTAGATGTCCTCTCGAGGGGGAAAGATCTTCTTTCCAGCAGCGGCCTCTCTGTCAAGGAATCGTTTGAGATCCAAGAACTCCTTGGTCACGATCTCACCCTTTAAGTGGGCCAACCAGCTAGGGTGCAGGGTATCGATCTCGAGCTGCAGCAGCTGCTTCTGCTCCTCAGTCAGGGTAGCAACCCACTTGGCCTTGTCAAACTTGGCGACTGGCTCAGGTGCTACAGCAGCAGATGAAGCAGAGCCACCATTGAGCGATGACTTGGCACCGACGCCAGCAGAGGGCACAGCCTTGGGAGCTCCAAAGAAGGAGGTGATGCTGGCATTCTGCCTTGGCTTCTTTGGGTCAGACCCAGCAGCCTGGCCAGCGGCCTTCCGCTTAACCGACGACATGGCAGGCCGACCGGAGGTGTGGATTGAAGTTGGTATTCGAGTGCGACAAGGAGGACACCAGGTTGAGATTGAGAGTGATGGTGAGAGCCTGGGCGTGATTTGACGACGGTGGGGCTGTGCGAGAGGATGAGCATGAGATTTAGACAGACGAGCAGAGGCAAGGAGAACGAGGTCGAAAGGAGGAGACGGGGGTATTATGGCGAAGGAAGTGAGACGAGGAATCTTGACGATATGCACACGAAGGTGGGCTGGCAGGAGGTAGACCAGGTGGAGGGGAGAGGGAGGAGAGAGGAGGAAGGAAAAGAGGCCCAATTGACCAGGGATTTTAAAAAGAAGACGAAGGTAGAAAAGCAACGTCAGAACAGGATCGAGATCATGACATATCGGAGAATAGACCAACAGCAAGGACGAGGCTTGCACACGCGCGGGCGAGGGCACGGCAGTCAGTTCAGTTCGGGTCAAGGAGAGGAGGAAGGGGGACGTTGGATGTTTCCTTGCCTCAGCTTTAACTTGCACACAATGGGAGTGCCGTCATTGGATTTTGGCCGTGCCGCTAGGCCTCGGGCGCGTTGGGCCTCCCACCTGCCGCCCTGCCACCCCTTCCAACTGCAACCCTGGCAGGGGAGCCCTATGCTTTTGTATCTCAGCAGAGACCTCTGATCCCTGCACCGTAGTCTGAGCGCGCGTCGACCAGCCACCCGGTTTCGCACACACCCGGTCTGGGGGCCTGAGATTGGGACCCGTCACAAAAATCGCGTGGGCACGGGTCTGAGCCTCGGGGCGTGTTGGACTGGCTGCGTCTCGACGCGACGGACCTGCAGGTCGCGTTTAATGGGCAAAGCTCCCCACATTTCCCCAAGCTTTCATACCCTTCTCTTGCTTTGAGGCTTCCCTCTGGTCATCCAGTCCATTGGCTATAGGCTACTCGACAGCTCAGTGAGGCTTGGGTATGGGACGAGCTCGACTTCCATCTTGACTTTTTGCCCATCTGTTTTTTCTGTAGTTTCCTTCGTATCTGGCTTTTACGTGACTTCAATTCAATCAACAGCTTTTCACCTGCGATCCCCGACCCCTTCGAATCCCCCAACCCTCTCCCCACCCCGTCTCACCGGCCTGCCTCGGTCACGACTCAGCGAGCTGCAGGAAACGCGCTCGGCTCAGCATCCTGCCTTGGACGCGTTTTGGGGGGCCCTGCGCCGCCATATTGCAGATCGCAAATAGAGGACGGCCAGCTACGTGCCCGTGACTTGGATATGGTTTTTGTTCCATCATCAGGACGGCGACAATATTCCTGGTAGAAGGACGGCCTCGGTCTTGGTGACGGACGCTTGGTGCTGCGTGCTGTTCCCGCCACCCGCGCACTAGCTCGACGACTGGGCTGCAGCAATGGGTTCGGTAGACGACGACCAAGTGCCCTCGAGTCTCTTCGGATCTTTGCCAGCTCGACCGCCCACCCCTCCAAGAGAAACACACGGTCATGAACTCGACTCCCTGCCGAAGCAGCTCATTATTCCCCAGCAGCTCGGCGTCCCTCTCCGAAGCTTGCAGACTCCTCCAGGCATCTCCCCGACATCCTCATCCAGCCGCTCGACCACAAGGAGGAAACGGGTCGGCTTCTCCTCCCAAGCCCAATACCAAGAACCTCCGACCTACAAAGCCAGGAGCTCTGCCACAAAACAGAACCCAAGCCCTCTTTCTCTGCCCTCCAGTACTTCGAGGCCCGTCAAGGGCATACTGAAGCCCTGTCCGACACCAAACAGACTCGGCCCCGCACATGGGGTCTACCTAGGCGATGACAGCTCCGACCAGGTCAATATCGCCGACATGTTGGAATCAACACTCCAGCAGCTTGCAGGCGCCGACAGGGAGTGCAAGGTCGATGCCTACACCATGCTCTTCCGCGGCCTCAAGACGTCGAGCAACCTGCCTGATCGCATTGCCCTGCAGAACAAGATGACCGTCTTTATGCAGTTCATACAACGGGACCTCACTGCCAGGACGCCAAACGGATCTGTCGACAATCTCCTGGTCACCTCCGCACTCAAGCTTCTCCATACATTCCTTCATTTCCATGGCATTGCCTCCAGTATCTCTTACGACTTTGGTGTCTTCATGGTCGACCATTCCGTCCGGACATTTGAGGACCAGCAAGCCTCTAAAGAGGTCGTCAAGCATCTCATGCAGGCTCTGTTCCTACAGAACTTCCCAGCTGAGGTCATGACCATCGACCGTGTGGGCCGCCTTGTTTCCGCTCTCCACAACATCGAGAACCACCTGTCCGGGAAGAGCATCGTGCAAAGCCGCATCGTTGTTTACGAGAAGCTGGTGAAACAGTGCCCGCAGCAGATGACCGTTCACTCAGACTGGCTACAAGACTTATTCACGGACATGCTGAGCAGTATTTCTGAAATACGATTGGCCTCAATCAAGCTGGGTCTTTCTGCCGCCTTCGCCTTGAACAAGGACAGGAGGTTTGTTAGCCGGGTCCTCGAGCTTCTCAATCTGTCGCTTGAGGACAAGAAGTACGTGGAAGAGTTCAGCGGGAGACTTCGTGTCATGCTCCAGAACCCGCAGCAAGCCACGTCGGTACCGCGGATATGGAGTGTCGTAACTTTGTTCATTCCAAAACCCCACCAGTGGGACTACTTCAGTTCCTGGTCGAGGATCATTCAACTGTCTTTCAACAACTCCAACCCCCAGGTTAAGAGAGAGGCGAACCTTGCTTGGAATCGGTTCACGTACCGTCTCCACTTGGACGGTCGCCTGGTCTACAATCTCATCCGGGATCCCCTAATTAGTCTGCTGAAGCGGAAAGGCCTTCGCGACTCAGTCCTTGCGAGTATCTGCAACTTCTACTACTATGCCTTCAAGCCAGATATGAATCTGAGGATGTTGGACGAGACGTGGAATTCGGCTGTCGCGCCTCTGATGCATGGGCTGATTGAACAAGGCCAGGATGACACTCCGGCCATCACCCAAGCAGCTGCCATATTGACTGGTTTGATCGACTGCCAAACACGTCGTGTATGGAGGGAAGATCGGATCATGGACCAGAGTCCGATCAAGGCCGACGAGTTGCCAGCCATCGAGTCGAAATGGATCAGAGCCAATCCAGAACGCGTCTTTGCCCTCGTCGCCCCGATACTGGAGAAGGAATTTGCAGAAATATCTCGGCCTGACAGCCAATTGCGAAAATTGTGGAAGGCCCTTGTTCACTCCGTCGCCTCCGCCTCAACCAAGGATGTCAAGCTGCATGACGACACGGCCAAGTTCGTTGCCAGTGCTTTCACCTTTTTGCACAAGGTATGGATAAATGGGCCATTATCCCGGGCCGACGGCACTTCTTGCACGTCTTCCCAATTCTTGGACGGTGCGCGGGAGCTTCTTTCGACTCTCGTAGACGGCCTCGGCCTTCTTCCCAACCCATTCGCAGAGAAACATTTTTTACAGACCAGGGACGGCCAGTTCGTCGTACATGGTGTACAATCAAACCGCTCTGGGAAGAAGCAGGGATCCAAGCGACTACCTCTGCAACATCTCTTCTGTTTTCTATCAAAACTACCGCCTAACATTCCCGACGACGACACATTCATCGCCTTCTTTTCCTCCGTATTCGCTCCTTTCTTCGACGGAAAAAGCCAAAAGGCGCAAGCAGACCTGAGCCAGGAACTTCTGCGTCTTTTACCCATCGACACACCCTGTCCGTCTGGGCCGTGGGCGATGGCAGCCGCAAAACTTTCGATATCACTCGAAAGCAGCCAGCACAGCCATCAGAGCACAACTTCAGGAAGTGGTGGCAGCCTCGGGCTTGAATTCCGCGATGTCGTCAAGGTTCTCGAGCGCGGCTTGAGGTCAGTGCCATGCTTGCCTTGGCAGCACTGGCTTCACCTGTTCCAAGCAATCCTCCGCCGTGTTAGGGATGAGACTGGCGATGCCGGTGTGGCCATTGCACTCATCGAGCCATTGGCCGCAGCTGTAAGGGAGAAGCTTTCCGACGAAATTGACGATGTAGTCTTGACAAATTGTATCGGAGCGACTATCGAGCTCGTTGCAGCATCTACACAGCCGCGTGACAAGCAGGCTGTCGATGCCGCAAGACGACGTTTGTGGGGCACCTCGAATGCAGGCAACCGTCTTTCATCATTCGATCCCTTAGACAACATGTACAAGCTTCTTGCAGAACTGTCTAAGAAGTTGTATACTAACGTTGAATCACACGCCTCTGGACCTATTGAGCAGCTGCTGGATGAGACGAAGGGCTTCTTTGACCGTGGGAACCGCCGACTTCTTCTTCGGACCCTGGTCGCCGTCCAAAGCGGCCTCTCATGCTGGCTGGAGGATAAGGATCGCCGCATCACTAGGGCCGATTTCCCTAGTGTGGTGGAAGCGGTATGTGTTTCCCCATGAAGTATCTCGAGGTTGCCCCGAGTGTTGTTGCTAACTCTTCCCAGACTCAATCCTTGTGGGGGCAAATATGCAGTGCTCTCAAGGACACATCTGCTGAAAAGCTGGAACTTGAGAACATTGAGCCACTGTTGTGCGCCGCGTTCCAGAGCACTCATCTTAGTGTCGTCAAAGTTACAGCAGAAATGTGGAATCATGTGTACGACCATGCGCAGCACATACAGTATCCAGAGGCTTTGAAGAAAGCACTTGTTGCTCTCGGTTCTTCCGTGGATATCGTCCGCCCCGGACTGGAAGTTTTGAACGATGGGTCGAATACGCACCTCAACTTCGTGGAATCCCAAGAAGAAGCGAACAGTTCCATCGTCACACCCGCCAGGATAGAACCAACCTCACGATCTCATTCCTCTACATCACGACGATCAGCCACCTCAAATCTATCAAAATCAATCCAGGTGGCGCAGAGCAGCCCTCTAGCTAGGATCAAATCGAAGGGACGGACACCAAAGCCTAAGCTTCGCCACGAGGACTCACAAGTGCAGTTCGCGGCCATCGACTCTTCGCCAGCCCCTATGGAATATGGGTCACAGTTGCTCACGGAACGCCAGAAGGAAACCAGAGAGCGACAGCGGGACACTGCTGCTTTGTTTCCAGAAATGCGGTCCAGTCCGAGTACTGCGACGAAGAAAGCCAGGGCTGGGGCGAGTCAGCATGAGCTCCCCCTTGAGTCGGGCGCGCTTGCGCCAGGTCGAGCCTCAACGCCAGAGCACGATGGCGTATTTGAAGATTACCTGACCTCGACCCCAACGCCGCGACGAGGCCAGCCGATGATGTTGCCAGAGCAGGACCAGGAAATGTCCGCGGACCCGCCATCGTCGCCCCCAGAGCCGAGAGGCTACCGCCTGATGGCGGAGCTGAAGACTCAAGCCAACAACACCAACTCTCTGGACGAATGGCGGTTTTCCTCATCTCCGTTGTCCGGCTCTCCAAATCTAGCACAAGTGACGAATTCCACATCACAGCCAATGGAATTAGACGAGGTCAACGAGGAGCTGCAGCTGGACGATGAGGCGAACGCCGCTGAGCGCACATTTGAGCAAAAAGACGTAACGTCGTCACAGTTGGTGGTGGACCCTGAAGTGATTGAAGAGACGACCTTCTTCCATCAAGCAGCCGAGACCGAGCTGCCAGCTGGAATATCAACCGAGCTGCCTACACTCAAGTCACCAATTACCCCTTCCGGACGGGTATTGCGATCCAAGACATTCCAAGTAACCCCGAAATCTGACAACGACGAGTTCGTGGATGCCCCGAGTAGTCCTCTCCCGCCCACGCCGAGCCAGAGGGCCAGGCCAGACTCGTCGCACATGGCCCTGCGCAGATCTCCCCGGAGCAAAGCCAATACCCAGTCATTCAGCGTCAGCGATTCTTTTGAGAACGGTATGAGGAATATTGGAACGGGGCGGTTCGAAATTGAAATCAGGAGCTCGCCTAAGAAGAAGGACGTTCCGTCTTACGACGACATTCTGCCCAAATCGCTGGAGCACTCTGAAGAAGAGGTAGAGAAGGCCGAACAGGCAGAGAAGGCCGAACAGGCAGAGAAGGCCGAAGAAGCAGCCAAGGCTGCTGAAGAGGCAGCCCAGGGCCTGGATTGCATCACGGTCGAGGGTATATCACCCAGGCAGCTGCGCCGCGGTCGTTCAAAGAAACCCCGGCGAGATTCGGTCTCGAGGAACTCCCAGACGTCACGAGATGCCCAAGAATCGTGCAGCTCACAGGCCTCGGTGGGCCGGCCTCGCACACCTGTCACTCAGCTAGCGATGTCGAGCCTCCAGGAAGGCTTCGAGAATGTTTCACCTGGCAGCGGCAGTTGGCTGAGGAAACGCAAGCGATCAGTCTCGATGCACAGCAGTGGCGACAAGAAACGGGGCCGTCAGGACTTCGTCCCCAAGGAAAACGAGGACGAGGTACCCGACAGCCAGCCCGCTGCTATTGCCGAACAAGGTATGTTAAGTTGCTGTTCAGATTTGTAATACTTGCAGTTCCACTTACACGTTATTATCGCAGGTCGCGACACTGAGATGCACACATCCGAGCTGTATGAGAACGACGTGTCACTTGCATCTGGGCAAAGCCAAAGGAGCTCGCCGAGTGAGCCATCAGCTTCTCAAGAGCTTCCAGCCGCATCCTTTGCGCCGCTAGATCAGCCACAGACCGAGCGTGACAAGCAGACGAGCGAGACTTCGGACCACACTGACGAGGAAGAGCTTGTCCAGTCGCAGCTTGCCAGGGAGGAGAAGGAGGCATCCGTGGAAAAGGAGGCCGCGGCACTGCTGAACAATGTTGTATCTGCACAGCTTGAAGCCGAACTGGTTGCACAGTTGGAGGAGCCAGCCGAGCACGCCGAGCAAGCATTACATGATCAGGAGGCGCCCCAACAGCAGCAGCCTGCCGAGGCTTCACAAGGGGATGCCAGCAAATTTGACCGCCTCCGAGTGTTGCTCCAGGACGGCCTGGGCCTTTTGAGGTCAGCGGACCTGACGAGAGAGGAGACAAATCAGCTTGAGGACATGTTCATGGACATGAAGCAGGAGTTGTACCAGGCAGAGAGGCGTGGGAGAAAATAGAGGCTGTGCAGTAGCATGAGTAGCATGCATGGCACATGTGTGTTGGTACTAGGAGTTCAGGCACTTTTGGGCCCATGTACAGGATACCACGCAGGTCAGGTTAAAATGACGGCGAACATGCACACAAAAACATCGAGGAGGGGGTTACAGTAGTTCATAATGATATCCCGTGATGAGCCAGCCAGCCAGCCAGCACATGGTCTTCCAGTCAAGTATACGTGGGCCCAGACGGAATAGATGATGAACTGCGTAGTAGTAGCGGTGAAATGTGCAGTTGTCCCACCTCAGGGTAAGACACTGCCAATTGCTGGCCGCTGTTTGCTGCAGCCGAGTCGCACAAGCAAATGGATACAGTAGTCAACAGGGCAGGGGAAGGTCAGTTTGACATGTTTCGTCAGGGGTGGGGGTGTTCCGCTGTGTCTGTTAACCGACCTACCCCCCTGTCTGTCGTCCGGACTGCCTAACTGCCTGACAGCAAGCAGCTGCGGCTGCGGTTGCAGTTACAGTGAGCAAGTTGGAGCAAGGGCAGGAGGGGTCCAGGGAGGGAGCCGCTGCGACGGTTTACCCCGCCATGACATCTTCAGGTATCGAGACAGGGGATCAAGCTTCTTTGACACAAAGACAAAACACAATAGAGAATCTACCAACAGGCAAGCTCCCCCAGAGCAGCACTCCGATTGCCTCCATCCCTCCATCCGTCGGTCTTCAGCCTCAGCCCACAGCTACCGTCCGTCCTTCAACCAGCTGCATACCACACCCAATAATAATAACAACAACAACACAGCAACGCAACGACGACGAAACAACGAACGAAAACAGCTGATCAGCACAACGCCAATAGCTGTTGCTGCTGCTTCTACTGCTGCAGCTGCTACCAGACGTGAACAAGAACAGACACAACAGCAACAATGGTCGACCGTCCCAACAAGCCCTCGGCTCTGGCAGCCACGCCATCACAGTCCCACGCTCAGCCCACCGTGACCATCGACAACGGCCGCGTCAACGCTGCACTTCCCACTGGCGAGACCGTCGAGGTGCTGCTGCACGGCGCCACCGTCCTCAGCTGGAAGGACGCAAGCGGCAATGAGAAGCTCTGGCTGAGCGAGGGCGCCGTGCTGGACGGCAGCAAGGCGGTCAGGGGAGGCATTCCGCTCGTGTTCCCCGTAAGCTTACATACACACCAACACACCACCTCCCCCCTTCCCCGATCCCCATTGCCCCCTAGCTTGCTGCATGCGGGTGGTGTTAGTTGGTGGTAGTGGTGGGTACTTTGGGCTGACCCGAGGTGCTGGGGGCACCGCCGTCCCGTCTAGGTCTTTGGCACCGCACCCGACCACGCAGCCACGTCCAAGCTGCCGCAGCACGGGTTCGCGCGCTCGTCGCGGTGGGAGTTCCTGGGCAAGTCGACCAGCGAGTCGGCCAGCAACTCGGCCGCCGAGGACCTCTCGGTCAAGCTCGACTTCGGGCTCAGCAGCTCCTCGCTCGACGCCGACACCAGGAAGCTGTGGCCCTACGAGTTCGACATCATCTACAGCGTCACCCTGGAGCGCGCCAGCCTTGCCACCGCGCTGGTCATCACGAACAAGGACGACAAGCCCTGGGAGTTCCAGGTGCTGGCGCACACCTATCTGAGGGTCAAGGTACGTTGGGGATCCGGCCGTGCGAACGGCGTCTGATGGGCATAGGAAGGGGGCTGCTGTTGCTAACATCACTCGCCGCAGGATATCACCCAGGTCGCCGTCGAGGGCCTCGACGCCTCGGAGTATGTCGACAAGGTTGACTCCCTGAAGACCAAGACACAGTCGTCCAACGTCACCATCACCGGCGAGACAGATCGCGTCTACACGCCGGCCAAGGGGCCCCGCGAGCCAGTCAAGGTCATCGAGGGCGGCAAGCCCGTCTACTCGGTCGTCCGTGACAATCTGACCGACCTCGTGGTGTGGAACCCCTGGTCCGAGAAGGCCGCTGGGATCGGCGACTTCGCGCCCAAGGACGGCTACAAGAACATGATCTGCGTCGAGGCGGGCAGCGTGAAGGGCTGGCAGACGCTGGAGGCCGGCGATGCCTTCGAGGGCGCGCAGACGATCTTGTCCCTGTGAAGGTGTGAGGGTACGCTTGGTGATGGGGAAGTTCATCGATTCTGGAGGTTGTGACTTTTTGTGACGGGGGTTTCAAGAAATGGATGTGCCAGGTGGCTTTGAAGATCTGTGGAGGCGAATAGAGTCCGTCAGCGATGGCAGAGACACGCTGGTGCTGGCATGACTGAGACGGAGCCGAGGGGCCCATGCAATAGATGATTTGATTCTTTCTCTCACATAAAAAGTCTACCCTGATCGTTTCCGACTCTTTTTTTGTGCTTGTTAAAAGCGAAATGTTCCACAATGCCAGATGCCAACAACCCAAGCGCCATGCGTGTCCATTTTTGCATCCATTTTCCGTCATGCCCGTCAAAGAACCCCTCAAAATCATTAAACAGCACAAGGCAGATAGATACCACTCAAGCAACCTGCCTCTCATTCCGGTAGTGATCCGCAATCAGGAAGGCCAGCTCCAGCGCCTGCTTCTCGTTCAGCCTCGGGTCGCAGAAGCTCGTGTAGTTGGCGGACAGGTCGTCCTCGTCCAGGCCGACGCTGCCGCCCATGCACTCGGTGACGGCGTCGCCGGTGAGCTCGAGGTGGACTCCCCCCAGGTAGCTGCCCTCCTCCTTGTGGATGCGCAGCGTCTCCTGCAGCTCGCTGAAGATGTCGCCGAAGCGCCTGGTCTTTACGCCGGCGGCCGTGCTCCGCGTGTTGCCGTGCATCGGGTCGCACTGCCAGACCACGCAGCGTGAGTACTCGGAGTCCTCGACGGCGCGGATGTGCGCGGGAAGCAGCGAGCGCACGCGCGAGGCGCCGTAGCGTGTTATCAGCGTCACCTTGCCCGGCTCGCGGGAGGGGTTCAGCGCGCGCAGGAGCTCGAGGAGGTCTGCTGTTGGCGTGGAGGGGCCGACCTTGACGCCGATCGGGTTCGCTATCCCCCGGAAGAACTCGACGTGCCCGCCCTCGATCTGCCGCGTGCGGTCGCCGATCCAGAGGAAGTGCGCCGACGTGTCGAAGTACTGGGTCTCCGGCTGATGCTGTTGCTGCTGTTGCTCGCCGTTTGCGCCCGAGCTGCTCGCCGCGGGCGCCTTGCTGCGGGTGCCGTGGATGGCCGAGGAGGAGAAGGGCCTCGTCAGCGGCTGCTCGTACTCGAGGACCAGGCCCTCGTGGCTCGTGAAGAGGTCGACGGTGTCGAGGTGGCCGCTGGACCCGGACGCGCCGACCGTCTCCATGAAGCTCATCATGTTGGTCAGGAAGTTGACGGCGCGGCTATACTTGGCCTTGAGCTCGGGCTCGCGCACGTGGCCCAGCTCCCAGTCCAGCGGGCGGTGCAGGTCGGCGATGCCCGCGGCCAGGGCGGCGCGCACGTAGTTGAGCGTGGCGGCGGAGTGGTGGTAGGCCTTCACCAGGCGGCCCGGGTCCAGCTCGCGCTCGTCGAGGTCGAAGCCGTTCAGGATGTCCCCCCTGAAGCACGGCACCTGCCGCCCGCCGACGTTCTCCGTGGGGCTGGAGCGCGGCTTCGCGTACTGGCCCGCCATGCGGCCGATGCGCACGACGCGCTTGTTGGCGCCCCAGATCAGCACCAGGCTCATCTGCAGCAGCAGCTTGATCTTGGACTCTATGGCGGACTGGTTGCAGTAGTCGAACAGCTCGGCGCAGTCGCCGCCCTGCAGCAGGAAGGCCTCCCCGCGGGCGACGTCCGCGAGGTGCGACTTGAGCTTGAGGATCTCGATGGGCGTCACCAGCGGCGGCATGCGGTTCAGCTCCGCCGTGGCCTTGGCCAGCGGCTTCGGGTCCGGGTACTCGGGGCACTGCTTGATGGGCTTTGACCGCCACGAGTCCGGCGCCCAGTCATTGCTGCCGGTTCCTGTGCCGTTTTGAGACGCCATGGTGCTTGTGGTATGTGTAGATTGTGAGTCTCCGAGGGGAGTGATATGTGGTGGGTCTCACTCTTGTTTGGTGTAAGTGGTAAATGAGCGAGTGACTCAGCTGAAAAGAGTCTCTTTTGTTTTGAGTCAGCATCTGACGTTGGATGACCTTGAAACTAGAACCCTCTTTTTGATTGACCCGGTAATCGTAAGCTCAGGTGTCTTGAGTAGGAGAGGGCACTCCAAGGTGTGGTCTCTGGGGTTACGTAGAGTTTGGAAAGAATCTACACACCTCGTGGCGTGTCCTCGAGACTTGGTGTCCAAAATTGGCCCTGAATGAAAAGGCTAAATGCGGCTCTTGGAATAAGCCATGTGGAAGGGCCAGCCTCCGAGTCGCTGTCACACCGGGGGAGGGTAGTGCAGCCACATCCAGGGTATAACCCGGACTATTCAAGCCCCACCCCCACATTCTGCCCAGCTACATTCACTGTTCAGCAACGACGAACCGAAGCGACAACCAAGACAAGTCCTCCCACACCACCCAACAACACCACACCCTACCACCCAGCCATGGCAGAGGAAAAGCAACCGCCAGGCCTTGTCGAAGGCGCCACCGGCGAAGTCGAGGATGAAGTCCAGGACAAGGCAAAGTCCGCCGAGGACCGCAAGGCCGCCGCTGCGCTGTCCAAGCTCGATGCGAGGGACGACGACGTCGCCGGCGCCTCCGTGGACCAGGAGGGCCTGAACAAGGCCATGAACAAGCTCAGCGTGTCCAAGACGACAGAGAACAAGGACCTTAAGAAGGTCAAGGTCGACGCGGCCGACGTCACCTTGCTGGTGAGCCTAGCCCCCTCGGAGAAGCCCGCTTGGGGACAACGGACTGACTGACACAACTTCCTGCGCAGGTGGACGAGCTCGACCTTACTAAGCCAAAGGCTACCGAGCTGCTCAAGCAGCACGAGGGCGACGCGGTAAAGGCCATGAGGGCGTTCATCGCGGTGAAATGATCGGGCCGCGGTACTTGCTCATACAGTTTCTGCATCAGGGAGGCGTTAGGTTGTGCCGAATAAACCACATGGAATAGGCATGGCCTGGTTAGATGGGAAAAGTTACAACATCGGCGTGGTCTGTATTACAGGTACAAGCGTTACGGCCGGCAGCGCGTCCAAGGGCTTCGAGGGGCACACCGACCATGCCGTGATCCATTCGATTAGAACAACTGAGTTATCTGGGATGAGTGCGACTTTCAGAAAATTAAACACCAGTCAAAGCCCGGTCTCTATGCTAACTGTGAGGTTATGCAGAGCCCATAATGTCGCTGTGCTATGATATGTTCTGTCACACACTTCTGATCCCGTGGCTCTCCTCAGTGTATCATTTCCTGCCCACCGCGATCTCTAGGTGGGATCATGAAAACTTTTTGAATGATGTTGTATCCTGTTCGCTTCAGACGGCGGTGACCCAACTTCTATCAGCATTTGCCAAAGATTTTAGCCTCATTTCATCCTCCCAACCTGTCGCTGAGAGGCATGCCTCGCTCGTCCAGCCCGGATGAACGGGACCTCAATCTCTGGTGCCCGTCATGTATGCTCTCTACATGATGACGCGATGCTGCGGTCGAAATTGCTAGCATACAGAGCCGCCACAGAGCGAGGTCCGCCGTGAGATCATCGCCGTCGTACCGGCATCTGGTCCGCAGGATGGGCCTAATGGCCAACTACCAGTTCTCCACGGTTACGCTGAAGCAGCAACTCGCTAGACACTACTCAATCTGAACGTAGCCGCAGTTGGTCTCCGATTCGCTGCAGGTATTCTACTGTTGACGTAGGTAGATGTTCTAGGAGGTGCCTATCCGATCTTGGCTTTGCGAGGTCATCCCACGTGAGTCGTATCGACAAGATCCTGCGCTCCACAAGATGAGGCTCCCTCCGAGGGTTATTTACCCAGTCAGGTTTCTACTTTCAGTGAAGAGCTCGAAGGAATACCTAAAAGGTAGAATCATCTTTTGAAGCGCTGAGTGCGCATGAAGGAGGACGTAAATATATGTGATCAGGTCCAGCATGACATCTTGCATTTGCACCCTTGAGATGTTGCAGGATAAATGTTCAAGTCGTTGATTCTGAATTAGATCCTAAAGATTCTTATATGGTCCTCAAATTGACTAGTTACGATTCCGGAGATGTGGGACTGGTCTTTGCCTGAACCACTGACTCTTGAGAAAGGAATTTACGGAGGATGTCGTCTTCGTTGACAGTGGTCGATGCAGATGGCAGCAAAACTGGAATACCTCGCACCCCCCCCCCCTCGAATCTAGATTGATTTCTGAGAGTCTGGAAGCCTGGAGTGAAAGTCTAGGTATTACCTTTAAGGTGACAGCAGATAAACATTAAGCTGGACAAGCTTCCCTAAGCTTGCAGGGGCTTTCACTTTCACCTGGCAGCAGTTTTCAATCTCGTCAAGCCCGCCAACAAACTGGCCCTTACATTCGCTTTACACAACACAAGGTGAATTCCCCATTCTCGAACTCAACTGCACAGCAGTGCAGTGAAAGTTCCTGGCACCATAAGTGGCAAAGTTGAGCTTTTCCAAAAGCACACATCCAGACCTCCTTTTGGCCAACCTCCACAACAGGTGTTCTTGACTTTTCTCTACTGGGAAAAGACGCGCGAGCCTCTTGCTTCCCCCAACTTACCAGAACATCCACAACCTCACTTTCTGCTTTCGCACTCCATCCTCTCATTGGTGATACTTGGCTTCGCCACAACCTTCTCTCGTCACTCCTCTACCGCCGCGTCAACGCGTCGACTGTGTCCAAGATGGCTTCGCAGGCAGACGCAGTCGAGACCATTGTCACCAATGGCGTTGACACCAATGGCGTTGACACCAATGGTGTTGACACTAACGGTATTGACACCCACTCTTCAACCCAGATGAGCGTTAGTCCCACCCTCGAGGAGCTTCAGACCGACGAGCAGCGCCGTGTTCTCGACACCGTTTCTCAGGTGCGGAAGTGCGGCTTGGAGAGCGTGCTTTCTCTTCCCCAGATTGTCGTGTGCGGCGACCAGTCAGCGGGAAAGAGTTCTGTGCTGGAGGCCCTCACCGAGATCCCATTCCCTCGCAATGACAACCTTTGCACTCGCTTCGCGACCGAGATTTGCCTCCGACGCGACCCAGTCGACAGCCTCACCATCCGTGTCATCCCAGACAGCGACCGCCCCCAAAAGGAGCAAGAGGAGATCAAGAAGTACTCCGAGTCGATTGTTGATTTCGCAGAACTGCCCAAGATCATGGACAACGCGATGAGAGAGATGGGGATTTCTGAGGGAGGCAATGCGTTCGCTAAGGATACCTTGAGTATCGAGATTTGTGGACCGAGTCGGCCCCAACTCACTCTTGTTGACATTCCCGGCCTTATCCAAACATCTACAAAGGGTGTCTCCGATACCGACGTGGCTCTTGTTGCAGAAATCACAGATCATTACATCAAGCAGCCCCGAACGATTTGCCTCGCTGTCATCTCGGCAACAAACGATGCTGCAAACCAGCCCATCCTGCAGAAAGTCCGGAAGTTCGACCCTCAAGGTGATCGCACCCTGGGCGTCATCACGAAGCCTGACCGGCTCAGCGCGGGTTCCGGTTCAGAAACGAAGTTTCTCGAGCTCGCTCGGAACGAAGATGTCTTCTTTAAGCTTGGATGGCATGTCATCAAGAACCGGAAATTCGAAGAGACGAAGTTCTCCATCGAGCAGCGCAACCTTTCTGAGAAGACCTTTTTCAGTACATCGAGATTCAATACACTGTCGAAGGAGAACGTCGGCATCGACGCGTTGCGAGTGAGGCTCAGTTATCTCCTTTTCGAACATGTCAAGAACGAGTTACCTCGCTTGCAAAACGACCTCGAGGCCGCTCTGCAGGACGCTCAAAATGAGCTCAAGACACTTGGAAACCCTCGATCGAGTGCGTCGGAATGCCGAATCTATTTGACAAAGCTCAACATGGAATGCTACGAGATTTGTCGTGCTGCCATAGATGGAAACTACGAGCACCGCCACTTCGCCCTCGATTCTGATGATTCTGAGGTTTTCGCCAACCCGAAGGTGGCCACCATTCCTACGCGACGGCTGCGTGCTTCCGTACAGTTGGACAACAGCAGGTTTTCGGAGGCCTTCGAAGCCAAGGGACACAAATATGAGTTTGGCTCCCCCGAGACCCGCTTTTCAGTCAAGGATTCCTCATCTCCACGGGTTCTGGCCAAGGAAGAGGCGATGTTTTGGGTGGGAGGCAAGCTCCAGCGGGCACGAGGCACAGAGCTCATCGGTAATTTCAACCCCCAGGTGATCGGAGAGCTGTTTTGGGAGCAGTCAGAGCCGTGGGGGAAGATGGCTAGAGCTCATGTCGAGAGGATCAGCAAGGTTTGTGACGCGTTCCTCGCGGATCTCCTGGGCTCGATGACTACGGACGAACTGAAGCGACGTATCTGGTGAGACTGATAATCAATTTCCCTCCCCTAACAAAACGGAAGACAGGTGCTAATATCGCTACTTCAAGGTCATCGATGGTTGCACATGTCCTGAAGACCCGTAAGCAGGCAGCCTTGCAAGAGCTTGAGAGACTCATCAAGGACAAGGAGGCATTCCCCATCAACTACAATCATTACTACACAGACAACGTTCACAAGAAGCGCGGAAAGCGTATTGAGGCTCAACTGAAGAAACACATTCCCGAAAACGAGTTAGTTCTTCCAAGCAGGTGCAGTGTGGGAAATCACTACGGCCCACCGCAGACCGACACAAAAGACGAGTTGGAGCGGGCAATATCCAGGTGGGGAGACAGTGTCAGCGCCGACATGGAGGAATTCAGCTGCGAGGAGTCGCTGGATTGCCTGGAAGCCATCTACAAGGTGAGGACCAGACTATTAGCAAGCCCTGTCGCGCCTGCCGCTGCCTAAGTACTAAGCGTCCCAAAAATAGGTTCAAATGAAGGTGTTCATTGCCAATGTCGCGACCCAGGTCATTGAGCGCCACCTCTTGGTCGACCTCCAGGATATCTTCTCACCCATGGCCACCGTCGAGATGACGGATGCCAAGGTACAGAGTATTGTTTCCGAGCCGGAGTCTACAAAGCGTCAGAGAGTCTTCCTCACTGATCGCATCAACAAGCTGGAGGAGGGACAGGAGATATTCCGGAGCGTCATGGATCCCTGAGCAGAGTGAATGCAGTCATCAGGCATTCCTTTTGCGTCGGGACGGGCAGGCGCTCCGATCGGAATTGTTTTCCTGTGTTATGGCTGGAAGTGGACCTCGGCTGCATGATGCAGTATTCGTGGGAGGTCAGGACTCTCAGTCCATGTTGGCGATGCGGTCCTTCAAAGCCTGGACATCACACAAGAGGGGCTCTTGAGGAAAGCGCGCAGTCAGCCACTCTCCTCTCCATATGTTGTTTCGCCCTACAAAAGATCTTGCACTTGTACAGTGCAGTTGTCTCAAGGGTCTGAACAGCAGCAAGAGCGGGTTTGACGCGCCTCACAGTGTGGGTGCATCGGTCTACTGTGAGAATCCCATTGACACAACCGATGGAAAGGAGGACAGGAGAATCACGTTCTGCCGCAAGGCTGTTCTGTTTCATCAAGGCCAGATTGAGGGTGGGTCTTGGGTATGTAATAACATCTGTACATGAGTTTACGAAATCTGTCTGAGCAATGACGCGGCCGCCACGACGGAGTCGCTCATTCTTGTTGCCTCGGGGAACTGGAAGGCATCTGGTAGGCACTGCTTGATAGAGACCAAGGCAGCTGAATAAATCGAGTTGTCCCATCTAGGCAACCCGCGATGAGTTCTTTAATTGTCCCCGTAGCTCAGCCCCAGAGATTCCCACCCAACTAAACAGCAAAGATAGCATTCCCATTACCCCCGGGGAACTCTCCCCCAGGCAGCGCCACAAAGTCCCCAGGCACAGCCGCCTGCCTGCTGACATACATATACTCAGCAGCAGCCGGGTTCCCGAGCCCCGCCGCCTCAACAAAGCCGGTGAGGTTGAAGCCCATGCGGTTCGCGCCACCCGCGAACGTGTCGAACTCGCTCGGCACCGCGAACCCGTCGGGCTGCCGGAACGCGTACAGGATGTACCTGTGGGCGGACGAGTTGAGCGCGGGGCCCGGGGACCCGGTAGGGGGTGAAGTTCTCGGTGGCGTTGGTGAGCTCGACTCCGGACTGGGGCAGCACGGCGGACCCGGCGTCGCCCTGCGTCATGTTGGGCGCGAGCCAGTGCAGGATGAAGCGGTGGTCTGGGTTGTCCGGCGTGGTGGCGTCAGGGTCGACCATGACCACGACGTACTGGCCGGCGTAGTTGGCGACGGAGGGGTACTTTGTCGGGTCCAGGGCCAGGGCCGGCTGGTCTTGTGTTACTGGGGAGTCTGTCAGTAACGGTCTCGCCCGCGGTGGAGTCCGTCCGGATGGGCTCACCATTGCCCCCGAAGAGCTGCCCTGCCTGGACGACCGTCGTTGCCGGCGAGTGTGTAGGCCACGCTGAGCTCTGTGTCGTAGTCGCTGACTGGGAGGCCGAATATTGGCGGTGGGATGGCCAGGGCCGGGGCTGCGGCAACAACGAGAGCAAGGATAGCGTGGGACAACATTCTGAATTACTGTGGTTGTTTTGGAGACAATGATCCTGTTGACTCTTCTGAGGCCTTGCTGGATGGTAGGGCCATTTATACGTCTGCCTTCTCACCGTCCCTCGCCCTGTGTGACTGTCCACATCGTCTCTTGCTCCAAACGAACAATCAAAGTTGAGTCAGAAGGGTGTATATCGTGTAGATCGATTTACATGTAGATTCCTCTTTGAAAACTCTCTTCTGCGTGCACATGAGTATCTCGATTTCTGTATTCTCTATGTCAAAAAGCTTGACTAGTCAGCTCCTCTAGTCATTCAAGAGTTGGGCTCGCTGTCGGAAAAGACAACAACGGAAACAGTAAGCAAATTACATAGTGTTACTGAGGAAGACGCGTGTGCTTGCGTATAAGTTGTCTAAGTGATTGGAAGGTGATGTTCCAAGGGTATCATTTCTAGTAGCATTAGTTGTGCATTCGGAGACGGTTGCTAATTTCATGGTTTACTTTGCAAATGTCCCGGAAGCCTGCCGTAGATCAGGCATGGGATGAATGGAAAGGAAAACTTGACTAGGTGGGAAAAGTTGTGATGGCTTCCCAGCACAAACCCGCAGCAGTCCCGAGCTAAGCTCGAGTCGTCCCCGAAAGTTAACATGCAAACAGTCTCGCCCACAAAAAAAGCCAATGTAATCCCTTACCGTAACGCGTGCTCATCTCTCGCTGCCAGGCATGTGAATGTGCCGCTACCACTTGATAGAGTTGCGGACCGCTGTGTGCCAAGCCCAAACTGACAGCTTCGGAGCGAGGACACCGGTACACAATTGACAATCAAGCTTCTCATGAGCTTTTTGGTCTCGCAGCAGCCGAGTAAGGAGGGTGCAAGAAGTAATCAACCATGATTCATGAAGACAGTCTCGAGTGTCTTAGCACCAAGCTGGTGAGTCTATCAACGCCGTAAGAAAGGTGACCACCCAAAACCAGATGAACTCCTGTGCCTAATCATCACGCTCAACGCCGGCCATCAGCGCCACAATCACAAACAACCCCTCATGCTAAAAAAGGTTCAACGAGCGGCAAGAGGGTTAAATATCCCTGAAGCAATATGGGTGCATCTCATGACGAAATGCCCCAACGACAACATGCCTGTTCACCTGCCTGTTCACCTCAATTCCAATCCTTCCAGCTCTTGGCCAGCGGACTCGACACCTTAGGTGCGAATGCGAGGCTCTTGCGTCGAGCATCCATCAGCCGCCTGACCACGTTCTCGTCCTTGCTCCGACCCAGGATCCCCGCGCCCAGGTTCTCGTACATGTGCTGTGCCTTTGGCGGGCACGTCCTCTGGATGAGCTGCTCTTGCGAGAGCTCTTCCTCCTCCTCGTCAGCCTCGCTGATAGAAGTGTCCGCACCGCCCGGTGTGGCCTCCATAGCGAACCGGTGGATGGCTTCTGGTGCAGGGGTCTTGGGCACTGGCGTCAGCGGCGCCGTGTCAAACCAGTCCTCCTGGTCGTCGTAGAACTTCTCGAGGTGTTCCTCGTCGTCATCACCGACATCATCCTCAAAGTCGGGAGAATGCATCCACAGGGCACTGTCGCGGCGATTTGCTGGCGCAGGCGTAGTTGGGGCACCCTGGCTCTCCCGACCCGAAGCCTTGCGGACAGCAGAGTCGGTGACCAGCGTGCCATTGTGGTTGGCAAGGGCCTTGGGCTCCATGGACTTTCTCCGGCGGGCGCCGCCGCGCGGAACAAGGGATGTGTCGATGTAGTAAGGAGCCTCCTCGAGCCATTCATTCTCGCGCTCGCAGCTGGAACCAGATGTTAGCAACATGTCAGACCAGACGATAGAATCCGGGAAACGGGCTGCTTACTCTAGAACCCAGCCCACACCAACACACTGCACGACACCACTCGTCTCACGAACCTTCTCCATCGTGCGCTTGCCACCGTCCTTGTACACCACATGCGTGATTCCAATCTTGGAAGATGCATCCTCGTCACTGGGATTCCAGTTCCAGGTCTTGACGCACCGAGCGCCCATCTGGGTGAGGAGCTCAACGAAGATAGCGCTGGCGTCCGCGCCTTCCACGGTGTGGACGTCGACAAAAACGACTGCTCCACGAAGCAAAGCCGGATCCACGTCTTGGCGAGGAGTGCGGGCAGGAGTGACCGCGTTTGACCAGCCCTCGGACTTGGTAGGGGTGACAGGAGGCACAGACCCAGCTCGTGACCGAGTTTCCTCTTCCTCTGCAGCCTCCTCGAAAGCAGGCTCGACATGCAGCTTGTGCGAGGGCGAATAGGAGATGACGGTGGCACTCCTAGTCAGACCGTGCGTTGGCCGCGTCACGGGAAGGCGAGAGATGCTATGTCTTCGTTTCTTCAAAGATGGTTGTGGCGGCGGGGTGGACTCGTCTGCAGGCTTCAGAGGTATCTTGGATACTGTGTGAACTTCGCGTCGAAGGGTTCGCTGAGGAGTGACCGGAGGTACCGGCGTGCCGTTCTGGGCGAATCCGGCGGGCAACTCGTTCTCATCTCCATACTCTTGGCTAGCGTCCGACATGGTGTCATCACGGCCATCCAGGTTGAGCATCGACTCGACCTGCTCAGGCGACATCGTAGACATTTCATTCGCCTCTGCCGCAAGGTCCAGATCCTCATCTGTTATGGAAATATCCTCAACCACGGGATCCTTAATCTCGGGGATACCAGCCAGCGGGTCATCTTCGTTTATGGAGTCGTTGGCCACTGTATCAGGGCGAACAGACATCTCGTCTTCGAAGAAATCGTTCTTCAGTGGTGAGCTTCGGGTCTCTCCCAAAGGCGTGGACTTGACGCCCTTCGGCGTCGTGGCCTTGAGCTCATTCTTGAGAGGGCTTCCGGCTTGCCACGAGTCAAAGCGCTGGGCCAAAGGCGTGAACCCAAATCCAGAAGTCCGGGGCCTCATGATGCTGCCTCTCATTTGTTTGGTGGGAGATGCCGACTCCGGGGTCACCACGCGGGTGAGCTCATCCTCGGACTCCGTGAAGCTCATATCAATGGAGAAAGTGTCCCTTGGCTGAAGTCCGAACATGCTCAGTGCCTGCTTGGGAGGTGAATTTGGTGGTGTGGTGCTGATGCTGTCCTGGGCAACGCTTTCACCCTCCACCACAACCTCGTCCAAGACTATGGATTCCTCTTGGGTTTCTCCAACGTCGTTGCGCTCATGCTCGTGCTCGGGCTCGTGCTCATTCTCTTGCTCATGGTCCTGCTCGAGAACGACCGTTTCCCGGTCATCTTCCTCGTCTTCAATGGACTCCTTTGAGAGAGACGTATCGACAGTCAATGTAGGATCCGCTTCACGAGGCAGGACCGTGGACATCCGGCCATTGAATTGGGCACCTGAAGGAGACTGAACGTCCTCATCATCAGTCGCTTCTTCGTCAACAGGGGCCTCAACAGGCTCTGAGTCTGACTCAGAGGCTTTAGCCTCCTCATGTTCCTCGACTGCGGGCGCCGGGAACGGTGTGCAAAGCAGCACGGGCGTCGGAGCAGGAGACCGTGTGACGATCTCCGGCTCTGGCTCCGGCAGCCTCAGGGTTTTCATGGGCGAGAACGGGCGCTTTGCTGGGGATTGGAAGAGACTGCTTGAACGGGGATGCAGCAGCTGCATCATTACGGCTAGACGAGCCGAGATCAAGAGGGTTGATCGGCAGAGGGCCTCGCTTTGCCGGTGAGTTGAACAAGGAGGCCTTGGCTGGGGAGGTGGCTGACTGGGTAGACTCCTTGATTGCAGGAAGTCCCAACTGAAGACCCTCTATCCTCTTGGCAGGAGATTTCATAGAGTCCTTGAAAGGCGACGGAGGTGGTCTTCGTACGGGGCTACCAAGCAGAACGGTGGGCTCTGCAGGAGCCAACAGCCCTGTACCTTCCTCTGCAGGTAGCTTTTCGTCCTTGGCCTCATCCTTGGGCTTCATGGCTGCAGGAGGTTTCATGGGGGTCCGGCGGAAAGCCCTTGAGGGTGCCCTGTCCATAGCAAGTTCATCCTCCGACTCGGTGTCAATGTCCCTGTTCGCAGACAACTGTGTAACCTTCTTAGGGCTGAGGGGCATCGCCTTGTCTTCGACGTCGCCGGTGCGCTTCTTTGTTGCGGCTGTCCTGGTCGCGCGGGCAGTTGCAGGCTTTCGCACCGGCTTTGCTCGCATGCCAGCGGTGGTGGGCTCGGCGGGCTTGGTAGCTGTGGGCTTGCGCTTGGTTCCTGCAGATGGGGCAAGATTTTCCTTGTCAGGCTCCGCGAAAGTGACGGTCTTCTTGACAGGCTTGGATGCTTGCGCACTCGTGGAGTTGGTGGACCCAGCAGGGCGACCACGGGTGGGTTTCTTGACGGGTGCTGCTGGTGCGAGATCATCTGCACCCTCGTCCTCGCCAACCTGTGTCTTCTTCGTCCGTGTTCGAGTAGTCCTTGTTGGTTCCTCATCCTTTACGACCTCTTTGGCAGGTTTCTTGGCCGGCCTGCCACGTGTGGCTCGAGCAGGGGCGGGCGCGGGGGTAGTCGCAGGCTCGGGGTCGACAATCTTCTTGGGCCGGCCTGGACCGCGTGTGGCTCTGACGGCAGTCCTGGAGGCCGGCTGTTGCCGTTTGGCAGTCGTCTCGGCCTCGCTGTCATCTTCGTCGTCGTCGGCCCGCGTCTTACGCTTGACCGATGTCCTTGTAGATGGGGCGGCGAGGGTAGAAGCCTTGACGGCGGGAGCAGCAGCAGTACGGGTCGTCTTGGTCCTTGACGCCGCGGTGACCGGCTTGGACTTGGCCGCAGAGGCTGCTGTGCCCGAGGTCGCACTGCTCCTAGGAGCAGCTCTTGATCGAGTAACCCGCTTGGGGGGAGATGCTGGTGAATCCATGTTGCCTGGCCTGGTAGTGCCTGTTGGAAGTCGGGCGTGCGTGGATGGGAGGAGTTGGATTAGTATTGATTACGTGTGGCAATTAAAAAATCCGGGGGAGAAAGTGCATGGTGTTTGACATGCAATGCGATGCGATGCTATGCAGTGCGTAATGGGAAGAAGCGGCGACCTAAAATGCAGATGATGCTGTTTGGAAGAAGTCGCGCTTTGTTGACAGGCAACCTTGAACCTTGGCAGCTGTGCTTTGATGTTGACGTGGGAGCTTGGAATTTGTGGGGTACCATGAGAGGTGCCTCGGTGGGCCCGTGTTGGCCAGGCAACGACAGCAAAGCAGACATGGGCCCCACTCCCCTCCACTCGACCACCACCCACCAACTCCCATCGCATCACGGATTCCACGACAGCCTGCCATGGCTTGCCCTTGGGAGCCTTCGACTTGGTCAGTGAATGCAGCGAAGTAAAGGCACTTCAGGTGCTGCGAAATAATGAGACTCTTGGGCCGGTGTTTGACAGCTGATTTGAGGGCTCAAAGGCATTGTTCATCCGAGACCATCAGGCTCAGACCAAAACATGCCAGTAAACATATGTGATAACCGTACCAATATACTAAGAAATTCAGACTGAATACTAATAATCATGATGATGCCTAGCTGTCCTGTTGCAAACATGACAGACTGATACACACACACATACGATGCTCCCAGAGCAGAAGAACTCTAATGCCACCGTACTACTAACACAAACCGCTCTATCATGCAGTGCATCTTCCTAGCAATGCAAGGCATGATCCAGCCCCAAGAACATCCGCTTGTCTCGGCTTCAATCATTGCCCGGACTTCGCAGCAAATCCAATCCGCATATTGCCGCCGTCAAACACAGTAAACGCCGCCTTGAGGAAGATGTCGCCGTAAATCGCGAAGGGGAGGCCCGTGTTGCTCTGGACGCCCCCGAAGCACGTGGTCGCCGTGTCGAACGAGTCCGTGTCCGCGGGCGCGAACTTGATGATGCTCCCGGGGATGACGGCCTGGTAGCCGCCGATGTTGGCCGTCAGCGAAGGCAGCTCCTCGCTGCAGTCGAACACGAAGCCGCCGATCTGGGCGTTGTTCTGCGCCGACGGCACCTGCGCGTAGTACGCCTCCACCATCTGGTCCTGCACCAGCATCAGCGTCGTCCCCGTGTCCGCGATGGCCTGGTGCGGGAAGTCCTGCGCCTGCCCGTTGCCCACGGAGAAGCCCTCTGAGTTGAAGGCCCAGAAGCCCTGCGAGGCGTTCACGGGCACGAAGTTGATGTTGCCGGTGAATTCGGTCTGGTCGACGAAGCCGAAGTTGTAGTTGCCCGCTGTGAGCCGGTGTTAGTATCATATTTTGACTCCCATCGAATTAGCTATTGTGGGGTTCCTTACGTTCTCCCTGCTTTAGGTTTGCCGTAAAAAGGGGCATTGCGAGGTTCGCCATAGCGTTCGAGAAGAAGGTCTTCTGAGCACGAGGCTGGACCGTATTGACTTGGTCATGTCAGCACAACATCTTAGTTTTGGTACAAATATTGAGACGTGTTACTCACTGGAGTCCATAGCCAGGCCCAACAACCCTGATGACGCCGCGTCCTGGCTGAAGCTGCCTGCCACCATAGTCGCAGCCTCCACGGCCTGGTTAGGAACACTGACGCCCCCAACAGTCACGACATCGGTGTATACGACTCCGGATGCGCCGCTCCCATCTCCGTAGGTGATCTGCCAGCTCGCGCCATCGACGCTGGTCGAAGTCGAGCTCTGGCCAGGAGTATATATTTTCTGCCCAGAGACTTGCGCCGGCGGTGTGTCACTGCTGAAGACCCATAGGTCCGAGGATCCGGTATCGAAGTTGAGTGTGACGTCCTGAGGCGGGGTTCCGATTTGCACGGCCGCCAGGTACTCGCTGTCGAACATCTGAGGAACAGCGGCAACCTCACCTGCGCCAGTGTTAGCGAGTGATAAACCATTGTATCCCACCGGAGCGCACCTTGACCTGGGCCGCTTGCGGTCCCGTTGCTCGGGGCCGTCCCATTGCCCCCGCCACTACCTCTTCCTCCGCCACTTGCGCCGCCTCCATTGCCCCGACCGCCCCCGCCGCTTTGGGTGCCATTTCCGCCCTGCCGCCCTCCGGACCCGCTTCCTCCATTGCCTCCATTGCCTCCATTACCTTGGCCTTGGCCAGCACCGGTACCAGTGCCAGTACCAGTTCCGGTCCCAGTCCCAGTACCATCGCCCAGGAGGTCGCCCAGGCCAAGCTCTCCCAGGATCTCGTCGATGATCTGGAGCAGGTTCGGAGGAATAGTGGCCCCAAAGGCGGAGTACTTCCTGAGCGATTGGACATAAGCCCTGGGCCCACGCTTCATCTGTATGAAGTTTGTGTTGTACACCTGTGGCGCTCGGAGGGTCATACCGCCAAGGACTTGGACCTCAAAGTCGGAGACTTCCTCAGCTGTTTTCGAAACCAAGCCCTCGAAGGCGGAGGGCTGCTTGGCGGGCGCGGCGCTCGCCAGACCCGCCGCAAGGGCCGCAAAATTAACGTACTTCATGTCCGGTGTCTGGGAGTACGGGAGATGCCAGATCTACTGAAAATAATCAAGGAGGAAAAGAAGCGCACCCAGGCGAAAGTCTTCAGGATCAAGAGAGCGACAGATAGCACCTGTTAACCGAGATGGTTCGAAGCGGAAGAGAGAGGAGGAACAGAGAATAGGAAGTAGGCGAAAAGCTTCTGACCGAACCTAGCCTGCCGAACGCCGTGAAGGGGGTATAAACGCCCATGGTTATGCATACCTCGCTTCATGAACTGCCCATTGACTCGAGGTCCAGCGCTTGCTATCTCGAGATGGCAGGGTGGAGGCACCGCGCGCCTGTCAAAGCGAGGGTACACGCAAGATACCAAGAGAAATAGTATCAAAGAGGTGTTTGAGGAGGTAGATCCCGAGGTGCAGATGCTGGCTTCGAAGCCAAGGTCCTGTGGTGATTTCACACCACTGGTGGGCAGAAACCAAGCGGCATAGGTGACGGGAGCATGGGCAGGGTTGCTTCTCTGCTGGGATCGCGAGACGGCGTCGAAGAAGATCATTCAAGGAAACCTGTGACAGCAACCCATGCCCTCCCATCCCGTTATCGCTGGCGTCGCCCTCCCGCTCGGGTCTCCCGCTCGGGAGAAGACGCCAACCTCATCATATTTCCAAACCTTTGCGACTAATTCCAATATTGATGAATATGGGAGGCAAGAGAAGGTTCGCGGTGCGCGGATCACCAGATCAGGGACGTTCCCTCGTCAGATGGGAGCCGCATTGAAGCTGTCGATGATGAGACGAAAGGAGACGAAGGGCTGGGTCAGGCATGACGGGAGTTGGCCGTCATTGGTCGACTTTCCAATCCCCGCCGGCGTGCTATGCGCCTGGCATACAAGCCTTGTCAACATGAAACGAAGCTTGAAAGAAGCTTATACTACTACCCGCCGAGTCTTGAGATGGCACTTCGGTGGTCTGAATTATCGTTCTTCAACATCGGATAGGATCAGACTGTGGGGACTATCCGAGTGTTGACGCCTGTTGGTGAGTTCGGTGTAAGCCTCGACAGTAAATTCGCCTTGCTGGCCGGAACTCCCGCGTGCAAGTGGCCGAAACGGGAAGGAGAGCATGAATGAGCTAGACAGCCGCTTGGTTAACGCTCGGCTCAGAAGCATACACCTGCTTCAGACTTCCTCGGCCATCGCAGTCCGACTTGCGCCTGGAGTGTCAACCTGGCACGCCACAGGAATAGCTCCTGGCAATTTCTCATCCTGCACACCCTCTCGACCTCCCTTTCTGACTGCGCAGGCTGACAGCTCCCCTCCCATTTTGGCAGGGCGACTCGCGTTGCGAGCCCTCACCTGTGAATGTGGGGCCGCAGACACACCCCGTTTCAGTGCGACGATCAGCCCGGAAGGTGGAAGTCCCTTCGCTCTGGAATGCCCAAGAAAATACGCGGTATGTGCTGATCTTCGAGACTCGAAAGTGTTTGCCGAATGACTTCGGTGTATATGTTCAGTGCTCAAGTGAGGTTGTCAATTGTGCAACATGCCTTTGCCGCAATGGCTCATCGAGCGCATATGCACAGTGGATTGCTTAGAAATTGTATGTGAGGCTCGGTCATGCTGCATGGACTTGGTTTCCGTACTGGATACTTGGAGATGATTATATCGGTGAGGCTTAAGATATACAAGCCAACGTCGATATCATGTTGAAAGCAAGTCCAAGAAGTGGATTCATTTGATGGACGCTAGTTGGACCGTGGGCGAGCCTAGCCGGTTGGGCCGAACCACGCGAGTATCGCAATCCCCGTTCTCTGATCAGGAGCAGGAGCAGAGTGAATGAACGACTTTGAGCCAGGAGAACGGAATCAGGGAGGAGAAAACGAAAGCGTTCGGCTGTGCAAAGGAGACTTCACATCAGAGTATCGGGTTAAACCCTCGGGCGATCTTGGTTGGAGAGGGGGGAGGGGGAGGTTGCTCAAACCACGTACTGGTGGGGGCGGGGAGCCTGGACACCTGGGCAGTCTTGACCCCTCCCTTCCTTCAACTCGGGTGCGAGAATGTCGAAACGGGCAGGCAATAAACCACTTTACGCGCCGTTCTTGCTGACTTGCGAACAGACGTGATGCCAGTGACATTTCGCTTCACAGCGCCACTTCACGGTATTGATGACTTATGAATGCCTTCCACCCGGTTCTAGAAGCCACATGGCTCGACCTTCGTTTCGCCATGAATGCCTGGCTTCCCGCGCATGATTGTCTCCTCCATGTCTTTCCGCATCCCATTTCTCAGCTCCGCAGCAACCGGTCCGTCCGAGGTTTGCGTTGCACCACCCGGATTTCGACCTTGACCACGATCGCGTTCCCACCAGAGTCACCATGGTTGAGTACAGGGAACTTGACGCCTTGGTGCTGTCCTACACACACCTGAAGAACCTCCCACGGCAGGATGACGCCCTTCGGACGCTCAAGCAGATCGCCTCTTTGGTGAAGCCGATCATGAGAGCTAGAGGATGGAAGGTATCGCAGCTTAGTGAATTCTATCCTGACCAGCAAAATCTGCTCGGTACGACTTGCTACCTCCATTATTGTTCTCTGCTTCCTACTGATCTGTCGGCACAACAGGACTGAATGTAAACCGGGGCCAAAAGATCCTATTGCGGCTTCGCTATCCAGGCGACAGAACACAGTTCCTCCCGATCGAGCAGGTTACCGACACGATGCTTCACGAACTCTGTCATATCGTACATGGGCCACACGATGGCAAGTTCCATGCCCTGTGGGACCAGCTTCGTGACGAGCACGAGGGTCTACTCATGAAGGGCTACACCGGCGAAGGCTTCCTCAGCAAAGGACACAAACTTGGAGGTGGCGGCAGAGTACCGATGCAGGAGGCTAGGAGGCTTGCTCGTGCAGCTGCTGAGCAACGGTCCCAACAAGCCACTCGAGAGAGAGGATCTGGCCAGAGACTGGGCGGAGCGCCGATTCAACGGGGACAAGACATACGAAAAGTCATCACGGATGCGGTGGAGCGCCGCAACAGGGCAGATAGAGGATGTGGGAGCACCAATTACTCAGACAAGGAGATTCAAACCCTGTCAGAGACCGCGACCAAGAACGGCTTCAGGACACAGGCCGAGGAGGATGCTGCCAACGAGGCTGCCATCGCCCAAGCAATGTGGGAGCTGGTGCAAGAGGACGAGAAGAAGAAACATGGCGACAACTACGTTCCGCCAAGCGCACAATCTCCTGGCGGAAATGGCGGCGGTGCGTTTTACCCAACTTCCGGTGGCGGACCAAGCACGACGAGTACGCCGCCGCCGGTACCAACATGGTTGCGACCGCCCGCCCAAGGAGACGCGAAGCCTTCCGAACCAGTCAAACCCACCTCCGGAACCCCTCCTGTGGAGAGTGGATGGACATGCGGCACGTGTACTCTGCATAATCCCCCGAGCTTCCTCAGCTGCGATGCCTGCGGCGCTGACAGGCCGACCCCCACGGTCGGACCAACCGCTCCACCTCCAACCAAGGAGTGGACATGTGGTACTTGTACCCTGTTGAACCCGCTCACACGTCCAGCCTGTGGTGCTTGTGGCACTGGAAGGCCAGCAGGCGTGAACCCCAGGCAAACAGACGAGAGATCTTCGAAACGACCTCGAACCACGCCCGTGGCAGCGCGAGCCGCCAGTCGACCTGGTCGTCCCTTGAGCAGTGCTGATCTGAGCCATTCGAGGATGGTCTCTTTCAGGAACAGCAGCAGTGGTGCGAGCAGCAAGCCTCCACCTGCACCCAGCGGCCCGGCGTTTTGGGAATGCTCACGGTGTGGGAATGTCGTCGAGCGGCAGTGGTGGAGTTGTGGGAAGTGTGGAAATGTGAAAGAGAGCTCTGCATGAGCTACTACATGAGTGCAATGATATCACGAGCATGTCAGGAGTTTGGGTGCATATGGCTGGCCGCATGGCTCCGCAAGACTTAGAGATCTGACAGCACTGTTACATCCTCTTATTCTGGACCAACGTGCAATCCCACGGCCTCGGGACGTTGCAGAAGTCGCCTGACCCTCGGTGGCCATCCTGCAGCATCGGCACAGAGCACAGGCAAGCCGTGGAAGTCTGCCTACTACACGACTTGAGTGGTGGGATTGAATGCCCACTTGGTCGTACAGGCGCGTAGGTCCCTGTGCCTGTCAGCATGCTAGTTCAGGCAGTAAAAAGCTGATGACTGACAGGTACAGGCAGGAGAGTGAGAACCCGTCATCAAGTGTCGTCATCGGCAACCCAGTTCAGTCATCGTGACCCACAAATTGGACCCCGCGACAGATGCCACGCAGGCAGGGGAGGGAGGCCGCGATCCCTACGAAGTGCCGCATCACCCCAGCCCGATCGAAATGCTACCCACACGTCCTCGCAGCCCTCAACGGCCGTCGGCAGAAGCAGATGGGGTGTCCCAGCCCGCATCCGGCTTATGTCAGCATGACGTCGTCGCTGCCACCCAGGGGTTACGGCAGAGGGTCAGACAGTAATGTAGCGACATGTACATGCAGCTCGTCGCCGCAGGATGGCATTCTGCAGATCTCCGATGCAGAAAAAGCCTGGGCTCTGGGCTGGCCAGGCAAGGGCCCGAGAACCTAATGGGCTAAAGGGGCAAACCCTTTGCTAGGTCCTCCCTGTCCAGCAACACACCACAGGGACGTGAGACCGCAGCTTGTCTTGGCAAGGATCGCCGATCTGCAGGTTTTGGGCCCCTGCTGCGACCTGCCCACCTCATTGTTTTGATGCAATTGAGCATTAGCCGGTCGCACGCTGAAGCTGAGCAGCTGTAGATGCCTGGCGCCTGGCGTCAGTCAGGCCCTGCAGCACCTACAGCGCAGCAGTAGCAGCGGCGGATCTTGCGGTCGCACTGCACTGCATGCCAGCCTGTGTCCATCCCTTTGGGCCTGGGCTGAGAGTCAAGACACATGTCACTGCAGTATGCGGGCGAGGAGGTGACGAGTCCTCGTCATGACTGCTCTGGCTGCTGTAGGGTGGGCTGTCTGGTTGGTGATGAAAGCACATGGAATGGAGCAGACACTGCACCGTCTGGTCGTCATGAGATTCCGTCTCGTCAGGCCCAGGTCAGGAGGACCCGATCCTGTTCGGTGTGGGTGTGGTTGTCAAAAGTTGGTGCAACCGACGATCCGCCCTCATTCTCACATGCCCCTGGAGGTCTGGGCCTGCCCGTCCAGCCTTCGCGCCCCTCATAGCGCCCCAGACACCCCTCCATGTGCAGGACCCCTACTTCTGCAGCGCACGGGGAGACATCCAGGGCATCTCACATATCGCCTGCATATCACTCGCAGGACCCTCCGCAGTTCTGCCAGTACCGCGCGATCTAGCGAGGTGCCCGTCAGGTGCCGTCTGGCACCAGCATTCAGGGCCACGGCCATGTCATCGTCATACGACGCTTCCGGACACGACATGTCTGTCCTATTTCGACACAGTTCGATCCGACATCATTGTCCTGAGTTCCCGGTCCAACAGGGCTGGGGTCATTGTCTGTGCCCTGGCGACATGAAGAAACTTTAGTGTTCCAGGGCTGTCCGCAGGGAACATATTGCCTGTTTTTGATAACTCTGTACTGTACTGCCCGTACGTACAGTGACGCGGAAGCGGCTGGGAGCGATCAATTCGGCGCAACTAACAGGGGTTTGTTGCGGGTCCCATGTCCACATTCGGGAATTCAGAAACTTTAATTCACTTAAGGCGTCTCTTCAGGCCAGTTTCTGGCCTTCTTGCTTCGCCTGTGCCTTGATTCGCCCTCCCCTTCGGCTCGGCTGTCGATGGCGAACGACGACCTTGGTGACGGATGACGCAACTCGCGTTGGCCATGACTGCTCGCCGCTACTGTGCAGAACTGGACTGGCCGCGCGGGAACAGTCTAGTCCAGTCGACTGCTGCCGTATCGTCAGACCGTACCTTGCCATGCCACACCATGCCATAACCATATCCGACCTGGTGCGTACCTAGGCACGGAGTATTGTAGGGCATCTCGTTCAGAGTTCGTCAGTCTGCAGCGGCTCGCTGGTTAGCCGACCTTGTCTAAGTCTAGGTCTAGCGCGGCTCGTTGCCTCGTTGTTTCTAATCTTCTTCTTGTCTTACTCTCGCCCGTCCTTCTTACCTTCCCTCATTTCGCAGTGACGGATACACCTGGGAACAATCGCACCGGCTTCTCCCACCGCGACCATCCGTCATACCTTTGTTTTTATTGTCAATGCCAGCCTGCGCCAGCACACCTGCTAACCAGATTTAGCTGCTGGTAACCACCCCGGGGCTCCTCCACCCCACCAGCCCTCCTCTATCGGCCCTGCTGCTTTCAATTCACAATTCCTTTATCCTAACAAAGACTCGGCTATCCCGCCGTGGACGACCCTGTGCCCGTTTGTTTCACCCCGTGAGCCGCCGCTGTCCCGTCTCCCCGAGGTGGCATTGTACGGTAGAGAATTACACCCACGAGCCCACCTAGTCTGGCTGCTCCAAGGTCAGCCCCAGGACCGTGAGCATTTCTTGGCCGGGCCTAGACCGGATCGCTAAGCAGGAGACCCGACCTCTCGTCTTCTTCCTCCCCGCAATTGGATTTGCATGTTATTCCTCAGCGGATTCGACTGTTTTGCCGATCAACAACTGCTTGGTTTCATGCAGTGACGATACTTATTCCCTCCAGAAGTCACAGTCTTCCTCAGCAGGTATCTCGATACGTCGTCGTTGACACCCTGGGCTGACCAGCACCCATGCCGGCCCGCGCCCCATCATCATGGTATTTGGCCCGCCACGCATCACAAATGATGACTCTCATGCCTTGCCTTCACCGGTAACAATGAACCCCAATCTGCTGGCCGAGTCGCCTTTACTACGAAAACGCACATCCGACTCGCCGCAAACGCCTCCGGCCGATGACTTCAAAACTCGCCGCCTGGAATCGCAGACGGATGGCTCGGCCACGGGCCCGCAAGAATCCACCCATGCGCAACGCGATGGCTCGTCCGCGCCGTCCCCAGCAGGGCGCCGATTTATACGAGAAAACAACACTGAGAGGTCTCAGTCGAGCAGCCCGTTCCGACTTCAGATGCCCTACATAACTCCTGGGCAGCTCGCATTCTCCGCCCTGCAATTCCTTCCGGTTCCGGTCCTGGTTCTTAACAACCTCAAGACAGTAGTCTTGGCTAATGAGGCTATGGGAAGGTTGATGGGCATGTCTTCCGACTCCAACGATGGCGACGACCTGGCGCATAGCGTGGGAAGTCTCACCGGACAGTCCCTTTCGCAAGTGGGAATCGACATGTTACAAAATGGGCGGCCTGTATTCATTGCTTGGGAGACCTTCCTCGACTCAATCGCAGAGGAGATGGGGCCTGGAGAGACCCAGCCAGCCAATACTCAACGGCAGAGTACCGAAGGAAATCATCCGGAGGGCGACATGACACCTATTGCGGAATCAGCCGAAGACAGCAAGTTCCCGGGCCACAGCCCACAAGCTGCTGTGGAAGTTGTCATCTCGCGGAGAGACCCAAATAAGCCCGTCACTGAACCAAGGTTCGTGAACAGGGCCTCGGAGCACCAAACTTTTGCAAAGATGATAATCAGTGTCTGGGACATCTCGGAACAACAGACTTACTACACCCTGACCTTTACGAACACCGATTCCACGTCGTCTGTGGGTTCCAAGAAAAAGGCAGTAGCTCGGCCTTCCGCCCTCGAGTCTGCTGAGCGCAAGACAATCTTAACAGCGTCCAATCCTCCGTCAGTTGCCTCCAGCCATGGTTCTTCCTCGTCGCCCTCTTACCGCATCAGCCCAGGCACTGTATCACTCTCGTCCAGCCCCTTTCCGCCCATGGGCCCGCCATTCCAACAAAAGTCGCTCCAGAATGCCCCCTCGATACTTCAAAAGACCATGATACTGAAAGACGCGCTTCTTGATAACACGGAGATGCCGATTCTGGCCATGTGGAGGGACGGCACAGTGGCCTTTCCCAATGCAGCAGCCAGGAAACTCATGGAAAAAGACGCCACCCTTGACAAGCCTTTTGACGGCCTGGAGGTGTTGAGCAACTGGACGTTGTATACGGACGATTTTAGCCGAAGGCTCGAGCCGAGCGAGTTCCCCATGGGGGTCTTGCTGAGGACCCAGACACCCTTCTCTGACATGCGGATCGGAGTCATTGACCAGGACGGAAACAAGATCAGGTACAACGTGTTGGCAGAAGCCATCCGCGACGACGAGACCGGTGAATTCCTGGCGGGTGTGATATCTTGCCGGGACATCACGGAGATGGCCAAGGAGATCGACCAGATCAAGGCAAGGGACGTCGAAAGATTTAAGATCATCTGCGACACTATGCCGCAATTGGTAAGCAGGAACCGGTGTAGCCCCCGGAGCAATCGACAGGCCACTTGCTGCTCGATCATGTCGAGCCTGATCACAGAAGGCAGCGTATGCTCAATGCTTCCCAGAGGCTATTAGGCCTCGGAGGGTGTCCCTCGGTTTCGCGAGGCAAGTATCTGGAAGAGGATAGCCACTGGACGCAGCGAGATTTGAAATTTGATCCACCGCGCTCCTTTGATTTTGATTTCCTTTTCATCCGCATCCCACTTTCCATTGAAGTGTCATGTACTAGTTGCTGACCAATCTCCAGGTCTGGACCACTACTCCGGATGGCTATCACGACTTCTTCAACACCCGATGGTATGACTACACGGGGCTGACGCCGGAGGACTCCCTCGGCCTGGGATGGAAAAACCCTTTTCATCCAGACGACATGCCCGAGACCTCGAAACGATGGGCGCATTCCCTCGCAACGGGAGATCCGTATGACACAGAGTACCGCTGTCTAAGCAAAGAGGGTGAATGGCGTTGGCACTTGGGAAGGGCTCTACCTCTCAGGAATCTCGAGACTGGCAAAATCGAGAAATGGTTTGGTAAGTAACAGCAATACTGTCTCGTGCAGGCCCTCGTGGGAGGTCGAATGCCATGGATGCTTTGTTTCAACGTGACGGATTTTCGGGGCATGTGCTGACGATCGAGTAGGAACTTGTACCGACGTCCACGAGAGCATAGAAACCAAGCTCGCTGCGAGAAGGATGAGACAGCAACTCCTCAGCGTCATCACGCATGCCAACATCACCATCTTCACCGTGGACCTCGATCGCAAGATAACCATGTTGGAAGGGGCCCTCATCTGGAATGCCGATACTTCGAGACAGGACGACTCCGAATGGTACATCGGAGGCAACGTTGACGAAGTGTTCAACTCCTTGAACCCAGAACTACCCGAGGGGGAACGCCCCGATTTCCTGTCAGCCATAGACTCGATCTTCACCCGGCGGTCCGGAGACGTGGTAGTGGAGCACGCGATAGACGCACGATTTTACCGGACTCGTCTCTTGCCCATGACTGGTAAGAAGGTCAAGGGCGAAGGGCTCGGAGAAAGAGAAGTCGAAGGCGCCATAGGGGTCATCATGGATGTGACCGAAATCAAAGCCAAAGAAGCGGTGTTGCAGGCTCAGGCCCAGGAAAAGCAGCAGTTGCTGGCGCGTGAGGCTGCAGCAAAGGAGGCCAGCAGACTGAAGAGTCAATTCCTCGCGAATGTGAGTTTGTCCGGCTGAGTGTTGATAATCTACGCAGTTGCTGACCGAGGCCAGATGTCCCACGAGATTCGAACCCCCATCACCGGAGTGATTGGTATGGCCGAGCTGCTCCTGGATGTCGAGCTCAACGAGGAGCAACGAGACTACGCTGAAAACATATACCGGTCTGCCAATGCCCTTCTGACTGTCATCAACGATATATTGGACTTCTCGAAGGTAGAGTCAGGCCGCCTGGACATCGAGGAAGTGCAATTCAGCATGTCGGTAATAGGCAAGTTCAAACCGAGGCACCAATACCAAAATCCCATCCAGATATCCGTACTAACCCTTTTCTGCCCAAACAGTGCGAGACGTGGCCAAGATGTTGAGCTTCGCTGCCCAGAAGAGGAGCCTGGAGTTTATTTCAGACATTTCACCGGAAGTGGCTGATGATCTCGTTGTCCTCGGTGATCCAGGGCGTGTGAGACAAATCATCACGAATCTCCTGACCAACAGCATCAAATTCACGCATCAAGGGTTCGTCAAACTGTCTGTTGCCAAGGAGAGGGAGACAGACGAAATCATCGAGATTCGGTTCATGGTCCAAGACACTGGCATCGGCATTGACGAAGGGACTCGCAAGCGCCTGTTCCAGCCATTCAGCCAAGGGGACGCATCCACTGCGAGGAAGTTTGGTGGGACCGGGCTGGGCTTGACGATCTGCAAAAGTCTCCTCGAACTCATGCATGGAAGAATGCAGCTCGACTCGGTCATCAACCAGGGCACAACCGCGTACTTCTGGGTGCCGTTCAACAAACCACAGGAGACCCAGCCATCGAACGTGGTCAAGGTCACGACTCTCCCCGACAGACTGCAGTCAGAGATGAGCGTATCCTGCAACAGCTCTGATTTTGATCAAATGGGGGGGACACCGCCTCCTACCGACCTACTTGCGCCTACGGAAAGGGGAAAGTCGCCCAGGCGTAGGGGCTCACTCAAGCAGGCAGCGTCTGAGGAGGACCTGGCGGCGTCTGAGCGCTCCAAGATACATGTTCTTGTGGTCGAAGATAACCCGATCAACCAACAGATTGCCATCAAGACGATCAAGAAGTTGGGCTTCAACGTCTCAGCCGCCTGGAATGGTAAGGAGGCCTTGGAGTATCTAGCCACTGCGCAGAATGGCCAAGGCCGGAAGCCGGACATTATACTGATGGTAAGTTATCCAACGTGATCCGAAGCACAGCAGGAATTGTATACTGACAATGTCTCTCGCACAGGATGTTCAAATGCCTGTCATCGACGGCTACAAAGCGACTCACCTTCTGCGCCACCATTCCCCTTATAACGCCTTCGTTCGAGACGTGCCCATTGTGGCCATGACTGCCTCCGCCATCCAAGGGGATCAAGAAAAGTGCAAGAAAGCAGGGATGGACGACTACCTTGCCAAGCCGGTGAAGGCAAAGATGCTCGAGAGGATGCTGGTGCGGTGGTCCCTGAACAAGCGGAGCGGCTCGACGCCGGCGCTGTCCTCGGACGTGTCGGTGTGCTCGGAGGGGAGCGACCACTGCACGAACGCGGGGATACCCTCGGTCAGCGTGTCCGGCTCCGGCGGCCCAGAGGAAATGCTGAGACTCCCCACGGGCGGCGAGGAGGCGGACCTCGACAGCATGCGGGCCGACCTCCCGACGCCGCGGCCCAAGGCCTCCCCGCCGCCCACCATGGCCATCAACACGCCGTCCCCGACGGAGCCGCCCACGGAGCCGCCGTCGCCCGGCAAGCCGCAGCTGCAGATCCGGCGGGTCGAGACGGACGAGCTGGCGCAGCAGAGCAGGGACGACAAGCTCTTCGACGCGGCCGGGGGCCCGCCGTCGGCGGTCACCCCCCACGGGCACACGCCGCTCACTGAGAAGGGGGACTCGCTCACCGAGGCGAACGTGGAGAAGTTCCAGAGGGAGGAGCTCCGGCGGAGGATATCGTCGGACCAGGTGTGAGCGCTGTCGCTTCGCCTGCCGATGCGCCGGGGCGCGTCATGTGTGTGGAGAGGAGGATCTTAGTCTGCCCCTGCCATTCATGTCTGTTACACATAGCATGGCGTTCATGGTTTTTCTTTTTCATTATATCACGGGTTAGCAGCAGCAGCCGCCGAGAGTGCTGGCTACGGCATGTACGGTCTCAGATTACGACTTGGGCATGGTTTATGTTTTTCGCCTTTGAGCTGTTGGTTGGCGTCTTTGGACAAGCATCTTATCTTCTCTTCATTTTCTCATTGTTACGGGAAGGGGAAATAGACCAAGGCTGGGCTTGACGAGGATTTATATACGGGAGCCTCGTGAGCCTTGCGTTCAACTGCATCGATCACTATGTACATAGAACCGGCGCGCAAAAAAAGTAACTTGGGGTCTGGAGATTATGATTGGACAGCTCCAGATAATAGATACCACATCACTTTTGTTCTATACACTTAATCTTATGTAGGTTATATCATGATCTCATTGGTGTACGATAAATAAGGTTCATGGTGGTACTGCAGTTTGTCTTAGCAGGAGAGCACGCACAATGTGGGGAAGGACGTCAAGGCTACACACACATGCAGCGAGCTTATGGAAGCGTCTGCTGGGCCGGACACTCGTGAGAACAGCAGAGTGGCATGGCCTGCGAATAGTAGAGTCTATACCTGCCCAGACTTGGTGATTCGTGGAGAAGAACCAAGCCAAAGGATCGACCGGGGTCCACGTTGTTGGATGACCCGAACCGGTCAGCTCATCTTTGCATTTCACCTGCACTTTGGTAGATTCCCCGCGTTCCTGAGACGGTGCCTCTTGAAGCGACGCGACAGCTCTCTGCCGATAGCCACAGCATCGCAATCCAATCAGAGGACCTCGCAAGGGATGTGGTCCACATGACCGTGAACCAAGCCGGTCTTTCGGGAAATACAAAACCATCATGGCGTCCAACAGCGTCTCAGCCCTCGCGGCCCGGCTGCGCAGCCACGGCGTCGCCGTCCCACCAGCCCTCCAGAACAACACGCGGACGATAACAGCCCTCGCAGTAGCCATCGCCCTCTCCCTCCCGACGGTCTCATACGCCCGCAAGAGCTACCGCGGCTATCTGGCCTTGGGGCCGGGAGGAATGCCCTACAACCCCCTCGGGTGGGCCATCCAGGGCCTTCTGCAGCTCATCGCCAGGTGGGACACCAGGAGCCCGAGGCCCTTCAGCAAGCCGTCGAACCAGAAGCCCTACGAGCCCCACGGCACAACGCCGTTCCTGGCTGCCTCGCCCTTGCCGCTGCGGGATGGGGAAAGGCCCGACGTCCCGGGCTACGTGGCGCCGCAGAGGCAGGCGACGCAGCAGGGCGGGGGGGACACGCGGGCGCGCATGACGGCGTTCCTGGGGCAGCTCGCGGCGCGGAACCCGGGGCTGCTCGTGCTGAGGCCCTCGGGGCTCGAGGGCGTCGGCACGGCCGCGCTGTACGTGGACGCCGCGGCGGTGGAGCCGCCGGCGTACCTGAGGGGCATCAAGGGCGAGCTGGCGCACGTGCACCCGGAGGCGAGCTCGCACGTCACGGTCAGCCTGGCGGACGCGGAGGAGCTGACGCGCAAGGGGTGGGCGGAGAGGCACCGGCTCAGCGGGGTGGGCGGGACGGGCATACCGCTTGGGTATGTGATGGTTTACGCGCCGAGGGATGAGGCTGAGTTTGAGGTGTGGAAGGGGGTCGTGAGGGCTGGTCTGTTGTTTGTTGGGGCTGGGGCCGGGAGGGAGGTGGTTGTTGATGTCGAGTAGGGCCTGTGGTAGGGCACTGGGCGTCGTCAGGTCAAAAATGTAGCATGAGAATGGCGCTGTCTTTACGGTGAGCAACCAAAGGATATCGAGGGCTGGCGCATTTGATTTGACGAGATTTTGATTCACCATCACCAGTCCTGATGCTCAAGGCGCGACGCGAGACTGACTTATAAGCCCACGCTATACCGTATCGTTGGTTTGGACTAGATGGGAACGACAGAAGTGGCCTGGCTTCGTTGTGAGATGGAGATCGGATCATTGATGTTCGACTTTCTTCCTCAAGGATGGTGGGAATTTACTTAATCTATCCTACATGAGATGATACTCTCGCACAGCCATTTGTTTACAACCTCAAAAATCTGGATCCCAGCCTTTACAAACGTCGTCCGACGTGTTGCAATGAGAATATCCAGTACCACTATCGACCAGTGGGTTACCCAAATGCGGTTCATCTTCAATACTTTGTCGATTCCACACCAACCACTTTCCCAAGTTCAAAACCTGATCCACGTCGGCGACGGCATGTGTGTTTCTAGAGCGACAAGTTCAAATCCGCTCAACTATTGTACGCAAGCATTTGACGTGTTTCTGTGCCGTCTTGGTGGCTCAAGTGGCCATCTGCATAGTGCAGTGGCGCTGGGTGGCACCGGGTTGGGAGACCCGATTGCTGCACCGGACGTCGGAGTATATTTCTACGAGGTCGGCCAAATTTATCTACGCGCGCTCACATTACAGATTCAAGGCGGATTCTCTCGCATTTAATGATGTCAACCTTGACTCTATATTTACAAGGGAATATGTAGAAGTAGTCAAACACACGCCGGGGCCTCGCTAGCTCGCGGTGTACCGAATACCCCGGCGTGTACTTGATATATCCACAACTATATGGCTTATCATGATCTCAATGTGAATCGTCTAGTAAATTGTTGATCTATTACAAAGAAAGAGTTCTTTCAAGGCAGCCATCTTTCCCTCGAATCAGCCCCACATTCCATCCACCATGCCTAGCCAAGTCACAACACCAACCTCTGCCAGCTGTGAGCCCCTTCGCCAAAGAGGCTTCAACGGCCGCGTACCAGACGCAAAACCAGTGGAGATAGTGAGCCCTAACACGACAGCAGACGTTGTTGAAGCCGTGAAACGGGCGCGCAGCCAAGGGTGGAAAATCGGTGTGAAGTCGGGCGGGCATAACTTCTTCCATACCAACCTCGTCGAGCATGGAATGCTCATTGATACCCGCAACCTGAACAAAAACATCGACTACGACCCAGCGACCAAGATCGCAGCCATCAGCCCAGGCAATACCGTTGACGATGTGGCTGGGGCCCTTGGACCGCTGCAGCGCTTCTTCCCCTCCGGTCATTCGAGGTCTGTCGGAGTGGGTGGCTTCCTGCTTGCTGGAGGCAAGGGCCTATTCGTGCGTGGGTGTGGCTACACCTCGGCCACCTGGGTTGAGAAGATCGAGGTCGTCACGTCGGAAGGCGAGGTCGTCATCGCAAGCAAGACGGAGAATTCCGATTTGTTCTGGGCGTTCCCCGGAAGCGGGCAGGGGTTCTTCGCTGTCATCACGAGAATCTGGATCAAGACCATTCCCAACAAGAGGCTCTTCGACCTGACCACCATCGTGGACTCCACCGAGATCTTCAAGCCGCTGCTCAAGTGGATCTTGACGACCTCAAAATCGGTCCCCAAATATGGGGCGGAGCCTTTCTTCTGCACCTTCTATGCGGATCAGGACGATCCCGAGGGCGGTGAAGAGTCCAAGAGCAAGCGGGTGTTCATGTTGATTAACCAGACCATGTTTGCCGATTCTGTCGAAGAGGCTAGAGTTCTCGCCAGCCCCTGGGACAATATTCCCGATGAGTTCAAGAAGCATATTATCACCACCGTTCCGCTGACGGAGAGGAACCGCGAGGAACTGTGGGAGCTTCAAGAAAACTTCCAGCCAAGCGGGAACGGGGAGCTTTGGAATGTAGACAGCATCTTGGTTGATCCTGATGTTTCTGACGACGAGGTGAGAAGTTCCAACCTATGTAATGAGTCCCTTTAGTGTCGTGAGGAAGGCTAACCAGGACACAAGATCATTGAGGCTATCACACCAGCCCTGTATGATCTTCCATCACGCCTTTCTTCGGGAACCTTTGTTCCTATCGACTACTACCCCGACGAGAAAGATCAAGCTCTGAGCCTGCCTCAGAAGAGCTACGTCTCGTCCATGTTATGCTGGAAAGACCCCAACCGCGACGAATTCATGGAAAAGTGGCTCCTGAACGCATATGAGAAAGCTGACAAGGTGTCCTGCGGCGTGTATGCGGCAGACTTCAACCCGAAGCACAGGATGACTAGGGTGTGACCGCCAACAGGCCGCGGATGCATTAGTGCGTGAGAAACACGAGCATAACGGTGACTAACAAGTGTATAGGACATGAAGGATTCTGCCGTCAAGAAATGGCTTGACATTAGGAATAAGTGGGATCCGTCCGAGACTTTCATAGGCCATCGCGGCTTCGCGAGCACACTAGAACGTCCTGCATCTCACATATAAGTTGATTGGGCAATTCTTCTTTCAGGCTTCCTTGTGGGTTAAAATACCACACGCATGCGTATAGGCTTGCAAATAGAACTTTGCGGATTAAATACATTGTTGAATTATTGGAACTTTTGTCTCCTGAGCAGTGTGCTTCGTGGGTCGATTCCGTATCGTCCACGTGGCACCATCACTGTGCCGTTGGATTTTCGACTGTAATTTCTCTGACCTCAAAGATCTTTTTAGGAGATGAAAAGTTGAGCCCTCAAGATGATTCCCACGGAACGGAGTCTTGAAGAGTGAATTACACTGGGATCGCCTAGGTCGAAGACAAAGCCAAAGATTGAAAACAAGGGGATTCGTACCTGAAACGCGACAGGTGCTCAAAACTCGACACACATAATGGCTGACGGTTTTGATTCAAAGTGTGAATCACTCGAGTTAGAATAGAAGAGTGTGAGACAGACGAAACAACGTCGCTGTGAAAGGGTTATGCCCGTGCACCAGAAGCCCAAACGACGTAAGATGAGGTACAATCAGACATGGTATGTATTGAGAAATGGAAAACAACCACCAAGCGATCAAGAGCTGAATGAGCCTCTTAACTAACACAAATATAAAGTCCCAGATCCGCGACTCTACCCAGAAAATAATCATTCAACATTGACAAAGTCGCAGCCTCTGGACGACAGCCGATTCAATTGCTCATACCACTCCCGCTGCTCAAAACCGCCCGCACCCGACAGTTGGCACGCACTCATAAGAGATTTGCAAGATGTCCTTCTCAAGATGCAACGAGTCCACCTTCGCCTACTTTCCAATGAATGCTGTCCCATTCGCGAAAGGCGCGTTCAAAAAAGTCTGGCGTGGCCACTACACCGACGGACCTCGCAAGGGAGAAGAATGCGTCTCCAAGGTGTTCACGCGCTCCGTCTTCGAGGACCACTACTTCAAAGTCGAGATGAGGGTGATCAGGCGGGCCCAGTGGATCATCGATGCTTGGAACGCCACGGGGGTCATCGGCATGCCCGTCGTCCTTAACGTCCCCGCGATCTGGACGAGCCAGATCGATGGCGAAAGGCGTCTGGTCGAGCCGTTCATCAAGGACTTCCAGAAGTTCAACAGCAACGCCGGGTTGGTGTACTTCCAAGGGACCCCGTGGAGCGACGCGCTGCAGGCCCTGAGCCACTTCTCGTACCACCACTCCCACGGTCGGATGCTGCTCTGCGACATACAGGGGGGCATATACACGGATGGATTGTGAGCAATCCCACACTTGACTACATCTAGCTGACGCCCATTGGTCGGCAGCTCTCTTGCTCCACTAACCGCCTTCTTGAACAGTGCTCTTTCCGATCCCGCCATCTTGTCACTATACCGGTCCTACGGCCCTACTGATCTTGGCCGAGTGGGAATTAATAGATTCTTCGCCCGGCATCGGTGCAACCGATTCTGCCACCCGACATGGATCAGACCTGGGCTCACATGACCGGCCAAATTTGCCACGAGGTAGGGGACGAGCATGCCTCCCGACTGCCCAGACCGCCCGCCTTTCGGTACACTGATGTGACAGATTGAGCACATTCGTAGTCGCGCCACAAGAATATGGGCAGATAAGTGATACCTGTTGTAGAGAGGTAGCTTGGTTGGGCGGCCAGAACATATGAACACCGCACGATCTGTAGTCTTCCAGGCTGAGCGAACAAGGCTGGATTCTCTTGGACCGCAGAGCCTGGAAGCTTTGCACGATTAGCCCGGAAGGGTCGAAAGAAATAGACACCTATACCTCGATCAAGGATATTGAGTACTCTGTAAAATAGGCGTGAAAGATTCGCGTGACGGTGGATGTTTTCACGGCCAGCGACCATTCCATGACTATAAAAGTGGCACACTGACCAGGGCTCACATCGCACACAACACAAGGATAGACAGGCAGAGGCGTCCTCAGGTCTAATTGATCCATTTGTCTTCTTTCTCGTCATATCCCAGAAGGGGAAAATCTATATTCAGGCTCCGGAGCATGTGTGCCATGGTGAAATCCTGCTGTTCAGTAAGCAGGGTGGCCAAGCCATAGAGCAGGACAGATACTCACCGGTTCATCGTCCTCGTCAGGTTTGCCCTCGGCTGCTTCGCATCGCCCGGCCTCTTCCAGGTGGTCCTGGACCTCTTGCGAGTACTCTGCGTCCAAGTCTTCGTCTGCGGGCTTTGACCTGGTAGGTGATTCCTGGTCAAACCCCTGGTAGAACTCTTGCTGCCTCTGCTGCATCTCCTTCCACGCCTTCGGGCCCCCGGCGCTGTAATCTGGTCAGCACCGCCCCCTTGAGATTCAAGTGACACCAGAGTGAGTTCTGAGGGGGGAACCAACTTATCAACCCGTTCCTTAACAGTCTCAAACAGCTCCTCAGCAGCCAGCCGGCTCGCGCCCCTCCACTTGACAACGAGGTCCCTCAGCTCCTGGTCCACTGGCTCTCCGGGGCGGCTCCGCTCGGACGCGGCCTCGATCTCCCCCGCCTGCCTCACCGTCTCCAGCCGCCGGTCCAGGTCCCTCGCAATGGTGTCCCGGCCCGACGTCCTGTGGGCGCTGGCGAGGGCGAAGAAAGGGTTGTCGTCGCCTGGCACGGCCCTGCCTTCTTTCGGGCCAGAGGTCTTACGCTTAGGAGCAGCTTCGGTCCCCGAGGAGACTGAGAGCTTCAGAGGTGACGCCGGCCGGCCGTGGAGCAGGTTCCCAAGCGGACGCGTTGCCCTCGCTGACTGGGGTTGTCTCGGCGCCGATGGCGAGCTCGGCGAGTAGACTTCTTCGAATGACCGCTTGTTACCGTTTGTATCTGGCGTCTTGCTAGACCCTGGCGTGCTGCTTTCTCCCGCGTCTGGCTGCCGCCTAAGTAACGGCGAGTGAAACGGTTTCCTGAGGGTTGCATTGGCGGCGTCGACGCGCCTTCGCTTGGCTGCTGGCGTGTTCATGCTCGTAACCGCGTGGGATGTCCAGGAATCCGTGACAGAAAGATTCAAGTCACGCCACAGGAAGTTTGGTATTCCATGGCTTGATTGAGCACACGCATTGAGTTTACATGGTGTTAAGTGGTGGTGGACAGTGGCTGCGAGGGGCTGACGTCGCCGTGCCTGTCCGTCAATTGCGGGTGAGGTGCAGGGAAGTTGCAATGCGGCTCAGGGGTCCAGTTTTAGCGTGGCATTTGCTACGTCCACCCCCTGTTCACCTACAAGACTCCACTCACACCCCCTTTAACGCCAATGCTTCGTTGTACGAACCGATACAAAGAATACTGTGTGATCTTATTTACAACCCAACCGCTTTCTCTATCTCGGACTAAAGTCCTACCCCACCGGCGACCCAGTCCTCGAACACCGGATTCACCCCTGGCTGCGCAAAGCCGCCATTGTTAGGAGCAGCGGCAGCGTTTCCTCCCTGCTGCTGGCCCTGGCCCTGCTGTTGTTGCTGTTCTCTCTGCCTCCGAGCCTGCTCCGCCCGCTCCCGGTGTTGCCTATAATAGACGACGAAAGCCAGCGCCATGGCCAACGACATTATTATCAACGTGTCTATGAACCCGTCATCCTCCGCGCCAGGGTAGTGGGGCGCGTCGCCTCCCGGCATGGTGTCGTCGTAGATATCGTCGTACATGACGTCGTCGTAGAAGAGGCCCTCGTCCTGGATGAAGTTACTGACCCATTCGCTAAAGGACCAGTCCTTGCTATTTTCTATGTCTCACTGCGTTAGTCTTCTTGCTCGTGTGACAAAGGGACGAATCATATTCCCACCTGGCTCGTCTTGAATCGAGTTGATCCGCCCATGTGTCACCGTGTTCCAATAGCTTCTCGCACGCAGCTTGAGAAGGCTGAGCTTCACTGGAAGATATGCCTCTTCGTTGGTAGCGAGGGCAAGATCGTAGTACCGCTTAGCCAGGTGGAAGTCTTGATCCAGACCAACTCCATTCTCATGCATCCAGCCGAGATTGAACAGGGCTTGAGCCGACTGGTGATACTCAGAGGCACCCGTGTAGCACTTGACAGCCTTGTCGATATCGAGGTCAGTCCCGATGCCGTCCAGGTAGTAATCGCCCATTTTGACCAGTGAGTCCATGTTGCCCTGTCTCGACGAGCGTGTGTAGAAAATGAGCGCAAGGGCGGGGTTGTCCATCAGAGCAGACTTGGTCTCGCCGAGTCCAAGGATATTAGACAACATCGACTGCCTCGTGTCGAGCAGGTAGGCAACGTTGTTCTGGGCAGATTCGTAACCCTCTTCGGCTGCATGCAAGTAACCAAGGAATGCAAGCTCGTAGTCGCCATCTTCGTAGGCGTTGTTCGCCTCGTTCCACGTGGATACCAAGGGCTCGGCCTTCTCTGCCACCGTCTTGTATAGACCCATTGCCTGTGCGCACGCCTTGTCCCGGCCGATGCCATGGTGAATCATTTCCGCGAGGTAGTACTGGGCCTCGATGTTACCATACCTAGCAGCAAGCTCGAAGTAGTCGTTCGCAACGCGCACGTCGTCCGGCTGGCCGCGGTCAAGGAACAGGACACCAAGTTGGACCTGCGACAGGGCGTAATCCTGGTCCGCTGATGCCTTGAAAAGATCAGTAGCCTTTCCAATGTTTTTGGAAACACCGTAGCCTCTAAGTAGCATCAGCCCCAGACAGTACTGAGACTGCGCATCGCCGTGGGAGATGCCGCGATCAAACCAGAACTTGGCCCTATCAAAGTCCTGCTGCACACCCTCGCCGCGCATATACATGCGCCCGAGATAGCCCGCGGCCTTGGAGGCGATCTTGTCCAGACCTGGCTTGAAGTTGTCCTCAATGCGCCCGTTAGGCTTCCAATATTTCTTAGCCACCATGAAGAAGTACTTAGCGGCCATGCCAAGATTTCGCTCCAGCCCTCTCTGGCCCTCATAGTAAATTCGGCCAAGGTTGAAGGACGATTTGAAGTCGCCCTTGTTCGACATAAGATCCAAATATTCGATGATGTCTTCGATAGAGGCATAAGCATCCGAATGAGGATGATGATGAACCGCATTGATGCCAGAGCTGGACACACTGGCTCCTTCGCCGTACAAGCCACCAAAGTCGTCGGCAACGTGGGATGCCTCCCTCGTCCAGCTCATGCCGCCTGGTGGGCCCGATCGGTACCAGTCCATGACCTTGTCCGCGACGTTCTTGTAGTATTTGCAGGCCGTCTCGCAGCTCTTTGGGGTGCCGACGCCAGTGTGGTGCCGAGATGCCAGTGTCATCTCGGCCCTTGTGTGTCCCTTAAGCGCCGCAAAGGTGTAGTATAGCAGTGCCCTGGCCTGGTCACGCTGCACCGAGCCTCCGACCCCTGTGGAATACATCAGACCGACCATGTACATGGCCGAGCTGTTTCCATTCAGTGTGGAGAGCTGCTGGAAGTAGTCGAAGGCCTTCTTGAAATCCCTCGGGTGTGTATAGTTGCCATAGAAGTTCATGTGTCCGAGCAGGTAGAGTGCGTCGGAGTTGTTCTTGTGGGTGGCCGCCTCGAGGTGCTTGACGGCGTCGACGAGGCGCGCATCGATCGCCTTGTGGTTGCTGCCGCTGCTGCCATCCTCTGGCGGAGCGCTCATGCGCAGACTCGGGACGGCTTTCCATGCCAGTTGGCCGAGGGTGCCCAGTATTCCGGGCTTCTTCCGCCTCTGGTGGTGGTGGGCTGGTGGGTGTATCTCGTGCAATTTCGCGATGGCGGCATCGACGTGGTCCGCGCCGGGCTCTCGGTAAGACTGGCCTGTCTTATGACCCTGTACTACATCGGTGGCTGCGGCTGTCGTGTGTTCGCGATTCGCATCTGCCCAGACTGGCGAGAGGACCTGCAAGAGCACTGGTGGCGGACGTTAGAAGAAGCAGGAGGAGCAACATGGGCCGCTGCATGTATATCCGTGGGTGGTCAGGCGACTTACGGAGGGGCCATGCAAGAGGCTTCATCGTGAATGTAAAGTGCTGAAGCGACGCATAGCAGTAGCTATATCATATCTGCACCTTTCTCCTTCAGTGGAAATGGGAAAGATGGAGGTTGTGTTGCTGAGCCACCGAGCAAGCTGACGAATTGGTAGCAAAGGTGTCGTCTTGCTCGACGTACAAGCTGTCCTGATCCTGGGCCGGAGCTTCCTGCATGTGCAGCACTTGTCCGGTGTACCCAGGTACCGTTAGTGTAAGCTGCTGTCGGTCTTGGGGTCCATGCGCTAACAAGGCTGGTACCTGGTCACCGGGAAGGAAGCTGATTGGCCACTGCATTCAACGGCACGATCGTTAGACAGTAAGTCAAAATCTCAAGTGAAAGAAATTCCATGTATGCCAATTCCCGACGACCAACACCACCACATACATTCTTGACAGAGAAAAGCTACCAACTTAATTTTACAAGAACTCGGAACGTCACTAGAGTCTGAAGTCTCGAATCATCCCTGTCTCAGCGCACGAGAGAAGCTGAAGGCCTGCCAGGTCCTTCACTGGCATACAGCTCACACTCATCTGGCTTGGTCGACTTACACGGGCAAGGGTCTGGATATCTATACCCAGCCACGCCCAACTAACAATATGTATAACCTCACCAAGGCCGATGCCTTCCGAAATCCAGGCTCTGATCCTGCCTATGTCCTGGAAATAACACCAGTGGCGGGAGGACTAGCAGCCATCTCATCAGACCAGAAGCTCACGCTGTTCAACCCCCAGAGACTGAGCCAGGGCCCCCTCAAGACAATACTGACGCCACATGAGAACATCAAATGTGCGAGGACATTTGATGCATCGAACTCAATCGTCTGCACGGCCGGGTCGAACGGCTCCGTGGCATTATGGGACCTGCGCCTGGACGGCTCAAAAGCACGGGTGGCCGCGCCCACGGGCAGTGACGCGCCCATCGTCTCCCTCGCCTGCAGCTCAACCAGCAACACCATAGCAGCCGGCACAGAGTACGCGAATCACCAGGCCTCCATCTTCATCTGGGACGCCCGCGGCGGCTCGGCTCCCCGCACGCGCTACAGCGAAGTCCACAGCGACGACGTGACAGAGGTGAGCCAGCGCGGTCCCCGATCCAGACCAGTCTCACCCACTTCACTCACACGCGCCTCCCACAAAAACAGCTGAACTTCCACCCAACCAACCCCCAAGTCCTCCTCTCGGGCTCGACAGACGGGCTCGTCAACGTCTGCGACACGTCCATCGCCGACGAGGACGAGGTCGTCGTGCAGGCCTTCAACCACGGCTCCGTGCACCACGCCGGCTTCCTCAACGCCACAGAGGTCTACGCCGTCAGCCACGACGAGCGCTTCGCCCTGTACGACGTCGCCGAGGCCCGCGAGGGCGGCGACGCCACCTGGGCCGTCGGCGACATCCGCGCCGCCCTCGGGTGCCAGTACGTCGCCAACGTCGCGCCCAAATTGGGTGACATGGGTGCTGTCATAGGGGCGGGCACGCAGGAGTGAGTTCTCTACTTATTTTCTTATCTCCCTTACATTGGTCGCCCTACCCTGTGCATGAAATGGTGATACTGACACCGATGCTCCGGAAAATAGCCAACAGCTCTTCCAGCTCGTCCACATGGCCAAGTCGCCGGCCTGGGGCTTCAGCGCCGAGACGAGCGTCGGGCTCCCAGGCGCCCACGGGTCGGAGCTGGTGCGGAGCTTCTGCGTCTTCGACCAGGAGCAGACGGTCTTCACGGCAGGCGAGGATGGCCAAATCATAGCGTGGAGGCCCTAACTAGGCAGTCAAGGGATGAAAGAGAGAGAGAGAGAGGGCTTGCTAGCTCGTGATACCCCAAGAAGTGTCCGCCTTCACCCTGGAAAATTGCTCGAGAATAAGTGTGCGCTAAAAGCGATTCGGCCCGGGCTGCAACCAGCACATCCGCCCAGGGCGTGCCTCATGGCCAAGAGACTGCCTAACTGCTGAATTACGGTGATGACAATGACAATCCTCAGAAACAAGGGTGGCAAGAAAAGGACAGGGTTGCTGGCTAACTGGGCGCAACCGGACGGGACAACCCCAAGCGCAGCGTCCATGAGCATGTGGCTAGGTCACACAAGAGAGACAGTGAACAAATTTGGTAGTATGTATAACCTACAGCTAGCCGTGTTCGACGGAATGCTGCTCGTTGTCTGCCCTCATCCACGACTTGTCCCAACAACCGGGGCTGTTCCGCTGCATCACATTGCAGCCCCCCGGTGGACTGCGTGCGTCCCGGACCAATCTAGTGCATTGGCTTCCAAGTCTCAAGACTCCCCGCAGCCTTGCAGTCTTCGCATACAAGACTCCCCCATTTGCATCATAGCTTCTACATATCCATGCGTTTGGTCCACGCTGAAGGCAACTCCTACCATCGCTTAGATTGGACTCTGCTCTGTTACCTTTGTCGACATACACCGATCGTTGCAGGTAAGCAGCACCTTCGTTATGTGGTGAAATGTCGCATTTGGTCTTCGGATGGACCTGTCGTACTCAAGCGAGCATGTGCTGCAGCTTGTTTCCAATAATCCCCAGGCGAGCACCAACCCCTCACACGACCAGCGCCAGCACCAACCCATCTCGAATCAGCCGTACTTGTCGTGCTTGTTCTTAGTCTTCAGATCCAGCAACTTCTCATGATAATCCCCCTCGCGCCTCGCGCGCTTGAGCACGCGGACCTCGTCCTCGTCCAGCCTGCGGCCCGCGGCCTCCTCCAGCTCCCGGCGGCTGATCTTCTCGCGCGCCTTCTCCTCCTTGCTGGCCTTCAGGCGCGGCTTGAACCGCGCCTGCATGCGGATCCGCAGCGTCGTGTCGAACGACGTGTCGGCCGCGTCGCCGCGCACCTCGGGCGGGGCGTTTGCCCGTGATGAGGTTGACGCCTTGACCGTCAGGTACGTCTCGCGCAGCGTCTGCACCTGGAACGTCCCCGGCGTGTCGGCCGTGGGGATGAGGGTGAAGGACTCGAGCGGGGAGACGGCCTCGGAGACGGCGCTGAAGATGCCGTACTTGTCGCAGCCGAGGAACCTGGTGGAAGGGGGCGTTGTGGTCAGCAGCTGGTTTCAGACGAGGGATGATACGTTCTCCCCAGTGGAGAGAGAAAAGAGGTAAACATCTACTCACTTCCCAGCACTCCCCTTAAACCTGTGATTCTCTGTGCCGGCGATCTTGTTCGCGACCCACACCATGCGCACATCATGCGGCTCGGCCGTGGCGGCGTTGCCGTCGACGATGTTCTCGATGGGCAGCGTAAAGACCTTCCCGTTGGCGTCGCAGGCCAGGGCCGTCAGCGGCTCGGTCGGGAGCACGAACATGACCGGGCCCGAGACGTCGCCCACGACGTCGGCCGAGACCCAGCTGTCGTCGTTCTCGACATTGTCCTCGTCGGCCACCCTGGCCGCCTTGCTGCTGCTGGCTGTGGCTGTGGCGACCTGGTTGCCTGAGTCGTCCGCCTCGGCCGCCCCGTCGCCCCTGTGCTCCCTCTTTCTCTTCTTCGGCTTCTTGTCGCCCTTGAAGGTGAGCGGCTTGACCATCCTCTCTGCGTCTCCCTCTTCCTCTTTTCTTCCCTGGCCCCGCTGTCTGTCTGGAACCCTAATGCAACACCTGAGCGGGCGGGATCAGGAGCGCGAGCACAACGTGGTCGACGGCGGCTGTGAGATGAGCGGATGTAACGTGCGTGGGGCGTTGGGCAGCCAGGCTAGGATAGGCGAGGTGCGGGAGCTGCAGGTGGGTTTCGAATTTCGAAGGATCCAGACGAGTCCTGATTCCCACTCGAGATTTGAGCTGGAGCTGCTTGAGCTTGAGCTTGAGCTGGGCCTGGGGCTGGGGCTTTGCTGTCGCGACTCACGATCCATGGCGGTCGCGTGCGGGTTCGAGAACGGGCAGGGAGTAGGGAGCTCCAGAAGCTTGGGGCAGGTGCCGTCCCCGGGCCATCGCGCCGCATGGGCAGCTCATCGGGAGATTACATAATGGGGCAGCTGTCAGGTCTTGGCTCAGAGCACATCTCCCACCATCCGTGCGCTCGAATGCAACGTCGAAGACCGATCAATCAGTGAGTGGGTTGGAGAATTGCAGCTAGCTATCTCTGTCTCTGCCTCTCCCGAGGCCCGCCGAATACGCTGACCAGCCAGGGCCACCTCCGCTGCTCAAAATCGGCGTCGGCTCCGGCCGCCTGGGTTGCCCCAGGTGGGCTTGTCCGAACCCCAAGCTGGAAGGTGGCCGTTCGCAAATGAGACGCCAACACAGACTAACAATAATACCCATCTAATAAGGAGATTTTTATGCAAAACCTTCCCCTCGCGTGGTCTGTCGTGCGCCGCGATCCTCCTCCCCCACTGCACATTCGCATCCCAGAGTCGGTTGTGTGATATTTTCCACTCGTCTCTTGCCCTGTCCACCTCGGGACTCCTCCGTCCAGACTTTTTTTGCCACCCGGAAGAAGCAAAAACACTCACCATGGCCCCTATCGCGCAAGCTGTCACCGTCTCACTGGAGGACCTCAAGGAAGGTACGTAATGATCATCGCGTAGTACGCGCCAAGCGGGGGAGGAGCACTGTTCACTCATTCAGTCCACTTTTTTCGCGACCTCCAGGCTCTGTGCCTTTCGACACGCTCCAGAAGGCATTCGGCCCGGAGTCTCTGGGGATCCTCCTCGTCAAGGACGTGCCACCCGAGTTTGTCGATCTGCGACGTCGCGCCCTGTCATACTCGTCTTATCTGGGTAACCTGCCCAAATCTGAGCTAGGTGAGTGAGTGACCTTGTTTGAGTGTCTGAGACAGTGGTAGAGCGGTGGGTTGAGCGGACGCGGGAGCGCGTTAGGCGAGACGGATATACATAGATAGATCCATGGCCGATGAAACAAATAGCGCGGGCGCTACTATTCCGTTGGGGCGGGATCCCAATCAAGCCGTTATGCGATAGGCAGAAACCATGTGGACAAGTCATCAAGCAAAGCAAGCTAATACCTGGCACACAGACAAGCTGGAGAATGAGAAGGCAAAGTACCTGACCGGCTGGTCGCTCGGCAAGGAGACGCTCAAGAACGGGCAGGTAGACGACCTCAAGGGCTCCTTCTACGCCAACTGTGCGTTCTACATCGATCCCAAACTGGCCTGCGCGCCGCCCACGGGCGAGTACACCGAGGACAACTTCCCTGAGTACCTGAGCCCAAACATATGGCCCGAGGAGGCCGTGCTGCCGGGCATGAAGGCCTCGGTCGAGTCGCTGTGCCGGCTGATCATCGACGTGGCCGTCCTGGTGGCGGGCGCGTGCGACAGGTACGCTGAGAAGGAGATCCCTGGCTACCCGGCCGCATACCTGCAGCGTATGGTGTCAGGCTCGATGACGACCAAGGCGAGGCTACTGCACTACTTCCCCGAGCCCGCCGGTTCTGGCGGTGGGGCGGCCCCCGCAGACGGCCCTGCTGCTGCTGCTGGCGGAAGCGCGAATGGCGACGAGGACGACTGGTGCGCGACCCACCTGGACCACGGGTGCCTGACAGGTCTGACGTCGGCCATGTTCGTGGACGAGGCGAAGGCGGACCCAGCCGTGCCGCGGTTCGAGCCCGCCCTGCCAGAGACGCTGCAGCCGCTCCAGGAGCTCGCCGCGTCGCCCGACCCGGCGGCGGGGCTGTACATCAAGTCCAGGACGGGCGAGACGGTGCAGGTCAAGATCCCGCGCGACTGCATCGCCTTCCAGACGGGCGAGGCCCTGGAGCGCATCACGGGCGGCAGGTTCAAGGCGGTGCCGCACTTTGTTAGGGGCGCGAGGGCCGCACCGGGCGGCGACGGCAGCAGGATCGCGCGCAACACGCTGGCCGTCTTCACGCAGCCCAACCTGGGCGAAGAGGTGGACCGTGACCAGCACATTACGTTTGGCGAATTTGCTCGAGGCATCGTCGCGAAGAACACCGTCTCCTAGACCGAGTAATTGATTTTGAATTTGACATCCTCTGCCCTCGATGGTTTTGCGTTCTCGTTTCACCTTCTCGGCGCCCGCTGGTCCAGACTCTGAGCCTGTGGGCCCGATCTGCGCCTGAGTTCAGACAGTCTGGACTTCTTGAGGTGCCCAGTTCCCCGTGCGGCGGGTGGGCCCTCGCCGTATTTTATTTTCGGAAACCCGAAGCGTACGGGCGCCTGTGTGCGTATCTCTCTCTCACTTACTCCACCGCTTATGTGGTGCGTGGTCAATCGATTATGGCATGGTAAGGATCTTGCGATATCAGGTGTGAGCTTCGCGGGTTACCGCATTGGGAGTTGCCTAGGGCCAGGGGCAGGGGCAAGGTTGACGGCAATGGGGCTTGCTGGCGGTGGGGCTTGCTGGCGGGCGGGCGGGCGGGAGGGCGGGCTCATGTAGGGTTCATTATGCCGATGCAACGCAAAACACACAACGAGATCTGCACGTCCAATGGTGCCGGCCCATGTGTCAGACGAAACGGACAGACGGACTGGTGATGGCTGGCTGGGTTGGGCTGGCGGGACGACCAGCGACTGCGATGCCGAATGACATCGCCAGTGCAGGGTGGCGGTCGACTGATTGTTGACGAACCTCCTCAGCCACGTCGCATATAGCTGGGGATCGCTCTATGTAATAATTGTGGTCATATTCCAAGGTTCGGTGTGCTTCTTGCGTAATGCCCAGGATACCTGGGGACAGGATGACTGCTGTGGTGTCTACGTAGTAAAGTCGGGCGAGGTTGGTGACCGGCACGGTGGAACCGACAGCTCAACCAGCAGCTCGCTTACCTACAGTAGTGTCCGTCTCATGCAATGAGCTGCAGCACTTGGACTGCAAGGGGGCGTGCATGAGGTGCAGATATTTACCCGCCAGTCCGTCCGTGTCAGAAACAGTAGGGAGTGATAGTTGGTTCGTTGGGGCTGTGAGGCTCAAATTTGCAGACTGCGAGATCCCTGGGCGTGCTCCCGTGGCGCCGAGCGAGACAGGCGAAAGAGGCGAGCATGAGTCGGCGCAGGGGTCCGGGCCAGACGGACATGAGACCCATGTAAAAGCCCGGGATCAGCGATGCTGGGGAGTCGAGGTCTTGACTCTTTTGAGTTTTGTGGTTTGTGGTGTGCGAAGATAGTGAGGGCCCGTAACAGCCTCTGGTGAGATGTCGTCTTGTTTCGCATGTGAAAGCAGGAGCAAGGGCTGACCCGTGCTGGGCCCTGACGATCACGATCAGAGTTGGGATGGGCGGTAATGTGTGGCATTCCTGCTCCCCGTTGTGATTGCGGCACCCAATCATTCCTGCGCGAGAGTAATGAGCACGCAAACTGCTCGCACGCTGATCGGCCAGTTGGATATCGGATCGCAATCAAGCCCATTGCGTGTGCGTGCATGCCCCTGAGTTGATACCTCCGCCTTGACCGGGCGCCCTCCATCTCTGCGGCCGAGTCTTGCTTGCTGGCCTGCTTGCTGGCTTGGTGTGCATCAGTCAGTCGCTCCTTTTCCTCGGCATGTAGTTGGACACGGAATCTCAAGTTAAACCTTCCGATGCTGGACCTATCTGTGTAACCGTGACATCCGGGACCAGCCCATGCTGTCGCGCTGTTATCCACGGCCCGATCTTTGGTAGGCTGGGCAGTATCGCGTCGCCTCGTATCGAATCGGCAAGCTCGGTGCTATTCTTGACCTGGCCGTTCTGCAGCAGTTCATGTTAGCATAGGGACCGTTCACTGTTTCTTCTGGGCATGGGGGCGCACACAGGTACACAGGCACCCAGTGCAGCGGCGGGCAAGTCATCCCACGCCGTCAAGATGCGTGGCTTGAAACCAAGCAGGGTCGATCCATGCCTGGATATCTCTAGCCTTGGCCGCCTCGCCCCCAGCGCCCCTGGGCTATCGCCAGATTTTCATTCATAATGGAGGCTCTGACCCATTTTTCACGCTGTTACGGCGATCCACTCGGCCCAACTTTCCGAGACTAGGAGCAGGGTCGACAGCAAACCACACCGACCGCGCAGCCCTCGGGCGGGTGTCTCACTGGCTGGATGCAGTCTGGCCGGTGTCTGGACTGGGAGGCGAGGCGGGAGGAAAACACTGCAGGCTGCTGCACGAGAGACGGTCCGAGAGAGAGATGTGGATCGAGCTGCTGGGGACTGGATCCTAGGATCTTGGGTTTTCTTGGGTCCTTTCTTGGATTATGGGTCCTTCCCGCCACACCACCAACCACGCGCCAACAACTCGGGTCGCTCGCTGCAGGTCGGTCGATTGGAGAGGCCCAAGGGAGTGAGCAGTGGTGCGGCCCACCCGGCGACTTGCTTGGTCTTGCGGAGGTGACGTTTTCAATGGAGGGGTTGTCTGCCTCCCGCCCGGTTTGGGATCCACCATGGAAAGTTATGGACGAGAAACGGCAATGAGTCTGGATTATCCAACACTGACACTGACGCTGACACTGACACCGTTCCTGGCGCTGGCACTGGCACAAGACGGACTGACTGACGGATTGAACTGGACAGGGCAGCGGCCCAAAACAAAATGCCAGTCATTTCAGCCTGCCTCGCCTCCTCCCATCCCATCTCTCAGTCCCATCTGTGATCTGATCGCGCTCATCGGGCACACACAGGCAAGACGACCTTGGCCCACCGTGACTTCCTTTCTCATGTCATACCCGCGGATACGCACTTTCATCATTCAACAGTACACCCCCGCGCATACCTACTTACACACTTTCATACCCCGTGCTCGCACCTTCCACCCAACCTTGGAAGTTTGCCGACCCTCCTTCTAGACTGCGTACCTGCCGATTACTACTTGGTACAACACTTTTCACCCACCTCTCATCCCTCATCCCTAGGCACAGAGACGGAAACACAGGCAGAGGACCCAGTTCTCGTCCCGGTTTACAGTACGACCACCAATCCACCCACCTGGAGAGCACAGCATCCAGACGCACAACTCCGTCCGATCGTTTTCTATTATTGTCCTCATTGCCCCTTTTATGCCAGCACGGCATTCTGTTCGACCCATAAAACTGCCCGTCCTCCCCACCGTTCTCCTCGAACATCTCAAGAGATCGTCACAGCTTGGGACTCCTGAGCCTCTGTGTGCATTCGTCTCATTATCTCTTAGCCTCGACAATCTCAGCCAAGACGGTCGGCAGTGGAGTCATTCACGCTGTGATACTCGGCTTTGAGATCACCGACCACTGTGTGCCACTGCAACACACTCGAATCCGGAGTTTGGGACATTGACTGTGGGACGACCACTGGTGGAACAACGCACTTTGGGCCGGCTTTGGTCTTTTCTCACTCTCGACAAGTCCGCCGGGCACGTCCCTCTGGGACATTCCCCTTGGGATATCGTCATCTCGTTTACTCCTCCTTCGCCTCCGACACAAAGCTTGCCATGTCTTCCAACACATCTCCTTCAAGACCGGCCTCTCCCGCGCGAGATGGACAACCCAGCGCCAGCCGGGCATACCGGGACCAGCTCAGCCCCATCATCACCGTCACCACTCCACGCGAAAAGAAGAAGAAGGTCGGCTGGGTGGGCAATCCCGAGGATCGATCGCCTCCGACGGAAGTCGACTATTTCTCGCATGTCCCGGTTCCCGACTCTCGCGCTAGCACACCCGGTGTGCCCGATGCCGCCATAACCAGCCCGGCACGAAGAGACTCTTTCGACAAAGAAGAGGTCACCAACGCCCTGGAAAGGATTCTAAAGCCCGAGGACCACGCAGGCCCACAGATGCCCAAGATGCCGCTTCCAAACCTGCGCCTGCCGAAGCCGGTGTTGCGGAAGCAACACTACCCTGAGAACCCTGCCGAGCCTGTCGAGGGGCTGTCCCATCCATCTGAGATCGAGGCAAGACACAGGGCTGGTAGACTGGCCGAGAGCGTGTCTGGCGTGGTATCAAGGGCCTCACCCGATGACTCGCCACTCATGGGAAATTTCGACGACGTAAGCCTGTTGAACCGAACGGACACTCACGACCACGCTGCGGCTACGGGAGCAGTGAAGCCAGACGAAGACGTAGACCAATCGGGACTCAAGTTCCGCCAGAGGGTCGAGGCAGATGCAGACAGGCTGGTACGAAGTCATACGAAACGCCGTGCGATCAGGGGCACCCCGATGGCATTTGCACAACCACAGGATACAGAGTCAATCCGGTCTGGCACAGCCACACCGGTCGCATACGACCTTGAGTTTGTCCCACCTGCTCCTACCAACTATCACGGAGGTATTCTAGGAACATTGCTCAAGCTGTACAATGCGGATGATCGGAACCACAGCGGCGAGGGGAGCGGTGCAACGACCCCTTCGCGGACCCCCAACAGGACACCCCGTGGGTCACCACCCAGCACTGCGCCAGGTACTCCCCGACCAGAGCGCCCACGAAGCGGATTGTTCGGCCTGGGAGCTCGCCACTCGGCATCCACGCTTGCCGAGCTCATAGGCTCGTCGTCCACTCTTGCGACCCCCGCCGCTTCCAACAAGGACTGGTCCGAGATAGTGACGGACAAGCTGAAGCGCGAGAGAAACGAGCGAAACGAGCGCGAGCAACGTCCCAAGAAGGAGCACAAGCGGAAACCCTCCAAGACGCCCCAGCAGAAGATCGAACAGCTCCAGATCAAGAAGCACATCGCCGAGATCATCAGCCGCCACAAGTACATGGTCAAGCTATGCCGCGCATTGATGGAGTTTGGAGCTCCGACGCACAGACTCGAGGCATATATGGCCATGTCGGCTAGGTGAGCACAAATATTTCCTTTGTATTCTATCATCTCGTTGAGTGTCGTTGTAGGGGGATGATCCTGGTAGTGATCTTCCCACGGACCACGACAGCACGAGATATAGAAGAGAGAAGAAGAAAAAAAAGAGATTAATGGATTATGGCTAATCGAGGTTGCAGAGTTCTGGCAATTGAGGGACAGTTTCTCTACCTTCCCGGCTGCATGATCATTTCATTTGACGACACTCAAACCCACACCACTGAGGTCAAAATCGTTCGGGTACCACAAGGTGTAGACCTGGGCAAGCTCCGAGACGTCCACGAGATCTACAAGCTGGTTGTCCATGACCTCATCGGCGTGGACGATGCAATGTCCCGGTTGGATGCAGTTGTCACCAGGAAGCACAAGTACAACAGATGGATTCGCGTGGTGACCTACGGCCTAGCCGCTGTTTGTGTTGCTCCCTTTGCTTTCCAGGGCAGATGGATCGATATGCCTATTGCTTTCGGTAAGTAAAAGCGGCGAAGTGCCACCTCCGTCTCCCAACCCTTCCCAAAACAATCTCGTCCTTCGTGCAAGGTGCTATCTCACTGAAGCAATGTACTGACTTGACTTAGTCATGGGCTGTATCGTGGGCCTGATGCAGCTTATCATGGCACCCTCCAGCGAGCTCTACGCGAATGTGTTTGAAACCTCGGCGGCTTTGCTCATGTCTTTCCTAGGTATGTTTCGGCTTTACGCTGCTTTATATCCGTCTGCCGGAGTTGTCTGCCTCCTTGTCATCATCTGTTGAATGTTTATTGACTCGACATAGGCAGGATGTTTGGATCAATCCAGTACAAGGGAGAGAATCTGTTCTGCTTCTCGGCTCTCTCGCAAGCCTCTATCGCACTCATCCTCCCGGGATACATGGTGCTCTGCGGAAGTCTCGAGCTTCAGAGCCACAACATGATTGCTGGCTCCGTTCGCATGGTGTATGCTATGATTTATACACTGTTCCTCGGTTACGGCGTGACTATTGGAGCAGTCCTTTACGGTCTGATGGACAAGAACGCGACGAGCTCGACCTCATGTTCCAACCCCCTCAACAGCTACTGGGACCTGCTGTTCGTGCCGCTCTTCACTCTTTGTCTATGTGTCATCAACCAGGCAAAACACAAGCAGCTTCCCGTTATGCTCACTATTTCATTCGCCGGATACGTCGTCAACAGCTATACAAATAAGGCTCTGGACTCATCTACTATTTCTAACACCCTTGGAGCCCTGACAATCGGTGTTCTGGCCAACCTATATTCTCGGCTCAGCCGCCCAGCGGAGAACTTATGGCTCAAACTGAAGATGCGCAAGGTGAACCAGGACCTGGAGAAGGGCATTGCAAAAGCGAACGAGGACCCCGAGACAACAGCTCGGCGCGTGGGCTACGGTCTCGCGGCGGCGGCCATGCTGCCGGCGATCTTCGTGCAGGTGCCAAGTGGTCTGGCCTCCGGCGGCTCTCTGGTCTCCGGTGTGACCAGCGCGAACGCAATCACAGGAAACAAGACAGCGGCAGCGTCGACTATGGGAGCGTCTGACCTCAACACAGGCGCATTTACAGTTCTTCTCAGCGTTATACAGGTGGCGATCAGCATTTCGGTTGGACTTGGACTGGCGGCGTTACTGGTGTACCCCTTCGGAAAGCGAAGAAGTGGGTTGTTTTCCTTTTAAAGCACTCCTTTTAAAGCATTGATAGAACAAAGATACCAATATAGATCATGTGATTACTGCATTTATTCGACAGCCTAAAAACTCATGTCCTCAGCTTGCTGTGAAATATCTCTCCCGGCTTCGTGTGATCTTCTGCCTGAAATTACTCCTTCCTCCACCATCTGCACCATACCGGGTGGTAGAGCTCCCTTCCGTCACAGTCAATGTTTTACATGCCTTCCGAGACCACGCACTACTTCCGTACGTGGGCGGCGGCCGAAATCCAGCTGTGCCGATCGTGTACGCGGTGGTGGGACGAGCTTTCACTTAGATGTGCCAGACGCGCACCAATTGATCGGATCGCATACAGAGCACCGTCAGTCAACACAGCCAGTTCACCAAGAGCCAGAGGGGGGCATATTTGCACACACGAGGTTAGTGATTACTCGTTATCGGTAGTACAGAAAAACCAACTTCGAAACAAAAACAAAAAGTCCCGCAGCTCTCAAGGAATCAGCAGCGGTGGCGACCGACGAGCAGCAGCAAACCGCCCCGGCCACCGGCTCGAAGCAATTGAGAAGCCTCAAAATCGCAGTGCTCGAGGCGTCGGCGGGCCACGTGCGTGTGTATATCTCTCTCTTTCTGTCTCTCTCTAGCAGTTGCGGCTGCTCAACCTGCGCAGGGAATCATGATGCGGACGGGCGAAACGACAAGTAAGCAAGCCAACCGACCAGCCGAATAACTTCAGTCGCCATCCGCTTCCCCTTCCTCTCTCTCCCTGTCTCTCTCTCGATCGGCGTAGAAACCATGCTGGTATTCTCTGTTGTGCTGCAAACCCCACCCCTATTCCCCTTCCGGTCCCGTCTTTCAACCCCCCAATATGCCAGTGTATTTCATTTCGTCATCATCCACCATGCCAGTATGGCTCCAACGTTGCGGAATCATACTTGCTGAAAAGCTGACGCCTATGAGAATGTGGGCCTCTCTTCGCTTTTCGCATCGAAGACCTCTCGCAATGGTAAACTTCAGTCAAGCGAGCAATCAGGCGGTCAATTGGAATCCGAGGAACGCCACTGATCTAATCGCGGCGGCCCTCGTCATCATCCTGAGCTGGCGGAATGCCCTCCGTCTTCCACTTCTCATAGGCCTCCTTCGCATGCTGGACCTGTTCCTGGCTGAGGTCCTTCATCCAAGGGCTGTTCATGGCCATCTTCTCGGTGAACTTCTGGTTGCGGACCTCCCTGACAAGTTGCCTTCGTTGCTCGCGCTCGTTACGCTCCTCCTCAGAACCACCATCAATGTTGTAGATGAAGTAGTTCGAGGTGCCTTTAGCGTAGCTGATCTTGGACGTGTTCAGGCAGATCTTCAGGACTAAACCCTCACTGTACGAGATGGCCTTGGGCTGATAATCGCCATCGGAATCGGCATCTCCGGAGGGCAGGTTGCGAGTTAGCACAACCTTTTGCATGCGGGACCTAGAGACGCCTTCGGTCGGTTCGGTGCGCATCCAAGAGGAGATATAGTATTGCCAGCGATCCCTGAGCTCCATCTCGTCCATGTGGAATGTCGTGTCGTCCTTCTGAAGCCAGCGAACGGTTGCCTCGTTCTTCCCTGGGATCTGAGAATATGTTAGGCTTGCAGGTGGATCAGTTGACGGCCGCGGGGCACTTACCCATGTGATGACAAACATCTCTCCGTCCTTGATACACTTTTCTGCAAACTTGCGGTGGCTGATCTCGACTTGGTAGCTCGTTTCGTCATGCTGTCGGCTGAGCATGTATTGCTTAATCAGATCCGGGGTCTTGTCCTTGTTGTCGGTGTTGTTGCAAACGAGGGCAAGACGGCAAAGAGTCTTGAGCAAGTCTTGGATTGTGTAGAGTTGCCAGCCGTTGCTGAGGTAGTAATGCCGCAACACGTCCTGATAGCGGTTCTCGTCGATATCGCCGTTGATGAAATCCTCGATCAATTCGAGAGTTCGGCTCCAGAACTTATCCTCTGGAAGGTTGCTGAAGAACTTGAGGTCATCCTGGACCAGGCCCAGTACCTTGGCCGGCTTCTCCAATTTCTCACGCCGTATCTCGTTGAGAACACTTTCCTTGTTGTCCTTGACGCCTTTCAGACGTTGGTACACCGTCTGGAGAATGCTGAAAAACACATAGATTGTTTGGTTGCAGAAGAAATTGAACCAGGGGCGAGGGAAGGAACCATCAGCCTTCAGGTCACCCTGCTCGTCAAGCAAAGAGTTGTCACCAGATGCGACCGTAGGCACTGGAGCGGTCGCAAGCCACCTATCGTTGGAACCAACCTCGGGCACTGAGGCATCTTCTGGGGCATCGGGCATATCTTCTTCGTTCCCAGAGGCGACATCGGGTGTTGTTTCCTTGCTTCCCGATGCTGCGCTGCCCTCCTTATGGTTGCGCGGCTTGCTCCCATTGCGACCGGGGTCAAGAACGCCGCGAAGAAGATCAGACTTCCGTCCGTTGCGACGGCCTGACCTTCCATTGGTCAACTCAGTCGGAGGAAGCTCCTCGGCGTCTTCATCGCCCGAGTCCCTGTCGATGTTGGCGAGCCTGTCCTGAACCTTATCATCTGGGAGGTCAAAGAACTGGGGAATGAATGTCTCGAAGAAGTCCAAGATGCGTTCCTTCTCGGTGGCGCCATGCTGCCCACTGTTCATAGCATACAAGAACATGAGCCTAAGAAGATCAAGAATAAGCTCCTTGTCTTCGAAGCTCCACTGGAACTGATAGTGTGCGATCTTGTGCCTCGCGGACCGCATCCGCTTCTGCTCTTCATGTTTCGTCTTGATGACATCAACGAGATGCTTGGCCGAGTAGGTGCGCTTGTCGTTGTTCCTAATGGACAACCCATGTGGTCGAGCGACCTGAGGTAGATGGTTTCGGTCTGAGTTTGCCAGACCCTTTCCCACTCACGCTGAGAACCTCCATTCCTCGTCCTTCTGCTTCAGGCGGGCCAGAACAACGGGTACAACGCTGAATGGATTGGAAAACATGTCGTTGACGGCCTGTGGGCCATGCTCTGGGCCATACACTTTCTTCAAGACTCGCTTGTAGATGGACTGGCTATGCCCGCCCAGACCGGTGGGCATCCGAAAGTTCGCGCGATCGTTGGGTGTCAGCGTCAACATCTGCTGCGCAATGGGTTCCAAAAGTTGGATGCACTTCTGGTTGGCCTCGATGTAGAAGTCGTAGTCGTGGCGCTCTTCCTCTATCCTATGGAGGCCCTCCTCGAATGCGTTCTTCCTGTGTGCGACGAACCCAGAGTCCTCGGAAGCCCAAGTAGGGTGAGACGCCCATTCGTCGTTCAAGACCGAGTTGCAAAGATCATCTCGGCCGCTGCAGGGTTTGAGCCTCTCTCGCTTCGGTAGAAGACGGTAGCTGGGTCCGTAACTCCGGCAATTGCTCAACGAAACCCGGCCAGTGGCAGGTTCAGGACGTTGTTCAATGACGTGGTCCTCTCCGCTGAACGAGACGAATTCCTTGAACCAGCCAAACAGCTCAGTGTGGCCTCCGATGAATTGTGACGCCTTGGCTATGAGATCATCCTTGTCCAGAAGTTCCTGGGTGAACATGTTGCAGAGTTTGAGGAACTCGGAGAATGCTGTCTTATTGTTGATGAACTTCTTGGCCTTGTCGAAGAACGCTATCTCGAGATCGGCGGAGGCGGCCGGGGAGGTGGGCGCGAGAGGAACTGGCATGCAAGGCGTCAGGTTGGGCTCAACGCCTTCAGCGACGCCCGGCTTAGGATGGGTTGTCTTCAATCTCTTGTTGCTGCCTGACGCAGGCGCTCCTCGCATGTTAGACGTTGGTGGATCGACGGGGGCTGATGTCGCAGGACCAGCCTGCTTGTCCGGTCGCGCGCGCTTCTTGCTTTCTTTGCTTGCGCTGGCTGGGGGTGCAAAGTTGCCGACTGGCGGGCCCTTGGGCCCATCTCGTGCCGTATGCCCTGGCTGGGGCGTCGAAGCCATGTTCGTCATGGCAGTGAACTCCTCTGCGCGTTGTGCAGCTCCTCGAGTTTGTGCAGCGGATTCGGGGAGGAATTGCTTAAAGTCTTCCAGAAGATCTGGGGCAGCGTTGAACAGTGTTGTGACTTGGGCGTACACGTCCTGGATCGGCTTCTGCTCTCGTTGGTACGTCTGCAGGATCTCCAAGAACTGCTTGTAGATCTCGGGTTTATCCTGAAAACGGTTCTGCAATAGGGTTCTGGTTAGAGGGGTTTCGATCAAGGTGAATCAATGAGGAATGAGAAATTGGCTGAAATAGGGCCGGCCATTCTATGCCCCCGCTCCCCTGACACAATGGGCAAATCGAAAACACAATGCATCGCAAACTGAGCTCTAACACGCAAGCTTACCTTAATCTTATTAACATAACTGATAGCGTGATTGAATTCGACCGGACCTCGCTTCTCCATATTCGCCTGCGACTGTGCTGCAGCCCCATTCAAAGCTTGAACAGCAGCTGGGGTTGGAGTGAGCGCGTTTCGAGGAACAGGAGGGTGAGAAGTTGCCGAGCTCGTCTGTGCTGGCGGTTGCCCTCGCTGCTGCACCGGACTATGGGCATCAAACGGCACACTCTGCCCAGATCCGTGGGTAACGGCACCGTGGCCACTTTGAGCGGGCGTGCTGAACTGGACCTCTGGGCTTTCAATACTGTGCTGCACCGGGCCTTGCCAGCCCGGCGGGCGCTGTTCCGCAAAGCGCTGGCTCGGGGCAGAAGAAGGCGCTGGACCCGACTCGATCTGCACCGCCCTGCCGGGGCCGATTGAATGGATTGTGGAGCCCGAGGGTGTCGTCACCCGAATGCTGTTTGGATTGTTCTCCAAGCCACACTCAATCCGATACCCAGGAGGGAGAAACGTGTTGAAGCCTTGAATCAAATTAGGGTGGCCGGCGAACAACTCGGAGACTCGGCTAATGACACCCGGTGTGTCGATCCTGCGGCCGTTCAGCTACTCGCAACATGTTAAAGGCGGGGGCACAACTGCCACTCACGTCTGGCTTTTGAAGTCCTTCATGATGTCGAGGAATCTGTTATAAACATCGGGCTGCTCAGAGAACTGGACCTTAACCTGGTCAAGGTAGCTGAGGGCATCCTGTTTGAAACGGGCATCAGCACGGGTGTCCCGAGGAAGCAGTTGCTCAAGACCTAGGTCTGCATGTTCGGAACTGCGGTGATATCTCACATTGAGTATTGGCTGCTGTCCCTGGTTCATGCTGCCCGGAGCTGGAGCCATCGCGTGACCAGCGGCCATGCCAGCACCGAACGGCAACGGCTGAGCGGCACCCCTACCCCCTTCGGGCTGGAGTGGAGGGCCGAACACGGCCGCTGCACCACTGTGCTCATGGGACCGTTCGGCGGCATGGAACCATGCGGAGCCGGGGCGAACATCTGATGTTGCGACGAGGCAGCACCATTCTGGACGCCGTGGGGCAGTTGCCTGTTATTGGAGTCTCCGTGGACAGCGCCAGGAGGACCTCCTGGCCCAGAAGGTGCGCCGAGTGGTATGTTTGTTGGGTTTGCGCCGTGGTTTGCCAATAGGCCACCAGGGCTGTGTATTGTGCCCGGGAATCGGTTTGCGACAGGCTGGTGGATTGGGATGGAGCCGGCATTGCTGTGGTGAGGTGCGCTGGGCGGGTATGGCTCTCGGTTTGCGCGCTCGCTCTCACGTTCCCTCTGTTCCCTCTCTCTTTCTCTTTCCCTCTCTCGCTCACGAATCCTCTCGTCTTGTTGCTCGAGAAGAGCAGCACGATGGCGTTGCTCCTCCATATTGTGGGGCTTGTGGCGGCGGAAGCTTTCAGGGGAGAATGGACTCGGGGCCACAGCTCACGATCTATACCTCAGAGTGACTGCTGGACGTCAGAATTGAGCAACTGAAGAGAGCAATATACGGGCAAAGAAATCAGGGAGTGAGCAACCAAGTGCATCTAGTTGTGCGCACGAGTGACACGGCGGAAGCCGACAGTCTTTCGGGAAAACGCTTTCTGAATGTGCTGGAGCTCCAGCGGACGATCAGACCAAAAGATGCTCTTCACTTACTGTCATTCGTGAACACAGGAGCTGGAAACAGATATGATACATTTGTTGGAAGGCTTCTCGAGGGCAGAAGAGAAGCAGCTCGGGCGCGAGGGGAGTTGTGTAGATCACGATTTGCAAGCTCTGAAGGGGAGGATGGAGGTCAGATCGCCCGACACCACGACAATGACCGAAGCGAGCTGGGATTGGCGACCAAGAGAACCTTAGAAGCAGGGCAATGCGACAGCGGCTCCGGGATTGTTATCGACCGACTAGGCTACATTGATTTTGGACGGTTCACGTGTAGATAAGTATGTTAGTGACGAGAAGAGGCAATAACTGTGACTGCATAAGTCCTCCGCTAAATCTGTTAGCAGCACAAGACACCTCTAGCTGACTCCACTTCCGTTCGTGGCTTCTGGCAGTGACGTTCCGTCTTTTTTGCCTGCCGTTTGGCAACTTCCCCTTGCCCAAATCAGGGGCGGCAGCAGATTTCCATCAAGAGAAAAACGCGTCACTGCTGATGCGAGTTTTCTGACTCCTTCGCACCAAAGGCGAGGCAACAAACGCTCTGTTGCTAAAAAGCTTGTGGAACGGCTGGGGGAGACCGCCATCTCAAGTCATAACTCAGACCAAGCTTATATAGTATCTGATATATTCTCTATTGGCAGACCTGGCTTGGGGTATTTATATGCCGCGGTTTGCCGCAAAGACGCGTGAGAAACTGTACCAGCCTGCACCACAAGACCCGCGTTTTCGGAGCCAGCCCCTCGAGCGCGTACTACTCATGGCATCGTATTCTGGATGTTCAAAGTATGACCGATATGAGGCTCAATTCTGGTTATTCCGAACACGCACGGCCCTGGCAAATTATGAATAATTCCGAGCACTCTTGAGTATCCACTGTCGCGAGCACGGGTCAACGAGCTTCCTCCTATAGGGTGCATTAGGGAAGGGTTGGCCTGCCACTTACAACTTGACCGTTTGAGACCGAACTCGCTACTGTGGAAACCTCGATATTCCCAGGTTGTATCTATCACGAGTTATTAGTCGTAGTCGAGCAGACAGAAATAAGGCGCGGCGCAAAGGGATACCTACCACCTTATTGCCATCCTTCTTCTCCCACCATATCTCGGTGCCATCACTGCCGAGGGTCTTAACCTTGACACCCTCGTTCCAGGGGCTCTCTGGCACCACATGCGCCTCGACAAACCTCCTGATATTCTTTTGCGCCCGCTCCCTCCCGTCGTCGCCCTCATATGCATCGACGCCCAGCTTGTCATAATCACTGGGGTCTTCCCACGGCTTGCGCGGCAGCTTGTCCATCGCTGAGTTCAGCGGCGCGAGGACTGTCGAGTTCTGCGACGAGTCGTCGAGTCGGCGCGATAGGGAGTCGACATCCCGGACGAGGCTCGCAAAGACGTTTATGCTTCGGTCTTTCCCCATGACGTCCGACAGGATCACCGTCCCTGGGCCACCGGCAGGAGGGTCCTGAGGGCCGCTTGGGTCGTCATGGGACGTGCCGGGTGGGAGTGCTGGGCCTGGGCCGTCCATGATGGGCCGTTGGACCTCGTCGGCGCTGATGGGCGGCGGTATCGCTTTGCCGCCGCGGCCCCTGTTGTGGAGCGAGATGGAGATGGGCATCAGTGAGTGGGCGAGGAGGGCGGAAGACAGCAGGAGAGTAAGTTGAGTTGACCTCATGACTTGATCGAAGCTTCTTTCTGATGAATTTCGTCTTCTCGTTGTTGTCGAGGCACCACAGGTGTGCAGTCCGGTTGTATGATCTGATTCGTAAGGATACTGCCGCATCCTCGCCGGTCTGATGACGTAGTTGGTCCCTGGAGAGCTGACAAGATGAGACACTCACCCTAACCCTGATCAATGTGGTGGTAGGGGAGCTGGCCTTGGCTTTCGTTGTCTTGACCCCTTCCCCAGCACAATCTCATCTCTTGCTCATGGATGCCCAATGCTGGGCCAGGTGGCCAGTTGACTGCCTTCATGACCGAACGTGTAGACCTTGCAGTGCACCTTTGAAGATGGCGTTTCTGATCTAATAGACTACTTGACCACGACACTACGGCAATCCCTCTTTGATCAGAACACATGCTTCCGGGCTCTGAGAGGCGGCTTCGAGGTCAACTTCCAAGGCTGCTTATCCATTCGACCAGCCTTGCGCCTGTGTTGTGCTGAGTGCTAAATCAGTTCTGCCTGTACTCTGTACCTGGCCATCCATGTGACGACACACGGATCAGACCACGCATCAAGTGGGTGCGAAAGGCTGAAGCCCAGCCGTGGGAAGGGGCCAAGGCCGGAGCATTTTCACATGCCGAGCAGACAGTCCAGTATGGCTGGTTGCATTAGTTTCTCCCACGGGGTCAGTTCAAGGGGTGTCAGATGACTACCCACGCGCTCTCCCGAGAGCTGCGTGTCGTTTCGTCTGGGAACCTGGAGTAGTGTGGTGCTGTGCGTGGTCGAAGAGTAGGGGTTCACTCATCCTGTTTCGCATGTGACAGAGAACGAGCGAGCGCACCTGCAATTTCCAACTCGTGACCATCCTGACCGCCGACCGCCGACTGTCGACCGCCCAGTGAGCCAGTCCCAAAAAATGGAAGACGCAATTGACTCGAGATTGCCACCAGGCTATGTTTCATTCTCGCGGTAGTCTTTGTGGTGCTATGTGGCCAAGGTGCAGAGACGCCCGTCGGTCTGAAGCCAGCGTCTCGGGACGAGCTCGTCTATTGTGCCGTCCGCTCGAGGACCCTCTCTTTCGCCGCCACCCCATTCGGCTTGACGGCGACCCTCGAGGGCTCCGCTCGCGGAGGCAGATCGAACGAAAGTTCCCCACACTCGGAGAAGACCCGGGGTCTGGAATTCTGATAGGCCTGGTCAGCCCCGCGAGCCAGGAGAGCGTGCTGCCTCGGCAGAATTTCCCCGACGAACAACGGCCAGGCAGTGGGTCAGCGAGGATCCTCGGTCATGTTCGCCGCCGATTGCCTAAACAGTCCGCATCGTCACTGAGGTCGAGGCTGTCTTCCTGGGGAAGGCATCGTGAACCTCAGCCCGTAGCCTTCTCATGACCTCAGAGACTGTGAGGATCCTGGAGATGGGCCCATGATAATACCCAGGTTGGGTCAAAGAAGCCGTAGAACAAGGCCCCTTCTCGCCGGCTTGACTGCTCTTCCCACCGTCTGGCATTCTGGGACGTTGCATCCCTGCTAGACTTTAGACCTCGGCTCACGAATCAGAAGGTCAGCAAATCGGCTTATTAGTGCTACCTCCCCCCCAATTGGAACCTGGCAAGTCTGGGGTAAGACCCAAGCAACAGCCGGTGCTCCAGCCGTTGACCACCATATCAACCTGGCGCATTCCAATCCTCTCTACCTTCCTTCTTCAACAACTTCTATTCCCTTTTTGCCTCACTTGCCTCTCCCCATCGTCTTCGCTGTCTTCTCTTTTGCCTTTTACATCGGATAGCCCAGAGCAACATCCACAATGGCACCCAGAGTCATCGTCGTAGGCGGCGGTTGTAAGTCGTCCCTCTCCCCTCGGCTGAGGCGAGTCCGAGCCTCGATCACATGCCACTCCCACGCACTGTTGCCGTCACCACAACCGTTTTGCGACCCGAGCTGACAGAGTGCCACAGTGTCCGGACTGAGCGCTGCGCACACCATCTATCTCGCCGGTGGAAATGTTGTCGTTCTTGACAAGCAAGGTAAGTTATTTCTGTGGGTCGCAATTCGAATTGTCGCATGATCTGTTCTGACACGATCCCCTCCAGGCTTCTTCGGAGGCAACTCGACCAAGGCCACTTCCGGCATCAACGGTGCCTTGACAAGGACACAGGTCGACAGCAAAATCCAAGATAGCGTCAAGCAATTCTACGATGACACCCTGAAGTCTGCCAGAGACAAGGCAAGGCCGGACTTGATCAAGGTCTTGACCTACAAGTCCGCGGCTGCCGTTGAGTGGCTGCAGGATGTCTTCAACCTCGACCTGACTCTTGTGTCACGGTTAGGGTAAGTCAGATCATTTCGGTCATTGCATGAGAAGAACCTTCAGTCTAATTCCATTTGCTCGCAGTGGTCACTCCCAGCCACGAACGCACCGAGGCCACGATGCCAAATTCCCTGGCATGGCTATCACGTACGCTCTTATGCAAAGACTCGAGGAGCTCGCCGAGACCGAGCCTGATCGGGTAGAAATCATCAAGAAGGCCCGTGTCACAAGCCTGAACAAGGACGGAAACACTGTCACTGGCGTCAAGTTCGAGGTCAACGGCGAGGAGCAGGCCTTGGACGGCCCAGTCGTGCTTGCGACCGGTGGTTACGCCGCTGATTTCAGCGACTCGTCTCTGTTGAAGAAGCACAGGCCAGACACATACGGCTTGGCCACCACAAACGGCGCCCACGCCACCGGCGACGGTCAGAAGATGGTCATGGCCATCGGTGGAAACGGCATCGACATGGACAAGGTGCAGGTGCACCCTACTGGCCTCGTCGACCCCAAGGACCCCGGCTCTAAGTGGAAGTTCCTCGCTGCCGAGGCTCTTCGAGGAGAGGGTGGCCTTCTCATTAAACGGCGACGGAGACCGCTTCTGTGACGAGCTGGGCCACAGAGACTACGTTTCCGGCATGATGTGGAAGGAGAAGGACAAGGGCAAGTTCCCCATCCGTCTCATCCTGAACTCCAAGGCCTCCAACGTCCTGGACTTCCACACTCGCCACTACTCTGGCCGTGGTCTGATGAAGAAGATGACCGGCAAGGAGCTTGCCAAGGAGATTGGCTGCTCGCCAGACCACTTGCAAAAGACCTTCCAGACATACAACGCCATCGCAGACGGCAAGCAAAAGGACCCCTGGGGCAAAAAGTTCTTCCACAACGGCCCCGTAGACATCAACGATGACTTCCACGTTGCCCTGATGGAGCCTGTGCTGCACTTCACCATGGGCGGTATTGAGATCAACGACAAGGCCCAGGTGCTCAACTCCGAGCAGAAGCCCTTCGATGGCCTCTTTGCATGTGGTGAGCTGGCTGGCGGTGTCCATGGCGCCAACAGACTGGGCGGCTCGTCTCTTCTGGGATGTGTCGTTTACGGCCGTGTGGCTGGCGACACTGCCAGCAATTATCTCTTCCAGCAGGCCCTCAAGGGCGCAGCTGGTGGCCCCGCAGCGCGTCTCGGCCAGATCTCTCTGCACTTGGACCCTGCTGCCGGCAAGGTCACTCTCGACTGGGGCTCCAGCGGTGCCTCCTCCTCTGGTGCTCTGACCTCACAACCCAGCACCTCCGCTGCGGGTCCATCGCCTCAGGCGGATTCAGGCAAGGCTGCTTCCAAACCCAACAACCCTAAGGAGTTCCAGATCCCTGAGAAGGAGTTCACACTGGAGGAGGTTGCTAAGCACAACAAGAAGGACGACCTGTGGGTCGTCGTCAAGGGTGTTGTCATGGACCTCACCAACTGGCTCGACGAGCACCCCGGTGGGCCTCAGGCCATCATGAACTTCATGGGACGAGATGCCACGGAGGAGTTTGAGATGCTGCACGACGACGAGGTCATCCCCAAGTACGCACCACAACAGGTCATCGGTAGAGTGAAGGGACAGACGCCGAGCCTGGAGCTATAAATATAAACCTCGGTTGTCATGGAGAGAACCAATTAGTCACGGCATTACAAAGTGACTTGTGTGGGGGTGGATGTGGAATCAGCTGAGACGATTATAATGCCCGGCCTCAGGTGCGAGAGAACGGTGCATACGCACGCATGTGCAAAGTAGACCAGCATTGGCGGTGTGCAACAGGCGCATGCATGGAACTTTTGGGTACCACGACGTGGCGTAGCCCGCGTTTGAGTGACGACTGAATGTGCGACGGAAGCCTTCTACAAAAAAAAAAAATGGTTTGATCTACGCTGGAATGGATGAAGGAATCTTTTCTTATCGTTGTTGTTAGTGCCGTATAGCCGCTGTATTCATATACTACATCTCAGAGACCTATCTCGTCGCCACCCCCGTTGTCCTCGATCCTGCACTCTCAGGCGTCTGTCAGCAGCCTCGCCGCTGCTACCGGGCGTCCCACAGAAGCAGCGAGCGCATGTGTGTCTCACCTCCGCGACTAATAACTGCGGCTGAGAGGGTAACGTAGCCGGCTGTCGAGGAGGATTCGACGCGGATATCCGCCAACCTCTCGTGAACCCCTGGCGGGTCTCACCACCCGACAGCACACATCTCGCTACACCTAGGCATGATGATGTTGCCGTGAGTGGGTCGAGTCCGAACAAGCCTTCTCACGCGTGGTTGATGGGATGGAGGTGGCTACTCACCCTTGCATGAAATACACAGCCTAGAAGATTGGATGAACTACAGCCCAGCCCTGGCGATTCTATCACAGGTACGGACGCACGCGGGTGTCTCCCCGTCCACCAGAGCCGAGGGCGGGAGGGGGCCTTCAGTAGACGTTTTGCGGTATTGGGACATGCCCTGTGTGTTTTTGGGAAGCGTACATGGCATGGCGTGGCGTGGCATCACATCCCCATGCGTCCTGCATGTCTCAGCTGCTCGTTTAATTTCCATAGGGCAAGCCAAGGATGGGTGTGTGTGTGCGACACAGTATCTGACGACCTTGCTTCTTCATTAGATTTATTCCTTGAACCCCGGCAGCCCGAGGCAACGTGACAGTTTCGAGTCCACGGATAACCGATTGTTTTCTGTACGCCCCCAACTCGCCATCAGCTGCGGGTGACTTCGGCGGAGAGGCAGGGGGGGGTCTATGGTGCGAGCCCGATGAGACGAGGTTGGATAGCTGACAGGCCTGCAGAGCAAATCAGCCTTTCGCAGCAGTCTTGGGATATTGGTGAATGCATCGTAAGCGAGATGTGCAGTAAGTCGTCGCCGTGATAAGTAAGACCCGCATCATGCAGGCTACCGGGCTGAAGCGGATGCATTGGTGGGTGGGTATTGGTTTAGATATGAGGGATGAGAGGACGTCGCACGGCGCGTCATCCACACCATCCACCCAACTCACCTTCAACCTCTTTCCTGTACAATCCAAATAAATTAGAAAAGATAAAATCCGCTCGCTGAAAGGTCGCATTGTCTTACTTGATCTGCACCATGTTCTGCGTGCTTTGCAACGTAGAGTGAGCTCGGCCACTGGCATGTAGGAGACCTTAGTACACATGGTCTACTACATGGTCTACTATGTGCTGACACTACCAATAGCCAGCAACGATGGCAACTCCGCAAAGGATTATTCACGTCCGACCTGAAAGTAATCCCGTTGTCTTTTGCGTACTGTGCGATGGGGTTGTCCGCAATCCACATTTCCGTCCAGCCTTGCTGCAAGTCTGTGGAGTGATTCGCCGAAATGCTAGCTCCATGACATATTTTTGCCGGCGAAGTCCAACTGGTACTACCAGCAGCGGCATACACAAGCTTGTATACTTTGGCAAGGGCATTATGCAACATCTGAGACAGTCCTCTTTGACGTTGGTGGGACTTGCCGTTTAGAGCTCCGTCGGGCATTGGTTGTTCGGTTATGAACAAATGCAGGCCTCAAGCGACAATCCCAAGTACTGAGAGGTCTTGTTGCGTCATGGCTTAGGAGCGAGCACGTTTCGATGCCAAGGACTGACTCGAGGGCAGTCGAGGGACCAACGATGCCAGCCAGCTTCTGGATCGATAAGGGTAATGAGTGTCACCCAAACGCCGGTTACGGGTCACTTCAGCCTTGCCCAGGCGTCCGTAAGCGGCAATCAGTGGCCCAGCGGTCAAAATGTATCTCGTGAAACGTGGGTAGCGGGCAGTTGGCCTGGTCGGGCTTCCAACTGGGAGGCGGTGATTGAGCCGTCCCCGAAAAATCCGAGCCTGGGACAAGCCGATATAGCTTGGCGCTCCTCTGGTAGCATCTTCCGATGCGGTCAAGGACTGGTACTCGTACCGCTGTCTAAGCAGTCTCTAGCACTCTTGGACAAGGCGTAATTCTGGCTATATCCTCCCGGCACGCTTTTGTCGTGTGCCCACTTCTGCCGACGTAGTCTTTAAAAAAAAAAAAAAAAAGGCGCCGTCAGCCATGAAAGCTCAGACGGGGAAAGGCAGTCAGTAGTCGGCCAAGCAACCTAGGAGATTGAGATGCCGATGCAGGCGTGGTGCGCTAGGCCGTTGGAGTCGAGCCAGCCGGGTGCAGAGTTCAGAAAGGATTCCCGGCATGCCCGTGCCTGTAGGCTGAAGGTGTGTGATGGCAGGATGGTAGGCCGGACGCCACGAACCTGCGAACCAAAAGGCGTGCAGGGAGCGCCTGCGGCCGAGCACATATGCATGGCCGATTCCTCTTCGAGAAGTCATTACTCATTCCACCATCACATCGAATCATGCCAGATGCACCTCTGAGGCGTCTGGCTGCAGACTCACGGGAACGTGGCACAAGTAGGGTAGGAGGAAGGAGGAGAATGCTGGAGTAGTTTCAGGTGGCTGTTCTCGTCTATGGAAGACGCATGAAGAGGTTGGATAGATCAGAGCCTCCCAGGTAGGCAGCAAGACGACCGTTAGAGAGGAGTTGAACAGATTCCGAGCACTAGTTAGTGGAAGAGCAGCCACCCGATTCTTCGAGAGGATGGCCGGCGCAGAATGTTGACCGGGCTTTGTCCTGATGCGTGTGCCGGGCGCCGTATGCAAATGTGTCTGAGCCTGGTCGAGTTTGAATCCTTCGCCCGGGGTGGAAAGACAGTAGGAAAAAGTTAAAAAGACGGCCAACCACCCAGTGTGAAAGTGCAGGGAAGAAGGCAGCGCACGTAACGAGCACACGCAACAGGTCCCCGCAATCTGTCGGGGTCCGGTACCAAGCTGTCAGGATCGAGGGGCCCCACAGAACAAGACTATGTCGAACTCTATTGACATCGATCATGACTGGAAATGGCTCACTAGACCGGGCTTCGATGTCTCCATCTTTGCGTTCTGGCCCAATTCGGTTCGAGCCTAATAAGGGTCAGGAGGCACAGCTGGTCTGCGAGAACCTTTTTTCAGTCACCCGGCGTGTCGGAATGCGCCTCAGCCGAGCAGACCAAGTACTGTAGCTACCGCACTACGCCGGGGGAGAACAGGAGTCAGTCAGATGCAAGGAGGAAACAAGCGCGCTTCTGGCTTGCAGTGATTTTACCCACTAAATATGGACGGGCGATCGTCAAGGGCCCTGGCTGCATGGCATTATGGCAGGTGATGCAGCATGACCTGTCCAATGCCACCACCGCCCGCCTGTCTTGTGGCCAGCTTGTGTGCTTGTCCAACAGCGATAGTCTTGGAGGTTAATTCGTGGCACGCACTGGGCACTGAAGACAGAAAACGGACAGACATGCAGACACAGACAGACCGACAGCCGGGCTGGAGTCTGATCCCCGTCCCGCCTGGGTCCCCTTTTGTCGACGCCAATCAGTAAGGAGTTGGTTAGACACGGCTTGGGACTAATGAGCGCTCACCGTTCATGTGCTGGAGGGGAGAGTGGGACGAGGCTTGCGTTTTGCTTGGTCGTTGTCTTGGTCCTGCTGCCAGGGCTCTGAGTGTTAGGGGAATGCCCACATCCTGCAGCACCTTCCTTACCAGATGAGCCCAGACGGACAAGACACTGGCACCGGTATTGGCTGCATACTCGGGTGTATGTGCAGTGCAGCAACGGGGAAGGCACACCTGACTGCGGGTAGCCTGCCTCGTCAACCCGCCCAATTCCAATTCAACGTCCGTCCCCCAGGCCCAGCCCCAGCCCAGCCAGCCAGCTCAAGCCCCAAACCCCGAGCTAAACCTGCAGTGGTCGAATGTCTTAGCCCTTTTCTCCTTGGCCCCATTTCCATCTTCCCATTTTCCCTCTGGCACTCCCCTGCTCCTCCCCCAATCACCTCCGCCTCCAGGCCCCGGAAGCCAATCACAGCACGCTCCCCCCAGGCGGACCACCCCTCTCCTCCCCCCATCCACCAGACAGGCTCCCACACTCCCACACCCCCAAGAGTCCATACCCATGCCCCTACCCAGAACCTAACAGACAGTGCAGCACGCTACGCCGCATCCATGCGTGCCATGCCCCCCCAGGCCCCGGGCCCCATGCCCATCGATCCTTACTGTCCTTACTGTGTGCCGCCCAGTTCCGCTCTCCTGTTCCCCAGACCATCCTCGTCCCTATTCGTCGCTTTCGCTGCTCCGTCTGCAGTCTTTAGTCTCCATTTTCCATCTCCTCCTCCATCTGACCCTACCACCCTAACCTACGTCTGCATCCGTCTGCGTCTGCGTCTGTGTCTGCGTCTCCGTCTCTCTCCGCCCAGTCCCGACTCCGACCTCTCCCAAAGTCACCAGCCTGACTCCGGCCTGTCTGCTGTCCCCACTGCGACCCTCGACCGTGACCTCGACCTTTTTGACCTCCTTCCTATCCTCCATACCCTCCCTACCCTACCTACCTACCCTACTACCCACCCGACATCATCGACCACTGCCGCCGACCACTGACTGCCTGGTCTTTCTGGCTGCCTCGCCACCTGGTCTCCGCCGCCCGTCGTCTCAAACCCCGGCAAATGGTCGACCGCAATACTCGGCGTCGACTCTTCCAGCGACTCGTCATTCCCATCTTCGACGACTTCATCGCACCCACCCTGGCTTGAAGGCCTCAACCCACCCGCCATGGCCTTTGCCATGGGCTGGCGAAAGCCAGACAATGTCGCCGGGTCGTCCGCTCCCGCCATCATGATTGGCATCTTCGTCGCCTCCGGAGGTCTGCTGTTCGGATATGATACGGGGTGAGGATCCTCGCTCCTGGAGTGAATCCCTCCCAGCCTGCTTACTGACATGGCTCATGTCTAGCACCATCAACGGCATCCTCGCCATGAGCGCTTTCAAGGAACAATTCTCGACCGGATATACCCGTAACGGGCACCCCTCCATCTCCCCGACCCAGACAGCCATCATCGTCGCCATCCTGAGCGCTGGGACCGTCGTCGGTGCCCTCCTCGCCGCACCCGTGGGTGACTATTGGGGCCGGCGCAAGTCTCTGATCGGCGCTGTCACTGCTTTCAACTTCGGCGTCATATTCCAGGTCTGCGCCCAGGCCATACCTATGCTCGTGGCCGGAAGGTATGTTGGAGTTGGCGGGACTGCGAGGCCCCGCCAACATACTTGTGTTTGTGGCAACCAGCTAATGTGAGATAGATTCTTCGCCGGCGTCGGTGTCGGAACCATATCTGTCCTTGTTCCCATCTACCAAGCCGAGATGGCTCCCAAGTGGATACGAGGAACCTTGGTCTGCTTTTATCAACTTTCCATCACCATTGGATTACTTACAGCATCCATTGTCAATATGCTCACTGCTGATATGGATGGGGCCGCTGCGTACCAGATCCCCCTCGGTCTTCAGTTCACCTGGGCAGTGGTGTTGTCGCTTGGTCTCCTCGTCCTACCCGAAACACCTCGCTTTCTCATCAAGCGAGGACTCAAAGACGCCGCTGCCGTCTCCCTCAGTCGGTTGCGACGGCTGGATCGGCTACACCCAGCGTTGCTCGAGGAGTTGGCCGAGATCGAGGCGAACCACGAATACGAATTAGCCCTGGGATCCGCTACGTACAAGGACGTCATCTTCGGAACACCGCACCTAGGACGGCGGACGCTCACCGGTTGCGGGCTTCAGATGCTACAACAGTTGACCGGCGTCAACTTCATAATGTACTACGGAACGACCTTCTTTGTCGGTGCCGGCATCCAGAACGCATTCCTCATCTCCTTGATCATCAATATCGTAAACACCATCTCCACGATTCCAGCGCTATTTGTCATCGAGACCTGGGGTCGCCGAAAGGTTCTGATATACGGTGCTGTTGCTATGGCCATCTGCCAGCTACTCATTGCCAGCTTCTCTGCAGCCGTCGGGAAATCGATGCCCACGACCGCGAACCAGATCCTCATCATCTTCGTCTGCATCGACATATTCTTCTTTGCCGCCTCATGGGGACCTGTGGCGTGGGTCATCACATCCGAAATATACCCATTAAAAGTTCGAGCCAAGTCCATATCGATATCCACAGCCTCGAACTGGCTGTTGAACTTTGGAATCTCCTACGGAAGTCCATATATGGTAGAAGAGGGCGCGGGTTATGCTGACATGGGCACCCGAGTTTTCTTCGTGTGGGGTGCGTTTTGCGCTGTCGCGGCCGTTTTCGTCTGGGCCATGGTCTACGAGACGAGCAAGATCAGCCTCGAGCAAATCGACGAGATGTACGAAAGGGTGGCGTTCGCGTGGCAAAGCGCGCACTTCGAGCCGAGCTGGAGTTTCCAGCAGATGCGCGACCTGGGCTACAGCGACAGCGGGGTGCCGGCGCAGGAGCAAGAGCTGGAGCCAACGACGACACATCAGTCAGATACGGTGTCAAGTAGCTCAGTGACGGGCGTCAACTCGTCCAACGCAGACGAGAACAAAACTGTCTCGCAAATGGGTCATGTTGACTTCAGCTACTAATAACGCAACACAGCTCTGCTTTTCATTTTCATTTACACGCCTCTGAACGCAGCGGTCGAAGGGATCATTTGATCACACAATTTATTGGGTATCAGCGTTGGAGTTTATCTGGAGGAGTTTTATGGGAGGCAGGGGTCTCTTTATTTTGGAGTATTTGAAAGGCTCAGGACAAACAGGGTCACGATATCATGTCTTGATTTTCTCAGGATGAGGCCAAGGGATACCACATTTACTTTTCAAAGCCCACTACTCGTGAGTGTAAGACATCAACAGGCCAGAGAGCAAGGAACCTCAGGCAACAACGCGCAGCCAATGCGCTCATATAGGTGCTGCGCGTCCTGGGGTGTGTATAGAAAGCGCGTGCATGGCATGTCCGCATCATTGCGAATGGAAATCAAAAAGTCTTCCGTCTATTGACCAACTGATTACCTTTATGGTTGAACGTTTACCCTCCCCACGCCTCTGAGCCTCTCCCTCCCCATCGTACGTCCGCAGCCTCGCCGGGCGTGGCGTTGCGGGCGTCAGGGGGAGAAGCCTTTTTTTTCAGCTTCGCGATTGGCGTCTGCATTCTCCTCTCGGTGAGGAAGTGCCACCGGGTTTCGGATGCGGAGGGCATGAACAGATCTAACCGGCCGAGTGTCGCATGAGAGACAGGGTTGCCTACCCTCTCTCTCTGACATCGGATGGAAAATGAATGGGCTTCTAGAACTTCTCCCGGAAAAGCCGCCTCCCCCCTTCCCGTCCCTTCCCTGCTTCCTTTGTTGCCGCCTGCTTGGGTCGTGTGGGCTGCGTGTCAGGGCGGGATGGGTGGCAGGGGTAGCCTGGTGCTGGGCCGTGGAGGGCGGCTCGGGGGGACCGTGGGCTTCGGTGAGGGAGTAAGCGTGTTGCTGACCATAAGTTTGGTTCGGTTTGGAAGCGTTGCGAAGTTTCCCACTGCTGTTGGCGGAGATCAAGTGTGATTGAATTACTTCGGTGTCTTGTTCATATTACCTGGTGGTGTGATTTGTTGAAGCGGTCTCAAGGCTTAGTTTTGACTGTGCTTAGGCCCTTTGAAGGGAAAAGGAACGGGGGGTGCCATATCTCGCAGCAACACACGACAATTCATGTTACAGTCATCTGAGATTCGCTGGAAGAGACTTTGTTGGACGTTTGTTGGACGAAGTCGCAACCTACTGTATCTAATCAAATAGTACACTGGTTACCGTACTTGTTGAATGATAGCATGTGCCCGGCCACCTAACTAGGCGGAGCCTGTTCTCGCGTAATGGCTCTTCTTCCCGCGAACACTGAGTCGAGCATATACACCCTTAATGGGATACTGGGAGTTGGGATGCAAGGAATCTATGAGCTCGGGAAGCAGGTAATTGCTCTATCATGGTACTGGCTGCTTTGGCTGCTTCGCAAGAGCACACAGACGAAATGGTTTAGAAGACCCCTAAGAAGCTGGCCTCTCCTTTGCATAGACAGGCCATCATCTTTTCAGCACAAAGTTGACCCCAAAAGAATTTCAGAGACTTGTCTTGGAACAAGAATAACTCGATCTGCATGACCACGTCGCTGCCACAAATGCCCCTGTTCAGGCTCTCAATGCGATAACCCTGGAATGTGAGTTTCTACGGAGAAGCGCCCACGAGACGATCTTTCGCTAGTCTTCGTACCACATATATCCAGAGTCTCTATTTGGTTCGTTCACACAAATCCTGACATGTCTGATAGGCACGCTTTCAATAGATGTCTAAATACAACTAGCTCGTGTAGCTATACAGGAGGAGGAAAGGGTGATCTGTTTTTGGATAATGAAATTGTAAGAAGTCCGATCAATACTGTTAAGAGGGTATGAAGAAATTTGTGCGGCGTATTCAAGGGTGAGGGTGTGCTTGCACATTCCCAATAGACATGACAAGTTGATTCCTAGACTTCAATTAGCCTGTGACCCTTGCACAGTTGCGACCACAGTCTCAAGGTCGATTATCTCATCATCGGAATCTTCACCGGCAACATATGAGCCTCTCTCTGACCCTTTCTCTAATTCTGACACTTCCGGCGAGGTATGAACGATTTCCTCGCTCCCACGTTGTCCCATGGCGTGCGCAGGATGAAGGACGGCTTTGGAGCGGAAGCATTTGAAACATAAGTCGTAGCTGTGCTTGCAGGTCTCACAAGTGAAATATATGCCACGAATTGACTGTGCGACGTTAGGGACAGGTCTGAGGTACACCATGAGGCTTTCCAGAGAAAGCATGGCGTGGGGGGGGGGTGGTTTGACAGTAGAATTGGATGTCTTACAATCAGGCAGCAGTCGCACCATCCGTTACCCTCTGGCGGTTTCCCAACTCTCTGCGGCCCTTGACTCGTCCCCTTGTCTAATTCGACACGGGTCCTCAAAAAGTCAACGATAGTCTCCGCACCGTGATATTTGGCTATCTCCACAGCAGTCCAGCCGCCTCTGATGGGCTCGTAGTTAGGATCAATGCCATCAACACGCACCATGGCATCAGCTCCCTTGCTGATCAGCCAAGAGACAGCTTCGAGAAACTTTGATTCGGGGTAGGATTCCTCGATGAAGGAGGAGGCTCTTGCCGCCCATAGGAGCGGTGTCCAGCCTTCGTTATCTTGGATGTCAATACCCACCCCGACAGATTTTGATCGCTCCAGCACGTATTCTAACAAAGCCACGTCCCCACTGAGGCAGGCATAATGTAGAGGTACGCGTCCAACGTAATCCCTAGCAGCGAAGTCCTCCTCAGCAGGTTCGAGCTGCTTCGGGATCTCAACGTTGTTGTAACAGGCCAGGTGGATTAATCTTCTCCCCGCAAAATCAACATCGTCTTTCGATGCGCCATGTCTTTCTAGCAGCAATTTTACCAGGTCCCCGGAGCCTTTTAAGCATGCAGCGAAGATCGGAAGGTAAATAAAGCAGGCGGGCCGATCAAGTCGTGCGCCTCTTTGCAGCAACAGTTGAACCACGGCGTCGTTCCTCCTGACGATTGCTTCCGTGATTGGAGTCCCCACCTCGGTGGCCATGTCAATGTCAGCACCGTGTTCCAGGAGAACTTTGACAGCCCTGACATTGCCTTCATGGCACGCGAATTGCAACACCGAGCCCTCGTTCCTCCGTGGAAGGTTCACCTTCGACCTGACGACTTCGATTGTCATCAGGTACTCCAATACATCCCAGTTCTCGGCTGAGATAGCCCACATCAGGGGCGACCATCCGTCGTTGTCCTCTACGTCGAGCTGTGCTCCTAAGCGGAGGACTCTCTTGATAGAGCCAACCGTGGTGTCCTTGTTAATCATGGTCAGAACCGTGTCCCCATCCATGTTCCTATTACTCAGGTCTGGCCCATATTCCAGCACTGTGCGCACAGCTTCCTCTGAGTTCAGCATGGCTAGCATCACGAGAGATGTGTTGTCGCTGTTGGTCATGTTCACGTCGACGCCGGCTTCCAGCAGTGTAGACAAACGCTCCTCGCTGTTCGAGTCCCAGTCTTTGAGGTTCAGTAGTTCGGCTTTGACTGAAGGATGTGATATATCTGCCCTTGAGGCCTTGCCGTGGCTGATTAGCAGATTCATTGTGGCCAAGTGGTTATACTTAATGGCCAAGGCAAGCTGCGCTCGCGATGTTAGCACAAATTTCATGTGAAGAAAGAGAGACAAGGACTACGCGTTGGGCGATTCCTCCATGATGGTATCACAGTCGCCATGAACTGTAGAAATCAAGGCGTGTAGGGAAGAGGAGATTAAATACTTACTGGAATCGCCGATGATGCATTTGTTTTGCTCGCATCCGCACCAGATTCAAGCAGAATGCTGACTATGTCTGGGTACTCAGTGGCGACATGCAGTGGGGTGTTTCCAGCTGGACCCCCGCCTAAGTCCAAACCAGCGCCATGGGCACATAAAAGGCGCACAATTTCGATATGCTGATAGCATGGTTAGCCGAGGTCTTTGATGTGGTGTGTTATGGTTGAATTACCCCTTCACCCGCTGCCAACAACAGCGCAGTCCAGTCACGCTCATCAACGGCGTTGGGATCTGCGCCATTGTCTAGCAAAGCCCGCACAATTTCAGCATGTCCATGCCAGGCCGCAAACCCTAGTGATTGGCGCACCAAGTTCTCTTTCTTCCAGGCCTTATTGACATCGGCGCCGCTCCTGATGAGCAAAGTGGCGATGTCCAAGTTTCCATCAGCGGCAGCAATCATAAGTGGTGGCCGCATGGAATCATGATGTGCGAAATTGGGATCAGCTTTGAATTCGAGTAGGAGCTTGCACAAGTCCAGCCGCTCGTTCAATGCGGCAAGTCCCAGGGCGCTGAGATCCTCGTCGTAGCAGTCGGGACTGACTCCTCGCCGTAGCAGAGCTTCTGTGGTCTTATAGCTGCCCTGTCTGACTGCCGCAAGTAGAAAGTTTGGCTTGTAAGAGTTCAGGTCCTCGTGCGCAGGTAGAGTTTTGAGGATCAGTTCGGCGGCACCGAAGCAACCCACATCGCATGCGACAAGAAGTGGTGCTGTCCCGTTATCATCCCTAGTTTCAACAGACGCCCCGTTTTCTAACAGGAGCTTCACAACCTCAGCGCTTCCGCCTCCGGCTTCGATATGCATAGGCAATGTGTTCCTGGGACCCGACCGCCCTTCCGGATCGGCACCTTGCTGCAACAGCATTTCCACCATTCTTGGAAGTCCTCTCCCACAAGCTACGGATAGAGCCGATACCCCACTCCAGTCGAATTTTGCATCAGGGTTTGCGCCGAGCCTTAGCAATGTGTGGGCTATGTCGTCTGCTCCGAGTCTACATGCGCCGAAAAGGACTGATGAGAGCCAGCGGAATGGAATGTCGGAAAGATTCTCGCTCTCAGTACGCGCTGACTTTTCTCCGACCCGCCCTTGTTCAGTCGTATTTGAGGCACTTTTCTCGACAGCCCGATCAGTTGCGTTTTCAAGAGCATGGCTCTGCCGGAGGGTACTCCACGCTGGAACCGAACGACGCGGCTTTGGAATGTGCCTGACCATTTCTCGGAAAATTGGGATATCGCCCCCGCTTGAGGCCTCTAGTACTGCTTCTTGGAGGAAGCCGTCTTCAAAGGCCAGGGAACGGGGCGCCCTCTCAAGAAGCATTCGCAACACAGATGGCTCTCCGGCCTTGATGCTCTCTAGTATAACTCTTTCCCAACCTTGGATTTCACCGCTACTTGCAGCGTGGTCCATAAAGTGCTTGGTAACTTTCTCCAGACCGAAATGGGCGGCAACATAGAGAGGAGCTCGACTTTCGGGCAAAGGCTTGATCCATTGCGAGCTCAGCGATGTATATGCGTTCAACCAAAGCTCAACGAGTCTTTGGTCGTTGAAAACATCCATGGCGAGTCTGTCAGACCTGGGACTTGGCGCAAGTTTGTAATGCATGACCCAGTGTTCAATCGAGTACGGGAGCAGTGAAGACAAGGAGTCCACTTCGAGGAGATCTCGCAAGTGCGCCAAAGAAATCTCGAGGATGATCATATGTCCGTCTCTTTCGCTTCCCCTCAAATACCAAGGCCTTTTTGATGCTATGTCAGGACTGGTGTCCTCACATGTGAGCCACAGTTGCAAATCCGGATGAGTCAAGTGTATTTCATCGTTTTTGACGCAAACAAGTCCCTGTAGCGATTGTAGGATATTCGTAACCTCATGATGCGTAGACGAGTGACCCTTTGTTAGCCACTGCGGCTTGTAAGAAGCATCGTCGAGTCGGGCACACAATTGCGACAATGTATAGAACTCGTGCACCCTAAGTCGTCTGAGGGATGTGAGAACAAATGTAAACACTCGTTGAGCCCAATTGCGGCTCCTTATAGGTATCTCGCCCAGCAACTGTTCAAAGATTTGTTCCCTGGTGGGTCCGATGGAGGACAGTGACCTCTCTCCTGGCCGGTCCCCGACTGCTTTGTTTTCAATTAACTTGCAGAGAAGCTTGCAGAGATCTTGATCATGTCCGCACAAATCAGTTAGACGAGTGATCTCCGCAGCTGCCAGCGGCTCGGCAAGTTCGGGGCACTTGGGCAATAACCTCGACATTTGAGCGTCTGCTCGTACAGGAGATTTGGTTGAGCGGGCGTGGCCAATGGTTGTGACCACTTCTCCAGGCAGTTTCGATAACGCTTCGGCAGTCTTTGCGCCGAGGGTCGTGTCTTTGGATGTGACAATAAGCATCTTCATGCACCCTGCACGGCCATCAACGGTTTCCATTGTACCCCGAACTTCAGAAAGGAACCACAGTGCGTCTGATTCACAACACTCATCAAAGCATCCCAGAACATACGGCGCATCAGAAATGGTGCGATCCTCTCTTAATTGTTGCCAACATCGATAAAGTTCGTCTCTGTCCCAGGGAGGAGTCGCGGCGAAGCGGCAGATTGCGACGTCATTTCCGTAAGAAGTCGTTGGATTCTGACAGAATTTAGCAAAGAAGGAAGCAAACATGGGGCCAAGAGTGTTGAACCGGCTGTCGTGTGAGTCGAAAGCGAAGTATGAAAGGAACTGTCGATTGCCCTTCTCTCGCTCTAGATAGTTGCGACATTGTTCTGAAATCAATCGTGCGTCAGAATCGCATTGGATATGCACAATTCTACTGGTTTTGGACTTCGCGAGGTCTCTGAGATGCCCGTGGCTGTCTACAAACATCTCAGAATCCACTGACGGATGAATGGGCGGAGTTTGCTCCAGCACTCGTTCCGTCGCTGTCAGAACGTGATCGGACATCCTCTCACCTGTTTTCTCAATTAGATTAGAAGAGAGAATCGGAGCAGAGAGAAGAGGGGCCGATAGAAAGGCGGAGACCTACGAAACCAACGGCCACCTGGTGGGCCAGCAAGTGGGAAACTCCTGGAGCCACTGTCGACAGTGAGAGCAACATGAGTGCTCTCCCTGGCCAGTACATACTCGCCATCAATTCCCAAAGTAGCTGTGCAACGGTCGAAAACATGATGTGAGGGCTCGGGGTGTTCCGAATATATATTGGAAGTAATTGCTCGAGTCAGCATTTTCGTGTGAACGAAGGAACCGTTGATGCCGATAATGGCTTCACTCAGACACTCGACAAGCCGCGCATTGTAATCATGTCGCTTCACTGACGTCTGAAGGAACAACAATCGAAATATCTGCTCCTCGAGGTCGTTTATGCTGAGAGCTCGGTGGGGATAGCCAAAGAAGACCTGTTGCAGTTAGAGGCTGGCTGGTTGCGTAGACACGGGGGACCACAATTGTTCCTAGTGCACCACTTACCAGTACACGAGTTGCCGTTAGAATATCTGAGAACCTTTCCTTGTCATAGCTGGCAAGAACCAGTGCCTGGAGCTATCAGAAACGCTACGACTTTACTGCGAGTCAAGCCTGCCTTCGTGGATTCTTACCATCTTGACGATCAAACCGCCGATGTCGTGCGAAACAAAAACTAGTGGACGCCTCGAAGACTTTCCATTCAAAAGTCAGTTGTCGGCCTCGCAGATTGAAAACGGAAATACTGACCTTGACACTCTCGTCTCGTAGTACTAGAAGTTGTTCAAGCAAGGTCTCTGCTTCCCTTTGAATGCCTCGTGACGTGAAGCAGCTTCCAGTGCTTTCCATTCCATCGTACCCGTGCATAATCACCCTTGCCACCTTAGGTCTGGCGGTGAAAGCATAACGGAGCCAAATTCGTTGCTCGTCATCTGAAGTTCCCCAAGACTTCCTACTGTGGCCATGGAGACCATGTATGGCAACAACGCTTGGATCATGAATGCAGAAATTAGCCATCAGTGATACAGAAGATATGGCTGTCTGAACGAGTCTACCTACTCCGCTCCGATACCATCATTCTGAACGGGGCAAGCGACTGAGATGCCTATTTTATGACGGTCCAAGTCTTCGGTATTTTTGTCGGATGCAACTTTATGAGAGGTCAAGATAGGATCAGGCTCATCACGATTCTGCGGCACGTGATCTTCTCTACCTTGCGTCGTTCGTTCTGGCTCAGTATCCCGGGGACTCTGTGTTTCGGTGACCGCAGAATGATCAGGCTCTTCCACTCCGACCTGTATCTCTGCACTGGCCATGCTTTTCCGTCAGTCGTACAATGCGCAAGATCTTTTTGTGTTTGAACTCGATGGATGACCCTATCTGTCCAAGGACTCTCGAGGATTCGTGCCGTTTGGAATCGATTCAGGTCATTTCGCGGTGGCAGGTCCGGCACGAATCCAGGTGGAGGTCGAAAATACTCTGGCGTAATCCTCCCCGCCACTGTTCAGTGACTTGGCAGGACCACGTCAGCGGTTACCAGGTACCGTTTTGGTATCAAGTACATAAGTTCGGCGCTTACAAACCTACCGCGTGTGACAACTTGAGCATTTGGGTACTATTCGAGATCATTTTCTGGATGTCTCCTGCAGGGATGTTTTTTTTTTTTTTTTTTTTTTTTTTTTTGTGTCGCCAGACAGTTTGGGAATGATATAGGCATCTGCAGTGGGCCTGTTTTCGAGGATATCATTAAATTGTACCCGGTCTGTGAGGAGAAAAATCACTTGGCTAAGTTTGACCACATCCGGCACCTCTTTCCATACATGGGAAGGTCAAAGGAGACGTCAAATCCATGGGATGACATGGTGTTTTTCCATTCATTCTGCTTATTTCGGCGTGCTTTGCACACTGCCACTAGCTGCAAATGGTGCCTCCACGGCCATCCTCACCTCACACAAAGAATACATGTCAACACTACCCAGACTTCGCGCCCCATAAATGCGGCCCTTCTTGGGCTTTTTCCCTTCGGCATTTGGATCAAACAAAATCGGGTCATCCAATGGAATGCTGCGAAAACTGTCTTGCAATCTAGTTCGAAGGTTGCATGTCGTTTTAACGTTGACTTTGGCCTTGAACGGCTCACAGTTCTTTCGTCGAAGTAGAATGGCAACCTTCGCAGAGTCGGGGACGCCATTTTTGCGGTGTGAATTCTCCTGTAGATTCCATGCGGCCACCGTGTAATCGCCTTTGTTCTTACCGGTACCTAGGTTCATAGACCCAGCAATGATCGTAGCATCACTGACGTCGCGAGTTCTTGCCCTTTCCAACTTTGCCGTTAGGCTCGTTCCTATTATTGGCACACCCGGAACGCTGAGATTCAGCTCTGTTCCTTTCGTGACCGACTCTTGATCCTTGGTCGGCACAACTGTAAAGCGACCGTCAGGGGTGATTGCGTCGATGACAGGCGCTTGGCCGTTCGTGCGCGATGGAAAGAACTCGAAGCTGACGGTAGCACGAATTACACGGCTGGAGCTCTTTTGGGATCAAAGCGGAAGCGGAACACCATCAAGGTTGCTCCGCCGGTATCGTCATCGTCATCGTATTTGCCGTGTCTGACTTCGAGGAGTTGCAACTGGACGTGAATGTTTCGTCCTGTTCTTTCAACGACATTCTTCCGCTCAAAGTCGAAATTGGAAGCATTCTCCGTTCTGAATGTGCTGTCTTCACCGTTGATTACCTCGTCCAGGAATGCGGCTACCTCAAAGAGCGGCTCTTCTTTATCCTCGCCGATGGTAGTGTGAAATTGTGAGATAGAATTTTCAGTCATCGACTCCGGAAATGCTCTTCGATATTAGGTGAGGTTGGGAGGGAACGAAATAGCAATGCCTAATAGTAATAATAAAGGCCATTTCATACTATTATAAAGGCACCATCATGAAGTACTGGTACACCTGTCATACTGCATGCCGTAATCTGACAATTGTCTTGGCCTTGGCTTGATTTGGGGGTGGCCCAGCAACGGCATAACCTCGTTGTACTGCATAAGACTATTGTTTCAATTCCCACAGATGTAACATTATTTTGAATAAGGCTTCCAATAGCACGCAAGTTTGGGCGACCGATGAAGTACGATTTGTCATGATCAACCGGAGTTGTACCAATTTCGCCATCAGGCTCGCAGACTGCAGCAAAACAACCTCCGCCGGCTTCTGAGTTGCACTGCCAGTAGTCCGTGATGAGAACACAACGGATACTAATGTTCTGTCCACCTTCAGATGCAACACTCCGTCTCGAACAGTAGGCCGACGAGTGGAAGTCTTAGTTTCAAACCAAATTAGCACTTCACTGCACCTCGGCCACCGCTTACACGGGCAAGGCATCAGTTCCCGATCATTCGGAGGTGTCTATTCGTGAATGCTTGGGCGTTTTGACGACTCGAAGAAAACATGAATCCTGACCAGATTGACATTGACTCAGACTCAGACGATGAGCTTGACCTCCGAGTCCATAGCACCAGCGTCGCTCAGCAAGACACAGCACTACTCCAATTTGATGAAGACTTCTTGGCCGCCAAAGAGAGAAACAACGACAAGTTAGTGCGAGCAAGGATGTTCCGACCGAGAATGGCAGCGGGGAACCGAACGACGAAGCAAAGAAAAACAGGGCCTCTGACTATGGCAGATTTGCCATCGAGCGCCGGGCCAACTGGAATTCCACGACATTTGAAGGTCGGAACTTTCTGCACTATCTGGCATATAAAGACTCTCGTCGCGATCCCGCTCCGAAATGGCTGATACAATCGGCAATCCTGTCGCGGCCAGAGCTGATGTGTGAGATGGATAGTAAGAAACGTACGCCGCTGACAGGTAGGTAACATTGAGACGGCCTCAACAAATATGCGTATGCAATAGCGCTAATTACCCTGTCTAGCGGCCATTGTGGAAAGGAATATATTGTTCTGCCACAGCGCCGTCATTCTTCTTAATGTTGATCGATCAAAGAGCTTCTGGGGACATCTAGGAACCGAATGCGAAGCCCACGATCACGGGCACGATCGAGAAATCACTTGCCTGCACGCTGCTCTCACCACCAACTTTTATTACGGCAAGTTCGATCGGAAGAGATTCATCTCAAGGATGATCAGCCTTGTACCCGACGAGATGTTCACTGTCGTGGACTCTAAGGGGCGCACGCCACTGCACCTAGCAGTACAATACGAGAACTGCTCAGCGTCTCAAGTTGATATCGTTGAACAGTTGCTCTACAGAGGGCCTAAAGCTCTGAACATAGAAATTGAGACACCAGCAGGTAAACTTTCTATTTACCAATTCCACGAAGAATCACGGAGGAACGGACAGGCGAAGTACGAAGCAAGAAACACCAGCATCCGAGGAGATCAGGACCGACGACGACACCAAATGAAACCAGGTTCGGATGCTCAAAAGCCAGAGTCGAAGGAAACGGACACTTGGGGCTCACGCCAGTACATGGATCCACCACCACGTCCCTTACCAAAGGATAGACCTGAAGCAAACACGTCTTTGAGCAGGAGGAGCTCTGGGCTGCTGTCAAGCTATGAGAAAAACGATATCACACGAGTCTCTCCAGATGTCGATATAAAATTGGCGAACCCATCTCAGCCAGGACAATTGCCAAAGGGCACAGCTCAAATGGCTGCTAGCATCGAAACAAGGGAGGCCGAGAAGAAGGAGGAACAGGAGCGTGTTGATGCCGCGAGAGAAATCTCGGAGAAACTCAAACTGCTCTGCCTACGGACGAGGAAACCAGATCAGGTATCGAGAATACTACGAGTCCCAGGCTATAAAAGAGGTCCGTGCCGTCTTGAAATATATCACATGACTAGTCTCTGATGTGCTCACAGATAAGGTGTTATGGTTTGACTTTGGGCCACCCAAAAAGCTCAGCGAGTCTGAGTTCTACAAGACTTTCAATCACCTAGAATTCGAGTCTATCTTACAGTACGTCGCATTCCCTCATGTTGACCTTGAGGCGGATGAAGGCAACTCCACTTCAGAGAGTCGAGGCCGGGTCAGGAGAAACCCAATGGTCGTCTTATTCGAATGGCTTCGAAAAGAGGAACGTGGCGTGAAGCGTATTATCAAAGTCATTGTCGATGACTTAGACAAACCTTCACATACGGATGAAGCTATTGAGCAAGCCTTGACAGGTTTTGTAAGCCAATGATAACCCTTGAAATATGAGCAGCCGTCTATGATCTGACAAATCATCAAGAATGTTGAGATACTGGACTGGAGGAGGCCTGATATATGTCCTCTGTCGCTCCAAAAGATTGGCCAATCCCTGCGGGAGATCAACCTGTACTGGAGCGGAAGGAATTCTGTTTTGAGGTCGTGGTCAGAGGCTGAAGGCCTCCCCATGCTCCCAGCCCTTGAGATTGTCAACATCATCGAGACCGGCGTGAGTTACTCTCGTATTTGAAGCCTCCGAGTGTGCTACTGAAATTACCATTTGCAAGGGAATGGAGTCGGAAGAGAGAACCATTCGAAACTTAGCAGAGTTCAAGAAAAGGGTGTACGACAGATGGCCAGTTGGGAAGCGTAAACCAATGATCTATCCACCCGACGGCAGGCGTCTCAGACACAAGCTTCAACGAGGAGATATCCAACAGGCGGAGACGACAAGTGACGCCTGGCAGGACCGTACAGTTGACCCCCACCGGTGGATGGAGTGCATGAAGAGGTTCAGCGAAGAGTTCAGACAGATAACAGAGCTCCGCAAGATGCGAAAGCATGGCCATTTCTCAAGTCATGGACCCGTAGTGGTAGCCCTTATTGACGACGGTACGAGATTCCTCACCCCATCAATATTACAAGCTGTCTGAATGTGTTTACCGTATCTAGGAACAGACATTGCCCATGCAGACTTGAGCTTCCAGAAGGAGTTTAATGGTTATAGCTTCCACCAATATCAGGAAGGCTCGATGTGGCGAGTCTCTCCTTGGTGGCACTCCTCAAGCGGGTAAATTATGTCAACTCGACTACTTATTCGGATAGACGAAAGACTGACATCGAATCCAGGCACGGAACACTCATGGCTCGTCTCATTGCTGGCATCTGCCCAAGTGCGATCATACATGTAATCAAGCTACACACGGTACATAAAACCCATAATTTCTCCTGTCTGCCATGATCACCGACAATAACCCTCATTTGATCCATAGTATGAGGCGCGGGGTACCAAAAAGCTGCAAATCGACCCGGACAGCGCCGTGAAAGCTATTCAGTACGCCACCGAGCTGAAAGCGGATATCATCTCCATGTCCTGGACAATCAAGCCTCCCACGGAGCCAGCGAAGTTGGATTTCGACAACGCAATACACTCGGCCCTCAACGGCATGAACCGCACCTCGATGTTCTGCGCAGCCTCAGACCAGGGCAAATTTGCGGATCGCACATACCCTCATCGCAGTAATCCCAGCAGCTTCCGCATCGGTGCAGCTGCAGCGACGGGCAAAATCAGCGACACAGTGGGAGATGCTGGCGACTTGAGCTTCATTTTCCCGGGGCACGAGGTTGTGGTCGACAACTGGTACGACGACGTGAAGGACACAACCTTGAAAAGGTTTGAAGCACACAGCGGCTCGTCAGTAGCGACAGCCCTAGCAGCGGGACTTGCTGCGCTGATAATGGAGTGTGTCCGGCTCGGCGTGGCTCACACGAACGAGACCCCCGGCAAGCAGCAAGATGCGACTGTTGCGATCAGGGCGGACGACTTGGTCAGCATCAAGGACAGGGACACGATGAAGTCGGCGCTGTTGTCTATTGGAACAGACATCAACACCAGGAATCTGTACTTGGAGGTCTGGAGGCTTTTTGAAGATAAGGCTAAGAAATTGAAGGAAGCTAGACTTAATTGCGGCCCGGAAGGACAATTGGAGATCATTGCGGGTCTGGCACGCAACTTTCTCCGGAAAAGGGCTTGAAATTTCCATGCGATGCTGGTGGTACTCTGCCATGCAACATCAAACACAGCATTTGAGGCATTTCTGGATAATTTTATTGATTTAAAACATTGTCTATCGTTAAAGAACAGCTCGTCAGTCTACAAATCTTGAATTTTGCAGACACACTTGTTGACTGATGGAGCAAAAGAAACAGATCTTGTGGAGCGGCTGAGGATGAGGTCAGGTCAGACAGTAGTACAGACACGGCCCATAGGAGGGCATCTCACAGGAGGCTACCCCAGAGGAAGACAAGCAAAAATATCTTTGGAGGAATGTTGAGCATCATAAAAATGAGTGACAAAAGTGATGTCCAAGGGAAGCCAATTGGAGTGATACTAGCGATGAAGCCCAGTCCGAAGACTGGCCTCATCTGTGCAATCGAAGTTTCCAATTGAGGTCCCTTGAAACATCGGGGGCTTGAACCCGTGGCCTCGGGCACCTAATTGAATTAGGAATGATCGAAAGCGTGATACCACTCGTCCACAGATAACAAGCAAGTTCGAAATCAGATGGGAAACCATGCCTTAAGTGGCAGGGACGAGCTGGGTGAATGCCAGCTGGCGACGTGGGGCGAGAGTCAGCTTAATTACTGCAAGTACACATTGAGTAAAAACTCACTGTTGCAAGGCGTATGCTCAGGGTTGTCTGAGGTGTTCTTGTTCCTTCGAAACCCAGGTTCAGACACATGTTCTGCTTCGTTAATGCCCTTTTCGAGCACTCTTTCGGGCGTCCAACCAACGCTGTTCTATTTTCCTGTCGTGGACTACGTCTCTACGTTCTTAATTTATGCATGGAAGCATATAAAGGGCGATGAACCAAGATCCAAGGCGTTGTATGACCAAGTTTTCCTCACCCGAATCACGAGATGACTGCGTAGTCCCTCCAGTGATACTTTACAGTGATTATCATGTCATTTTGAAGGCGGACTACTGAGCCTTAGAACTGTCCCAAAGCATCTACGAAGAATCCCGCCAGGCGATACTCTCGCTCCTCGTCATCGTCATCGCTGAAAACATCTCCGCCCTTGGCCCAGGGGGACCCAGCCCTCTCAGCCGCCTCCAAGAACATGGAAATGTGCCGAACCAGCAGTCCAGGTGGCTCTCCGTCATTCTTCGGCTGGTGAATCTCCGCCCACCGGGCCTCCGTCAGGGCAGAAAAGAACTTGGTGAACTGGTGCTGGGACAACTTGTGCGGCCCACTTCTTGATGCTATCCACCCACAGCTTTCCCAGGAAGCGCTTCCAAATGTCACTGCCACCTTCCTCCGTGATGTCCTCGTGTCTTGTCAGACCCTGCAAGTATCCACCCTCGATCATCTCGGCCGCCTGGTGAAAGACGGGGCTGACAACACCCTGCGCATGGCGCTTGTGGATGATTCCCATGTCTGCGTGAAGCGCCCGGGCAGGCAACCTTATTCTCAGCCTTCCATTTGCCTATGATCGGACGGTTTCCCTCCTTCTCGCCTGGGAATCGAAGGCCGCTCCTGGGAATAGCGTCGTGGAGCCTGAAGGGGCGGTCTTTATTCTCAGCCAGGCAAACGGTATTCGCGGCTGCTGGGGTCTGGGTGTTGGTGACGAGGGACTCCTCATCAACGCGGTCGGCCAGGGCTTTCTTGAAGGAATCTTGCTTGACTTGGTCGGTGGGGGCGTTCTCGGAGGGGTCTTTCTTGGGGCGGAAGGCGAGGGTTTTGAGGAACGCGAGCGGTTTCTTCTTGACTTGCTGGGCACCAGGCTTCTCCTGCTTCTCGATTCTGCCAGCGAGGGTCCTTCTTCTCGCCAGAGGCTTGAACTTCGCCTGGGAAGTCACGCTCATCTGGTACGGGGCCATGTTGCTGCATTAAAGGATGGTAAGCACGGCGACGATGAAGGTTGAGGGGACTAGAGGGGTCGCGTCAAACGGAAACACTTAAAAGTGAAGGGTTCGACTAATTAGAATCCAGTGAAGCTGCGCGGCTGAATAGGGGTCACTCTGGAGGGTCGATGAGGACGTGAAGCGTTGGTCGCAAGGCGAGATAGCAGAAGAGAGGAGTGTTGCGAGACGAGTGTCCCCGACCAGCCAAAAACAAGTGATGGAGGTAAGGCGTGGGCAGTGAATGGGTTGACCTCAAACCATGCGAAGTGGGTGCGTCCTGCTTGTGTAAATGCGAGCTCTGACCTAGCTCTGGCTCGCCTTCACCCTGTCGTTCGTCTTAACATGGGCAGAGGAAGGTAGTCTGGTTTCTTTCGTCGATCGCTTGATCGGTGTCGATGTGTGCCGCCTCGCTCAGCACAAAATCAAAGCACTCAACTCTGTAGACTTCGTCTCCAAGGCTTGCACCCACAACTGTAAGCTCTCGTCATCGCAGCAACCTTCCTACCAGTGACCTCTTGAAAGCATACCATACAGAAGTTGTCCACTGCAAGCCACCATGTCGGACGGTCACGAAAACCACCAGACAGGTGTCAATGACGCCGCCATCATTCTGCCGATCGCCGCCATGATCCTCATACTCTCCATCATCCCCCCGACCGTCTTGTTGATCTGCATGAGAATCACCCATCGTAAGTCCAAAAACCCTCGCACTCTTCAACTCCAGGACACACGTGCCTGGGTACCAGTGCTGAACATGAAACAGCCGAGTACTTTCGTGGTGGTCTGCCCCACGAGGACTGCCTGCCGGCCGTCGAGCAGCCAACCGACAAGTGGGCGCATCACGACCCGATCTTTCGCAGAGCCCGAGATGTCCTCTTGAAGTTCCACGGGGCGGCCATCGTGGCAGGCGGAGCAGTGGCCCTGCGGGTTCGCGAGGTCTTTGGTGGAGTCCGGGGACGCACCTTGGGTTTCCTTGAGAACTATCGCCGCCGCCGCGACGGAAATGCAGACGATGGTATGTGTCCCAGCTGGGAGGAGGGATGACCCATCTCATCTACATTGGACCACGAAGAGCTGACATTGCTTGCTGGCAGATCTTCCGGTCATACGCAACAAGTCCTGGCAGATACTCGCCGAGTCGCACTCGGAGCGAACTTTCACCGGCTTCAAGGATGACAAGGTCGAGTACGAGACGGTCGAGATCGTCGACAGCCCGAAGAAGACTACCAAGACTGTTCATTTCGATCTTGGCGACTTGGACAATGTGGTGTCGTGTGTCCAGAAGCCTGAACCGGCTGTGGTTGCGGAGGTGAAGAAGTGAACATGAGGAGACGACAAGTGGTTGTGGGACAGGCAACAGATACAGTATGGGTGGATCTCCCGGTCCTTTTGGAGTAACGCACGATCCATGATGATGAGTCTTCGGGACGTTGCTTGAGGGCCCGGCTTCTGGGATTTCTGGGAGTGGGGAAAGCATTGCGGGACCAGATCGTGGATAGTCAAGATGCAAGATGCACTCCATGGTGAGAAACGGCACAGGGACTCTTCCAGTCCTTTCTCAGGGGTCGTCGTTCACGGTATTGCACAAGGTCTTAGTATCATGGGGGTAGACCGTCAATGACGTCTCTGTCGTGATTCATTAAAAATTATCCTTCACTTCGTCTTCCATCCATCTATCAGCAGATAGATGAGATCACTGCCAGAAAAGAAACTGAAACCTCTTTCTCTCCTTCATCTCAAGCACGGAACGATTTCTCTTCCTCGTCTTCTTCGGCCCCTGCTGCGCCTCGGCAGGTAAAGCCGGGAGAGGCTTGTTGGGCGGAGGATGAGGAGGCGGGCTGCAGAAATATGTCCAATTTGCCGGAAGCGAGTGCTGGCTGATTGGACGCCTCCTCGCAGGCTGGGAACGGCCTGTTGAGTTGCGCAAGATGTCTGCGATGGGACTTATCACAGGTTCTGATGGCACAATGTTAGCATAGAGAATATAGGCGATGCTGGAGGGAATAGGAAGCATACCGTTATCTCTGGGGCTGAATCTATTCCTCAGGAGAGATCCCATAGAGTAATAGGCCCGCAGGTGTCTCGACCGGGAGGTCTTCCTCAGGGACCTCGCCTTTGACGAGCTGGTGCTCGAGACGGTCGAGACGGAGCACATGCTCGACCTCGCGAGGCTGCGGCCGGCGGTGCCGGTGCTCATGATCGAGACGGGCCTCGCTCTCCTGCCGGGGATCCTCATCTGCGACAGGTAGTCCTTCCACTCCTCAAACCCCCGCATGATGTCCTCCTTGGCTGAATTCGCGAGGCGCGGCTTGTCTGATTTGGAAGCCTTGCACATGGCCTCTGATTTCCTCCACGAGATGAAGTCGTCCCAGTCCTCGCACTGCCGGGGGATCACCGGCTTGGGAGGGGGCGTGGGTGCCCTGGCTGGTGTTTCTGAGCGGTCCTGATGGCTCACTTTTGAGGGTGAGACTATGAGGAGGTCTGCGCCTTGATGTCTCTCGTCGTAGATTGGGACCATAAATATTGCGGTATTGTCGACCTTTTCAGACTTTTGTCTGGGTGAAGGGGCGAGAGTATGTCGGGATATTGTCTTTGGGTTTGCTGCGTGTGGAGGAGGAGGGGGAGGAGTTGATTGGTCGGCCATAGTCCTTGTTGAGCTCCTATGGAGAGGATTATGGAGAGGATTTCTGGATGCGACTGAGGCAGACATAGTCTAGTTTGAGGCTGATGAGAATGTTGGCGAAGGAGTGCGCTGAGGATGGGAGAGCCGCTCGGGCTGGAGTTGGAATATAAGATAGTTCGGTCTACAGAGAGCAACAGAGGGCAGTCACGATAATCAGCTGGCCTCGGAGCTACATACAAGTAGCACTGAGGAGTCAGCCCAAGGTGTTGGCGGTCTGGAGACCCCGGAAACGATGTCCAACACCGAGATCCACCGCATTCCTCAACCACGATCCTCATTTAGACATACGGTCACGCGGGCAGACGCCGACATGGCGGTGTCTCCATATTCTAGCGCGGTTCGAGAATAATGCGTCTCAGACAGCAGTTGGGAGGGATTCCCTGGCTGCCCAAGGAGGCCAGGGAGGTCGCGCGATATTCTGGGCGATAAGAAGAACCAAGTGGCTGTTTGTGGGGGTGGGTGAGCTGTTCTCCTCTTTGCGATATGCGGCCAGTCTCGCGTATCCATGTCTAAATTGGGTCCTGGCTCCATATATAGTTGGCGCGATTGCGGCTCTGCCCAATGGCGGCGGGTGCTCCCACGCCAGGGCCCGAGTTGGGCTCGCTGTCTCGCGTTTTCCCAGGATGAACTGCAGGAGCAAACAAGGGCGAATCGTTGCCTGTGGTGCGAACCCACCTGAGAGAAACAGACGAACCGCGGGGAAGGCGTCCCTGATCTACACTACCACGGACAGCACGGCAAGGGCTGGCGGACCTGGCGGCAAACAGCCATGTCCTGGGTCTTGAAACGGGCTGGTCCACCGTAGCATCGTGAGAGTTGGTACCTTAGCGTCGCGAGGCAGAGCAGGACTGGGCGGACTATTCGAAGTTGATGAGCTGTCAGGCTGCCCTGCCTGTACTAGGAGATTAGATATGAACGACGATGGTGGAGTGGACCAAGAGCTAAGTAGCACCCACGAACAGGAAGCGGAAGCCCTCGAGTCACGAGGGTAAAATCGCCCAATTGCGTCGTCTACTGGACTAGACATGCATTGGTGTAGTGGTCTCCCGGAATGGGGCCTTCACTCAGTTGATGCTGAAATGCCATCATCGTTACCGCGGGAGCTCGGCTGGCAAGTGGAGGAGCAGAGGAGCAGGTCACAAGTCCACCATCTCCTCCTCCGATTACCAACAGAGTCGCTTGGCAGTTGTGGAGGACTTACCAAGAAGATACAGTTACGGATCATTCGGTGATGATCTTGGTACCCAAGGCCACGATGATAGATGGGGCTTTGGCCGTGATCCCATCTCAACTGGCTCTGAAAGCAGTCACACTGGTCCTCAAGGAGCGAGCAGCTTCATCCTTGGCAGCCCAGGAGCTGAAAGGTAGAGGGAGGGAGAGTTTCGCATCCAATCAACAAGTCCTGTCCTCTGGCTCAAGGCACCTTCGGCCGTTCACCGCAAGAAATGGGACGTGTTATTGAGGCGATCAACTGATATTGGAGAGCAGGGTACAGCAGATTGGTAAGAATTGTGCCCTCTCCCACAAGAGACCGCGAGAGACGGTGGGCCGGTCTGATGGTGAGAGAAGACTACTTAGCAAATCTGCCAGCCAGGACAGGGAGTTCAAGTTAGTACGCTACCCACGTTTTGGCGCCCCACAGGACCGCGCAAGCACGTTGTCGCGGTCAACCAATCAGCCAAGTTTGCCGCCTCCAGAGATCCTCAACCATTTTGCCTGCCCCTCATCAAGGTTCTTTCCCCCAGGGATTTTTTCCCCGATGGCCGCCCCCAGTGATCGCCGATAGCCGGCATCCACCACTGGGGCTAAACCTCAGCAGCCCCTGTTGTACCGCTGTTGAGCCGTCCAGCAACGGGCAAACTGTCGGTGCTCCTGACAAAGCTGCGGTGACCCCAGCCATGTCGGCGACGAGTGGGACTCGCTTGAGCTCGTGGGATGGGTCTCCGTCAGTCATCGCTTCCGTCCACACAACCCTGCCAACTTTGTCCTCCGTGGCCTCTATGCTGCTGCCAACAAGCACCACTGAGAAACAGCCGAATGAGCGTCGCGCCAGGTTGGCACTTCTGTCCATTGCGAAGACTTGCTTACAACATGCCCGGTCGGTTTCGTGACAGCCTCACGTCCAAACCTTGAAAGAACTGGCTTCTGAGGCTCTCGCCATGCTTGTGGTGGGCCATAATGAAGCATCGCGGGTAGTCAAGGCAAGGCGAATGTCAACACCCCCCAGGCGTCTCGAGTTCCAATGAGACCCTCGTAGGGCGGTGTCACATATCACCCGAATCATCCGACCCGTGCCTCCGTCTTGCAACAACATAATTGGTCTACGGTCGAAGGTGGTCCCTGCAAGAAGTTGGCGATTGATGGTGGTCACTGGACGCTGCCACTGCGCGGTGCGACGTGCCCTGACAGGCATGTCTTTCTGGCTCGGCCTACGCTGCCAGTGCCTGAATTAATTCCCACGTGCCGAGATACAATGGGAACCTGCCCATTATCATCTGCTCCTGAAAACTGATATCAGTCAGGACTCTGAAGCACCGTTGCGGGATGGGGTAATTCCAGGGCGCTCCTGCACGTGCAATCTGCCGAGCCGCCATCTCTTCGTGAGTCTACGGCATGAGGCTAACTTTAAGCACCAGCTGAGCCAACGCCTACGATTCTGAAAGGCTGGCGCCAAGATGCTAAATCCTCGGCCTCCTTTTTCCCACAGCCACTTGGTATGAGTCGCCGTAACGCAAGTTTGTGCAGGAACACGTTCTTCTCTTTGGTCCCGGGCAAACGAAATTGAGACGCCAGTCTGTGAAGCTCCCGCGTCTTGCCGCTAATGACAATGGAGCCAATTTACCGCTCCGCTTCTCACAAGCATCGCCTACCTCAGCTCGATTCCGGCAGGATCTTGGAATGCCTTGAGCTGGGTAGGAGTGAATGAGCCCAAGAAGGAGACAGGCTGCGATGACTCCTTCGTAGGTGTAGTCGCCCCGCTTACGTCGCATCGTGTCGTCCCATGGCCCTCCTGCAGCGGCATCCCGACACGAAGAAGCCATCACGAACCCCTCCGGACCCAGATGGCTGCCTATTTTATCCCTCCGGAGTCAGAATCTGGCAGCCGTTTTAGTGCCAATGAGCCTGGGATCACGGTACCAGAGCCACGGGATCTTCTTCGCTCTAGGCCCTGTCAGGCCTTACTCATCTCGCTACACGGGGTGCAACCCAATCACTGACAAGCTTAAAATACGATTTCTTGGCAGCTTGACCGCAACAGGAATGGAGCAAAGAGAGGCGGTTTGCAGGCTCAGGAAACCACCAAGCCACCCGGGGCTACGATCCTGCTGTGACTCTGGGGAGGGATATGGCAAGTTTCTTATGCTCTTTTTGGGTCTAGAAATCCTTTTTCTGCCTCGCCGTGCCTCTCGTGCTGGCCGTTCAAATATACACACAATGGCTGCGACGGGACGCCCTCGTCCTCTCCCCTAACGCCTCCTTCTCTGAGCAAGCGACTCTCTTCGCCGTCACTCGTTTGCTTCTCTTTCCATAGCCTTCATTGACCATGAGGGCATCACTGGCTTTGGCGCTGCTTGCCGCTTGCACGCAATCGGCACATGCAGTTGTTCAGTTCCCCTTCGCCAAGCATGCCAGTCCTCACCAGAATGTCGCCAAAGGTGGCTCAAAAGCACGAGCCTTGAAGACGGGCTTCTTCCAAGGTGCTATGACCTACGTTGTGAACGCCACTGTCGGGACGCCTGGCCAGCCTGTGTCTCTAGTTCTGGCGCCCTCCTCCTCAGACACCTGGGTCGTTGATGCTAGGTCAGACCAATGTACCTACTACAGCACCTATTACAGCACCTCCTACGATGGTGACACTGATCCGGACGACCCGTCGTGCATTTGGGGAAGCTGTAAGTGACGTCCCTATTCAGAGGGCAGACCCACTAGATCATGATCTCGGATCTGGACTGCCCCTGAGGCTCCGCCCGGAGCAACGCCGATCGCCGAGTCACACTCTCCGGGCGGAAAGTGCTACGGTCTTGGATTCCAGGTGCTGATATCCTTCGCAGTCTCACCCAATGTGTCATCCACATATCAGTCCGAGTCTCTAGAGGAGGATGACGACTCGAGCTCCAGCTCCAGCTACGACTTCAGTAACACATATAACGACGATTCATACGCCTATGGGGACTATTTCAACGACTCGATTGCCCTGGGCGATGTGTCTTTGGACGATTTCACCGTTGGCCTGGTCAACAGTACCAACAGGTACATCGGCATGCTCGGCCTCGGCTACAACGACAGCGTGCACTCGACCTTTACGGATCGTCTCGTGAGCGAGGGACTTATCAACAGCACGACGTACTCGATCTGGGTCGACGACTCAGAGGCAAGCTCAGGTAATATTCTCTTCGGCGCCATCGACACGACCAAGTTCGAAGGAAGCCTGTTCCGGGTCTCCTCGTACTACTCGGGCTATCAGATGCTCATGACAATCTCGAGCATCAACGCCACGACCAAGGATAGCGATGGACCAATCACGATCACCTACGACGCGGAGGCGGATGATAGCTACTACGGCAGCTCATCCACCAGCCCGTCATCGAGCTCGTCTTCAAGCTCATCCTCGAGTAACTACCTGTTCAGTGCGACATTCGCCCCTACTGACTCCCTGAGCGTCTTGCCTGACGATGTGGCCTCTCAATTCTGGGAGGTCGCAGGAGCTTACTACGACTCGGATGTGGAGATGGCCTTGATCGGGTGCAACGCCGGTAACGACGGCTCGACCAACTTCACCTTCAGGCTCGGCAACGGCCCCAATGGCCCCAACATCACGGCGGCCCTGGAGGACCTCATCGTTCCCGTGACGGACGTCGACATAACAACCTACTCCTCGTCCTACTTCTCATCCCTCGACACGGCGGTGTGCCTCTTCGGCGTGCAAAACAGGAGCATCCTCTCGAGCTCCTCGTACTCGTACACCTCCGACTACAGCCTCGGCAGCGGCATCCTCCGCCGGACGTACAGCGTCTTCGACTTCGTCAACGACGAGATCGCCATCGCGCCCGTCAAGTTCGGCGCGACGGAGACGAGCAACGTCGTTGCCTTCGCCACGTACGGGTCCACGGCCCCCTCGTCGACGATGCTCTGTATCCTCTCGAGCTGCTCCAAGACCACCACCGGCGGCGGCACCAGCTCCGGCGGGGGTTCCGACAACGACGAGGGCGGGCTGGCGTCGGACATCCTCTCGGTGCCCGCGCTCGTCGGGGTGAGCCTGGGCGTCGGCCTGGGCGCGCTCTCCGTCGGCATCATCGGCTACCTGATCTGGCGGCACCGCATGAGAAGGAGGATGGCCGGCAAGGAGGACGCCGGGTCGGTAACCACCGCTGAGGCGGGCGAGGCGGCGCCCCCGCTGCCGCCGCGAGAGGGGGCCGCCGGCGGGGCTGCGCCGGGCCCGGAGATGACGCAGGCTTCGCGACCGCATGTAGTTGACAAGGGCAAGGCGCCTGAGATCCCTATGCCTGAGAACCTAGGATCTACGTCGACCCATGGACATGGTACCGGTGTGCAGGGTTCGGAGCCCGCGCAGGGTTCATCGAGCCGTGATGCCTGATACCAACTGCTATTTTAATGTTAATGTCTGTATGATTTTGGATATGGTGTGGAGAGACAAGGAATGACTTAGATACCCAGCCTAGCATAGCGGTTTATCAAATAGAGGAGATACCCCTTAACAAACAGTCCACGCTCCGCACCACAGGCCCACCGAAAGAAAGAACGGCGGCACGCCAAAGCTTTTGCAGAAGCCACTGCAAGGGACCATGGATGGCAAATTGATTCATCATCAAACCTATAATTACCCGCCCTTTTACAACTTATAAACAGGGTCCTCCTCCGCAGCGTCCACCCCGCCCTTGACGACGCGCTGGACGGCCGCGCCGATCTCCTCGTCGCCGTCCAGCAGGTCGATCCAGCTGTTCCTGACGCCCTCGGCCTCGAGCAGCGCGGCAGAGACCTGCGCCACCGACTCCCGGCTCACCTTGCCCCTGCTGGTCTTGGTCTTGCCCAGCTCGACCTTGCCCGCCGGGTCCGTGGTCAGCGTGCCCGGGCGCAGGTTGATCCCGACGAAGTCGCTGCCCCGCTTGGCCGACTCCTGGTACAGGGCCTCGTCTGCTGCGAGCTTGGCGATGTAGTAGTTGGGGAGGATCTTGTAGTTGACTTCCTCGGCGGCCTTGTTCCCGGGGGCCATGTTAGCATCTTGGTCTTTGTGATGGGCCTGAGCGGGAGGTCCTGTGCTGGCTGAGGGGCGCGGCTCACCTTCCAGTCGTCATCGTTCCACCAGCTGGGTTTGTTCCGGCGCGAGTCGAGGTATGAGATGTTGAGGAACCGGGTGATGGTGGGTGTGTTGGCCGAGGCCTTGATGAAGTGGATGGCGGCGTCGCGGTCGACGGCGAATGTCTGTGTGTTGCAAAGCCCAGTCAGATTTTCCTCCCGTATGATATGTGATGACTGCTATGCAGCAAGGGGGCATACCCGCTCGGCGCCTCCTCTTCCTCCTGCACCGGCGCTCCAGAAGACGTAGCGGGGTTGACCTCGTCGAGGATGCTCTTGGCTTGCGACTCGCTCTTGACTTCCTCAATGCTACGGACGAGGACGTTCAGCTTGCCCTGGAGGCTCTCGCCGAGCTTCTTGATGGCGGGGATCTGTTCCTCAGTGCGGATGATGCTGGTCACCGTCCACGACTTCTTAAGCAGGATCGGGGTGAGCAGCTGGCTGATCTTGCCGTGGCCGCCGAGTACGAGGACGTGCTTGCTCATGGTGTTGTTATGGTGGTGAAGCTTGGTGTGGAGGAGGTCTGTCGCACGAGATATTGCGTGTTGGTGGTGAAGGTGGTGATGTTGAGCTTGAGAAGCAACTATCGCGGGGTCAGTGGAGCGAGGGAGAGGGGCAGCTTTTGTGTCAAAACAGCCGGCTCCCCACTCGCACGCGATGCTGCGATGATGATGCCATTTCCTGGGCTGACATATGGCGGAATTTAGCTTTTACGATGATCACCGAATGCCATTACTCAGTCGTTCTACCCTGTGCTGCCGGTACTAACCATATGCGTGGGCTTCGATTAAACCAGCTTCTCGGGCGCGCTTCTGCACGAGGTCTACCCACGATCGACAGCTACCCTTGCGAGGGCCAGTGAGGGTATGATGCAATTACTCACTAAGCTTCACACGGGCAGAGCTTCGCCAAGCTCCTCTTGGCACCGGGGCTGCCGGTCGAGCACGGAACGGAGCCGCCGTATCGCAACGCTGAATCTTTGCATGCTCCGCAGATAGCACAGCTATGGAACTCCCATTGGTATTTTGAGCAATGATCTCGCATCCGCGGGTCTCCATGGCATTCCTCTTGGCACCCATCAGCGGAGCGAACGAGGTAACCATTGTCATTTCTTTTAGGTGATTCAGTTGCTAACTGAACTGGCTTGTCAAGCAGAACGATAGTCCGCATTCTGAACCTGACGTTTCGGCTAGAATATTCGGAAGGATTTTACGTTCGTTCGAATGGCTCAACATCTCGTAGTTAGATCTTCGATTCTAGAAGTTACGGTATGTTCAACATGAAATCGTAGTTCCGGGCACAAGATATTGGAGAAGACGTCCCATTGTGTCACAGAAGAGCTTCTACATGACAATTTGTTTCGAAACGAGCCAGTATAAGAATTGCTTGTTTGTTTTTATTCCAAGCTCCCACCCAGCTTGCTAAAAAAACAAATAAAAAATTATTACATCGTAGATATACCCTCCGACCACAGCATTCAGAAATCTGAGTATTCCTTTGCAGATTCTATCGATATGGGCAGAATCCAAGCTATCCCGATGAGCAGCCAAGAAACCAAAAAGAAGGCGCGGGATTTGCCGGTGGTCCCAACAGACATAGCAAAAATAATCACGGGCCATAACCACACAGCCAGCCAAAGAAGGCCAAAGACTTCGTAAGGAAGCAGCCAGCCAACGCAGCAGAACAAAGTGCACAGTACCATGCCGGAGAACCACCGCTTCTCCCTTGCAACCCAGCCCTTGAGACCGCTTCGGAAGCTGTACTTTCCCAGCGCCATGGCCGGGTCACCTCCGACCCTCCCGCCCCTTAGGTTCCGACTGACGTGTGTGGAAAATTCTTTGTTGGACAAAGCAGTGGCCTGGTCCGCGTCGCCGAAGTCAACGGCGATTGCCCTGGTCAATTTGACCGCGGCCTTGTACCGGTTCGGGATCTCGTACGGCCCACGGCTCGATAGCTTCAGATGAGCCTTGAGCCACATCACATATACTGAAAGCGACCAGAAACTCATGAGCAACATGGCAATGAATGCTTGCAAGAACGAGAAGCCCCATTTGTATGTCTGTTGGCCAATTCGTTAGTGCCATTTATCTAAGATCTAATTTTCAAGGATGTATCATCTTCTCCTACTTACTCCATTTGGCTGACACCGGCCATAGCCTTGTGTGATGATGTAGTCGAAGTCGTACGCCTCATTGTTGTAGACGTAGGTTATTTTCTTCTCATCCATGAATGGCTGTTGACCCGTACGAGGGTCAGTCCAGTCGGAGCCATATGTATCGTACCTGTATGTGGGAAAGGCCGAGATGTTCAGTGCAGGACTAGGAAGAGTAGTATTGTCCTGAGGCCACGTTGAGTTTGTGTTGTTCAGGCCAAGAAGACCGTAAGTTTCCGTATCTGGCAGCGAGGGTTAGAACGGACCAGTGAGCATGCAGCTTTTTTGCTTATTAACTCCTTGAATACCTACAAAGTGAGACATTATTCCCTAGGGTGTAGAATTTATCTGTTGTACCGTAGCAATAACAGTAGGCATTATCTTTTGATATGAATGTAGGATCCCACTCCCCTAGGTATATATTCATTAAAACTTGTCGCAAGCCAGCAGAGAATAGAATCAAGGGGTACTCACTCGTTTCGCTACAGCATGGGACCAAGTACTCATCTGTCAGCCCATCGACCCTGCTCCCATCATGGATGATGTATAGCAACGGGCTGAATGATGAAAACGGTATGAGTGAACCGTCCCTAATCTTGACGAAGGCGACGTTGTTACTGTCGTAACCCGTCATAGCACTTGCGACGGTTGGCCAAGCTAAGACAAAGAGCATAGTGACAGTCATGAAAACCATCGCTGCTATTGATCTGAGTCTCCTTCGAGCCAGGAAGTCTCTGATGACCCCCGTTACTCCCAATATCGAGATGCTGTCTTGCATGAATATCGTCCAGTATGTGTGATAGGAAACGGTTCTGGTATCTGGTCCCTCTTCGAGTGACGCCTTGATGTGAAGAGAAAACGCTCTCCAAGAGAAGACAACTAGAATCGTCTGGCCGATCCTGCCAACTGCCTGAAATCATCTCTCCTTAGCTGAGCCCAATTTTTCAAAGAAGATGTCACATGTGAAGTTACTCGCGCTCCTCTGGGTTCCGTCAACAACTTACAACATCCCACACAACATCCACGACCTTGGCTTGTGTGAAGGTAAGCTCGCCGAACCCCGACGTGATCTGGAAAAATCCGTTGATATCCCAGGGATCGTAGATTTCGTAGATGGAGAACGTGCCGTCCGGCAGGCACGCGGAGCTCATGTAGTAACCTGACCAGAGCAAAGGCACCATGATCAGACAGGTTAACAGGCCTGCGACCCAGCAGAAGAACAGAAACCAAATTCCCCCTCGTGCCCAGCGAATGGTGCGCATGTCCCTCAGGGCCTCCCGCCATGACTCTCGCAAGACACTGATGGGAGCGGTGCCATTGTGTTCGCGGCGATATGGTGTCGAGGGCCCAATCACATAGGGCTCCAACAGCAGGGGATCCAGGTCTGCGCGCTCTGTGAGCTCGAATGCTGCCGACTTGGTTGGGCATGCCCCAGCCGGGTCTTCGAATTGGCCCATAACGCCAGCATGTGAGATGATTTTTTGAGATGGAAAATTGAAAATTGAAAATTGACAAGACGTAGATTTGAAAAAAGCTTGTCCATTTTCAAGAGTTAAATTTGGAAGGCTTGCAGATCTCAGGGGAAGAAAACAAGATTAGGCAGTCAGCAATCCTCCCGAGCTGTAACAGCAGACGCTGTGAGATGATTGGGCAATTAGCTTTCAGCGCACCCACCCGGCCGCTGAAGGAGCTGGGCCCTGGTCCTTATAAATGCCTTCAACTATATAGTGGCCTGGCCTAGTAAGAAAGCGATCCTGTGCACGTTCATGAGAACGGGGAGCCGGACATCTGATGCAAATTTAGGCAACTATTCTTCCGACCTGCTGGGCCTGATGAGAGCTTTTCGTTGAAAGTGAAAAGACAAGGGGGTGGGGAGTGTAGATTCAACGTGGGTACATACACGGGTTCTCTGCGAAGGAAACAGAAATAAGTAGAGGCAGTTGTCTACTCGGGTAAATAGACCTTAGAATTGTTCGGAAACTAGGCTTAACGGGACTGATTTTACAAGCAGAATTCGCTATTCCTAGAGTGGGCTGCCAAGTCTGTTCCGCGTCGCGTCAAATCCAGTCACTGTCACATTGATCAGCAGGGGTGCAGAGCTGACCATTGCGTGCAGGGGGCTCACGACCCGTGCGAATGTTTGAAGTAGCGAGACACAACTGAGTCCGAGTAAGAGCCAATTATGTCATCGAGGAGGTAACTTTTGGCGAGCGGTCGACGGCGGCAGCAATATATCCAGCGGGTTTCGTGTGCCCAGTATGCAGCAGCCGGTTGTACTGCAGTCCCTGGCACAGCAGCGCCTGTAGGTTTGCGGCCGCAGCGGTGCTACGTCAGCTGACCTGCTTGCCTACCCCATCCAAAATCCTCCGTAACGGCCCTGTGAAGGAAGGAGCCGGTAAACATACGTTATCGGAGCGGAGATTTGTAGGATCTCGATTTGTCAAAAACTATCAATGGAAAAGGACCCACGTCGTTTGTTCCAAGCGATTATCCGAAAACACTACGCAAGCAGTTCAATTGTTTCTCTTTTTTTTTTTGAAGTCTGAGAAAAGCATCGTCCAGGGATCACCTCAATCCATGGAAGACCCACTCGTCTGTGCCCGCACCACAGGGGTTTTGGAGGCACCCAACGGCGCATCACAGCTGTTCTGAATGACCTCGACGCTGAGGAGCCATGCACCTTCTTCATTGCACCAAGGGAGACTTTGACCAGCCATTAGCGATCCACCTGGAACAAGTCGGCGAGCAGCCCCCACCCTATGCAACCCTCTCGCATGTCTGGGGAGATGGCGAGGTTACATTCCAGGACTGCGAGGACGTCGAAGACATAACGCGTCTGTCCAGGATAACGTTGAAGAAAGGCTACGCCAAGCTGGCGGCAGCATGTGAGCGCGCCCTGCAGGATGGGCTTGGATACGTCTGGGTTGACACGTGCTGCATCAACAAGAGCTCCAGTGCCGAGCTGTCCGAGGCGATCAACTCCATGTTCCGCTGGTACGAGATGTCGCAGACGTGCTATGCCTACCTAGACGACCTCCATGACCGCTTCAACCTGCGGAACCTTCGGAAGAGCAGGTGGTTTACGAGAGGTTGGACGCTGCAGGAGCTGATTGCACCGGCGGACGTTGTGTTTCTCACCGCCGAGTGGCAGGAGATAGGGACAAAGGCCACGCTTTCGAAACAGATATCAAGCATCTCACGGATACGGGAGTGTATACTTGTCGATGGACTGTATGCGCACGATACAAGCGTGGCGGAGAAGATATCCTGGGCGGCCAGACGACGGACGACCCGAGAGGAGGACCACGCCTACTCCCTTCTGGGCCTCTTCGATGTTCATATGCCGCCTATTTATGGCGAAGGGGGCTCCAGCGCGTTCAGGAGATTACAAGAGCAGATCATGCATACGTCAACCGATCATACCATCTTCACCTGGTGGGGACAAGGATCTTCTATAACCTCTGGAATCCTGGCCTTGTCTCCCGACCAATTCTTCGGCGCGAAGCTCCACCCTGTCGAGTTTGACGTCTATCGGCAAGCGTTTGATTTGCTTCAGGCAAAGCCGGAATTCACCGTCACAAACTATGGCCTGAAAATGCAGATCCCCATAGCAGAGATTGGACCGGACTACCCAGGGTATTACTACGGATTCCTCGCGGCGCGATACATAGGCGCTTCTACCGTAAATGAGTGGGCCACGATATACCTCTACCGGCAGCCGGGAGGCGGCATGCGCCAGTTCACCCGCACGAGCTTCAAGGGCATGTGGTTTGAACACAGGAAGATCGGCGCCGAGGACTTCCACAAGGACACTATCTTTATAAAAATAACTGTCGATACCTGGCCGCTGGTGTTGAACCCGGACGTGAGCGAGCCTTTCGGTACGCCATCCCTCAGAGGTGGATGCGGCGGACAGATGGAACGGCGGGTGTACATGGCATTTGCCAAGAAGCATCCAACAATTCACATTGCAGAGTACTGGGTGAACGACTGCCCGCTGAGGTGCAACGAAGTTCTCATGCTCAGCTTCAAGGGCCGATGGGCCATGAGGACGGAGTCGGGGCGGGAGATATTCCCGGACCTACACAAAGCCACCGTAGCGAGGAGTATACAGGCTGACTTTGTCGAGTTCGACCGAAGAACATACGAAAACGGCCGACACCTTGCTTTCATAATCATGAGCAACGGGATAGACAGGATTCTTGTCGTCATGGCTATACAGCGGGGAGCATGGCTACTCCTGCTTGCAAAAATAGAGAGCAACGTCTCAGTCCGGACGGTGAGGCATGACATGCTCTCTCCCGTGGAGAAACAAGACGGAAGTGACCAGGTACTACACCGGCGAGCCAGCACGCTGCTTACACCTCCTTGGCTACAATCTAAATTCGTCGGCGTGGGCGTGCCCTTCAACCCACCAGGGCCATTCGAGGCCCGCCTGGGCAGATACTTTGTCTCGATCGAGCGAGAGACCCGTTTGGACCGTCCGAAGGAGCTGTTCTTCCGCATCACTGTCGGCATGAGGCCAGTGGTGTCTCGGAAAGCAGCAGGCACGTTCCAAATCAAGGAGAACGCGACGAAATCTGTATTTCTGATGAGATCGATACCGAGTTCTTGAGATTTGTTTAGGCTCGTTACGTCGACTCCACTTGCTTCTGTCACTGTCACACTTATCTCAGAGGTTGTCGATTTGATATAAAAGTCGCGAGCGTTTGGCCGGTACAAATCTACCAGTCTGGATGCCGTTGAGGGACATTATTCTCAAAAATTGTCACCCTGGAGCGAGACTCACATACTTACTTGTAATTAGCCTATCTTTACATTCGAAGAACAGAATGTACACTTAAGGGATGGCTGGGCTTGCCATACTATTTTGTTTCGCGTGGGAATTATGTAAATTGGGGCCCGGACGGAAGATGTCAAGTTCAGGGTGAATTGACGTAAGAAATGAAAAGATCAATAATCACGACAATGGCATGTTGTGGCTTGGTTATCGACTGTTTGGATCCCATGGCAAAATGGGAATACGTATCGCATGTTCAACGAGATACTCTGCCAGGAGCCTCGGAGGGATTAGTGTTCCCGTTCCGCTTTGGCTGAGGGTATCCACGGATCCTCCTCAGTGCAGATAGATGCATGCAAGCGATGCAAGGGACAGATCTAATGATACGCTAACTGTTATAAAACCCTGGTTAAATATATATCCACTCGCTTAACTGAGCGGAGTTTATACTCTTTTCAGCGTACTTAAGTAGTTATGTCGGACAGTTAGTTGTTGCGGTTGCGCAGTCCTTCCCACAAAAGACACTAGCAGTGAGCTCTCACCAGCCGCCCCCATTTCCCTTCCGCGAGATTCAACTCCCCCAGAGGTATTTAAGCAGACTCTATGCTTCAGCATCTCGACGGCAGTAGAAGAGAGTGCACGTCCCAGACTCTTGAAAAAAACTTCGCACTGCACAGCCTATCGCATCATCCGATCAGTAATCTCTGATTGGTAATACGTGTACACTTGGTCCAAAGGTCCGTTCATTGACTCTTCTTAACGATTAGCATTCCAAGACGACGCTTTTGCTAAAATCTGGCTATTGAACCAAGAAGGCTCCATCCAACACTTCATCTGCTCGTATACATTCGACGCTCTTCCGACAATCACCTGAATATCCCGCCTCCACGTCTCGCATCCGAATCACGATGGCCCCTCTTGACAACCCCGCAGTCCCCAAGGGCTCCACTGTCCTTGTCACCGGAGCCAACGGCCTGTTGGGCTCCCACATTGCCGACCAGTTCCTCGAGCATGGCTACAAGGTCCGCGGCACCGTCCGGGACAAGGAGAAGAATGCCTGGCTCCAGGCTCTCTTCGACAAGAAGTACGGCAAGGGCAGCTTCGAGCTTTTCAAGGTCGCCGACCTGACTTCCGAGGGCGCCTTCGACGAGGCCGTGAAAGGTATGGCGCACGGACACTGGAGATCACACTGGAAGTTTTACGATCCGTGGCTGACTCCTGCGTAGGCACCTCCGTCGTCGCACACACTGCCAGCATCACGAGCTTGGAATCGGACCCCAATGTTGTGATTCCTCAGGCTGTTGCGTTCGCCGAGAATGCCCTCAAGTCAGCGTACAAAGAGGTTTCCGTAAAGCGGTTCGTCCTGACCTCGTCATCATCGACTTGTTACCTCGCCGACCCATCCGTGCCGGGCATCAAGGTGACCGCAGACACCTGGAACGAATCCGCGCTCAAGGCCGCGTGGGCTGATCCTCCTTACACCCGGGAGCGCGCCGCTCCTGTCTACGCCGCCAGCAAGACACAGTCTGAACAGGCGGTGTGGAGGTACCACAAGGAAAACCGCAGCAGGCGCCCCGACTTGGTTGTAAACACGGGTGAGGATTGCCAGCTCGTGAGATTGAGTGAACCTGACTGACATTACTAGTTCTGCCTAACTTCAACTTCGGCAAGGCTCTCGACCCAGTTAATCAGGGCTACCCGAGCAGCTCCGGCCTCCCGGTCGCACTATGGCAGGGACAGGTGACACAAATTCACCAAATGATAAAGCCACGTACGTTCTTTTCTTCTTCTTGTATCAAAGGCTGGGGTGGTTCCTTACAACTTTGCAGAATACTACATCGACGTCCAGGACACCGGCAGGCTTCACGTCGCAGCCGCCGTCCTGGACCACGTCAAGGACAAGCGGATCTTTGGCTTCGCCGGACGGTTCAGCTGGGATGAGATTCTGGACATCATCCGCGAGGCCGCGCCTGGCAGGAAAGTCCCCGACAACTTCTCTGGCGGATCAGACCCTAATGAGATTGAGCCCCGCGATGAGGCTGAGCAGTTGCTGCGAGACCTTGGGCGTCCGGGCTGGGTCAGTTTGAAGGAGAGCATCCTGGCCAACATCTCGGACTTGAAGGACGCTTGAGCGCCTCGCGTTCCCGAATTGAAGACAACAAACGGCACTGTGTCCGGGAGCGAAGGGACTCGAGCCATGTACCCCGTAGTTTTGACATTCAAGGCCAGCCAAAACGAGATAATATCACCTGGGAATTATAAAAATTAAGGCCTAGAAGGAAAGCATCAATTTCAAGGTGAATCGACGTAAGATTGATATCCGGCACCGGGAGAGAGTGGTTGACAAACATCTCGAAAGCCCCGTCGTTATCAAAGATCAGGAAGACTGCACGGGCAAGTGGGGGTGATGAAGAGATGGACAAACCGCATCGAGATAAGAACCTCACTTTAATTTCCACATCGGCTTTATCACAGATCTGCCCCGGGATCTCATCAAGCTTCCCCAACATGGCAACTATATCCCCGCCCCCGCCTCGCGCCGAAGCTAAAGCACGGCATGGTTACGCACTCGCTCGCAGCTTAGGCTTATCAGTGGAGGAGAGACGCGTGAGGTATCATTCGCCAATGCGACCAGCTTTATCGTTAGTCCTACCACCGGGAACCTGCAACGTCAGCTTAGTCTGTATGAGATGGTCAGCTAGCCGCCCTAGGGCAAATGATACTTGAACCGTACCATCCCGTTGGATCTGCCGGTCGCTCTGCGAAGATCACCATTCTTGTGCCATATTCTGCTCACGTCATTTGGTGACGGGGACGAGCTCATCCTGTCTCTCATCATCATCGCCAGCTGGCCCCCTCTGCAGTAAAGCACTCAGACCGCGGAGACAGTGCTCTCCAGCCTCCAGAAATGTCAACCACGGAGAAGATCTCCTCCTCCGATGGTGCTCCGGCAGAAACGCCGCAGCACCACGCGGAGCTGGTGACCACCGCAGATGACGGCGTCGTCCTGGCGAGCGAAGCAGACGCCGAACTGCTGGCGAAGATGGGATACAAGCAAGAGCTGAAGCGGAACTTCTCGACGCTCGAGGTGTTCGGAATTGCCTTCTCCATTATGGGACTGCTTCCCTCCATCGCCAGCACCCTCGCCTTCTCCCTCCCAGCTGGGCCGGCGGGCATGGTATGGTCTTGGTTCCTGGCCAGCGGCTGTATCTTTGTCGTCGGTCTGGCGATGGCGGACTTGGGAAGCGCGATGCCCACCAGTGGGGGGCTATATTGGTGGACTCATTATTTCAGCTCGCCCAAGACGAGGAATTATCTATGCTTCTTGGTTGGGTACAGCAATAGTCTGGGCTTGATCGGTGGATTATGTTCTATCAATTGTAAGAAGGCTGCCTTCTCCCTGGTCATTGTGACATGTGCAGCTGACATCTCAACTACCTCGCGCAGATGGGTTCGCCCTCATGTTTTGCGCAGTCATCGTCGTTTCAACAGACGGCGAATGGACTCCAAGCAACGGGATCGTATACGTAGTGTTCATGATATGCACGCTCACACACGGCATAATCGCCTCCACCCTGACGAAAATAATGAACAAGCTCCAGACCTTCGCGGTCTTCCTGGTAAGCTTCCTTTTCCAAACCTTAAACCAATCGGCTACTAATTAATCCCTGCGTGTAGAATATCGCCCTGATCCTCTCCACGATCATTGCACTGCCTGTGGGGATGGCGAACAAGCGCAATGACGGCCACTTCATCTTCGCCACCGTGGAGAACCTGACCACCTGGCCGACGGGCTGGGCTTTCATGCTCGCGTGGCTGTCGCCCATCTGGACCATCGGCGCCTTCGACAGCTGCGTCCACATGAGCGAGGAGGCGAGCAATGCTGCCAAGGCCGTGCCACTGGGCATCCTTAGCTCGATTGGGATGTGTTGGGGTCTGGGTTTCGTGATTGTCATCGTGCTTGCTGCGTGCATCGACCCGAATATCGAAAATGTCCTGGGAAGTTCCTTTGGGCAGCCTGTGAGTGCCAGTCGAGTCTGCTTGGACCAGTCTGAATTGCAGTACTAAATGTTTCGTGACAGATGGCTCAGATCTACTATGATGCACTGGGGAAACAGGGTGCCATGGGGCTCATCGCATTCTTGTTCATAGTGCAATATCTGATGGGTTACTCCATCACGATAGCTGCTTCGCGACAGATGTGGGCATTCTCTCGAGACGGTGCTCTGCCATTCTCATCCTTCTTCCGCCGCATTGTAAGTTATCCTGTTTGGGGAAGACAGGTGGATGATCGCCAGTGCTGATGTGATCCCATAGTCCAAAACCTTCGGTTACATCCCGCTCCGAGCAGTCTGGGGTGCCGTCTTCGTCGCCATCATACTGGGCCTTCTTTGCTTGATCGCCCCAGCCGCCGCGTCCGCGCTGTTCTCTCTGGCTGTGGCTGGTAACAATCTTGCCTGGGGCATTCCCATCTTCGCACGCGTAGTGTGGGGGAAAGAGAAATTCACCCCGGGCGCCTTCTACACCGGAAACAAGTTCAGTCTTCCGATCGCATGGGCTGCCATCATTTTCCTAGTGTTTGGGATCCTGCTGGCAATGTTCCCTGTTGGCGGTCCGGACCCCACGCCGGAAACTATGAACTACACCGTTGTGGTGAACATGGCAGTCTGGGGAGGAGCGACCGTCTACTACTTTGTCGCGGCAAGAAAGTGGTTCACCGGCCCCAAGTCGACTGTGGAAGAGATTGAAGGCGTCACAGGGCATGTGTTGAGTGGCCCAGAGAGGGATGGACTCGCGGACGAGACCGAAGGAGGTGGTGGGACGGAGAAGCTGGCTGCTGCCAAGGAATGAGAAAGCTTGGATATAGATCCCGAGGTTCTTGATGCTGATTCATGGACCCTCGCAGAAGACGAGGGGAAGCATACACAACTTACACAGAGACAGATTGGGTTTTACTGTGATGCTAACATCTCCAACGAAACTGGTAAAAATGAAGAAAAAGGATTAGTCTTTGCTCTGTGCTTCTTCGCTTGTCATCCTTTGCATGTTTCCTGGAGGGACAAGTCCTATTCCGACTGCTCTGGGGCCACAAGGCATGGCATGGCCGTGCCAAAAGCGACATCCGCCGTTGCGCAAGGACAGGGCCTTCCTGCATGATGGCGCCAGGGAACGCCTGGTCGGAGGGTTGTCAATTCCAGTCAGGGGTTTGCTTGGCTCCATGAAGTGGGGCCGCCACCATGAAAGTCCGTGGCCACGAAGTGGGGATGGGCAGAGAAGGCAGGGATGTCGTAAATAGCCGTTGTGGATGAGGCTGAGGGCCCAGAACACGACGACACATTTCAGGGGAGAGGGCTGGAAGTTGTCCTGGTCCACCAAGCGTGCGTACGATTGCGTGGTGATTGGTCCGCGCGGACTTTGAGATCGGGGAACCCACCGGTGGCCGGGCACGGTGACGAGGTCGACTCAATCAATGAAGTAATAATTCGAGGAAGTGAGTACCAATTGATGACCGGCTTTTTGACATGCCCGCCGTTGATTGCGAATTAAGCTCGTCACCGGAGTGCTTCGCCAGCTCTGATCCGGTCCTGCTTTAGTAACCACTCTGGCCATGTTGACGGTGCGTGGAACGACCATGAGACAGTTCGCTAGTTAATGATTCGACATTTATTACCTGGGCGAATTGCGTTTCGCAGGCATTACAAAATTGAGGAGACAGCGCGGTGTGGAACGGTCAGGCAAAAGAGATTGATGCTGCACCCTAAGTTCGAAGCCGTGTTGATTAGTGATGTCCAACCACACTTTCGGAAGGTTGTGGTCGATGAGGAACACAACGTCACCATGTTGATTAACTGGCGCAACATACAGCCCATGCCCTGGAACACAAGCCATTTGTCTTGTTCCAGCTGGGCAATTGCTTCATTACCTTCAGATACAAGCTTTGGTCTGGCGGAGTGTCTACAGCACCCCCCCCCCTACTCAAATCTCACAAGGCAACGTTGTTGGGGACCGATTGAATCTACATCACGCTGTTTCCCAACATCACTGGTATTCTCTGTCTGCAACCCTTTGGGGTTAGATGTTCTGAGGCCACAGTGGATTGATTGTAGGGCCTAACCATTTAATCCAGCTCTGAAAAATAGACATAAATTTCGCTCGCCTGAAGATTCCTACCACACTTAATGCGTGCGATGATTGGTTCTTTCATTGTCACAGAAGTGAGAAATTTCGTGGCGGTCGTCTCTGTGTGGGTAGGGTGGGGATGTCAGACTCTTAGCATGCAAGGCGAAGAGGATGGGACCAGATAATCCTCGACAGAGACATTCTTGGTTGTCCCATGTTCGGCCAATTGATTGACATGACCATATCATGCGTCCTGACCGAACGATAGTCGTTGCAAGCACAGGCTCAGATGAGGACTTTGAGACACGCTGTACACTGGGATACAACCAATACGGGACAAAGAGATGTGTGTCTCAAAGCTGATAGCCAGCCCAAGAGACTCCAAGATATGGCAAGAGAGCTCGGGATTGCTTGTCCCAGCCGCAGTGTCACAACCAGTCACCGATAGGCCTGCTGGAAAGTGAGGTCAAGATGCCGAGATGAGGATCGCCGACTAAGAGAGTACGGTGCAGCACCCGCCGCTTGGCTTCGATCTTGATCATGCAGGAGCACATGCTGGCCAGCTCGTACTTGAAACGTTGTCTTGGCTTGTAGAGCTGAAACAAAGCAGAAAAGAACAAAACGGACGGTTGATTACCTCGTGGCCTCAACGGCCTTAATTAGCAACTGGAAGACATTTCCTTGAGAGGTTGGCGTTTGATGCTGCAGCTCATTGAGGGTACCTACGTAACTAGTTCCTCTGTTGGCCACACCAAGCTCAACCAGATACCAGCTTACCACCTGTGCCCAGAGCAGCAATTTGGCAATTATGAAAGCTGATGAAAACTTAATGCATTTTCGCGGCTAATCACTCGCAGACAAGCCATGTTAGCAGCAAGTGAGTTGAGTTTGGTCGGAGGTGCTCCAGAAGACTGACTGCGTGGGAGGCCGCAGGCAACAGACACGGCTGCCTCTGAGGGAACCCCGGATGCATGAACCTTGAAAGAGCAGCCGATAAGCCCCATCCGGACGCCGTGCAAGAGTTGCGCAATGACCTTGGCCGGCGATGTGCATGAATTGGGTGTCGGCGTGTGCCACGGTTCAGAAGCGCGAGTCGGACGCGTTCGTTCCCCACGAACCTTGTGTCCGACGGTTGATGCCGAGAGAGCCAGGGTACAGCAGGGGTAAGCCATGAAGCTTCGGCATAATGAAGCAAAAGAGGTGTGGGTTGACGGAAAAAAAATCCAACGGGGAGGCTTTGGACTTTTTCGCGTTGTCAGATCTTGGCTGCTGGAAGTGATGGTGAAGCTGAGGCTGGCTGGTATTTGTTTGGCTGGCCCTGGACAAGTAGATTGTCTCTCTGGTGGCGCTACACACTTTTTTCCCTGGATACTCAGGTACATCAGGCAACCTGGGAAGGTACCTAGGTACCTAGGTACATTGCGACGCCCCAACTGATTTCCTGCCTTCTCAGCCCAGGGCGCCTACTCCTTCCGTCAAGAGTGACTGCTTTGCAAGAGGAAGGATGGCCGGAAAACGGCCCTTGCCTGGGGGTTCGACAAGCATTCAAGCTCAAGCTCAAGCTCAGGCCGTTCTCCGTCTTGGTCGTCATCGTCGTCGTTCTTCTCCCCGCCCTACTGACCTCTCTCCTTGATCACGTCCGCAGTGCGTTTTGCAGTCAAACCAAGCAGCCGCCCAGAAGCTAGAACTCTCGTCGCCAAAGCTTCGGTTGCTTGCCCGACTTGGCCTGCTGCTGTCCCGTTGTCTGGCTGTGTGGCCGGCTGCAATTTGATCGACCTCACCTTGTTGAGTTGTTCGAGGTGCCTTGCCGTCTTGCCGCGTCCCCTACCTGTGCCCTGACCTGATTGCTCTCTTGGCCATGGCCTTGGCAGACAAAGCTGACAGAGCTGCAATCTAGCTGCTGTGGCATCCAATGTCGGCACCCGGAGGATTCAGGGGTTCGGCTGAAGGCACGAGGCAAGTTGGCCAATGTGCCTAAGCGTGGCACGAAATGCGCTTTCACGACAGCACGACGGCCGCCAGCCAACCAAACAGAGATCGACGGCCTTGCTACTACAGATCAGAAAACGGGACCCCCACCAATTCGCAGTCACGCAATGCTTGGCTGGTCAACGGCTGCTCGAACCGTTGCCAGCCACTGTCCGTTGCCCGCCGTCGCCGTCGCCGTCTCACAGCCAGCCGCTCATCCAGGCAGGACCATTACCAAAGCTACTGGAGCTCGTGTGCCAGCCAGTCGATTGGCATCTGCATCGCATTCTGCATGCTCGCATCTCGGGGATCGTCCACTGCGAGGACCGTCGGCTAAGCTTATTTCTCTGAAGTGAGAGGATCACCCTGCCAAGTCCGCCAAGGGCATAGCGCCCCATCAACCCTGGTTTGCCGATATCAGACTCTCCATTGCCTGTCTGGGCCAGAGCCTCTCAGCCCGTCCCTCCTGTCCTGCGACGACGGCTCTGTTGCTCCCTCATCAATGGTCCAACCCCTGAAGGCTGGCACGCCGTCCTGCCAGTCCCCACCTGTCCTTCTCGGCGTCGAGGTCTGATTCGTCTTGCTCCTGTTGATGACTGCTGCTTTGGGCAACCTCCACCGCATTGAGCTGCGCCTACCCAGCCGCCCACCTGCCCTGCAGATTCTGCCCCTGTCTGCTGGTGTTGGCTTGTTTCAAACACGCGCTATGCCCTGCCGTCTTGCAGCCGCAAACCTGCAACAACCTGCATACGTCCGCCGACGACATGCCAGCATGTTTCCGTCCATATTGCGCCAAGTAGGCGGCCCCGAGGAAACACATCCAACCAACATCGGACGACAAACCAGGTAGATGGCTTGCTTGACTCTTGCGCCCTCGCCCAACGTCATCCGAACCACACAGCCCTCACGTCAACCCCATCCGTCCCGTCAACCCCTGACCTGCGCATGCTGCGGTATACTACTGTACCTCGGAGCGAATTATGCGCTACAGCGTACCGCGTCTCCTGCTGCCAGTGGCGGCTCAGGCTTCATCGGGAGACACCTCGTGGCACCTGGCCCGTCGTGCGTGGCTCTGTAGTCGCCCTTGTCGAACCCGTCCTACCCGGGGAAGACACAATCTCGCTCACGTGCGCTTGAGCGGCCCAAGTGGTCCTGGCCCAAGCCTTTTCTAGCCTGGCAGTGCCTGGGTACCCCGAACATCATATGTGGGCACCCGATGATGATCCACTGCATTACAGTACGGTGACTTCGCTTCCTCCTCTGTGGTGGCTCCTTACCGGATTGGCCCAGCCCACTCTGATCATCTTCATATTAAAAAGGAGTTGAGCCGCCCGTCACGCTCTTTGCCCCGATCTTTCCCTTCTCCAGAGACCCCAAATATCAATATTTACTTGGAAGTACACTCTCGTCGCTCTTTGCCTTTCTTACTTCTCTCGCTTCAGGGTCGCTACGGTCGTTCCTCGAAGCTGCTTCGCTTTTCTCGCTCTCGCTCTCTTCGATATCTTAATATTTGTTCGCTTTATTATCGGCTTGTCCCCTTCCGTCTCACCCATCTCGTACTGTGGATACTGCTTGAGCAGTAATATCTCGAGTCAAAATGCAGCCAACAACCTCTTTCGCCGCATTCCTTGCGGCTACCATGGCCGTTCTCGACGTCGCCTCGGCTTCCCCGACTATTCCTCCTAGGGTGCCGGTCCCGATCTCGAGCACAATCTCGGGCACCGCCTCGCTGAAGCAGGTGCGCAACGTTAGGCACACCGGCAAGGGCCAGAAGGGAGCCCTGCGACTTAAACAGGCCTTACTGAAGTATGGCGCCGCCATCCCCGACGACTTATCCAACGCCGTCTCCCGCATCCGCAACAAGATCCAGTCCGAGCTCCAAGGCGTTCGTCTCCCCAACCTTCCCATCAAGGACAAGAGGGCCACTGGATCCGCGCCTGCTACCCCGGAGGAGTACGACGTCGAGTACCTCACCCCTGTTCAGATCGGCTCGCCCCCTCAGACGCTCATGCTCGACTTTGACACGGGCTCTGCCGACTTGTGGGTCTACTCATCCGCTACTCCTGCCAGCGACATCGACGGACAGGAGGTGTACAACCCCGGTGCTTCCAACACCAGCTCCAAGGTCCAGGGATCGACTTGGGACATCAGCTACGGTGACGGCAGCTCCTCCAGCGGAGACGTCTATTACGACAACGTGACCGTTGGCGGCCTGTCTGTCTACCCTATGGCTGTTGAGGCGGCGACCGATGTCTCCGCCGAATTCACGGCCGATGAAGACATCGATGGTCTGCTCGGTCTGGCCTTCGGCAAGCTGAACACTGTTTCACCCAAGAAGCAGAAGACATTCTTCGAGGCTGCCAGAGCCTCGCTCGACAAATATCTCTTCACTGCTGACCTGAAGGCTGGAGAGCGTAAGTCAATACCTAGTGCTTACCATGCGAAATCTTTCTAACCCACCCGCAGCCGGCACTTACAACTTCGGCTTCATCGACGAGACCGCTTACACGGGCGACATCGAGTACATTCCCGTCGACAGCTCCGACGGTTTCTGGACCTTCAACACGACCGGCTACCAGGTTGGCTCCAGCGCCTACACGGCAGACGCCATCACCGGCATCGCCGACACTGGCACCACCCTGATGCTTCTCCCCACCGACGTCGTCAACGCTTACTATTCCGCTATCAAGACTTCCAGCTACGACAGAGTCAACGGCGGTTATGTGTTCCCCTGCGACACCGACCTTCCGGACTTCAGCTTCGGCGTCGGCAAGGCCACCGTTACCGTTCCTGGCAGCTACATCAACTACGCCCCCGTTGACAGCGCCAACAGCAGCTGCTATGGCGGTATCCAGGACGACAGCGGCATCGGCTTCGCCATTTTCGGCGATGTTGCCCTCAAGGCCGCTTTTGTCGTCTTCGATGGCGAGAATGAGCAGCTTGGCTGGGCCTCCAAGAAGCTGTGACTCCCTGATGGGAGGCAAGTTACCCACCAGCCTGTCGAGGTGACAACCATTACGGTCTATGAGACCTAGACAGCTGTTGGGGACTGCCTCCTGTGTCGCGTGTGCGTGTATGTGCTTGCTTCAGCGTCGGCGTTTTGAAACGGCATTGTACTATACAAAGAGAATTTTCGGGGACCATACAGAGTAGGAGGATCCTGTGGATCGTGGAAGGGTGTTGGTGATGAGAACCTGATATCAGGTATCATGTGTACAAGATGTTGCGGTGTGCAACACGGGAGCTCTCGACATACCCTACACTCAACAACCATGTATCATGATTGTACGAGGAGGGACGACCTTGGTCGGCTGACTTGTCAGCTTCAATGCTTTCGGGCGGAAATGCTGGGAGCCCTACCCCAAATTTTGCTGTATAGATTTTTCTTTTTCAGGCATGTAAATACACCATTGCGCTTGCAATGGTATGCCCATCTATAATCTCGTACCATCCACCACTTGTTTACAAACGTGGGGCCTGTGGCTGCTGTGGGGCATACTGTCCCCTAAGCATAGTAGCGAAGAAGACATGGATTTCAATTCTTTTGCCACCGCAGAATAATGGAGCAAAATTCAGGATAAGACCAGTGCCCTGCCCGTGCTAGTGAGATTGCCGACGTGTTTGTACCCAGATCTATGCGTAAGCTCAACGCGAGATCGAAGAACAACCACATCTTGCCCCGGATTTTGACCTTGACTGAGATCGGTCAAATGGGTGATAACAGGATGGAGATGGGACAGCCCTTCACCTGCGTCTCTGTGAGTGTGTGTTTCACACAGTGAGCATGTGCCGTAGCATCCAAGAGACCTAGGTCCTCGTGCCCAGGCTCGCCTGTTCAGGCTCGGTAGTTGGTTCCCAGCAACAGCCCCTATGTTTTCTCTTCCTTTTGAGTTCTGGAGAGGGCCCGTCCCTTCCATGCGTGTCAGTCTGTATGTCTGATACATCACCAGCTGCCCCCCCCCCCCGCCACCTACCTCTCTTTCTCTCTGCCTTCTCGCGCCTCTTCAACCTGACCTAGGTCTGGTAGAGCAAGCCGGGGATTTGTGCCACCCCCCTCTCGAGCGTCCGGCCAGGAGTGTCTATGTCGTCACCCGGGCACATGGGGTTGGAAATAAGCAGGGGTTGAGTTGGGCACCGGGGTGACAGTTATGTCTGGGTGGTTTTTTGACAGCATATGCTTTGTTTGTGCCTTGTGCATGGACTGCCATGGCGAACGAGCAATACCTCAGTTGAAAACCATGTGCTCTGGCAGAGGCCGCCTGGGCAGACGAGATAGATGCGCTCGGGCGAGATGGAACTGGAGGACATTTACTGCGGCCTCCAGACCATGAAAAGTAAAGGGAGCAGATGCACGTTTCCTCGAATATAGGGCGAGATCTACTGTGCAAGTGATGTGCCACCGCCCTTCAGCGAGCAAGCGAGTGAGTTTTGGACAGGAGATGTGAGCCTCAAGCTGCGAGATTAAGATGATCAATCCTATTATCATACTCCGTCTAAATCCCTATTCCAAAAATGCTAATATCCAGAGGAGGCACATAGGAGCATGTGTATGTATGTATGTGAGTATGTCTGTGTGTGAGAGCGCGTGGTCAAAGAGAGCCTGCCTCACCATCCATCCATGCACCCCGGTAACTAGTGACAAATGCTGGTCTCAACTCCACAGAGATAAAAAGAAAGAAAAGAAAAAAAAAGAAGGTAAAACTAGGGAAGACGGACGGACTCGAGCCCGGGACGCGTCATCGTGTGAGGCCAGAAGGGCCTCAAGTCGTGCCGTATACCATGACTTTTGCTTGACTGTTGTTCTTGAACACCTCGACTCCCCCCTAGCGCCGTTTGTGATGCAAGTGATATGATGGTAATGATGATGACAATGGCAATGCCTCAATATCCCCAAAACAACAAATACCCCGCCCTTAGTGTTCTCAACGACTTACAGTAAATATTGTACATCCGCAGTGTCCTGATTCGTCTGTCGTCGTTTGAAAAGTCCGATCCGTATGTGCATGTGCAAGCGTAAAAATAAAGGAAAGGAGGGGGAAGAGCAGCCTGGCTCAGCCCCAGCAGGTTCATCTCAACCCACCAGCCCCCTTTTCAACAATGAACCGGATCGGCTTCCTCTGCCGTCGGTTTCTCATGCCCTGGGGAGGCACGACCGGCTTCATCATTGGGCCGGGGCCACCAACTCCGCCGCCGCCGAAGCCCATGCCCATATTCATGCCCCCGCCGGGGCTCCCGAAGGGGCTCGGCGCGAGCCCGGGTCCATTTCCGTTGGCGCTGCCCCCGTTGACGGGGGTTTGTGGCCGCGGCACATTCATGTTGTTGTTCATCAGCAGCGCCGGGTTCACGGTTCGCTGCCCGGGCACGCCCCGGACAACGCTCATGGGCAGCCACCTGCCAGGCCCGCGCTCGTCGAAGCCCCACCGCGTGATGCCGCCGCCCGCAAGCCACGCACCCAGGTTCTTGCATTGCGACACGTCAATCCACTCGGTGCGGCTGCAGCCCTCGAGTACGTTCTCGATGCCCACCCCCGTGACTCGCACGCAGCCCCGCACGCTCAGGCCGCGCAGCTCGTTCAGATGCAGCGCGATGCAGCCCAGCGACGCGTCGGACACAGCGCTGCCGCAGAAGGCAAGGCGCAGCTCGCGGAGCAGTGGCAGCCCCAGGGCGACAACCTCCGTGGCCGTGTCCGACAGTGCGCAACAGAAGGACAGATCGAGGTGCGTGAGCTGCTTGGCCGAGTTGACCAGTGCGACGATCGCATTGTCCGAGAGGTAGGTGCAGTCGGCCAGGCATAGGCGTGTTAGGTTAGGGAAACGGAAGGGTGCCCACGATTGAAAGCCTGCATCGGAGATGGAGGTGCAGCGCGTGAGCGAGAGTGACTCGAGGCGAGAAGAGGCGTGCGCGGCCAGATGGGCCATGGATCGGTCGGTAATGTGTTTGCAGTATGAAAGAGTAAGATGCTTGAGCTTTGGACATCCTATGACGGTGCCTGGTGGTGGCGCATTAGGATGCTGCTGCCAGTGCATGACTTGCATCTTTGAGCTCCTCTTTCCCGGAGCGCCCGAGCTGGCGATCACCACATTCTTGCGCTCAGGTGGTGGCTCTGGCACAACCCAGCCCACTACCCGGGCGAGAAGGTTGTCGCCAACCTTGCGACAGTTGCTCCAGTCGACTTCCTCAAGCTCCTTGGAGTTCTCGCTCATTTCGAGGATTTGGCCAGCGCTGACATCCCAAACTGACCGCATACGCCAGGACTTGACATTCTTGCCACAGAGTTTCCAGAATGCCTGGAAGCCCTCGTCCGTAACGTGGTAGCAGTTGGATATGTCAACCATCTCGGATCGATTGCTTATGAATGGGCCAAGAACGTTTGCCAGTGCCCAGTCCGTGACATACCGGTTATGGGGCGAAAGGTCGACATTTTTGCAGAGCTTGTCAGAAATTGTCAAGAGCCGTCGCCAGTGCGAACAGACCAGCCGGAGACGCAGGAGCTCCACGATATTGAGCTGATTGAAGACCATGACGAGGATGTCGTCCGGAAGCGCAATCTTTTGCAGGTTCTGCAGGGACGCCGGTCGGTGAGTCAGGGTTCTCTGCCGTTTTGACGATGGTGCCGCTTGATCGTTCTCTGGTGGGGTATTTGGCGCAGACATGGAGTAGAGCTTTAGCGGGCTGCTCTCAAGAGTCTGGGACGACCTGACCCCGTTGACGCCGGGTGAAGTGGAAGCATCCGTTTGTGCTGGCGTGGGCGGAGCGAGTGAATTGCGCCTCCTATTTCTCAAGTTCTCCATATCCACACTGAGATATGGGTCCGGGTCAGTGTATGTCCTTGTGGTATCCTGCTGCTCGTTCGTAGTAGGTGGACTTGGTTGAGGGGTATTGAATGTAACTGAAGGAAGTATTTCCTTCGTCGGTGTTGACGGATCGACCTCGTCTGGCTGCTCCTTCTCGTCGGCGTCTTTCATCTCGACATCCAAATCTGCTTTGGGATACCTATTTCGCGCCGTCTCCTCGACCTGCGAACGTATCTCGGGAGGGCACTTCTTCCAAAGCTCCGCGAGAGCCTCGCCGCCGATCATGAGGCACTCGACTGAGGTGATGGATCGTACTGTCGCCGTGCGACCCGAGGCCAACCCCAAGCTGGCCACTTCTCCGAAGTACTGGCCGGCTTTTAACCTCGGCCTCAGCATTGAAGACCTCGTCATACGCTTAGAATTGTTGTCTCCGGTTGCTTCGCGGACCACCTCAGCCTCGCCTCGTACGATAAAGTATATCTCGTGACCAGCTGTTCCCTGCCGCACAATGTCCGTAAAGGGAGGGTAGGAGACCGGTTGCGCGCTGAGGCCAAGAAAGTGAAGTACATCTCCGGGCAGCTCAGAAAACAGCGGCAGCTCTTTCAAAGTGGTCCGCACGTCGACATACCCGCTCCCAAGGGCACTGCCCCCGATAGACGGATCTTCGATTACCCCAGGGCTGGGAGATTTCCGCTTCTTGGAGTTGACAACCGCGCCCTCTTTGATGACCCCAGCGTCACCAGTCCTCACTTCGCCCGGGACAACATCGCGACTGACTGTGCCGGTCTTGCGGGCGGGCCTCATCCCCCGCTCACGCTGTTTCTTCTTCAAGATCTCCAGCCTTTCCTGCGCTTCCTGAAGGATCGCCTTCTCCATGTCTGGGAACATTGGAAGCTCTGCGTGGAGATCCTCCTTCTTGAGAACAACCAGCATACATTTCGTTCGCGCAACAATCGTGGCCGTGCGAGGTATTTTCATCAGGACACCGATCTCGCCGAAGAAGGCACCAGCCTTGAGCTCTGCGTAGACCGCTTCGCCGTCCCGCGAAGTGACCGCCACGACACCGCGCACCAGCCAGTACATTGACCTGGCGTCGTCTCCCTCGGTGAGAATGACATCATGGGCCGCATGTACCTGTGGCCGCAGGTGCTTGCCGATGGCGGCGAGGAACTCGTCTGGGGCAGACCTGAACAAGGGAAAGGACCTTATCCGATCCACTAGGTCGAGTGGCATATCGCGAATTGTGCTTGCTGCGAGAGGCGATGGGCGGATCGGCCGACTGGGGTTGGTCTCGACGTTGAACGACCTGATCATGGACGACACGGAGCCCGAAAGTTGCTGGCCATTTTGAGCATGATGGTGTGCCAGCGCCCTGTAGGGCGATGGCGGAGGGGTCGAGACTCGACTACGTCTCATGACGAAAGCTTGGTCTCTTGTCTCCTCCGAGCTCAGACCAGCCTCGTGGGGACGTGTAGCTTCCTTCCACCGCTTTGACCAGATGTACGGCCGGGTAGCGCTTCCATGCGAAGGATTGTGTAATTCTCAAATCGGGTCTTGGAGAGTTGCTGCGCTCTGTACCCGCCTGCTCCCCCGTATTTGATCGTGAGGAACGAAGTAGCTCGCGTGCTTGTCCTGTTCCCGGCTGTATTATCGAATTGGTGTCCGTGGGCCCAATTCATGCCTAGCAAGACCTGTTCTGGGTATTTGCTGGGACCTCAGCACCGACGCCGGGCGCGCAAGCCGTCAAAGGGAAGAATCGACGTTTTCGCAGTCTCGTGTGATCGACTCGAAGGACGGTGGGGAAGTGTAGGTGGTTGTACCACAGCTGAGTGTGTTGGGAGGCCCACCAGAGAGCTGCGCGCTCAGCGGTGTTGACTGCCTCCGGGGTGATGGTACAGACCAAGAGCCACTGAGCCGAAGGAGGAAAAAAGACTCCGGCCGTACGCGCAACTTAGGCTCGGCCTGTCGTGGAACGTTGACAAGGTCTCGGAACGGAGTATTGGGTACAGAAGGCGCTGGTTGGCTCTGGCTGTCTGGACCTCGAGCTCCACGGCGTGTTGGGCCCTATGATCGGAGGTCTGGTCAGCATCCAATGCTCAGACCTCAGGCCTCTCGGGCCGAGAGCTACCTAAACCTCGTGGGGAAAGGAGCTAAGTTCGAACTGGGTTGTTTGAAACGTACAGAAGGCGCCGTTGGGCGGGCCTAGCTTAAAAACGCAAGGGATGCTTGTGGGTAACGAGCTCACGGGAGCAATGACGCGTGCCTAGCTGCCAGTCTCGTCGGAAACCGCCGCGGGGTTGCAGGACGAGCAGAGGACTGGAGGCTGGAGGGAAGAATTATTTGCGAGCAGAGAAGCGCATGTAGCCGAGAATGTGGAGCTGGCGATGGTGGTTGTTGTGGAGGAAGAGGAGGGCAGTCTCAAGCTCGAGGTGTCACAGGACCAGAATGGACAAGGTATGTGTGTGTATGTGTAGACTATGTGTGTGGTGCAACTGCGACGGCGATCGACGGGCTAGTAAGCGATAAGGTAGGATGGCCGAGGCGAGGGGTGAGCGGGCGGTTGCCAGTGGGCAGTGGGAGCTTGCCCAGCAGCTGCATGCACGCGCTCGAACCGAACCGATTGGCGTTAGCAAGGCCGGCTCTCTGGGGTGTTCTGGGGCTTGTCAGGTTGGGTTGGGTTTGGCCTGCTTTGGTTGGGTTGCGTTGATGTCTCTCTTGCGCTCAGACGGCCGATTTGACGTTGCTGTGTTTCGCGGGAGCGTGCCTGTGCCTGAGCTGTGTCTGTGTCTGTGTTCTGATGAGACGTGGGGCCGGGAACGCCAGGCTGTCGGTGCCCTCTCCACCCTTGCTTGATTGACGGGCAAAGGGAATCAGAGATACCAGTTGGCTTGTCCACGAAGGAAATGCGGTGCTGCAGAGACAGCTGGGTAGATGTTCTCCTGGGATTCTTTCAATCTTTGGGGACCCTTGTCCAGGTGCTTGTCTCAGAGCTAGGAATAGGAAGAAGCCCTTCTCAGACACACAGACACAGAAAGGCGCGGTGGGTAGGCTGCATGAAACAACAAGAAGCCCCCAAGCTGTCTGCGGCTTTGCGTGTTGCCTGTCGCCTGTCGCGTGACGGCTGAAAGCGCACTTCTTCGAAATGCAGCTTCCCAAGCTCTCAGCTACTGTGCGCTGTCCTAACTGGGCGCGCGATCAAGCTTTCCAGCAACACGGCCTGTCGCAGTCGAATCGCGACTTGACGGGAGCGGTGGGGGACGGAGAGGTAGAGGACGATAGCAGGGGTTGCGCAGCTGCGCGCGAGGCGGCCGAGTGCTGCCTTCCTTGGATGGGAAGTCGATTGAGGCACGCCAGCGATGTAGAGTGGCGGTTGCAGTTGAAGATCTGAGATCGAGGGAATAGGAGTCTTTTTGCCACCAGCTCCTGGGAAGAAGTGGTCTGGTGTTTTGAGGACCGGGGCAGGATGTTGGCGGTGGGTTGTAATGGCGGTAACGGTCTCCACGGTGCTGGGCCCCAGACGGATGACAAGCAACAGGCGCAAGACTGTAGCTCGGATCAAACCAGATCAGACCAGACCAGATCACCTCAGCTACCAGTTGAGATCACTCCAGGGATCGAAGAGGAGGTGTCGCCCAGATTCTGCTGAGGAGTCTTCCCTATGTTTCAGAGTCGGTCCTCGGTTCGAAGCTGGAAGCCAGACAGGCAGGAGAGGCGATTGGGGGAGGAGGGGAAGGACGGGAAAGAAGCAGACGCGAGAATAGATCGGGGTACGGTAGACACGAGCAGAGCAGAGCAAAGCAGCATAGAGCAGAGCAGACGCGGGAGAAGGTGTGCGAGGGAAAAACAAACCCTCCTAGCTGGATGATACCCCACCGGTGAACCTTGACTACCTATCCAGATTGTACGGTCTACAGGAGTCTGTCTGTGTGTGCGTGTGTGTGTGTCGCTCTTTCCCATTGACTACACCACCTTCTCTCCCATGAACTGGTGTGTGTGGGCAAGTGGGATCGGGTCTGTGCTTGTGGGTAAGTCCCTGTCTCTCTTTCCCACTTGCTCTCCCACTCCAGCTCCCACCCACTCCCGCACGCAACAGCTGAACATGCGCGCCCTGACATCTGGGTGGCCTGGCGCAACGTCTCCAACAACGGCTGGGTCTGCTGCTGGGATGCCAGCCATGTCGTTGGACGGTTGCCTGAGCTCGACCCGTGGGACTGCAGGGCCGGGCCCCCCAGAAGCTCGGAGCGCATGACGACCGAGCAGGGCGGGTTGCACTGAAAGCCAAAAGCAAAGCTTAGCGAGCCTACCCAGGCAGCACAGGCGGCCCTGTTGGTGGCCCAATGGCCCGATTGACCCCCAAGGGACCCCAAGGGACCCCAAGGAACCCAGGCCGGTGGGCTTCTAGAAGGCGTGCTAGAAGGCCTGGAAGGATGCAAGGCCCGGCGAGAAGAGACGTGGAAGCACAGAAGAAGCAGAGCTGCAAGTGCCGGGTGTGGCTAAGCCCACTAGGGCAGGTTGAGCTGCGATTGGGCTGACGTGCGTGGGATCCCGGCCGCCTGTGCCTCCCTCGTACAGCACAGCACGCAGACTATCTGGAGTATCTCCTGTCACGGTCGTACCCAGATAAGGGCCTCGGGAAATAATAAGCAGACGTGCATAAGAGCTGCCGTAGACTCGGTAGATCAGTCGACACATCTGACTGCCTTGAGTGCCGACGCGAGACCATCACAGACTCCCTCCCGGCGACGAGAAAGCGAGAGAGGAAAAAAAGACGGAAGGACACCCCGACATCTGCCTGCCCTGTCAATTTGAGCTTCATTGGACCCCTCTTTTGCGAATGTGCGTTTTAGGGAAAGCGAAGGGTCTCAAATGTCGGTGAGCAAGCTGGTCCCTGCCCCGGGTGCGCTGTGGCCATGAGCCTGCAAGACCCTGAGCCTTTTTTTCCTTCGAGCTCTGCTGGCTGCGGTCTTCATCTCAGGCTCCTCGCTGTCTGGCAACAAATATCAAGCAGGTCGCAAGACTGTGGTCCCTGGGCGTAAGCTCCCACTAGTTGGAGTCTTGCTATACAATTCTCCATGTATCAGTTTTGCTTGTGAATTTGCCATATCTGTACGAGCATCGGGCACACACCAGCAGAAGCGTCTGAATGCCAACGGGAGTCGGGACCACGGTTACGGGCCAGTCCGGGTGCTTCGACCAAGGTCCCCACCGATTGCTACAGGCCGTCCAATCCAGACAGGCTAGATTGGCCATTTCTATTCAGGGCGCGCTTTTTAAAAGCAGAGGGAGCAGAAGTGCAGTCTCCGGGTACGACTTGTTGCTTCGTCCTGTGTCTCCAACGCCTGCTCGGTGGCTGGAGGGTGGAATTCATCATCCCGGTTGAAGAGAGTTTGGTGCTCCCACGCAAGGGACCCCTCCCTCGTCCTGGGAGCACCAGGGCAGGCAGGGGCCGCGCTGGCGGGCCGTTTTCTAGAACACTTCTAGCGCTTGGTCCGTGCCTTGGGGGCCGAGTTGTCACTGTCTGTCAGGGGGTTCTGCAATAAGAGGGTTGTATTTGGTTTCTGGTTGGTATTCTGTCTAAGTTTATGCTAAAGGGCTGAGAGGCCGAGGACTACCTATTAATGCCCATAAGGGGTTTATGCGGTACTCCTTTCTTATAATTTGCCCCCTTTAAAAAAAAAATAGCGGCGCCCTTACCGCTAATAAATAATTCTAAGAGGTGCGTTTAATAGATTAGTTATCTTGTGTTTTGTCTTTTGGGCAAAGCATTAAGCCTAAATTATCTCCATTTTCCTTATAGTCTTTATTTCCGTCCTTTAAAGCGTTAAAGTTATTTTAAGGTTTATCCCGTAATTTATTATATTTCTTATAATTAGCTGCTTTTGCATCTTTATTTAATTTAAAGTTATTAGTGAAAACTTTTAATTTAAAAGTATGTTTATTATTAAGTGATTTAATAATAATATTTATAATATTTTAAATAGCGAGGAAGGCATTAAATTTATTTATAATTATTTTGATAAATAGGGTATAGTGATTGCCTTTTAGGGTATTGATTTATTTATTTTTCTTAGCTAATTGGTTTTTTAAGCTGGTAATATATGCAGTGCTAAGGTTAAGTTGCATTTAGAGTGTATTTTGCTAAATCTTTATTTTAGTGTTTTTTAATTATAATTTTGCGATTTGGGCTTGCTATTTATTAACTTTAGCGGTAAATTTAGCGTTTTTTGTTTTGTATTGCTTATATTTTTGCTATTTCGTTAAAGGCGGGGGCGCTATTAATAGGGAATATGAATTGGTATTAGCGTATTTTATTATGGGTATGGAAGGTTGCGTTAATTAAAAGGTTGTTAAGTTCTTAGTTGTAAATATAATGGGTTGCAGGGATATATTAAACTTTGTTTTCTTTAAGTTGTATT